TTCTTAATTCTAGACTTAATCTTCTCCTACTTAGTAAGCTTCTTCTAATCCTGCTCTACCTTTAACTTCTTTTTAGCCTAAATATAAGTAGTATACTAAGTATAAGCCTTATTCTTAGCCTTAAGCTAAGTATTAGCAAGAACTTAATTAAGTAAGTAGTAATTAAGAATAGATAAAGTAGAAATAGTAGAAGAGAGAGATTAAGAAATAATAGAGGACTTCTTCTAAGTAGATTAGTATAAGTAAAGGAAGAAATAGAAATAAATACTTATAGAAAGATTAACCTCTTAATTAGAAGTAGTAGCCTTAAGCTAATTATAATATAATAAGTAGTTATAAGTATTAGCACTTTTCTAAGAGATTATATAAGACCTTAGCTTATATAGGCTTAGAGAAGCCTTAGAAGGACTAAAGACTTCTTAATTAGGAGTAACTAAGTAAGAATTAAAAAGAAACTTTACTTAAAGCTAGAAATAATTTAGTAAAGTGTACCTAAACTCTAATTAAGGACCTACTCTCTTAACTATATTAAGCTTCTTCTTCTTAGAAGAAGGAATAAGATTAGATAATTTACCTAGAGTAGAGTACTTAGAGCTATTTTTTAACTTTAAAGTTACTATAATAGAATTAGTAATTAAGTTATTAAAATACTAGATTAGAGAATAAGTAAGACCTTTAATTAATTAAGGAGTAGAGGGCCTAAGCTTATTAAGATACTTAGCATGCTTAGTAATAAGCTTAGTAAGATAATTATAATCTAACTTCTAGGTTATAAACTATAATCTAATTAATAAATAATTATAACCTTATAAGGATTAAAATAAATACTTATAGAATAGTTCTTATATATATACCTAAGGCACTAACTAAAAACTTAAGTAATTATACTATTTATAAGTAGATATAGATATATACTATACTTAATATACTAATTACTACTACTACTTAGCTAGTTATAATAGATCTAGATCTTAAATATAGTAGCCTAGGTTTTCTTTATATAACTAAAGTATATAGAATTAAATATTACTCTTAATTAGAGGAAGATTAAAATAATTAGACTAAGTAGACTTATAATCCTACTTATCTAGAATATAAGACTTATAAGATTAGTGCTGCTTAGAAATATCTATTAGAGCTTTAGAAGTAATAAGATAGCCTAAGCAAGTCTAGTAGATAGTAGAGGGCATAATTAAAGGATTACTAGGTGCTTTACTTAGAGTAGAGACCTTAATTAAAAGATTAGTATATATTCTTAAGTATAATTAAGTTAACTATACTATAATTAGTAGTAATTAAGAGATAGATTAGAGTAAAAGAAAGTAATAATATTATATAAGAGTAATTAGAAGAGTTAGAGCTAGAATAAGTAAGTATAGAGTATAATATTATTTATTTACTATATACTTTAGCATAACTATTTACTTACTTAATTAAGCAAAGTACTAAGAGTAGTTATAATAGTAAATAAGTAATAATAATAAATTTTTAAGATTACTAATTAAAAAAAGAAAATATAATTACTATAGTAAGTAGGTATAGTAATTAATAGATTAATATACCTAAGAGGTATATTATAATAAGTTACTAATTAATAACTCTTTAAGATTATAGAGAAGGTTTAGATTATATAACTTTAATTACCTTAACTATATAATAAGTCTAGGCTATAGTAATCTTTAATTAGCTTAGTATTTTAGCTTAATTAAGCTCTAAATAAGGTATATATTTAAGTAGTTATAACACCTTAGAGAAAATAAAGAACCTAATTAATTTACTTAATTATTTATTCTAGTCTATTAATTAATTTAGTTACTTATAATCTATAATTAATAATACTTTCTAATATAGCTATACTATAGAATAGCTTACTTAAGTATTTCAAGATAGGATTATTTAATACTATAGTATTTCTAAATTAATTATTAGTAATATAGATAAGCTCTTTACTTTAAATTTCTAGATAATATTCCTAGTAGTAATAGAAATAAAGAAGAAGCTTTCTATAGCCTATTATCTATAGATAAATAGATAGATAGAATAAGTAAACTAGATAATAGAGATATATCTCTATATCTACTATAACTAGTAGTAGAATAATTAGGTTTTACTCTTATCTATAGCATAAATTATATATAATAATAAACTATTAGAGGTAATAGGTATAATACTATTCTTTATAAATTATAGAAAATATCTAAATCTCTTTATATAAAGTCTTAATAGTAATATTTAAATAGAATTAGTAATATCCTTAGTATAGAACCTAAAAGAGATATATTAGAAATTACTTAAGAATATTACTAAAGCTTAGTTATAAGCAATCTCTTATATTAATAAGAAAAGAAAAATAGCACCTCTACTAGAGAAGAAGAATAAAGTATACCTTCTTATAAAGAATCTATATATAAGAAGACTAATAAAAAAACTAGAGAAAGTTAAAGTTAGACTATTTTTTATTTTAGAGAAAATTAGCCTAGTTAACTACTAACTTAAGCTACTAAAAGATATAAAAATATACTTTATATTCTCTATCTCTTTATTAAAACTAGCTAATACTAATATACTAATCTAGAAGAACTTCTATTGCTAAAATAATAATAATAATAAATAGAAAGTTAAGAAAATAATTAAATATTAAAAAACTAGACTAGATAAAAAATACCTAGTTAAATAGTTAAGATACCTAGACTTAGAAAATATATAGAAACTAGAGATATACCTTATAAACTACTAGATACTACTTTACTAGTACTAAAGTTTATAAACTTATTAAGATACTTAAAAGTATACTATATAGTAGGAGAAAAAATAACCTATATATTAGTAGTAGAATAGGTAATCTCCTTAGCTTAAATATTTTTACCTTCTATATCTATCTTATTTACTAAATACTTAGCCTTCTTTATAGCCTTATCTTTTACTTATATAAGAATCTTCTTATTTTATAGTAGGTATAATATTACCTCTACTAGTAACTTTTTATCTTCTTTAACCTTCTTCTTATATTTAGCTCTAGTCTTATCTAAGGACTCCTAAGATAAGTCAATATATAAATAACTAATATATATATACTTAGAATATTTTAAGTAATTATTAGTAGAAGGTATAATAAAATAATTATAACTAGAAGTAAAGTAATAATTATAGAAAATAGAAGTAATAGTATTATATTAATAGATTTTAATACTTAAGTAGAGTTACTTCTAGAAAGTAGAAGATATAATACTACTATAGATACTAAGGTAGTAGTAGAGTAAGCTTATAAAGAATAGCTAATAGATTTAGGATAAATCTAGAAGAGAGAGGAGTAAGTATTATAATCTACCTTTTATAGCTAACTAGCTACTAATACTTAATAAGTACTAATATACTTAGTATAATATTATATAGGCTCTCTTATATAGTATAGTTTTATTATAAGTTATATAATAAGCTTACTTCTTAGTAGTTAAGCTAAAGTAGATTCTATATAGAGCTTATATAGCTTATATTAAGCTTAGTAAGCTACTATACTCTCTATAGTATATAGTAAGTAGAAATATAACTCTTATAGTTTATATTTAACCTAAGTATTAATCTATAATATTAGATCTTAACCTAACCTTTAAGCTAGATAGTCTACTCTATACTACTTATTATTACCTCTTACTCTTAAGATAGATAGATTATATCTATACTTCTTAGTATAAGACCCCTTTAGTTTCCCTAATAGTATTTATTTCTAAGAACTAATTAAATAGTGCTTATAAGCTTTACTTAAAGTATAACCTTAATATAGTACTTTATAATAGATTCTCTCTCTTTACTTACTATACTATACTAGTTATATAGGTATATATTAATATTCTATATCTCTATAGCATACTTTTTCTAAACTAGTACCTAATAGTACTAGAGGTAGTAGAAGTGCTCTTATATATTATTAATTATGATCTTACTTATATATAGTTACTTATAGTACTATACTATAGTTAGTATTATAAGTAGCTATATATTCTAGTAAAGCTCTATACTTAGTAAGTTAACTCTAAGAAACTCTAAGATAACTCTAAGTATAGTAATATAAGCTAAGAAATATAGAAATAAAGGCTAGAGTATAATAGAGTAGATAATTCTTAGTAGTTTTTATATAAAATATATTATATAAGTAGTATAGCTTAGAGGTATAATTAAGGGTTAAAGGTATAATATTTGCCCCCTATAGTAGGCCTAATTTAGATGCATAACTCTAGCACTAGACCTAGTTTAGTAATAATTAGGCCTAATTATGCGTATTATATTAGTTAGGATAGATAGTTTTTAAATATTCTTTATATAAGACCTATAGACATAAGATTCTCCTTAGTTATTAACTTTCCTAGTGCTTCTATATACCTTATAGTAGAATTAGAACTATATTAGAGGGTCTTATTACCTATATTATTATAATATTAGCTCTATTATTACCTTAAATTAGCTAAATTATTAGCTTAAATTAGCTTTTAATAAGCTTAATATTACTTAATAGTTAATAAGTCTAGTAATATATACTATTAAGAGCCTAGCGTGCCTTTTAGGTTTAGTAATAGTTATATTTTAATTATAGCTAAGGTACTAGATAATATTATACCTATTAGTAAGATACTATATAACTTAATAATAATAGGATATATAGAGTATCTACCTATTATAGTAAATTTTTTAGTAGTAAAGAGGTATAATAGTATATTATTTTTATTAATTAATAATTTGTTTAAGGTAGAGATTCTAAAGAAGAGTAAGGTTAGGTAGAGTAGAGTTGCTAGTAAGAATATTTTATTAAGAAGGGATTAGCTATAGTAATAGGCTTATAGACTATATAGTATAACAACTACTAAAGAATTGCTTTCTACTATTAGTAGGAGAAGGTAATACACGTTGAAAACTAAACGCTCTATCTAGTCCTCGACTAGATGCTCCTAGTGCTAGGATCTACCTAATCGAGTGTTGCGCTCTAGAGAGCTAGCGGGCTAATTGCAGGGCTATCTGCTTCCCCTAGTAATGCGCTTAGACTGCATTGTTGCGAGTTAAGATGAGAATGCTTTAGTGAGGCGTTTAATATCGAGTGCAGGGAAATATCTTGGGCGACTGTTGGTCCGACAAGGGGTAAGCAAGATTAAAGTTGCGAGGAGTATTTGAATAGGCACTAAGATGGAGGCATAGATTTGTATTGAAACAAATTTTTAAGGAATGATGAAGAATTCGCGAAGAGAAAATATACGACCCAAGGCACGTAATCGTAGTTGGTGTGCCGACAGAGCATCAACTGGCCGGCCCCCAATCGCTAACTTGCCTATGACTCAACCTTGTGGCTGTGAGACATGGTCACAGAGATCTAGCGACGATGAGCTACGGTAACGTTGGCCGCACTGAGGCCGTTCTGAAAGAAGGTGGCGAGCGTATGGAAGGGAATAAGCTCTGTACGGTCGTATAGATCCACGTGGCCGGCGTCTTGTACCCAAACTAATTCTTTCGGGTGGGCTGCCAGGTTGTATGCGTCGACAGAAAACTCGCGAGAGTGTGCCTGGGTACCTGCAACAAACATGACTGGACGACCCTGGACAACATCCAAACCACTCAGGGGCCAGTAGTTCATGAAGCGGTTCATTGAGAGAGCTGGGCGCGTGAGGTTCAGGGTTGAGCCCACAGGCGGATACTCGGCGCGTGGAGTTTGGTAGAAGTCAAAGAATTCCCTGTCGACATCTGTAGAGTTCTCGTTCAGTGGCGGACGACCAAAGCCAGCAGCAAAAGCCGTCTCAGGATTATCCACTCTAGACTGTCTCCATCGTGTATCCCCCTCAATCATTGCCTGACGTTGTTCCAACCCGATTGCGTTTTCCATCCCATCGCGAGAGGCAGCGCCCATGTCGTACATGCTGACAGTAGCAAGGGCCTTGATGCGAGTATCGAGCTTGGTCGCGCTTACTGCCCATGAACCGCTACCACATATACCAAGGACACCAATTCGTTCGTGGTCAACATAGTCTTGTAGCGTGAGGTAGTCCACGGCCCCGCTGAAGGATTCCGCAAACATGTCCGGTAGTACAGAGTTCCTTGGCTGGCCGTCAACTGGGCCCCAATATCCAGGATCTATGGATATTGTAATAAAGCCTTGCTCAGCCAATTTTGTAGCGTAGAGGTTCGCGCTCTGCTCCTTGGCTGCACCAAAAGGAGGACCAACAACGATAGCTGATGCTTTGGTGGTAGAATCAAAGTCTTTAGGGACAAACAGATTGCCCGCAACCATTTCTCGGAACTGGTTTGGAAAGGTGATAGGCGCGACCGTGACGTTGTCGCTAACGTAAAAGTTGGCGGCACCAAAAGACATGTTCTGAGCTATCGAAGTCATTGCGTTGGTTGCCACAATGGCTCCGAGGGCAGCTAGACTGCGGCTAGCCATGATCGATGATTTGGTGATTTGTTGTGGGTTATTCGTCGGGGATTTCTGGAGCAGGTTCGCTGTGATAAACTGGTGGTAGTGATGCCTTCTTCAAGCGGGACTTCTTGCTCGCTTTATAGCTGAAGCAGCGTTGCAAAAGAACTCAGGGAGATCATATTGTCTCACTGCTTCTAATCATCGGAAGCTTCTTGGCACTCAATTACGTGTACAGTAGTTGCGTATGCTGTGGCTGTGCGGTCTCTTTCCAAATCCTTGGCACTATAGAAAAATAACACGGCATTGCAATCTCTACTAACGTACCTGGCTATATACTGTACCTGCAAAGCCATGCGACACACATTTGCAGAGCAGGGAATCCTGGTTCCATCCAGGTATTCACAAGTCCCAGACCAGACGTTAATGGCCTGTCTCAGTTATCGGAATGGTCTGGTCTGACTTGGTCTTGGCCTGGTCCGGCGATTTTTCGAGACCATGGTCGGACTGGTCTAGATGATCGGACCAGTCCAGCTATGAATACATACAAGTAACTTGATCTTAGTCTAATTCGGTTAGAGCATTCAGTACAACATGAAACATTGAGATCTGTGACGGTTTGGGCCTTAAACAGTCAAGACAGTGCAGTTCTGCTCTCCGTCTTCAGACCATCGCAAGACCAAGGCGAGTATTCTACTGATATAGAACAATCAAGTCCTCAACAACCTAGTATGTGATTCTCCGTGGTAGCAACCCCCAATACTTCCTGGTTAGTCAACCGTGCACCCTGCCCCAAAATGGCGTAGTTAGATGTAACGCGTCACACATGCTGTCCCTTCCCCTTTGTAGACTGGTGCGGTGCAACCGCTTAATTTAATTGATTAGATCTAGCGCAGGCTACCAAACCCATCAAGTACCTCTCTGAAAGCACGATGCACGGTGAGACCATCCCTTAACAAGCAGACAGTTTCGCCTTTCCTTAATGGTCGTGCTCGAAGCCTAGAGATGGCGGCAACTTTGATTCTGTCAACACCAGCGACTATTGCTAGCCAGAATGTATTTAATGTCAGTGGCCATCTTGCCAAACCTGCTGTCTGAACCCTACAGGAACATGAGCCGATCGCTCTAGACTACGTCACGTTTGTCGCTAGCAAGAAAGTCATTACACCTTGTTGCACTGCAGTACCTGTTTCCAGTTCAGACAATCACTTACGGACTTGCCGCTATGTGCCTGCCAAGCTACGTTGAACGGAGTAAGTAATTAAACAAAGATTTTATAAGTACTAATATAAGTAAAATCAGGTATTATTTAATATAACATAAGATAAATTCTTAAGGTATAAGACCTTAAAATTAAAAGAGTCTATATAGGGGCTCTATGCGCTTAGCCTTAGCCTAGGGTATACCTAGAGAGAGACTAAGGCAGCCCTCGAGGGAAAACCCCGTAACAAGACAACAACATACAACCTACAGAGCTTAGCGGTCGAATGTCGGGGTTATGCACACTGCTGACAGCCTGACCTATTAGAGCGGTCTGCAGACGATAGTGCATAAATGCGCGCCGAGGATTATTAATTGGTTCGTTGGTTAGTAATTCCTACACGGTTTCAGTCGCAGACCTGCAGCTGTCCCCAGTAGACAAGCTTGGCAGAGAGCCAACGTGGTGCTGACGTTAATCTGCGCCGCCCCATTTCATCCCTTAAAGGATCAATCTCTCAAGGCCTGCTATTTCCCTCTTATCACTATCTCCCTAAGTGATGTCGCGCAGATTTCGTATCCCAATAACATCAGCAAGCGAGAAGCGATCAAATGAGCGATTAAGAGAATAGATTAAGGGCTAAATTGATGTGGTATGTAGCTCTTGAGCAGATTATGGCTTGGGCTCGTTCTTTGGGTCCATGCGAGGATTTACAACAGCCGGTCCAAGGACTCTCTCTCTAAGCTTCCATCCCGTCTTTGTCATAACTAGCCGATCATACATGATGTTGTATATCCAAGTCTGGGGCAAGCCCCCGTCCACCTCGATGAAAGAAGAATCCTTCCCTTTAAGCTGGCTCTTGAAAACGTTCGGCCAGGCATAACGTATGCACTGCTGATGATATCGAACAGAGACGCCACCTGTCTCTTCGTCGCGGTCAACAATGTGATTGGTAGCGTGGCGACTGACTCCCGGGATAATGTACGGGTAGGTCGTACTGAAAAAGTTTCTCATCTCATCAGTGCCATTGATTGTTCCGTGCCAGTGCCTCAAGGTGACGTCCTCCGTGCCTTGAGAAAGAAGTTCATCGATCTGAAATTGCTCCATGATGAAATTGTTCCGGTTTACGAAATCGATTGCCGAGCTACGTTCTGCAGCCGTGACATCCGACAACCCATGGGGCTTGGCTGGGGGAATGGAAATAGTGGGCGTGATTTGTGTCGCCATTGTTTGGCCGGTGCAGTCTACGGAAGTGTGAACAATTCAAGACCAGACTGCGAGACACGTTTTAATAGCACTCTGCCTAGGTGGAGGAAGTTGGTTATTAATCATGTTCGGTCGGAAAATCTTCAGTAATCACGGTGCATAGAAGTTACGGGCATTTGACTAAGTACAATGTTTGTTTTGGGGGTCGAAGTGTCAGAATTAGCTATGAAAGCGTATCATTTTCGGCTGTCGGTTGAACAACGCAGGTGGAACCTCGTGCAAGCACGATACGTGAGCAGAGCCTGGTGTGCATGTATTTGTAAGTAATGCAAGTGATGAGTCTATTGGAGTATAAAAGTCTAATTTTCGGATGTGTGATATCAAAAAGGGTGTGTAGTTGCTGGGTTTCTCGCATTATAGCCGAGTCAATATCCAGGCCCAAGCAGGACAAGGTTGTTAACACAATTCATAGTCACAACAGCGGTTGGCCTACGACTGGACTTGAGTTACGGGAGCCATCAAGCAAGGTTGCACCCCTTACAAGGAAATGACCAAGGGGAAAAGAAGCGGCAGTCGTTCATTTCCTTCCGAACGAAAATTAAGCTTGTCTTGTTGCCAGTATGCATTCGACATCTGTCAGCAGTTCACAGTCAGAGTCTGCATAAATCACTCGAGATACTAGATCGCAGTATCTCGTCATCGAAGTTTCTTTTTCCGGTATAGTTTGACTGGAGACAGTAAGACAGTACTGCTTCGCCTGAGCATTTGCCCTTCTACTATCTGCCCGTAGACACTCGAGATGTAGTTGGTCTTTTTCAAACTAGTCGAAAAGCTCCCATGACTTCACGGATTTACATCATTCAGCAGTGTCTCCGTCTTTCGCTCAATACATCGCCCCTAGCGCAGAGAACAATCTCCTCGTGCCAATAGTGATGAACCCGCACTGCAGCCTGTAATGACCCAAGCATTTGGCTAGTGCAGCCGATGCGTCGCTCGATCAGTTCACGTACTCTTCGGTCGTAGACGCCGAGCCAAGAGTTGCCAACACATCCCAATGCAGACTGCTGAGAGCATTCCATGGCCAATCATACAAGGACACGAGAACATAGTCTTGTTTTGAAGTAAATCACGCCCTACTTTCAACTAGGATTATTGATCAGATCGAAGCACTCTCTGTCAGCTGAGCGTTATTTGGATTGAGGGTCTGAATCGTAAAGTATACTACATGGGTATGTAACGCACGATTATTGGTGAACTCGTATCGGGATCCAAGCAGTGACGTTGACAAATCACTGCACCGGAAATCTACAAGCTTCACCCGGGCACAATGATAGAACTGATTCTATGAAGTTGGGTGCTCTAGATTGCGCCACCCCGACAACCTCGCAGCTTCGCTCCCCACCCTGCACCACGACCAAACACCAACACTTCGTTGACTTCCAGATACCCTTTCACATCAATGTCTCTATTTTCGAGCGACTAGATACTCTGAAGAAGACGTCCAGAATGCGATCGCAGATCTCGAATCTGGGGTTGCTGTGACCACTGCTGCCACCCGGCACGGGGTCCAATGCGACACTCTCCGCTGCCCTCCAATGGTGCCCTACCTCATCAACACGCTCGCGACAGTGGGCTATGGCTTGTAATTGTTCAAGAAGGATACCCAAATACATGGGTTCTCCAGTAAGAGGCCCTTGATTATGCGCCGACGCATGCGCAATTGTGGACCATCGTAGTTGACGTTCTCAAGCGACAGAGTGACCACGAAAATCTGAGGAAGAAGTGGACGATTCACTTTTGGCTCAGAGTCTCGTGTGTGTTCTCAAACGAGCTTTGTGTCAACAATCGTCGCATGATTGGGTGCGTTGATTGTAGATGTGTGATGTTTAGAAAAATGTTACGTTGTTCTATTGTTCTTGCATCATAGCTCGGCTTATATTCAGGTCAATTGCACGGCACAACTTGTAATAGAGTTCAGATCAACAACTACACATGGCCTGCGACACAAAGTAACAATTCGTTATCAATGAACTTTTTCAAAATCCAGGGCAGTATCATTAGGCCTCTGGAACTAGCTACCAACTCTATTCGCCACAGCCCTCCAAGTTTCCTCAAGCTGCGCGTCCCAGTCCGCAGCAGTCTTCTCAGGCTTCCAACCCAAATGATATGCGTTCTTTGGGGTGGTCTTGGACCTAAAAATCCACCCACATATTAGTTTCGGGTAGCTCACACTATGGACCATGAATACCCACCTGCCAGCATGATTTATTTCAAGAAGAAGTTGGTTACCCTCAGTAAAACCCCACTGTTCGAGGGCTTTGCTTAAGGTGATAGGTACAGGCTTAGGAGATCTCAAGATGCCAAGGCGGTGACCAATTTCTCCAAGCCTTTCATTCACTTCCTTCCAAGTGAAGGCTCCTGTATTGCTGAAGAAGTAGCCCTTCCTTCCATGGGGTACATCGGTACCAGCCAGAATCTTGCTAAGGAGTACTTCGTAGAGACTTGCAAGGTCAGCAATATGGACATATCCCACGGTTCCTGAGCCATCTCCAAGGTACTCCGGATACCCGGAGTGGATCGCATGTCGGACAGTGAATGGGAGTTGAATCGATTCTTTGTTGAACATTCCAAGTCCTCTGCCATACACGGTCGGGGGCATCATAAGATACGCCTTAACGCCAGTCTTCTCGGCCGCCTGAAGGACCACAAGGTCCGTCTGCCGCTGCGGGTAGAATTGATCGCTGGATAGGCGAACTTCCTCTTCGTAAATATCATCGTCGACGTCCGAGAAGTCACGAATGGAAGCTTCCGGATTAGAAAGCGAGCTGTAAGCTAGGTTTGATGTGCCAGTGGTCTGAAGGATGATGTGATGGTCAGTTTTCATCCTGCTAGAGCTTCTGCAGAGTGCACATTTTGCTTTGTAAGAGTACTTACGTGAATGTAGTACGCCTGATTACCACTTCTCTTCATCGAATCACCTAAACCTAAAACTAATGCTTCCGCGGAGGGAGTATGCAAACCCGTGGCGCAATGGAACACGATATCGTAGTCTGATGCGAGATGTCTAAGCCGTTCAGTGTCGTCCAGACCTTCAAAAAGCTCCGCTCTGATGCCACGGTCTGCGAGAAGATCTGCTTGGTCTTGATGACGCACGAGAGTGGTGATGAGAAGGTTTTTGATGTTATGATCGATGGAGGTCATTAACATGGTCAGGACGGAGCCTCCACTGCTTTCCACATTAGTTCTGGATCAGCTGATCGGCTTCAGTTGTGCGCTTGACGTGGGACATTACATGAACCCTGTAGCTCCTGTCAGAAGAACCGTGTGTGGACACATGATGATGGCTATGCGGATTTGGCAGTCGAGTATCTGACGCCTTTATGTTGCAGGTTCCATGTGAGATCAAAGCCCGTTCCATCCACATGTGGCTTTGTAATCAAGATGTTAAGATGCTTGCAAATGTGACGTCAGTCATGCCTGAAGTGGGGTTACTCAAACCACTGTCCGGTGCACAGACGCTTTAGCCAGACGTTCGGAAAAACCGGTGTTATCTTAGGATGACGTCTCAGCGCGATAGCATTCCTTGTTCCAACGCCAAACTCAACATCAAGCCGGCGCTACTACAGTCTGTTTGAGACCAGTGCGTTATCGGCGCTAATGCAAGGTGCTTACAGACACTACGCATAAATACTGTCGACACTGCTGGACAGGAATGGAGTCTACCATCACGAGAACAGAGACACGATGCAGTACTTAAAGACTTTGCTGGGGATGACGCACGAATGTTATTCTAGAGCGTACTGTTGGACCAAGACGTTTTGCCAAGAGACTGCCCTCCGCAGTTTAAATGTACATAGACTGATTTTATACTTCTCGTGAAGTAGACGAGCATATTTTCTAGTGCATTGAAGCAACGTGTGTGATTCTGGACTTGCAAGCAGGTCCACATGGCAGTGGTCGCGTTAAACAAGAAGCCGTTGAGTCTTTCAAGCAGGATACCAGGCGAAGCCTTCCAGTGCTTAGAGTGTGCGCCTGGGATCCAGGAGGCCAATGGTATCCACCCTTCTATGAGCGCTTTGGCATTCAGGAAGAGCTTTGATTAAAATGCTCAAAAATTTTACCAAACTTCCTGGCGACCCTTATGAAAGGGATGCTGAAAACCTGTGAGGTAGCGCACAAACATTTCCATATGGTACCCCCTCAAGCAATGAAATTGGAATTATAAGAAGGACCAATGAGACTCAATCCTTGTCTGACAGGTCCGACAGTCTCAAGAGACTTCTGTCCTATGAGATTCTGAGACATGAGACTCTTGAAATACGTAGCAAGTAGGAGCGCAACCCTCGAGGTTTGTGTTGAACCTCGTTAATCAAGTTTTTCTTTGGAATCTAAGACTGGTCTTCGAGCTCGATCTTACCCTCTTTACCACTCATTGTTACCCTTTGTCGCCTTGGTGTTTACTTTGAGGACTTAGGCTACCGTTCAAGATACAGTGCTCATCCCTAGGAACCAAGAGAATCTGTATCACAAGCTCCGCTTACGGCACGTCTATAACGCATACGTCCGATCTGTGACCCATAGGCTGCACAAGTATATGCCAACGCGCTTTGGAGTGGGCTAGCCGGTGGTTTCAATTAGCAAAGGCGGCTCACCTGGCTTTCCAAATCATCATGTCAAGCAGCTTTATAAGAGCTGGGATGAGCCGACAAAATATGCAAAGATATCATTGTGCAGGGAGTTAAAATGGAGCACAAGACATCGATAGCCAGACTGCTTCAGGTACTAGGTTCGGCGTAGATATTCGTTCAAGACCCATGTGGCAGAAGTTTCTATAGAGTCACAGTAAATTTCAGTCATGGCTTATCTTGTAGTGCAGAGACTGAATCAAGGGTTCATAGTGGGCTTGATGAATTTTCGGCAAAGATATTGATTTTGGCACTGCCTACCGGGGAGAGACCAAGGGGAAGTGTTAGGTCCCTTGGCCTGCGATGATGCTCTTTTTGAGCCTGGCGCACTATCTATGCTGACCAATAAATTGCCTGATACGACGTTGAAGTCTGAGAAACACTGTTCTAACGGTGGGGAATGGCAGTGACGCTGGTAGTGGCGTTGGCCGCGTCAAGGCTTGAGTGGAAGAAGCTGGTGAGCTTTTCGAACGGGATCAGCTCGGTCCGATCGTACAGGTCAACGTGACCCGCTCTCTCAATCCAGAACAATTCCTTAGGATGAGCTGCCAGATAGTAGGCATCCTCGGCGAACTCGCGTGAGTGCGCTTGAGTGCCTGCAATGAACAAGACGGGACGCGGATGCAGAATCTCCAGGCCCTCCAACGGATAATAGTTGATGGGCTTCATTGCGGTTAAGCGCGGGTGTGGGGTTCGGCATGGACCAGCCGATGCGGGCGCCTGTCGGGAACTCACGTTACCTACATCTCTGCTCCGCCTACTAGCAGTTTCTATCGGCACTTTGTCTAAGCAACAATATTGGTCCGAGGTCTTGCTAAAAGCTTTGATGATGACATGTAGATTAATATAGGTACAGATTGCCCACGCTGCAGACGCTACTTTCTGTATCACCAATTGTTTTTTGGGTTCTCCTCATTTGCGTTGCGCTATCTCGGCATCAATATGCCGCCAGCTCCTCCTTTGAACATCACTATCATTGGTGGCGGTATTGCGGGGCTGTTCGCTGCGAGGGTTCTACGCGAAAAGCACAACGTAACCGTTCTAGAGAAGAGCAGTGGTGGCAACGAAGTAGGTGCCGCTGTCACACCTGGACCAAATGCGACCAAATGCCTTTACAAATACGGTTGGAATCCTCAGAAATGCGGCGCGCTCTCACTCAGCAAGGTCCGAACCTTGGACCATAAGGGTGCACTTGTGCAAGAGCAGGATGTGTCTGGAATCAAGGAGCTTTTCGGGAGCGACTGGCACGTCGTACATCGACTTGACCTATGGAACGAACTGCTCAGGCTTGCAACGACTTCATCCGAGGACCTCGGACTAGTTGGTCAGCCGGTGAAGATCTTCTGGCGTGTCGATGTTGTCAAAGTGGACATTGAGAGTGGCGATGTGAGTCTTGCGGATGGTACAATCATTTCAGCGGACCTGGTCATTGGTAGGACTATCTTGATCCCAGTTGCACTATCATACGCTCATATAACTCAGGCGCAGACGGCATCAAATCAACCATCAGGCCACTTGTTGTTCCAGAGGCTGGGCAGCCTATTGCTTCGGGAGCATCCATGTTTAGATTTATCCTTCCGCGTAACGTAGTCAACCAAGTCTCACCAGATGTGCTACTGGGAGATCCCACTAGTGGGACTGAACTCAACATCAGTATCGCTTCAGACGGGAGCGGACGCTCTGTCGTTACCTACCCATGTCGAAACCTGGAGCTATTGAACGTTGGCTGCATTGCGCCAGATCCGCTCATCAACGTGCCGATATCAGACTCGTGGTCCGCGCCCGGAACCAGAGAAGACCTACTAAGAGTCTTCGGCGATTTTCACTTGCGGCCAATCCTTGAGTAAGTCAGATTCTACAATCGATACAACTTCTATAGCTTCAACATCATGACACCTTCTAGGCAAGCAGAGAACATTAAATTGTGGCAGCTGAGAGATAACGACCCTCTACCAAACTACTTCAAGGGCCGAACCTTACTCATTGGAGATGCGGCTCACGCAATGACACCGCATCAGGGGCAAGGAGCATCACAGGCAATTGAAGATGGTGAAGCCATGGTTCTTTTTGTGGATGAGCCTGTGACCCGTGATACTGTAAAGTCTGTGCTGCGAGATTTCGATCGGGTGCGCCGAATTCGTGCTACAAAATTACAGGCGATCACTCGCAGCGTACACGATGCAAAGAATCCAGAGATGATGTGGAAGAACCAGCATTACAACTTTACGTATGATGGAGTCAGGGATTGCCTGGCCAAATTGGATGCTGGTAAAGATATATAGTTATCTCTATTACATCGAAAGTCTCTCTAGCCGTTGCTTATGTTATTAAGGATACTTATAATGTCAATGTCAATACAAGATGTTATCTAAGTAAGAGTCGCAGCGGTTCAAGAACGTAGCTCGTGCATCATAGTAGAGCCGAGGTCTGATCTGTCGGGGTTTATGTAATGAACGTGCTACAGGCTATGCGAAACCCCACTTTCCGCTACTCCAATAGGGGCTTAATTGCTACGCTGGTGTCTCACGGCCTCTTTTGACAGCCCTCTGTGACCGCTTTCCCAACTTACTTTGCGCACAATGTCCGAACAGAACATCGCGCAAATCGCAGAAGCGACGATTACTGCTCCGTTTCAGTGCTCATACTGTCGGCAAATCTTCTCCCGGATCGACCATCTTGGCCGCCATGTCCGCAGGCGTACGCTACGGTCCCAATACCTCGAAATATAAGATGCTGATAGACCGTAGACACGCACGAAAAACCTTACCAATGCAATACCTGCGGTAAAAGATTTGCACGAACGTATGTCCTACCCCTGAGTCACCAAGTCAAACTAATGGCCACCCACAGAGATCTTGTGAAGCGCCACAGGGCACAGCACGCTCTTGAACCGTCTCGGCCGAGGGTGTGCGAACCCCATTCACGTGCAGGGCGAAGAGTTAATCAAGCCTGTAAGGCTTGCGCGGCTTCGAAACTGAAGTGCAGTGACGGTAAACCATGCCAACGCTGTGTGCGTAGGAAGATGATGTGTGAGTATGAGTCGGCAACGACTGCCGAACGGAGGCCTTCATCACAGGATTCTCACACGGCCGATATCCCGATGAGCGAACACGAGCCCCAGACGATAATAGCGAACGCAACAATCACTTCGGTTCCGTCAACGTCAGTCGAGGAGTTATCTCCGCCTACTGCAGCTATGCTTGAGTCAGCCGAGGTACCTCGCGGTACCAGTTCGAGGGACAGCCCTCCAACAGCTTTAGCGACAACTACAGGCAAATTATTGGGACACCAGAGCGAATTCCAGAATCCCCATCATGACGAAATCTCACTTTCAACTGGGGACTGCCCTGCGATCGAGCAAGCGAACTTTTGGCCGGATGAGGTAGCTCGCAACTACAGCGAGGTTCTGAAAGACCTTCTTGACTCCAGCGTGACGTCGCCAATCTTTTTGGAGGGCATGGATCAGGCGGCCAGTACCTTTTGGGACACCTTCATGGGCTCCAATGAGGATTTTCTGGATATTGCTGATATTCCTTTACTTGATCTCCAGCCGTTCGATTTCGAAGAACTTGAGGGCCGATCGACTGAAGTAAACGACAATGAAGACAGCGGCCTACCTCTTCACATTGCGTCTGCTGCAGCAACTCAGGCTTTCAGAGTCTCCGGGTGGGATTGGGGACCAACCCGCGGAGACAGCACCTCCGCAGAAACGACCAACCTAATCCTTCCCTCCGGCATCTCTTGGAATGATACCATCAGTGGCGCTGTACGAACACAAATAAGTCCCATGGTGAAATCCGAAGATCGCGACCGCTTGCTATCGCTGCTCCTGCATCATTGTGTGAAGGAGCAATGGATCCGTATCGCCCCAAGTTTCCCTTCTGAGTCATTCTTAGATCAGATGGTACTCCAATTCCTGGCTTCCCAACGACTTGAAACAGTACCTTGGTTCCACATACCGTCACTTCGACTGGACAAAGTGAGAGTAGAGCTGTTGGCAGCTATGGTCGGTGTGGGAGCATGTTTCACTCCGCGTGAAGCTGTGCAGCGCTTTGGATACGTCATGCCCGACATATTACGATACGCTGTGGTCGAATGTGTCAGTAAAAATCTTTGCATCATGGTCGAATCGACTGCCGTCGGGAAACCTGACTGATTTCTATGGTAGTGGACCATGGACAATACCACATCAAGAGACCCTCAGCTGCTCCAGGCCTGGCGTAGGTATCGCAAGTAACAAACGCTGAGATTGGATACTGAAACTTCGCAGTGACACAAGCCGAGCTCTCTACATGGAGCGGTAACAAGCGACAAATGGAGATCGGAGAGAGCAATTATCAGCAACCCATTACGGTGAGTCTCAGAACGTTGCTTGTACCTCAGATGATATAGAGGCTTACGGGTCCTCTCTAGATCATAAGACGCGCTCGCTGGTTGCGACGAGACCAATATCGACGTATTCGTCCTGAGCCGAGCGATGAGAGCGAGGCTTTGAGTCAAAAATGGAAAGATTGGATCGAACAGGAGACTAGAAAAAGGTAGTGTTGTTGCTCTGGTGCCGATACTTCGCAGAGCTGATTCCAAGCAGACTCATCTACCGAGCCTTTGTCTTCGACGCTGAGATGTCTATGAACAACCATGTAAATCCATTGATGTCGTACGCGGAGATGCGGGTTCCGTTCCCTGACCCAAATCCATTGTGGTTCGCCGCGACAGCAGAAGAATGGAAAACAGAATACTACAACCACCTTCAACATATCCCAGACATTCCCTTGACACTCGCGGATACCGTACGTCTTACCATCGATGAAGGGCACTGGTCACAGCCAGACCTCAGCCAACAAGTTTGTCATTACACACTCTACGGGTTGTGGAACTCAGTTTGGGAGCTTCTGCAGTTGTACGAAACAACTCAGGGGGACAACTCAGGGGGAATAGACGTTATGCATACCGCGCCTAGTCTGATGATCTCAGTGCGGCGAGAGGCCCTTACCAAGTCTTTGCATGCGCTCCGAGTTAGGTTGGACTCATTGGCCGCAGAGAACTCGACATTTACGACGGAAGCGACGTTTTTACTAGAGTATCTGAGCATGGTTCTACTGGTACCCCTCCAGGGACTGCAAGCGTTTGCTGGTAGAGACGGCGAAGGGGAGGCTCGACGTGTCTATCCTGCACTCCAGGAATGGGCTCAGACACGAGAAGCACGCCAGGCCATCTGGCACGCTGGACAGGTCTACAGGGCTGCTGATGCTCTGGCAAATCGCAGTCTGCGAGGCACATGCGTTCACTTGGTATACCAAGCAAGCGTTACTTTGTGGGTCTATGGGATTATGTCAAGGGCCCGCCGGCGGCGCGATCAACCTATTTTGGAGGCTCTAGAAGATGTCGATCACCGTGCTCTTATATGGCTTGATCGAGATGATCTCCGCACAGTCCGAAAATTCATCGCAACGTCAGAAGGCATACCAGCGATTCGTTCAAGCGATCGTGCACGGGGAAGCAAGGCATTCCCGGCAGACGACAAATCAGCGTGTTTCATTGAGGATGCCAGTGCGACTATGCGTGCTGGAGTCAAGATCTTGAAGAGAACATCCGGCCAAAGAGAGGTCTCCCAGCACGCAATCGTCAGCAGCGTCTCTCGTTTGATGATAGAGTTGGCCAAAGTCGCGGAGATATTGTGGTCCAGTGCACGGGCTTGATACTTATCGTAGTTCTTACGTATCACGATCCAGGATCGTCTGATCTGCTTTCGTAGTCTATCACATCGCGGAGAGCTCGTGGTAGCGGAACTAAAATATAGAACAAGAGTCCCTAACGTCCCGCGATAGGTCACGCAAGGAGTATTTGGCAGATATGATATGTGAGATCTTGGACGTCCATTGCTGGTGCAGCACTGCAATATCTAGCTACTCAGACCCTGATACACTCCCCATACAGCGTACCCAGCACCCAGTGTGGTCAGACTAACGATAGGGACAAGATAGACTAATGCACCCAGGATAATCCCTTGTTCAAAAAAACCCCATGCACCTGACGGTGCTTGGCCCGTGGGCCTTAACGGCTTCTGTGCAATCTTGTCAATGAAGTCCGCCTTGTGGAGGATGGAGGATATCAGATGCGTTTTAGCACCCGCCACAACCTGTGGGCTTGGTGTTTCAAACATATCACGTGTGTAGCGGCACTTCAGGTTTGTGCTGTATCCAAAGGGAACCAATGGACCGACTGAGTGTTGAAATTAGCAAGACCAGAGGGAGACGTCGGCTACGAACGTTCAGATGGATTCTATGCTTACCGATCAGTTGAGAAGGTATATGATCAATGTAGCTGACGTTGCTTTTGATGTGTTGTGACAGGTATTTTGCCTCTCGCGCGCCGCTAAAAACGTAAAGTGCGCCGACGAGAGACGTGCCTGCGGGGACAACATTCAAGACATCGATCAAATCATCGAGACTGGTCATTTTGCATATAGCAATTACGAGCCCCAACCGCTTGCTCGTCATGAGTGTACTGCTTCTGCAAGTTGAACGTCGTCAGTTGACGATGACAGAAATAACAGTGGCTCCAACTTACCTGTCTAGGATGTTCACGACGCCTCGCTCACAAGTTCCTAACATCAACTGTGCCTTACCGCTCGTGACCTCCGCCTGGGTTATGTATTTCCCACTGGTGTTGACCAACTCTCTGCCTTTTGAAGACGACGACATGCCATTGCCTAGCCTAGTCGCCTTTGCGTTACCTGCCATCTCCCGGCCAAGAGCTTGCACGAATGCATCCGACATGAATTCGTTGACGAATACCAGATCAACTGCGTAAGGGCTAGCTCCTTCGAAAACCGTGCATGATGCGACAATCTCCTTTGCAGCCAACGTCATATCACCTGTGCGATCAATTACAGCAACATTCCGCTGAATGTCTGACGCAAGAAGATGTTGTGATGACGAGGCACTCATTTTGCCGACCTGGTCAACAATAACGCAATGGGCAAGAAACTCAGCAGGCGCCCTTGATGAAACAAAGCCAAGCACATCCCTGTCGAGAGCACTTGAGAGAACTCGTTGTAATAGTGCAGAGGTTTTTCGATGCGTTTGATCAAGCTGCCAATAGGTGTTAGGCTGAAGAGAAATTAGACCAAGTTGTGGTAACATACCTCTAGCACAACGCACGTACCGGCTTCCAGCGCAGCGGACAGTGCAGATACTATGCTGAAGAGTACTGTAAAGGGGCTCGAGATGATATATGCGATTTCGAATGGCACACGCCTAGCTTCGTTGCTCTCTTGTTTGGCCAGGGCGTATTCTTGCTTGAATTCAGACTCAAAGTCCAACGCATCGTAATGGTTGCGCAGGTCTATGAGGGTGCTTCCAAATATGAGCTTAGCTTCCTGTTCAGAGTAGCCTTCATCATCTTGTATGGCGTCCAGCAGTGCTATGCGGTGCTGGATCAACGCTTTCTGGAGTGAGATGAATTGTTTCTGCCGAATCCTGAGTACGCGGAGCCGGCCATCAATGGCGGCTCCCTGGACACGAGCCAGTACAGCAGCTTGTTCACTCGACATTTCCGTTGTTGTCTTGCCTCGATGTATCGAAACCCCACTTATTTAGTACGTGATCGAGGTTGCGTGGTTCTTTTGTAGAATGTATATAGCTGTGCTGAAAAGTGGGAGCCAAACAGTCAGTCGGCGTAGAGACGTCGAGCGACCTGACAAGTCACTTGAGCTTTGCGTTGTGGTGAACGATTTAAGCACTGAGATGGTTTCTGTAACTTTGTCAGGTTTCATCGGTCCTAGCGGCAAGTCCATCCCGCTTCAACGTGGAGGGTTTCGAACAGGAAGAAGCCGTGCTCGCAAGCGATTCTGGTCGTGTACCGCTGTTCGGCCAGCGAGCTTCGGGACCGCACCCCACATGATCCCCCGAAATCTCTCCCCACTCGCAACAGTACGTACTAATCAATGAGAATAGAGACCTGACAATATGACTCATTTGCACTCACTGTCTATTTCGGCTCCGCTTTTGCGAGTTCTTCCACACATTCCTAGGTTACCCTTCTATGTTTCAACCGACGGCAAGTTATTTCCAGTCGTTGATATACTACAGATGCGGACTTCTCTGCGCTTCCAGAGCAAGCTCCATAATTTTACTTGAGTCATGTCGTGGATTACGGCCACAGATGTGCGCCAATCGCTTCGCAGCATCGACTCTCTCACTGTCGCCAACGACTACGATGTCCCTCGATTAACGATGGCTGCGGAGGATGAGCACGAAAGCGATGATGGAACCTTCCTTCCTACAAATGGGGGGGTTACTGGAAATGAGCCAGACACAAATCCACGAGACTGGTTGACGAACCACCGCCGAACGCCACCGCATCGCCCACCTGTTGCACACCCACAATGGATCGCTGTTGGCGGCCCGCTTCCAATGCGGATCTTCCTTTGGGACATGTTCATGGGCTGCCAACTTCTCCAAGTAAATAAATTCCTCAAGAAAGACGAAAACTGTCCGTGTTGCTGATACTTGTATACAGTGGGGCTATTCCATCTCAAGAGTGATTGGATTGCACGATCGAGGGATTTGTATGTACAAGATTGCCAATGAATGGTAGCAGAAATGGCCTCATGCCAAGGTCGGATTATGGGACACTGTACATTTTGAAGATATGTAGATACAAATGACAACACTCTCAATCGGCGCGAATGTCGGTTGGCATATAACAAGCTTCAAAGCGACGGACTTCTTTCAAACATGACCGTGAGCTTCTGAAGCTGTAAAGAGACCAGACAGTTTCTTTTCCATGGATTTTACACATTTCATGGACTTGCTTGATAAGTGTAGCCTTGGAGTAGCAAGTACAATGTCTCCAACCTGGGCACACTGACCTGATGTTTTCTTCCAACCCGTACAACCTCACCTATTACGGCCTCGACTTCCATCGTCTTCCCATTCTCTATGTCAGCCAACATACTGGGCTGCACGCCGGGCCACTGCCGAGCATTACTCCGCTGCAATTGTACTTGGACAGCTTCCTCTTGAATTACATCGCCGTAACCCAGTGCGCACGCGACAGCAACGACCTCACGCATTGACTCCAAGACGAATTCTTGTGCTAAATTGGGGGTCGCCTCCAGAAATTGTAGATCGCAGCACCGGGATAGCGCACATATCGGGTTCCAGGTTGCGTTCCCAATCAACTTCTTCCATCTTTCGACTTGGACGTCGTCGCAGACCACAGCGTGTGCTTGAGCGGCTTGGATAAGCTGCGCGAATGTTATAGTCCTTCTCATGTCGACTTCAGTGGCGAGATTGGCTGGATACGGGCCCAGAAATAGCTTTTGCGTTTCGGCATGTGAAACCACACAGGGCTCAACCTGAAGAGTTGGGACATACGTAACTCCCGAGATAATCGTATTCTTTGGGAAAGCTTTGCGATATATTTCCTCCACCCCGAGTCCATTCTGGATGACCACAATACTTGTATGCGCTTCTTGAACGGCAGGTCTGATCGTATCTGTAACGGTGATACCGGTGTTGACTGCTTTAACGCAGACGACAACAAAATCGAAATACTTTGATGGCGACTGATCTTCGACTGCCTCTCGTACAGAATTCACTACCCGCGGGTAGAAGGTTCGCTCGCCGAAGACTGCTGAACGAACGGTGAAGCCACGCACATGCGCGACTCCATAATTGGAGCGACACACGCATGTGATCTCAGCTTCTCCCATAGACAGTAGCATGGCATACACAGTGCCGACACTTCCAGTGCCAATTAACAGTACGCGTGACATAATCAAATGCGTGGAGTTGAGGGGTAGTGCTAGGTGAGCTGGGCCTGGAATGAGGGTGTAATTGATTATTGATGCAATTAACGCGGAAGGAAAGTTATTTAATACCATAGCTTTGGGTCGAACATGTGGGGGACCGGCAATGGCACGATCGACATTAGCTAGTCGAACAGTGATCGGGATCTAGTGGGCGAATTTGGAACACTATTGAGACACATCCGGCAAATGAGGAGTGAACAAGCGACGGTCCTATGAAGTTCTAGTAATTCGACCGTTCCTTTCGCATCAAGATCTGTGGGATCTGGGCGACAAAGTGCAAGCAGCTAGAGCACATCCCCCGGCCTATTTACTGAAAGCCGTCCTCACCCACGCCTCTGGCCATTGCCCAAGGCTGAACTGTGATTCGCATTGAGTTCGCTGCATTAAACATGTTAGCCTTACGCTATTCAACTTCAACACATAACTGTGGGAGCGAAAACTTACGAGCTCCCAAGCCTCGGCTCCAAGCGAAGCTTTTGCGTTGCGGTCCTCGGGATCTCCGATAGCACCAGCAACAAAGCAGGCAGAGACGTAATGCTCATCAGTACCGTGTGCCTCACGGAAATACGGATTCTTCATCAACCGAGCAAGGCCACGCCTTAACTCTGGACCTCCACCATTCCTGCAGATGACGTCTTCAAGAGATTGCCGGAACTCTAAGCTGTCCTCATCTGGAGGACGCTCCATTGCGAAGTTGTCTTTGTACTGAAGCATGAACTTCCACTCTGCTCGGTAGAGATTGTGTGTCCCACCTCCAGAGCCAATGAGGAGGTATTTCTCCTTACGCAGCGAGCGTAGTGCAGTGCCGATCCGAATGTGAAAGAACGGGTCGAAATAGGCGTTTTGCGAAATTACTGTAGTTGGGGGGCATTTATCGCCAAACATGCCGATCAGAACCGGGAAGGTGTCAATCATCCATTCGAACTTCGAGTCCTCCTCGGCGTCGATACCAGCGTCATTGAGCACTTTTATCACGCATCGCGACGTCTCAAGGTCAGGGTTGGGTTTCCAGTCCGCCCAATGCTTCCGATCGGTGTTGGCGAGCGGCATGAATGTTGGCTTTGGATTCGTAGCAACTTTGACTTTCTCGCCCTCTGCATTCCAGTGTGCCCCCTCATATCTAATTAGTCTGGTTCATGATAGCCTGCCAACAGATGTACACGTACCATGATTATGATACCTTTGACTCCGTGGCGCAATGCATCCTTTCCCAGCTTCCTCCAATAGTCACGAACCCTGGAGTCCTCCCCAAGAAGCATGGTTGTACCATGCGACAAGAAAAGCACAGGAGCCAATTCTTTCCCTACGCTTAGCACCAGGTCTTTAACTTTGCATGAGGATTAACCCATCTGTTCCTTACTCACCTGTCATTGTATCGCTTCTTTGGGAGCCGTGGCAACTTGATGTAGATCGTGTGTCGAACACCTTGTGCAACCGCCAAAATCATGCAGGCTTAGGGCTGGGAATGGCAAGTACGAACTTGATCTCGAGCAACACATAAAATTAACCGTGCTGTCTCTCCCCTCCTAGATACATGATTCGAGGAACGTGTCGCACGTTAGGTGCGGAGCCCCGCATGGCGAGGCTGTGGGAAGTGGATTCCAAAGGTGGAGCCGATGTGGACCACATCAGCCGAAAGCCGAAAGTTCGGACCAGGCAAGGCAGAGCCATACAGATCTGGCGCGGCCAAACTGAGCTTTTGGAAGTGACAAGTTTCAAATTATTGCCTATATTGACCACTTCACGAACTGTAAATCGTGCAACAAAACCTTGCCTCCTCTTGAACGTTCCTGTCTCCATTCATCATGCCCAACCAGATTCGGGATATAACCACCTCCGAGAATGGATCCTTTGACTACATCTTTGAGCGAAACGTCACGTTCAAGCCAAAGTCAGTCAGCGGTCTTGTGAGATGTAATGTCTACAGGCCCAAGGATGTGGAACGATCGCCTGTGCTCATGACGTACGGCCCATACGGCAAGGATACGCATACAAGCGAGTAAGTACAACGATTTAGCAACTTCGTGCAGAAATCGATCGATTAACACATTCCTAAGATTCCTGCCTCACGCTTGGCATGACATAAACCCAACTCAGCAGTCACAGCATTCCGCTTTTGAAGTACCAGATCCAAAGTTCTGGACTGCGCGGGGTTATGCAGTCGTACGTGCCGATGAGATTGGCATCGGCCAGTCTCCAGGCTTTCTTGACACCATGTCAGCTTCCACATCGGACGTCTTTGCGGAACTTATTGATTGGGCAGCTGACCAACCATGGTCTAATGGCAAGGTAGGGCTGCTAGGAATCAGTTACTTTGCTGGAAGCCAGTGGAGAGTTGCGGCGCGCCGCCCGCGCGGTCTCGCTTGTATTATTCCCTACGAAGGCATGGCTGATTACTATCGTGACCGCTGCCGTCATGGTGGTATCCTTCTTGAGCCTTTTCTGCAGTTTTGGATGGGAAAACAGGTCAGGTCGAATCAATACGGACTCGCAGGTCGCTCAATCATTGGCCGTGGCCCAAATACAATCGAGGGGGATCTGAACGAAGTGGAGCTCAAGCAGAACCGTGCGGATCAGGACGAAGACAATCTGGGCGCTTTCTTCCGAGACGATGAGTACTACGCCTCCCGAGAGTACAATCTTGAGGATATCGAGGTACCACTGCTTTCGTTTGGCAACTGGAGCAACCTAGTCATCCACCTGCGAGGCAATGTTGAGGGCTATATGCTTGCTGGCTCACGCTACAAGTTCCTCCGAATCGGCAGTGGGCGTCATGATTTGCCTTTTTACTCCGAGCCAGAGGTTCAAATGCAAGAAAGTTTTCTTTCCGCTTTCCTCAAGGAAGATGACTTCGCTGGTTGGACTACTGGCAAACAACCCAAGATCACCTATCAAGCGCGCAAAGGTCCCTTTGATCATAAGAGTATCGAGTCTGCTACAGGCACGATCTACTCTTGGCGGGATGCCCCAGAATGGCCCTTGCCCAACACGCAGTATATCAAGTACTACTTGAATCCTGATCTTGGATGGAGTCCAAACCAACAAAGCGTAGATGTGTCTACAAGAATATCCTATCCAGCCATGACCACATTGGCCAACCCATTTTACCATCGTTTCACCACGGCTCCGTTTGACAAAGAGACCGAAATTACCGGGCACATTGTAGCCCACGTCAATCTCTCAGTTACCCGCTTACCCGGAGGATCAACGCCCCAAGACATTGACGTATTCTTTCTAGTTCGTCAGTGGGATGCCAATGGCGTCGAACGAACCTTCACAGGCACGATTGGCGACGCTGCAGCTGTGACACGAGGTTGCCAGCGCATCAGCTTACGAAAGGTCAACGACAAACATCCGCATCACCAAGACTACCGACCTTATCGTGACTACTTCTCGACAGATGTCTTGCCCGTTATCCCGGGTGAGATCTATCCTGTTGATGTTGAGATTTGGCCGACCAACGTTGTTCTCTTACCAGGAGAGATGCTCTCGATCGAAATCAGCGGAGGTGACACAGGCGGTATCGGTCCTTTTGTGCATGAAGGCGGCGAAAGGTAAGGGTTTCTACCCTCGCATATCTTCTTACTAACAACCAAACAGGACCGCGGAGAGGTTTGCTGGCACGAATCACCTACACTGGGGGCCAAAGTACAGCAACTGGGTCTCCCTTCCAATCATTCCCAGTTAGTTGGCCATGGAAATTGACGGTATACTGTTCCGGAGAGCTTGCGACTATCTGTAGACGGAAAAGACATGTCGAAAAGTACAGCACATGGAGCGCAACCGCAAACTATTCTTGAGCATACGTATGTTTCGTGGCTATAATGCCTCTTGAACCTGTGGCACGTCTTTACGTTGTTAGATAGTAATCAACATACCCTATTGAAGCAAGAACCTGTGGCGAGGCCGAGTGATCGAAGAATTCACAATAATGACGCAAGACACCAATTCACTTGTCATGAACCATCCTCATAGTTGTGTCCAAAGCTCTATTGTATAATTTCACGTGTCTGCTCTCCATTACACTGCTGACCTATCTACTGATCAACGACAAATCCATCGTAATGGGGTCTCATGTGCATGTTCTGCTTGTATGCCGGTCGGATGTCCTTTGCGTTGTCCAGAACATTGATGCCAATACCAGGGCGTGTTGGAATGTCCACAAAGCCTTTCTCAACCTTTGGTACAAAATCGACGACATCGCTGCCGAGATGATCCAGAGATGAAGTGAAAATACCACTTTCAAACCCAGTTGCGTATTCCTGAATGGCGAAGTTGGGTATACAGGCAGCGATCTGGAGACATGCGGCAAGACCAATCGGTGAGAGAGGGTTGTGGGGTACAACCTGCACGTTGTGCGCCTCGGCCATAGCGGCGACTTTCTTGGCACCTGTGATGCCTCCGCAAAGAGCTACGTCAACACGGACATACTCGAGCGCGTCTCGTGAAAGCAGAGCTTGGAACTCGTAGATTGTGCTGAATCTTTCTCCTGTAGCGATAGGCACAGCGATGCGGTCGGCGACACGTGCCATTGCATCCGCACTTTCCGGGCGGATTGGGTCTTCGACGAACATCGGGTTATAATCCTTAATCATGTTTGTGAAGGTGACGGCCTCGGCTGGGGTCAGGCGGCGATGAAGTTCAACCAGAAGATCAACCTCGTCACCAACGACCTCTCGCATCCTCCGCACATTGTCTGCCGCATCTTGCATCTTCTTGACGTGAGGTTTGAAATAGACTTGATCGTGACCTTCGTCGAGGAATGGGTTGATATGACCGAAAGCGGTATAGCCCAGATCTTTCTTCCTTTTGCACTCTTCTAGGACGCCCTCTATTGTTTTCTCGTAGATGTGTCCATATACTCTTGCTTTTTGTCGGCATGCTCCTCCGAGCAGCTGCCAAACGGGCACTCCAAGGGCCTTGCCTTTGATGTCCCACAGTGCGATGTCGATACCCGAGATAGCGGCATTAATCGCCATGCCTTGAAAATAGCTGAAGCGATGCATAACGTTCCAGTGATGCTCAATGTCAAAGGCCGACTTGCCTACAAGGTATTCGGCAAATCGGCTCACAGCCGTGGCGCCAGCTTCGATGTGGCCCCAGACTCCGGACTCTCCCCAACCCACCAATCCATCTTCAGTCTCGATACGCACAAATAGAAATTGTCCAACGTGGAGGGGAGTTACCGATTTGATGGGAGGAGCTGCAGTCATCGTTCGCTGTTGTGGAAAAGACAGAACGTATGTAGGTGTTGCGAAGTTGGCAGAATAAGCGGAGTTGTATCGAGTGCACTAATGTCTGCATATAGTGTTGAAACAGCAGACCTTCTACTATAATCGACATGGGAGTTGGGTGTTGACGGTCCTCCGCAACGCGGCTGAGCGGGCGTTTCGTGCTGCCGATGTAGTACCCTCGCCCCTTCCGAGCACGATCCTCCACGTTCGGCTCAGGTGCGGGGTCACGCCCAGCCGAACCCACGAACTCTTCGTCTGGTCCGATCTCGCATCACGAACGAGCTGCGTGGTATGCGATTATCTCATAATTATAAGGCGACAAATCAGGCCTACCTCCACGCGTTCTACCTGGGGACACCTAGCCTCATTCCCTAGAGTCGCCTCCTCCTCTGATATAGGTAGTGTATAAATAATACAATACAATGAAATGACTTGATGTTACGAAAGGAGATAGTTTACACAATAACATGCAGCATTACCACGAACAGATCTCCTTACAGGTAGAAGACACTTGCGATCGGATTCTCCCGCATCCCGCTTACCGTTTGTGGATGGCGAAAAGTAATATTGAGCAAGATGCAAGGTGGCTCTGGATACATGCGTCTCCTCGACATTGGAATACAGTACTCTATGCAAAAGCGGTCGAGTTTCTCCAGAGGGATCAATCATTCCTAGTGGCGTACTCTTTTGCATCATCACAGGCCGAGCCTGGCGGACATCCGCGTCTGATTTTGCGATCTTAAATTGCCCAAGCTGCACGATTCAATCGGTAAGTTCTGCATCCGATCCGGGAGCGTATGGAAGTCGGGTAACGAGCTAATGAATCTGCTGTCTGGGCTCTTTTTGACGCCATCGTGACAAGTAAGCGAAACTAAGTCTTTGTCTTCTCTGGCTACGACAAATACAGCAATAGTGTAGAATTCGTAACTCCAAGTATACTAACCAAAGAAATCGTGATAGCAATACACTTCTACGCCGTTCTTGTTTATCTTATATCGTTCTGGATCACCCGGAGGCTTTGCTGTAACTTTGACCCTTAAGTCAATCGTCGTTTCTCTATTCCGACATTCCTGTCGAAACCAGGTCTTGAACATCTTCAGAGATTGCTCAGTTATCGCGCCACCGTCACATATGATCTCCAAAGAGCGAATGTAAGGGTTGGCGAAGACAAGCTGCATTTCGGCGGAGTTGGCGAATGCGTCGACAGACTGCGAGTAATCATAGCGGAGGAAGAAGGCGCTCGGGACGGTGGGATTGAGGTGTAGTTCACGCAGCCCGTTGCAGAAAGATACGATGTCACCAAAGAAACGAGGCTCGGCCATCTCTTTACGAGATTTCCTCAGCGTAGCGGACAGACTCTGGGGATGCATGTGTGCCAGTCTCCGTACGTAGCTGTAGCCGGCTTTGTTCGGAAAGCTCTCGAGAAAATCGCGTAATCCCGAATAGCCCGGATAGCGGTACACAACGACCGTTTGCTGGAGATAAACAAGACTAGCTTCCTCAAGCGTTTGTCGGCAAAGGAGCAGACACCCAGGGAGACTCCGTGCAAGTAGGATGAATGGTGAGCCTGTGCAGTGGCGGGGCGTGTCGAATTTCGCGCATTTGATCAATATGTTTGAATAAATGTTGTTGCGAATTTCCAAAGGGATAGCATTGAGCAGCGTCGAATTCTCCATGATGGGGACAGGATTTCCGGTTGGACAACAACGATTGTAGAGTTCTTATTAGACGAAGGATAAAAGATTTACAGATCGCAGAGCCAGCTGCGCTTTGCCAAGGTTATAGTCTAGGCAGCAGGGCAGCAAGGCAGATAAGATCTAACACGCACAGTCACGCAAAGCGTGTTTGATCTGGTACCCTTCTTTGAATAATTAATACTGTAATACTCATGAAGGGAGCTACTATTAGAGTCCTACCTGCCAGCAGTCTATAATATCATGCGTGGATCCGCCAAGAGTGCTACACAAGAGGACGGAGTCCATTAATTACTACACTTATCAAGTAGGATACATCAAGGAGAGGAAACCAGTGTTAGCTTAAAGGGAGATGTCCTACTAGGGAGCAAGGCACAAGATGCACGTATATACCAATTAAGTATCATTCAAGCGCAACGCCTAGGAATGGAATATAGCAGCATTAGTGTCCATGATCGACCATATGTCAGTACCTATCGTGAAATGCTGTGATATCTGATCTTGTTTGCAATATGGCGTTCTTCATTGTCTGATGATCTTGCTGGAATCAAGCATGTGCTTGGCCGCTGTGGGCCTTGGTGGAAGCGGCATCACTTATTTGGGTAGCTAACATTATTGTCTGAAGATGCAAGTGTGCGACGAGCAAGAAGAGGTAGCGAGTTCATCGCTTCCTACTGGCTGATGTGGTTTCTATACCAAGTTGTCGTACAGACAGATCAGCTCTGCAGATACATACTACGGTTGCTGGCATAGGTAGTGTAGGTGGACCGGAAGACCTGGGTTTGTGTATTGAAAGTCTTGCGACCTCGCATTGGGCGGCACGAAAGTTGTTAGTAATTTAGAGGACTCTCATTTGCTTATAGGCAGTGTCCTGGGTTTCCTCTTCTTTGGTCCTAACGCCTGTCAACCTTAACCACCTACACTACTTATGCCAGCAAACGTAGTAGGTATGACCCTAAATACAGCATACGGGCATGTAGCGTTGACGATCTGTGAGCTGAACTTAAAGCACAGAGTCGTGAGATAATCCAACGCGTTCCAGCAAGTCATAAAGCCCATTTCCTACAACTCTCGTCCTATCTACATACTCTGCGGTCCATGTACAATGATGTAGGCATGTCAAACCTAGCCAGGTCCTAGTCTTGTGGTTGTGAGTGTGTGGAATGAACATCCTCTTCGGCCTGAGCTCGTCGTTCCTCTGCTTGATGGAGAAACGGAACCGGAAAGTTGAGATGCAAATGGCTGTCAGATTGTTGACCGCTTCTTTCTGGTGCGTCCCACACTGGAAGACTCCAGCTCTTCATGAACAGAATTGACCCCTCGCAGCGCTTCGACTGAATGCAAACGAAAATACGCTGGTGCTCCGTCGGGCATGTCTACTAGAGTTCCTGCTAGTGATGCCTCATAAGAGCGAGCCTCTATGTGAAGGGACGAACTCTGTAGCAGGCTTTCTAGGATCAACGCCTGTAGGCCCGACACTCCAAGGGCACGCCTTGCACCGCTACCGAGTAGTCGCTTGCAGCTTGTCCGCTTATGGTTTAGCTATCACGGGCCGTTGGCTGCCCATGTGGGCGCACCCGCCCGTCAACATTGCCGTCGCTCGTGTCCATCAAAGCCACAATTGGCTTTCTGGCATTCTGTCGACCGCTTGATGTTGACAAGTGATGCCTGGAGGCTAAGGCTCTCGAGGTCATGTCTCCACTTGTCACAGCAGGCACTCCCCGCTGATCAGGATCTATGCTCCCGAGGTTCCTTCGCCAATACCGTCGTTTTAATGCCGTCGCTGGTAGCGACCCGGAACAGTGACACTGGCCCTTACCTTTCAACTTGCTAGGCATTCCCAGCATGTGCAAGATGTATTATCTGCGGAACAGGAGCGTATGCTTCGGGCCGTCGACGGCTTCTCCAGCTACCACCCGGACGCTGCTCCGCATCTCAAACGCCATCATCACCGAGACGTTGCGCCTTCATCATCCTGCCTCAACCACCATGCGCATTGCCCCACTTGAGGACATGATCGTATGTACCTGGTACCTTCAACCCGTGCAACATAAGCGTCTTCTCCCCGCAATCTATCATTGGCCGCCCCTAGGCCCTCTGCACAGACACTGATTGCCTTCGGCCCGAATGCTGGCATTCAGTCTGGACCTCGTCAAAGATGGCGCCGGCTGTACGTCCTTTTCTATCGGCCAGCCAGCTGTTCAGGGCGACCTTTCGCCCTCACGGAGATGCACGTTGTTCTCGCCCAGATTATCACGGTGCGATGTGAACTTTGCCCCCAACTGTGACTAGGCCTTCTTCCACGTCCCGTGCGTCACTGCATATGGTGGCATATTGGAACTTGGCTCTTGCATTGCCTTTAGCTATACTGGCCAGTAGCGCACAACCTCGTCTCTTTCACTCAACGGACATCCTCGAGAAGGCTTGGACTTACGCTTCATTCCAGTCCCAATACGTCTTTCCTGACCATTGACCCTTTCTGTAGTCGCAGTAGTCGAATCCATACGGCAAAAACAAATTCAGGCTTGTGGAAAAGCAATAAAACCTCAGCAGTCAATCATCGCAGCCTTCACGCGAACGAAACCTACCTAGGTAGTGAACACCTCAACATTAGTGCCATGCGTGGGGAGAAACAGCAAACGCTTTACTGCATATTTAAATAGCGTCCACTGTTGGCGATCTAAGTCCGGATGTAAGTAGCCCACATACCAGGGAGGGAATTCAGGACACGACTGTTTGCGTGTCGCTACCTAGGCGCGCTCAAACCAGCACGGCAAATCACCATTCTTGGTCAGTCCGCACTACGCAAGCGGTGGTATAACTGGCTATTTATTGATATCATCAATGGCAGCCCACGTCTCATCTTGCCAGTGGTCTTTGATGCTCATTGACAACCCCCACACGATGTGCATTGTACCACTTTATTCCCGCTGTGCCCTAACTTCTAGCGCAACTGCAAGCAGTCAATGCAGCGATCCCCATGTGGATTCAAAGACCCTGTGATATGCGGGCTTCACCGTTAGTATCTTCGGGTGCCCGCACTGTCGATCAATCCGCGAAGGTTCTTTACAAGCGAGTGGAACCCTTTCGCTACCTTTTGCATCGCGCCAAAGTCTGTCGGATTGAGCGGCACAAACTAGGTGTCTTTGCCCCAACATTAATCGCAGTGCCATGCACATCTCATCGTCCTTCAAGCATGTAGATTGGGTGAGCCGACGCCGGCGGTAGTGTGTGTATAGGTTGGGCGATGTTGTGCTGCGAGCTTTCCTTCAGGTACTTGCTCTCTCACTAAGGTCAAACAATTCCTCCTCTATATACGTCGGCTTTGGGGAACTCTTGCTTCCACATGCTCGGCGTTGACTGCGAATTCATTAAGGACCTACAAACGTGTGTTCGCTGGTGCATTGTTGTTTAGCGGATAACTACGGACCAGCTCAATAACCCAGAGCGGGATATTTTGGGTGAACCCTTAGCTTGCATCCAGATTAATGAACCAGAGGCCAACGAGATTGAAAAAAAAAGGATACAGTGCAGTTGTCGAACTCAACAGCTGGCCGCAGCTGTCAGCTTGGGTATCGTTCCAGTTCCTGGGGAGACATTGTTCCGGTTCGGTTCGGCACGGCAATACCCGACACCTTACCTAGCATGCGGTATACAGTTGCGCTATTACCAGGCGCATGGCTACAAGTGGGTAGTATGTCGGGTCAATATTATACATGGCATGGCATCGGTGCGACATGCAAGGTAGTCGCAAATTGAAGCATATGAACAAAACTTGGCACCCTTCAGTTGACAAATCGGTCAATAACTCAATTGTCAAGTTCTGAGTTCGAGAATACATGCCTAAGTACATAGACACCATCTTGCATGTGCCAGTTCTAGTCTTGCTCATGAACACTCTAGATTGGATCGACGCGTCATCATGCACGGAGAAAGGTCACGACGATCGATTGACGACGGCAAAGTCTGGATAGAACCATGTAACACTTGTTATCTTCTGAATAGCAGACTGTATCATTAGCAACCTCACACTTACTCCGAAGGTGGCATGTAACATCTGACGATGAGATGACCGCTACTCGCATAGTTGCACCAGCGTCTGCACTGTGCAATTAATAGTTTTGTCATGTAAATCTACATGAGGACGGGACACGTCGCCAAGGTTGTATTTTTTTTCGTTACCGCGCTTCCTTGTTTAGAGGGTTCCTTTCGCTACCGCTGCATTCTGCTAGTGCCCGGCGTTTATGCAGCTTCACTTTTAGGCCGACAGGGACAAGAGATAAACTGCAGATGCAAGGCCATCCCTGATGCATGCCGATGGGCATCACGGCCGTAATTGAACAACATCTTCGATGAACATTTGACTCAGACCGCTCCTAGATCGACGTCTTGAAAAACACAGCTGATTGCGCAGCGTCGAACAGAAATAAGCACTATCCACGGTCTTTTGGTCATCGCTATCTCATCTTAAGCACGATACCGGAGTTTGGACAGGTAGGGTAAAGCCGTTTGACCACGATGAGTGACCCCTGGTACCAAAAAACCTCGTGCAGCCCAGTCCATCAGCCTTGCACGCTAAGTGGAGACGTCAGCTACGTCATTCCCATGCCTAGCCCGGAGGTGGTCGTCGCCGCCACTACCTAGTCCGACAACGCAAGTTTAGTCACCAAAAAAAGGCCTCATCGTCTTAAGCGGTCTATGCTCTGCCGGACCCACAGCACACCGTACACGGCGTACGGTGACCAGGGCATTACTAACCATTCCAACACTGTGCACACCGGCCCGAACGCCAAGGTAAGACCTAGCGTCACGGACCGAGAGGCTCTCTTCGAGCCGTTCAGCTCGGTTGTGCCCAACGGCAGATCTTGCGGGAGAATGCTCACCTTGAGGCGGTTACAGCTTGTCAAAAGCTGTGCACAATCAGCCGCAGACCATGTCTTGGATATCGGAAGTAAGACGCAATCACGACTGGTAGGCTGCATTTGAATCTCACTTCAATCAAAGCAAAGATCTTTGCTGCGCACTTTGCTGTAGAATAGTCATGCCATAACTATAAGAATGACGGCAACGATACATGCAGACGGCCTTGTTACTACCATGAAACTTGGCACCGATGCCACTGCTTGGTTTAGCAACATATTCGACGTCACCGTAATAAACGCTCGGCGACTCTCTTAGCCTCACGTCGTCGAGATGAATAGGCTTCTTAACGTGTTCACCGACAGACTTAGCGTCTACAAACTATAGCTCCGGTGAATCAGCACAGCAGAAGGCCGAGACACAGTAAATCTTCTCATCCACTACTACTGTACAGTCGATGAACCTCTTCCATCAGGTCCATACGTCACTTCTAAACTTATCAAGAGCTGCCTCATTCCTAAGGATTGGCTCGTCAACTCTGAGGACGTCAAGTTGGTAGTGCTACCTTGATAGCAAGCACAGAAGATCGATACGACTGCGAACATGGTCTACTCAAAAGACTCGACTTAGCGTTACAGCATTCTGACAGGGCCATTTGTCGAGAACAATCACTTAATTCTTGGATGATGCTTGAGTATCTATGGAAGCTCTCCTGAGAATGGAGTAGCGGCACTCAGGATAAGCATTTGCCTGCATGAGCAGGATCCGCCTGCATAGTCGCCTAATCTTGTGAGAAGCGGCATGAGGCCTTGTGTAGTACAAAACATGGGTAACGAAAAGAGGTAACGAGGCAATAGATCATAACGCGGTATTCTCTGTGTATTTTGCGCCCGGGACTCATAGTCCTACGTTGGCATCTATGCCAAACAGGACAATCGATTCGGCTCAGAAAGTGGGTTGTGTACAGAAAAGAAGGGGAATAGCCAGTAAATGCGAAAAGTGTTTAACCCTGACTCCGATGACAATGAGTGAAATAGGTTTCCAAAGATGAAGGAATGATGAGACAACTTCTCTGGTTGCCTTAAGACATCCTCTGGAACCTCATGATATTTCTTCGCAGCAACTGTATTGACTGCACGTAATTCCCCGTTCCATGACAACCCAATTCGACCAGGTCACACTTCGCACTCAGAAGCGTTGCGGTCCAGTGTCCTGGCAAAAGCCCCGATGTGTTCTTGTCCTGTTGTACCGATACACGCAGTTCGGCCGGTAAGTTCAATAGTCTCTCGATGGTCTCGAAGTGGTGGGTGATAGCGAGGACTAGTATCTTGACCTGAAGACTTAGCTCATACACCGGGAGGCCCGTGAGCTTGAGTTCAGAGAGAATCTGCATGCCGTTCGACCGGGAGACGAGGTTATAGGCATCTATCTCGCTAGCCAGATCTCCCAAGAATGTATTGAATAGGTCCACGATGCGGAAGAAGCACGATGTGAGGTTCAGCACGCATGAGAATGGGAGAGGAGAAAGCTCAGATGGCGTCTCATATCCGATGCTCGTCCCAGATCGGTCCGGCGAGGTTGGCGTTGTGCTACATGTATACAGGCTCTGGAGTATGTGTACATAGCTTTCTGTGCTCTGGAGGACGCCCCGTATAGCACTGGGCGTGTTTGAATTGTGGTTTTGTACTGCACCTATAGCGTTGCTCGTAGGAGTGACAAGTTGTGTGTTAAGTTGTCGACATAAGTCTAGATTGAGCTGAGAAAGTCGCATTTCGCATTCCATTTGGCGCGTGGGGTCTGGGACAAAGTCGCTGGCTCCTGTGAGCATGCAGCAGCCATCGGGATCTGGAGAAGCTAGTCCGGTTACTGACGTAGAAAACGCGTCTTGGGAGAAATTGAGTGTCTCTGTGTGAATGCCTTCAATCTCGAGATCTCTACAAATGGAGAAGTAGTCAATGTCTGCTATACCGTCGTCGTGAGTCTGGGTTTGTCCGGGTTCGTAGCTCGCATGTACGTGGTGAAAGAATCCGTAGTCTTCTAGTAGAGACAATGACTGCGTGCTTGTATCTTCTGTGACACGGTCTAGAGTCGTTGAAAGTGGACTCGCTTGTGTGGGTACGGCCGAGTGCTGCGGTTTACGTGCGTCCTCATTGTCCTGCAAGACACTATTCCTTGGTGTGCGGCCTCTAGGTCGAGTGTAGCCCATCACACAAGGTACTCCAGCGCGAAGACAGCGTGAACATGGTTGATTGGAGTCTTCTTTCGTTGGACAGCGTAGCTTTTGCTTTCGACAGCGGTCGCAGGATGAGCGCTTTGATGTTGAGAAGTAGACTGACGACATGTGTTGGAAAGTAGAAGAAAAGATCGCATACGAGCAGGTTTCCGGATGCGGTAGTCTCGTTGCTATTTATTTAGACGAAGTCTAGAGCATGCACGTGGTCGTGTGTACGAAGTACCGACATAGACAGGCAAGCGAGGAGACAGTAAGATGAGCAGCCTACGCTGTGGCCAACGAGCTTCCCGCGCTGGCACGGGAAGGCCCGCCTTCGGGTGACGGTTACGATCAAGTATCTACATGTAGCCCAACCTTTGTTCTCGGCCACATGAAGTGGTCGGCACCCCACCCCAATGGAGTATGGCCGACGACGTGCGGCACACCGGTTCGCGCGATCGATGTGCCGCACACTAATTTTTGACGTGTTGCACTAGTTCTCAACTAGTGTAAGGCACACCGTAGATCTCAAGACGGCCCGATAAGCTCAAAGGCAAAGGGGCAGGTACTCTGTGAAGTACCCTATCAGTACCCGCGGATCGCCAACGAGCATGTGACTCGCTAAGCTTATAGGACGTTAAATTTCACTTGTTTTCAAATAGGCACGGGGGTTTTTCTTTTTATTGACATTTCTACTGCGCACTCTCCGTGCCTAATTTTGTTGTAGAGACCCACCTAGGTAGCCATCTGATCAAGTGAAGTGAAGTGCTGTATAATGACCTCGTCGTTCACTACATTTTTCAAAGGATGGAACCCACGCGTTGATATCGCTGCTGGTAAACCATGGAGATGAGATTTACCTAGGTAATTAACTGCTCAGGTGTGCTTTTTTCTCGGTTCGATACTAAGTTCCCCGTTCAATCCACTCATAGTACACGCATCTGTGTCTTAGATAGCTGGAGTATCTGATCGGACGTGCGAGAGGTATGCCGCAATGCACCCCTGGCTTTTCTACTCAACGACCCTGATGGGAACGTGGGTATTGTCCTGGCGTTCTGTATAAACTCGCGTGGAGGTCACATAGGAGGCACCGGGATGGTACGCAGCTTGTGGGAAGTCTGAGAGCTTGTAATTTGCGACGTATCACACAGCCGCGGCATCATTGTATATGAGATAGTCAGTGTCCGCTCTATAGCTTCACTTTACGAGCATTGTACCTTGTTGGACAATCGTACCGTCTCAAGTTATGAACCACACGTAATTTGTAGTTACTACCCACATTTTCAGTCTCAGAAGTACCTGGGTATTGGATATGCTAGGCTCCATGCGGTGATCTGCGCGTACAGAACTATCTCTGCATGATAAGATCGCCAACTTATTTGTTCGATGACCGCTTGGATTCATTTGCATCAGCTCCTTCGTGCGCAACACGCAATGGCGAAGGCGGAGAAAGAGGCGCCGACTTGAGCCAAGATCTTAGGTAGATAAGGAGGATATCCCACCAAAGAGGGCCCCTATATATCGCCTTCGCTTCTCTAGTCTCAGGGAACGCGGCAGCATGCTTCCGATCACGCACCCTAGCCTACGCCATTTTTGAACAGAAATTCATACTTGCACGCTTTAGCCCTTGCAACTCTGCAAGAAAAGTAAACTACGCTCAGAGACATCTACTGTACAAGAGCGCTAGTCTTGGTAAAGACTTAGGGTCGCGCACGTCGGAGATTCTCACTGTCAGAGGAGGGCTTGCAATGCTAGACAGCAAGCGACCAGAATCGGTCCCCCGGTCCACTAGCATTGGCGGGGTCGTTGGAGATCTCCTACAGCCTGCATTACACTGTTTTTATCAGGTAAAACATCAAGGGTTCTTGGAACAAACAGCTTACTCTGGTGGCCTAGTGCGAACCGACGATCCAATCGTGCATCACAGCGTTGGTTGTGGCGTACTTGACATATTTCATACATGTCAATAGTACTCACGACACGTAGTGTGATCCAAAGGGAAGACAACATTGCTTCTCTACATTTTGGTACTGGTTGTTTCCGCGCCCCCTCACTCTCCTTTTCGACCTCACCACGTGCGCTTCACGATTGCTCGATCTGTAGATATTCAGATGTCAGAACTAATACCAAATTAGTCACATTATTCAGCATGCGCAGACATGGTTCCCTAGGCGTCATAGTCAACATACACCGCCAGAAGACAGAGTGTCACCGCCTCCTACGAACGCCCCGAGATAGCGCATTCTACTCCCACACTAGTCCTGGATACTGTCACACCGTCATCATACACTGCAGTATGATCCATGGCCACTACATATGCATGTTGCGTTGTTGCGGGGCGCCGACCTGCAGATACTGTCGGTGAACTAGGCCCGGCGCGCCAATTGGTATGTTTGAGGGTGAAGCTGCAGTAACGCTCGATGATGTGACTGCGGCAGATTTACTCACCGTACTCGATACAGATCTGGTCGAGACAATGGAACAGTCATGTTCAACGGACGACTTTTTGATTGTGGAGACTTTGACTGGCGGTCGTGTTCGTCTTGCATGGTTCCCGTACGCCGACACTAAGACATATAACTCGAGCACTGCACTCTCCATGATTCCTGTATCAAGTTCTGACGCCAGTATCGCCCATCCAAGTGCTGTATTTGCGGATGTTCTTGACGAGAGTGTTGACATTTCCCCAATAAGGTTAATTAGTCCTGGTTCGGCGAGAACCAAGTATAGACTCAGCTTCTTCTATAGTCACAATGTATTCATCAATCAGCACGCAATCGCAATCAGGATGCATGTCATCAGTGATGACGTGGGCAGTGGCGAGGATTTCCCGAAGCTAAGCATTATCCAGCCATGTCAGTGTCATTCACAGTGTCAGCCACTCACGTGCTGCGACAACTTCCCAAAAGACCCATATGTCGGTCAGCTTTCCGTTCTCAAATCACACTAGCTGAGATCTATCCGCAACAGATGTGCTTTGAATAAAGAACATCATCCCTAACACAATCCCTCCGAACCGCCCACTCATCAAATGGCTCGTGGTTGATATCACCATGTGTAGATTCCATCATATCAGAATGAGAAAGGCGACCTTTTCTCCATGAAAGAGTTCCTCAACGGGTTTCTGTAGACTATCGTACATTGGAATAATCTAACAAGTAACGATGCTAACAAGAGGCAAAATGTTGAGAGGTCCGTCTTCTACCCTAACGATGTACGACCCCCGCTTCTCTTCAAATAGCGGCGCAGTCTAAGGCTGATGAGAGAGAACCAATAGATGAATACACACACTGCGACTACCAAACTCATTATTCACATAGGCGCTTATACAGCACACTGAACTAACAATCTACAAACCCCTGGTCTAACAGTCTAAATCGAAAGCCTCACACTATACTTCTCCGCCGCTCTCCTCACACCCTCCACATCCACATCGCGACTCTCATCCGGCACAATCGTGCCCTCAAACGGCCCCCCAGCCTCCGAAATAAGCGCCTCCAGCCCATCCCCGCTCGAATACGCCCAGAACCTCACATAGCGATCCACAAACGCGACCGCAATCTGGGTGCCCGCCGGCACAAACACCGTCTCGCCCGCACGCACCAGCTGCGCACTCCCGTCCACAGTAACGCTAATTGCGCCGTCTAGCACGCAGTACACCTGGTGCGTCTTGTCAAACGCAAACGGCCTGCTGAGCACGGTGTTGGGCAGCCGGTTACTAGATTCGATGCTGGTGATTGCGAAGTTTCCGGTGGGCGCGCGCGACTGCGTGGTCGTGATGAAAGGGCGGCTGAGCACGCCTTCGAGCAGGTGGCACGGGCCGGTGTTGGCCTTGAGGTAGTACGGGACGCCGGGGGTCGGGGGCAGGACGGAGTTCTCGGGGCCCCAGGCGGAGAGAGAGCCGCCGGTGAAGCCGTGCTGGAAGACGACGTCGTGGTTCTCCTTGATTTCGCGCATCTTGGGGCCGAAGGTGTCGCGCGGGTTGCGGGTGTCGTGTTCGTTGACGACGACGCCGTCGTAGGGCTCGGCGACGAAGCGGAAGAAGTCTACCCACTGGCCAGGGGTAACGAGGCCGATGGTTTCGTTGATGCCATCGTCGAGGAGTTGGGGCTGGTGCACGATTGTGGGTGGGACGTAGCAGAAGTCGCCGGGCCCGAGGATTTTGCAGTCGTTGCCTGCCCAGACCTTCAGGTGTCCCTTTGTGCACATGAACACATCGTGCGCGAGGTTGTGGTAGTGGAAGCCGGGGGGATCGGCAACAGCGCCATCCATCCCGAAGACGGAGATCAGGCCCTCTGTCTCCTTTGCGGAGGCTAGGATGCGGACTGTCGATTTGGTGCCAGGTATTGTGATAGTCTCGCCTTCATATGCGGGAATGATGTAGGGTGAAGGCTTGCCGAGAGGCTGCTGCACGCGTGGAATTCCAGAGGCTTGAGAAACAACCATCTTGGTTGGAGTTTGTGTGGTGGTGGTGCTCATTTTGGGTTAGATGTTCATTCACTTTTCTCCTGACCTGTCGAATCTTCGTTGCTTTGACAAGGCACTGCGAAGAATATGTAACACCTGCAGTGACACTATATAGAGCAGAATAAGTAGCTGGGGATCTCCGTCAACGTGGAATACTAAGTAGTCCACCACGTGTAGAAGCCTCAATGTACGACATGTACGAGCCCAGCGGACCTCCACATTCCACAACGACAGACCTCGGAGTTGAGCACCATCCGCCCCCGGCTAGCACGATGCCATACCCCGCGGCCCGCGTATCCCCAGATCCAAACACGAGGGGCCAAGCACATTGAAATACGGTCGCGAAGCTTGTCTGGACCGCGATCTATGACGCGTAGTCATTTGATATAATCCCTGCATAGAGACGCTGATTGTGACCAAGCGCAAACGCACTCCTGCACGGGTTTCTGCTGGCGGTTACAGGCGCTGCTCCGGGGCGCATGTACGAGACGCTGAGGCAAGTGAGGTGATATTCGCCGTACGTAGATCTGCCTGGGCAGAAAAGTGGGGCCCGTCCACCGTCCACCGGTCTAGCCGCGGCTGCACATCAACCGCCGTCGTGGATCGTACAACACCTCAACGCCGACCGCACATCAAGCGCGGTAACAATGAAAGGCGTTGTATATAGACCAGACATAGCGTATTGCACACTCCAAGCCCCCACCCCCAGTCCTCCACCATGGCTTCCCTCCGCGTCCCCTACAAAACCGTCGACGACATCGACATCCCCACAGACATCTACCTGCCCGCCCCCAGCAGCACCCGCACCCGCCCCGCGCCCGTCCTCATCATGTAACACCACCCACAGCCACCTTGAACGCGGCTAAGCAACCCCCAAGGATCCACGGCGGCGCCTTCATGCTCGGCCACGCCGCCATGAACAACCCGGACCAGATCCGCGACTGCACGGCGCGCGGCTGGATCGTGCTCGCCATCGAGCACCGCCTGTGCCCCGGCGTGACGCTGCTCGACGGCCCGATGGCAGACGTGCGCGACGCGCTGACGTGGGCGCAGAGCGGCGGGCTGGCGGCCGCGCTGCGGCAGCACGGGTCGGGTGTCGAGGCGGATAGCACGCGCGTCATGGTCATGGGCACGAGTTCGGGCGGGCACCTGGCGCTGACGACGGTATGCGCACCGGTGTGTTCTGCGGGGGAAACGGTAGCTGATAGGACAGGACAGGCGTGGAATGCGCCGACGCCGCCGCTCGCGATCCTGGATTTCTACGGCGCAAAGTGCTTCGCGGATTACCACTGGACGACGCCGCTGACCGCGATGCCGGCGTCTTTCCACGACCCCGTGGATCCGGCCATTACTGCCGCGGTGCGCGCCGAGAAAACCATCTTCATCGGGGGCGCCTCGCTGGAGGGCCACTCCAAACCCGCTGCTGGATCGCCCACCCCTTCCTCATCTCCCCCTCCCAACCCCCCACCCCCAGCCAACGCTGCAGCCCCCCCGCCCGGCCCCCCTATGCCCCCGAACCCCTCTCCGCGACACATCTACACCATGCACGCCCTCGCCACCGCCACCCACCTCCCCCTCCTCCACCCCCCCTTCCCCTCCTCTCTGAACCTCATCGACCCCCTCCTAAACATCCACGCCGGCTGGCCACCCACCGCCATCGTGCACGGCACCGCCGATGCCATGATCCCTTTGCGGCTGAGCCAGGAGTTCGCGACTGCGCTGAGAGCGAAGGGGGGGAGAGTGGAAGTCTTTGAGGTCGAGGGGGCGGGGCATACGTTTTGTGGGGGTATGCAGAGGGGCGGCGAGGTGTGGGAGAGTCAGGCGAGGGGGTGGGAGTGGCTTGCTGAGCGGTTGGGGGAGAGCTATGTGGAGGGGTGAGGCGGGGTGGGTGGTGTACAGAGTAGTGTACAGAGTATACAGGGTGCTGTGTTGATAGGACACGGGTGCGTTGGGAGTTGTAACGATACAGGTAACAAGGGCCGCTAATACGGTTCTGTTTCCACTACAAGGGGTATAGGAGCATGAGGAAGGTTGGAACTAGTGTAAATCTTATTCCTGTAGGTCTTGTGTAAAGAATACTTGAGAATTACTTATTCTGGACCTGCTACAACCTACAAGTTTTGGTTAGCTATAGATAGATGTAAAGTAATAAGGGTAACGATTAGGCCTCAGTACCAAGCCACTAAACCAGCAAGCCTAGAAGGTATCACGACTTACTCTTGATAACGAGTCCTCGCGTGGTATAGTATATATTGTTGTTCCACCCCAAGTCACATGAGATAGGGCCTGACAGTAAGAAGTGAAAGCTTCGTGATCACCAACCTAGACCGCATCCAACTCGCCCGACCCATCCCCAGAACCCAGCCTTCCCACCTCCAATCCTCACAAGCAAGACCCCCTGCCGTGCTGCCAAACAATCCCACAATTTCCCACTCCCTATATCCCCCCGCAGCGAGCGAGTACGAGACCCGCACCACCCCCCAGTCCCAGTCCCGCCGGAACCAACCTCCCCTCCAGACCCCCGCGCGCGGTTCCGGGTACGAGTATTGTACGAAAGCGCCCTGTTACCAGGCATCGCTACCATCACGCTTTGAGGTCTGGTGTTAGTGCTTGATCAACGTCATTGTCTGACAATCAAAGGCATGCTCGATCAAACAAGATAGATTGCATCTACTAGCATAGAACATGGATGTCTAGCGGTGCTTTCCCTCGTGGTGCGGGATGCCTATACAATACAATAGGAATTTCCGGATTCTGGATTCCGGATTCTGGATTCTGGGTTCTGGGTTCTGGGTTCTGGCATCGTGCTAGCCTGACTCTGCAGGGCACGGCCAAGTCCACGCCGGCCGGTTCCGCAGGGAACGGGTCGGGGATGCATCAGCGCTCCATACAGCCGCAATCCTGCTGTATACTTACTTACGATCCCAGGGTGTTGTGCGTACACCCGCGAGTCAGGGTATTGTACGTACCGTACAGCAACGCACGTGTTGTACGCACAGCCGCAACCCAGGTAGGTTATTGTACGCACAGCCGCGTGTCCGCACATCCGCAACCCAGGTTATCGTTATCGTACATACACATACACCCGCCGCCCACCCGCCGCCGACCCGCAGCCCCCACGCGCGCCGTGGAAACCGATGTACGAGCACCCCCGTACAACGCCCTGCGGGGCCCCGAAGTGGAGACCGCCGACGCCGAGCATCACCGACCACACTCCCAAGGCGCATGGACTTCGTACAGGGCGCGTGCGAAGTACAATACCTACATGTCGGGCTAAGACAGTGCGGCGGGGCGGGATGCGTGCAGCGCTTGGGTCAGCTGTTGATGGATGGATGGATGCGCGTGAGCCGACAGCTGGGCGGATGCGCCGGGGACACTGCGAGCATGGCACGGGTGTTGCGAGCGTGGACAGGGACGGTAGGTAGCTGAGAAATCGCTTTTCGAACGCCTCTAAATGGTATCTAATGCAAGCCCCGGTTCGCTTCACTTCACCTCCTACCACCACCACCCCTGCCCCTCCCGCCACCGCCCCTGCCCCCCCCTCCCCCTCCCCGCCCAAACCCGCCCCTACCCCTCGGACTTTTCCCCTTCTCCACGCGCCCGCTCGGCCCACGCTGCTTCTCCGCGCCCAGCGGCCTGCGCTGCGTGTGTGCGCCGCCGCGGCCCATGCCGGACCCAGACTTGGCTTTGCGATCGACATCGGCGCCGTCGTCTTCCATGTCCATGTCGTCGTCGTCCTTGGTGCGTTTGTTGCTGAACTTGAGTTTGTTGCGCTGACCGCGCTGGGCGGCGTCGCGGCCGCGGATGGCGTCAACGTAGGCGTTGATGCCGGCTTCGAGGCCGAGGGCGGAGTCGTCGATGTCGACGTCCATGTCGACGTCGGCGTCGTTCTTGCTGGGCTTCTTGAACTTGACGGCGGTGTCGGTGTCGGAGTCGCCGAGGACGAGCTTGCCGTCTTCGTTGGTGCGGGCCGCGGTGCGCTTGGCGGGTTGTTGGCGCTGGCGCAGCGGCTTGGTGGAGGAGATGTTGCCGAGGGCTTTCTTGGAGAGGAGGTCGAGCGGCTCGTCTTCGTCTTCGACGATGTACGTCTTGGGCTTGCCGGCGCGCTGCTTGCCCTGTGTCTTGACGAACTCGTCCTCGGAGTCGCCCTCTTCACTGCCCTCGCTGTCACTTCCATACACAGCCTGATCATACTCGCTTTCGAACTTGCCCTTGGGCTTCTCGGCAGCGTTCTCGCCGTCTTCTTCGGCTTGCAGCTTCTTCTTCTTGCGCTGCTCGCGTGTCTTACGGATGTTGACAATGAGCTTGCGGTCTTCGGGAGGACAAGCGCGCTCAACCTCTTCAGCACCGAATTTTCGCACCAAACGCTCGACAATGTGCTTCACCTTTGCCTTGAAATGCGCCTTGTGCTCGTGACTCCAGACCATCAGGTTCTTCAACAGGTTCTGCAGACGGGGGCGGACAAGGGGCGCGGGGAGCGTAAGGACCTCGACCTTGACGAAGCCGAGCACACTCTGAACGATCTCCCTGTTGGGGTTTTGAAGGAAGATGTCCATAAGCTCGAGCAGGTTTGTGATTGTCTCGTCCGAGATTCTGTCGTGGAACTGAAACAAGATGCGAGTGACGGCGGTGATGGATGCAGAGATCATGTGAGGTGTTGTAGCAGCCAGACCAGCCGAGACCATCGTGAAGTACTCCTCAAGCGAGGCCTCAACAGTGGGCGCATCCGCAGGCATGTTGGGCACTTTAGTCTGCACGACCTGGCCGCCTTCGGCCATCTTCTCGCCCATAGCTACAAGCAGGTTGTACGCAGCCTCGCGTGCCTTCTCGTTAGTCTCCTTAGCGGAGATAACGACCTCAGACAGAACCGAAGGGATGAAGTGCAGATCGGTCTGCGGCAGGTACTCGATGACCTGCGACATCGCAAGCAGTCGGTCGCGGCGCGCGGGGCCTGTGACCTTCTCAGAGCTCTGCAGCAGCAACTGCTGCAGCTCGCCGTTGCGTGCCTGCAGGGCCGACTTGCCGACCTCGGACTCCGAGAGGCGAGGAATCAGCTTGTAGGCCTTCTTCTGGAGCTGGGGGTCGTCGTCCTTGTTGATCATGATCTCAGACATGCGGAAGAGCGAGCCGTAGCTGTCTCTGGGCAGGTAGAGGGCGATTGTGATGATCAGGTCCATCAGCGTGTGGCTCATGGGCGGCATCTTGTTCGCGCCCTTGCCCTGCTTCTGCTTATCGGCCTGTGTCTGGGGGCCGGCTTCGGGAATGGCCTGCTCGAGGTTCGAGGCTACGCGCTCGAAAGTCTCAATCAGCTCTTTCTCGGGAATGATGCTCAAGAAAGCATTGATAGCCTTAAGGATGGTGCCGCGGTATTGCGGCAGTGTCTGGCTGTAGACGTTGAACAGAACTGCGAGCATGTTGCTTGCAAAGCTAGCCAAATGCTCAAGGTTCTTCTGCGCGTCGGCCTTGGATACGCGAAGCTGCTTGACAAGATCGTCGTCGCCGTCCAGCTCCACAATCGTCTTGTTGCTGTCAACGAGGTTCTGCAGCGCCTTGCAGATGTCTGTGCGCAGGTCGGCCTGTCCGTAGAGCAGGTTGGCCAGCATTTCGCAGAACGACTGATCGAAAGCCTCGCTCAAGTCCAGCGGCAGATCGCAGTAGCCCGGGAGAATCGACCAGATCTGCTGTACGACTGTCTCGAACACCTTGATCTCCATCGTCTTCTCTCTCTGTCCGTGTTCGATAACCCTCTGGAACAGCTGCTCACTGAGCGGGACCATCACGGATCGGAAATGCGCAAGCTTGGTGTTGTGCACGGCGTCGCGGAGAAGCGGCAGCATCCAGACACGACCAGTCTGGCCCGGCGGGGGTCGCGGAAGGTTCAAGGGGAGAACCTCAAGCACGGCGTCGGGGCCCATGGAAGCAATCGCCCTCGAGATGACGGCGTCGGCCTCCTTCTTTCCGGAGAAAGTCTCGTTGCTCCTTAGATCGCCAACGACCCTCAGAACAGGCCTCAGAATGGGCTCTGATCGCCATCTGAGCGTCTCGAACATAGCGGACAGCATGTTGAAAACCTCCATCCACGCAGACTGGAACTTAACAGTCAGCAAATTCTGAGCGATCTTTGCGACCTTTTCCAGAGTCTTCTCGTCGTAGATAGACGGCTCCAGAATAACGCTGTCGGGGATCAGATTGACGAGGAATGAGATCAGGCACTCGGACGCCGAAACGCGAATATTGTGCGACGACGAAACCAAGAACTCAGACACCATGGTGAACAGCTCCGGGAGCTTCGCGAACGTGTCCTCGGGCTCGAGCTGGGCGGCGACCTCGTAGCCGCGCGATATAACGGCAATCCAGGGCGGCAGCAGCTGCGAGTCGTTCTTCGACGGCTGCAGCTCGGAGATGACCTCCAGCAGGCGGGGGAGTTTCGCAGATGCAACCTCGTCGGCAGCCATGCCGGCGAAAATGACCTCGAAGATCTCGAACGCCGCCATAGTCAGGAACTCGTTGGTCGACTTGGAGATGTTCAGCAGCAACTCGCAGAGCACGTCCATCTTGCGGCTCGGCCAGCCACCCGACGCAGTGGCAATCGTCTTGATGAGCTGCAGCGCGTGAATGAGATCCGGGTCCTTGCTCTCCGCGTTCTTGCCGGCCTTGCCCTTCTTCATCTTCGCAGCCAAGACAGCAATATCGTTGAGCACCTTCAGCGCCGTCTCGGCGCACATATCCGCCGCGGGGTGGTCGAGCGACGGGCTGGGCGGCGGGTTAGCCAGGACCTTTGCCAGGGCCTCCTGCGCCCGCTTGCGGACCTTGGGCCGGTGGTCGACGGAAATCTGCAGCAGGCCGGCGACGGCGCGGCGCGGGCTGATGGTCGTCTGCGGCAGCTCCCAGGCCTGCGCGTCCTGCACGACGAGCAGCGACTCGAGACATCCTATCGACGAGCGCAGGAACGGCGCGTCGGCGTCTTGGTGTGTGAGGGCCGGCGCAAGGCTCGTGATGATCTCTGTGAACTTGGAGCGTAGCAGCGGGGCGGGGACGTGTGGGGTAACGAGGTCGAGCAGGTACACTACGGCGGTCGCAGTTTCCTTGTTGGCGAGGCCCTGGTCGGTGATCTGGCGGCCGAGCAGCGAGAGCAGGGCGGCGAAGTACGCGGTCGGCGTGAATTCTGAGTTTTGCTGGCGGAGCGTATCCTCGATGGCGGCAAGCACCACTTGGGACTGTGCCGGTCAGTGCTGCAGGACATGGGAGGGAAAATTTAGACGCACCTGCTGCACGCTCTGCAGCTTCGGGCTCGCCCGGATTTTGGTCAATCTCTCCTCGAGCGACATCTTGGAGGCTGTCGTTGCGGAGAGGCGTGCGGGCTACCTCGAACAAAATTATGAATTTAGACAGGCTAATCGATAACGGTGGGTCTTTCCCTGGGTGGCCGCGGTCCGTCCTGATTGGCTGCAGCCCAACCACACCACCGAACGTCTGTTGACGTGGAAAACGCACCAAATATCTCCAATGCAGGATATGTAGCAGTCTACTGCGTCCATGCGTATCTTATAGCTATTCGAAACGACACACCAACGCAACAAAATTACATCATCTACAACAGCCAGTCTACCTGACCAAATAAACAAGGGTATAGACTAACACCGCGCCCACTAGTGTACAGCACAAACAGCCTCCCTTGTCGCGACACATATATTACAATCCTCCTTTCCAACGCGCTTCATACAAACCCGTGATTACGCGACGCTTTTCCAATCCCTTCCTCTCCATACACGGTACCACCCACCAAACCAAGACAACGCTCACTCCTCGAAGCAACGCTTACTCCTCCACAAGCACATCTCCCACCCCTCCCCTCCCCTTAACGCTATTCTTACTACTCTTCTTGCTAATACTCATGAAACTGAGCCGCTTCTTGACACTCCCCATGCGATGCGCGCCGCCCTCCTTCTCGCCCTTACTGCGCTCGCTGCGTCCGGTCTCGGGCCTGGACTTCTGGCTCGCGGCGCGCGTCAAGCCGCCGCCGACGTGCTCGCTGCTGGCGAAATCGGGGAGCGCTTCGAGCGGCGACGAGGGGCGCAGGAAGCTCAGGCTGAGGCGCGAGCGCGCCGTGTCTTTGGAGCGGCTGCGGCTGTGCGACGAGGTCGTTGTCGAGTCGGTGTCGGAGGCGCGTTGGGGGAGGGCGGTGAGGTCGTCTTTCTGTGGCGAGGGGATTGGCGGCGAGTCACCGGTGATGGTGCCTTTGGTGAGGAAGCTGAGACTCATGCGTTTCTTGTCGTGGCGGTCCGGGCGCGATTCGCTGGTCGCGGAGCGGAGGCGGGTGCCGTTTGGTTGCTGGGAGGGCGTGGGGCTGGCGACTTGCGAGCGCGAGGTCGCGGCTACGAGCCATGAGCCTGTGGGAGATCGGGCATGCATTACTGTGTTGGGTGGTGCGAGGATCTCGAGCTCTCTGTGGAAGGAAGTCTCAAACCCTGGAAATGATGTCAGTTAAGCTATTTCGAGCATTGTGCAGAGACTTACGCTGCGATAGGTCCGACTTCGTCGCCTGCTGAGCAGGCCTAGTGTACATAGCCAGACAACGTCTGATGACCAGCGCGTAATCAACCAAGCTGACCCGCAATGCGTTCTCCAGCGGATTCGGCGGGTCGATCTGAGGCTCCTCATCCTCGTCTTCTTCCATCGAGCGCCGTGGATTTGGCAGGAGATCATGGTAGTTGGCAACGCATCCCTCAATATGTGTGTCAACGGCATACATGAGCTCTTGAGTGAGGGTGTTGAACACCGTATCATCCCCATCAGCGATCTTCTTCTCGAGAGCCGCGATCTCCACAGCCTTGCGTGTGGTACGCTCAATAGCCGTCTGCAGAGGGCTCAGGGTGATGGTCCCAACAGCAACAATCTCGCTTCGCCGCAGGATGGTGGGGAAAGACTCCGCCGTGGTGTACAAAGTCTTCTCCACGGTATTGTCACTGGTCGTGGCGCGAGACGGCGAGCGACGAGATGCCGAAGTGAAATGTGACGGCCGCGACAGGAGGTGGTAGTCCCGAACAGACTGCGACACCTTGGCTCGTTGGTAGATCGGATGTGTGAGGTCCTTCTGTGGGCTGACGGGGTAGATCTGCAAGTATTGGCCTTCAACATCTTGCTCGGCACCAGGGTTTAATATCTGCGCCGAGGGATGCTGCTCTTGCATGCGATCAGTGAAAGACGCCAATCGATCTGTAGCAGAGCCCTCGAAGATGAACTGCTTGTCACGGAGCCCCGCGGGGAACCCAAGGCCTTTGTACACGACTCGGAAGTAGCGTGGATTGGGTCGCTGGCCCTTTGCTATGCTCTCATGAATCTTCGCAACCGCATGCTGAGTTCTAGCCAGCTTGACAAAGTCGAAGACGTTGCGCTCGTATTGGGACGCCAGCTCGGCATACGCACCAAGTGCATTGTCCCATGACTGACCGTTCTCAAAGTGCTCGATCATCTGGAAGTATAGTTGCTCCTTGCGCTCGAACGAAGACTGTGGCGGCATGTCGGGCTCCGTCAATGGGTCGGCAGTAGAATTGGGATCCCATTCGTACAGTTCGGCATGCATGCGCAGAGCGAGGCCGGCTTCGGTATGGTTGTTGGCTTCAACTTGCAGGTCTACCAGCTGGTGGACGTAGCGAATGTACATGTCCTCTTTCTGCATGTCTTTCAGGAACGTCATAAGGTGCAGCGTATCCATGATGTGGAAGATCTCGCCTGTGGCTTCGGTGCTGTGCACGGCGACGAGTAGGTCCATCAAGTCGTCGATGGTGGCGATGAGTCCCTTCAGCGCAGCAAGCAGTGGCTCGTTGGGATCCTGGGAAAGAGGCTCAAACAGCTCCACAAGCTCTTGGATGAAGTGCTTCTGGAGCACTGACTCGGTGAGATGCTTCGTCTTGAACAGATGGTCCAGGCAATCGATCATCTCGGCCTGGATCAGCGACAGATCTTCGCTGAGCGTCCATTCGCTGACGATCATGGTCTGCAGGACCTCAATCGCAACGCTGCGCAGCCCTTCATGGACGCTGAGACACAGCTCCACGATCGGTGCAACCAAGCCAGGCACGTACTGCACCTGGAAGCCACCCATCTTCTCCAGACCATATTGGCTCTTCTCCTCTATGCTCGCTTCCCAGCCAATTGCCTCCCAGCTGCGTTGCAACAGCTCGGCACCGTGCTCCCGGACATCGCCCGCAATCTTCCACACAGCCCTTCGTTTCTGCTCCGGGAAGGTCTCTAACGCAAGTGCATCGCTGCCGACAAGCTTCAGCAGAGCATCAAAGAACGCTCGCCAGAGGTCGGTATTGAACTGGCCCGCCTCGTCTGGAAGCGGAAGGAACGAGTCAGTCAAGATGCTAGACATCTTTGAAAGCGCGCGCATAGTGGCCTTGTGGTGGTATATATGCACACTCAACCAAGAGCTCGGGAACGCTTCGCAGTCGAGAATGGAGATGTAGACCTGCAGAACAGAGAACAAGAACTCAGCGGTCTCTTCCTTCTGCCAGTCGAGGTGTATCATTGTCGGCAAGCTAGACATGGCGGCGAGGACAGCAGAGATCTCGATCATCGCTTCGTCGAAGTTTGCCTCGGTGGTCGTTGGCCGCGATTGGAACGGATACGATGTCGGAAACAGAAGCGAAAGGGATTTCTTGGGCGCTCGCGGGGTCGCTTGGATCGCGCGGTACGAGTGAACCAGCTTGGGCATGTAGTCAGCCGCCTCTTGGCCCAGCTCCTCCACTTGCAATGCCACCACTGAGCAGCACAGCCGTACTTGGTCCTTCCATTGGTCTGTCACGGTTTCAACTTGGCCCCAGTATGGAGCAAGCCATGTGACTGTCTTCCTGAGCAGACGCTTTCGAGTATCTGGTGTGCGGAAAATCGAGAGTCCAGAGATGTGATGTATCAGCAGCAGTTTGTACAGTACAAGCTTGCCCTGTACGTCAGCGCATGCCTCGATGAAGTTTTCTGCGATCTTGAAGATGTCCATGTTCGGCATGCAGCCTTCCAGTTCTGGCAGCCACGAGTGGAAATTCTGAACCAGCAGGGTCTTGGTGCCAATGAGCACCGGAGATGGGTTTTTCATCAAGTGCTCGAGAGAGCCAAACAGACTCTTCAGCTCTTTCGCGAACTGGGTGCGGTCTTTGATGCCGATGCTTTCCTCCTTGGCTCTCTGCTTCTCTCGCGCGTTCACAAGGAACTTCACAACAAGATTCCCAACCTTGAAGGTCGCTCGTAAGCGGCGCGAGCTCTCGGACTCGAGAGGCCTGGCTAACAGCCGTCCAAAGCTTTGTGTCAGACAAGACGTCACCAGCGAATGAAACACCTTTGTCCTTGCGTACTGATCGACCAAAGGCTCCAGGTTGAAACGTCGATCGTGGACAATACCCAGAACAATCACTACAGCGTTGAAGATGAGGTCCTCGTACTCGTCACTGCCAGCATAGTGACTCTGGATAGCGAAGAGCGCATCAAATACCTCACTCAGCAACTTCACAATCTCAATCTCGGGCACGAAGTTGAAGCGGCGAAGCAACCCCACGAGTTCGCCTGGTGGCTGTTCTTGCCACTTGATGAGTCCGAGGATGGTAGGATCTTGCGAGTATTTCGTACTGCACAGGAAGGTCTTGACGTGTACAGCCGCCATCGGGCCGCCCATGACATGCTCGTCTTTCTTCTTCGCACTCCAAGGCAGCCCGAGGTAGGCGCCTTTTCCTGCGATTATTCCGGATGTATACTCATCGTACCGATACAGGGACAGGGCGTGGTCGCCATCTCGGAGAAAGGCGTCCTTGCTCCATAGTGGCATCCAACACAGCGCAAAGGGAAATCCTGGTGCATCTGCCACGCTCATAACCAGGTGAGATCCGGGTACGTCTTGTGGGTCGATGGCGAGTCGAATGGTGGCATTCCATCCTTCACCTCTCTCGACTGCTGTCGTACGCCAAGCAGTGTGTCCGGTGCTGTTAGTAGACGGATAGATGCAGCCCTCGATCCTCTCGCCAGAGCTTTTGCGGACTTCGAGAGTCAACTGCAGACTCTCCATGGGTGATGACTGCACAAGGGGTACGGTTCCACTTTTGGGATGAGCCAGGAAGGCATTCTTGGGCAAAACGGGCGCTCCAAGTGTCACGTATATGTCGCTACGTGGCTTCGTCGGTGCACCTGAGAACCCAATCTTTCTGGTCTGCTTGATGTGGTGCAGCAATGTGGGCGTCTTCTCGATGAGCCCCTCAGCATCTGGGTGAACGAAGGCCTTGAGGTGTACGGCAAGACTGTCGATGTCGCCGTTGCGTCTGTACTTTCCGCTCGCACTAGGATACAGCTCGGGCAGTACATCATCCCAGCCAGCGTCCTCTTCTGCGCCCGCGTCAGATGAGCGAGACGTAGTCCACAGAGTGACGGTGTGATCAGCCTCGCCTACATTCTTCATGACCTGGTTAACGCGCAAAACACCAACGGCCACGGCTCTTTTCAACGTCTTCTGGTCTCTTGAAGGCATCCTGTTTTTAGTAGCAGCGGACCCAGGTCTATCTTCGAAGGTATTAGATCTTTGCAGGTCAGGGCTTGTGTGACGCCCTTCAGGCACGTCAGTCATTGTTGTGGATGTCGTAGTGGTAGCATTGGTCCTCGACATGGTGGCGAACGAGTCCTTTCTCTTGGAGCCAAACATGGCGCTTCGTCTGCCGCTCTTGATACTTCCTTGCTGCGAAGGCTGTACGCCGGAGCTGCTTGCGTTGGCACTGTCTTTGGGCGCGCCAGACTTTTCCTGTGCGACTGTGCGTATTGGGTCGTTGATCAGCAGTCTGAAGACGAGGTATATGCTTGATCCTGAGCCAGCACCTTCACCAATGTCAGTCGAGCTGAGGCCTACAATAAGTGAGCGCAGCTTGTCGCCGGCTAGCGAGACAGATGACCCGTCTCGTGCCGTCAGATCGAACGAGTATGCCTCTGACAGGGGCTGTGGCGCCGTGCCCGGCATCTTCAGACATAGGTACATGCTCAATTGCGCAGCGCCTGGTACGACATCGCCTGCCACGCGCCTCAGGCTGACGAACAGGTGGTGCAGATTGTGCTCGTCTGCCTGCGGCATGGGCCGACTGTCCAGCAGGCTCATCATGGACTGCAACTTTGTGGTCTCAATAGCCGAGTCGTCGCCAGTCAGGATGCGACCGCGCTGCGAGGGGCTGCGCACAATGACGTCGCCTGACAGCAGCTTGTTGCCTGCGACCAGGTCCCAGACGGTGGCCTCGCGCACCTTCTCGAGCTCCTTTGCAGTGAGCACCTTGTGCAGCAGCTGGCGGCGGGCCGTGTCGAGGCGGTTGACCAGCGACGACATCCTGTCCAGCAGAGTGTACTCGCGCGCCAGCAGCAGCTCGTGGACCTTGGTGGAGTGCCATTCGCGCAGACACGAGGCAATCTCGTCGACCAGCGGCTCCTGCGACGACGTCGGCGTCTCGTCGCCAATCTTCAGCATGGGCACGGGCGCGGGCGGGCGGGGAGCGGCGGGGTCGGAGACGGGCGACAGGGGCAGCATCAGCTGCTGCAGGCGGTCGTCGCGCGAGGTCCACTGCGAGCCGTGGCTGGTGGTGCGCTTGCGGTGGCCGCGGACGGCGGGCGGGGCCGGCACGACGTCGCCCGAGGTCGCGCGCGTGCTCTCGGTCGGGGTGAGTACGCCGTTGGGGTGGTCGCCCTGGGCGGACTCGGTGCGGGCGTCGAGGGGCTGCGGGGGCTTTGCGTCGCCCAGCACCTCGCGCACCTCGACGCAGGCGCGCGGGAAGATGCCCGAGAAGACGCGGGCCTCGAGGGTCTGCCCCTTGACGCTCGTCAGGCCGGCCAGCAGCGACGGCGGGGCGACCAGGTAGCCGCGGAACCAGGCCCCCTCAGCGCCGCCCTGCTCGATGATGTACAGCTCGTCGCCGATCTCGAGCGGCAGGTCGGCCGGCGACGACGGCTGGAAGGGGTGGGTGCATATTGCAAAGGCGATCCGCGGGAGCGGCCTCCAGCTCGGCATGGCACCGGTCGGGGGCTATCGAGGGGGATGGGGGCGCGCGGGCATCACTGCCGGCGCAGCGGTCGGGGGCGTGGGCGGGCGGCGCAATGCGGGCGGTGGGCGTGCGCGATGGGCTCATGTGCTGTGGACGGGTGTGCGACGGCGGCGGGCGACGGGCGACGGGCTGCAGTGCGACGGGCTGCGGGCTGCGGTGCGACGGTGCTGCTGCAGCAGTTTCAGCGCAGTTGAGATGCCCCTGATAGGCGTGCCTGGGCGCTGGCACGGGGCGGCGGCGGAATTGGCTCGCAGCGGGCGGGCGTCGAGCGCAGGAGTCAGACAGCAATGGCAGCGCAGTGGCAGCGCGCGTGTCGGAGGAGCACGACAGGCGAACGGCGTGGTGCGACGGTGCGACGGCTGCTGGGCGCGCGCTCGAAAAGTCACGACGATCCGCCTGGCGTTCCTGCAGTTCACGGACCGTTTCACGCCAGCATGCAGTCGCGCTGCCCTGCGCGTCTGTCGGCTGTCACCATCACCCTCGCCCACGCTTCTGGTGAAATCGTGGGGCAGTTGCCTGTCTGCGCCTCTGCGACGCGCAGCACCCACACGCAGCAATTTGCCATGCCAGCGACCAGATCGCCAGTGTCACGCCCCTCCACCTCATCTCGAGAGCTGCCCCGTTCGGCTGCGCACCCCTGTCCGAAGATGTGGACGCGCATCTCCCGCCGCCCTTATGGCCTTTGGGCGGCGTCTGAATCATGCCACTCTAACCCACGTGGCTGACTCGACCTGTGGCCTCGCTGTCCAAAAGACCGCAACGAGGTGTGTATCTGTGCTGGACACCACGTTCGCAGTCCTCCAGCACAGCTTTCAGCAGCGCAGACCCACAGCCAGATATGCATCAACGACTCGCAGCTATGACCCCAGCCAGGAGCGACGCACCCGGGCCCAAAACGTCCTCCTAACTACATAGGTACTTCGCTTAGACCAGGAGGTCGCCCGTGCCTGGAGAGCTGCTCAACGTCGATGCTAGAGAGTTTAGACGCTTGCCGGAGCATTTCCGTAGCCCGTGTTGTGCGTGCTCGCGCCTCTCAACGCAACCTAATTGTAATTGCTTCACATCGCCATCTCTTCAGCATGCAGTCGTGGCTGTGGAGCTGGTAGATACCGGTGTTACTTTTGCGGTCGTTCATCGACGTGCGCGTCACAACAAGACTCGTCCTGTGGCCTGTGGGGCTGACAGGTGCTGCACGCTTGTTGCATGCTTTCCGATGTTTTCGCGTTGTGCCTGGCCCGTGAGCGTGCAGCTGAGACCTCACGTTCTCCACCACCGCCGCGTCACGTTGTTTTGAGCACAACGGGTGTGGCTGTGATTCATGAGCTGTGGGTTAAATTTGCTCATCAGTCTTTGTGACAGCAATCGTACACAATCTTGACATAATCTATGCAAAGTGATAGACTGTCTAATCTGGCAAGGTACTGCGTCCTGCCAGCACTGACAGGTGGCTGAGCAGAACACCGCACCCAGGCATGTCCTTTTTTGGTAGATTTGAAGGACGGAGGTTTCTTTGGAGCAGCCGATAAACTTCAAATTACGACTGGAAATATCCACCCAAGCGTGACTGCACTGATAAGGAAGCTTGTTGTTGCTGTTATTGATACTTAGTGTCTGGCCTCACGAAGTACATATGTACATGCTGCGGCTGAGTTTCGTCGATGAGTAAAGAAGCTCACTACACAAGAGCAGTGCAATAGGCAACAGCAGTTAATGAGCGATGGTTGTTGATTTTTGCAAACAGGTGAAGCTAGCGAATAGTAGAGTTGTCTCTACCATTTCGTATTTCCAAACTGCCTGGCTCCCGGTCGGCAGTGGTAGCAGTAGAACTTGGGTTTGTTTGTTTACGAACACTTAGTCACCCATAACTAAACAGAAGTGGACTAGCTCCAACCTTGTCTTTCCCTGCGGAGCGCAGCATTTTCGCCCGGTGAACAAAGATCTCAAGAGTTTCAGGTATCATGAGTTATTGATGGTCTTTTTGTAGTGTTGATGCTTTTCTTGTTGCTCTTGCTATCATTCGCGTTCTTCTTTCGAATCAAGAGAGCTGCGCCTTCCTTTCTGCTCAGTCTAACCTCTCGACATGACCCTGCCTGCCTCCTATGGCACTTCATCCAGTAGCGTCTGTTTCTTCCTTTCTATCATCTTCTTTTCATTTCCCCTCACCAGGGCTGAGTCTCTCGGCATGGTAGGACTTGATGTGCAGCATGCGAGGCTGAGTCCGATTGGCTCTTCCAAGCCACCTCGAAGCGCTGACGGATGCCTTGGCCTGCACGTCGCCTCAGCCTGATCAAGATGACAACAGTCTTCAGCTCTCGTTGTCTTTACACTCAGCCTGGCTGCTATCACAACTGCGCACACGACGGCCACGACAGCAACACACACGCTCGCAACCTGTTCAGAGGATTGAGACTCGGTCACTCGATCTTTCATGTGGCTCGCGAACAAGTGGGACTCCCAGAAATCCGCGGTATATCCTGACGCAGGTCTTGCGGTATGTTCGAATAATTGGTCCAGTGCTTCGTGGGCCCAGCACTCGGGATGTCGGTATGTAGCGCCGCGCGCGATGCAGTCTACGACCTTCGATACCAAGAGCAAGGAACCTCCAAGCTATTCTATCCCGTTGACAGGCTACGAGGCTATTTCACATACGACAAAGTGAGAGAGATCCTAGCTTGTACCTGTTCATCATGCCGAGAAGATTTGCGGATGTTTGACAACGGGACTGAGCCGACAGCTTATGTGGAACGCATCAGGGGTGATCCGGACTCCAGTGACTTCAGGAAGAATTTCTACAGCGTTTTTGGCCTTCTCGTTCACATTCAACATCCACTCTTTGTCTTCGGCTTTGTGGATCACAACTGCGACGATCTTTTCCTGGAGCGTTGGACAGCCATTCCATTATTCATACACAACGAGCTTCAGCTGTACACAGGCGACTTGAGTCAGGACTCCCAGAAGTATGAACGATTCGCAAAACGCTTCCTCGAAAGTGTTTTTCAATTCTCCTTGCCGCATCTCGAGATAAACGGTTTCTCAAGCTACAATGAGAGAACGGTCTTGCCTTTCAAGGAAGAAGTGAAAATTGTGGGAGGAACGGCCACGGACGAACATCCGGATTCGCAAAGCGGGAGGGTGTTCGTTTTCAAAATCTATCACGAGTACAATTTTCCGGTAAGTGCTTGATGCTTCTCGCCTTGTACCAACATTGACTTGCAGGCAAGCGTTATCACTCAGACACAGAATATGTACGAAAATGTATATCAACGCCGACACCACGAGCTTTTCTTAAGCGCTCCAACATCCAATACGTGCAGCAGTTAGAGGATAAGCATATCGTAAAGCTTATCAAGGCGTATGGACATGGACACAGCATTAACTTTGTAATGCCTAGAGCATGGACAAACCTCGACCATCTACTTCGCGACTGGGAATTTAAATATGATAGCAAGAGGGGCACGCGACTGGAGGAAGCTGATGCTTGGACTCAGCTACTCGGCATAGCCAGCGCCCTGGAAAAAATGCACGGATTTGGCGACCATGTAAAAATCCACGCAAAAGGCAGCATTGAAAGCTCCATATGTGCCCATTGGAATCTGAAGCCAGAAAACATACTCGTCGATTGGGATGGCAATTGGCTAATCACAGACTTCGGTCAAGCTATCCTTACCGAAAATCGACAATCTGAAGCGCACATTGTAGGTCTTCACCTCAGCACTGATGCGTATGCCCCGCCGGAGATAGAAGATCCAAGTATTGCTCTCGGTCGGGCTTACGATATCTGGTCCCTCGGATGCATAATGCTGGAAGTAGTCAGCTTTTTGATCTTTGGCCATGCTGGCTTGAATGGCACCAGCACATTTAGAGGCCTAGACGAATCACGCAAATCGAAGCCAGCATTGTCTGAAATTGTCGACGAACGATTTTGGTACCAAGAGTCGCCGAACGGAGATTATGTCGTAAAGGAAAAGGTTCAAGCGTTCAAAGCTAGCCTACATGAGCGTTACGTTCTTAGCTACGGTGTTACTTCCAAGCTGTTGTCAACAACAATTGGCTTGATCGATGACATGCTGCGCCCAATGGCGAGGGATAGAACGGACATCTCGAGGGTGGTGGACAGTCTCTCCAGCGCTCTGGCGCGAGCGAGGACGCAGTACACTGTGGAGGTCGCACCAGACGAGGTCATCCTTGGCGGAAAGAAGGTGAACGAAATCAAGTTGTGGCATAATTCAGCGACGAACAGCATCATAAGACATTCAACCCTCGAGATCCTGCAAAGTGATGCAGGTTGCATACGCCTCCATTGCTGGGCCCAAGACCATGAACTCCCTGGTGTCATTTTCCGCCGAAATGATGCGAAGATCGTACCGATGTATGCTTTCTGCGACCGAGAGAAGCTCGTAAAGTTGAAAGCTTGGATCGAACTTCTAATTCTGAGTTCTAAGGGCTGTAGAAAGATTCCCAGTGCGAGATACTCTTTCGATGGAAATTCTCGTCTTAGTGAAGCGCAGCTCATCCAGTCTGTTGTGACCTCACAGAGCATCGTGGAGAGTTTCGACTTGGAAAGTTTTAAACTTCACAAACCGGTGTCGCTTGGTCAGGCACTAAAGACGTGGTTTCGGCGAAAAGACAAAGACGCGAACCATGCAGTCAAGAGCAACGAGTTACAATCTGACTTCGGCCCCGCAACTGTTCAGCTATGGATTGAACAGTCCCCTCCTCCACCAAGGGCAATCAATAGTTCAATCTCGTTGGCATCTAGGTCTGGACGCCTGACGAGAGCGGATTCCCCGGCTGTTCCGCCATGCCGGGTGGCTATATATCTCCACGAACTGCGCTTTATATGCACAATCAAGCTGGATCTGAATTGGGTAATAGAGGAGAGTAAGTCAGACAACAGAGTACTTTCTTTCATCCCGCGTCCAGCAGGGCGCAACCAACCATTTTACGCCTCATGGCTGCGACCGACACCCGATGAACTGAACGACGAAGAGCAATACCCTGCAGGAATTCCGCTAGACCCCGGGGTGCTTCATGCGTATGAGGATCGCGATTCTATTGAGGTTGAGAATCTTACATTAACCTTCTTGTGCAACAATGATCGTGACGCATTCAAATGGAAGTACCTCGAAACAAGAAAGGCTTGGGATCTCAGGCGCCAGGAGGTCAACGATACAGTCGAGGTGAACAGAGCCCCAAGCAGCCGCCAACAGCTTCTTATGGGTGTTGCAAACCTCCCAGTTCCAGCTATACGGATGCCATTCTCCGTGAACACGATCATGGACATAGATTTGGTGGCCCCGATCAGTACGAGCACCTCTGGAAGTACACACACCCTCGCAGCGGAGGACGCATCCCCGCAAATTACGGACTCCCCCGTTGCCATGCCACAGCAAAGAGACTATGAAGAGAAACGACTTGATTCATTATTCAAAGAAGAAATTTCGCTATCTGACGCGGGAGATTCCATGCACATCATCCGCCGGAAGGCTCGATTCATCAGAAAACGTGTGCTACCAGAACCGAAAATTGAGGAAGCCAAATTTGATCGCGAGCCAGCAACCTCTGCCCCAGAAACCGAAGTGGTTGCAAAGAGACCACAGCTTTGCAATGGTAGTGAACCTCTCCAACCACTTCAAATTCCAGCTGCAGAGGAGGTTGATCATCCTGATAAAGAGAGGAACGTCAGTTCTGCCCTGCGAGATCCAGAGGTGGCTAAGCGCTTGGCATCCGATGACGGTATGAATTCACAGATACCACTTCTGCAAAACTCGGAATCTGCTAGTCCGCTTCTTCACGTTCACTCGCCGTCCGAACAAGATGATTGTGCGATGACACTGGACGTAAGTGAAGACGGCACCAAAGAGTCATTGACCCTCATTGAAGACAGTACGAAGGAGGCTTCGACCCTTGTGGAGGATGGTGTCGAGACAATTTACTCCCTAGATGGTTTGAACACTGGTCCCAAATCGCAGCGTATCCAGACTTTCGTGTCACAGTTGACTCAGGACGTTACCCAAGACTTCTCTAGTTACGTGAAAGATATCGAGCCTTCTAACCTAGTGGATATTGTAAGGACATTTGCAAGGCGACTTTACGAAGAATCTACAGATCCCTTTCAATGGGAGACAAGTGTTGTGCTGCACCAAAAGCAGTGGTAAGTGAACTCAGGCAGCAAAGAGACTGGCTTAATCTCAGCTACAGTACAAAAGGCTAATGAAAACTTGTTGCGCACAGGGAAATTGTTCGCCTACTAGCATCGATTGACATCCCCTCTACCAACGAGGTTGTGCTTGAACACGAGGAAGAAGAGGAGGAGGATCATCCTGACGAGAACCGCACGCCTTTTCAAAAATCTTCGTTGGACATTCAGTCATGGGTGGTGGAGGTGCATGACGGTTCAGAACCTGCGCCGGAGACGAATCCCGGATCAGCCATACAGTCTGAACCTCAAAAGAATGATCCCAGTGATGCCAATATTTTCGACGAAGCCATGAGCATACTGGAAGCAGAAAAAAAGGACTTACAGCAGTCTGTCGCCTACAAGGAGTTTGTTAGTCGGTCCGATGCTTATAGATGGCTGGTAGCGAGCTTGCATCAGTCTCCTGGGCAACTCTCTGGGGATATTGAGTCGATGGTAGCAATTAGGGCCTATGTCCGTGATCAGTTGAGACAGCAGCAACCATTGCGAACACTGAGTCGACAGAGGCCCCCAGCAATGGTCAACTTAACGGTGAAGCTGGAATGGAACCCAATCCAGATCGCGTTGTCTTACGGTTTCAAGTACCCATTTTGGGGCATATTAGACAATTTGTATTGTATGACTGGCTCAGAGACCGAGGCTCAAGTCACTACGATCATGGAGTATATGACACAAATGTGGCCATCTACCGGTACTTCTCTGATCGCCCTGATGCGGGAGCTTGTATCCAAGCCTGAAGGCGATGTCTGCTTCTGTAAGTCGGATCCATCTTGCCCCGTACATCCAAAAAATGTCTGACATATTACTTTCAGTCTAATCTTCGAAGCCGGTAAAAGCCAGACTGACCGCTGTCCTTCATCAGCCGAGTCAATGTCTGGTCACTATAACTGGTGGTCCCTATCTAGTCTCTGAGTTTGTTGAGCAGCTTGGATGGCTGTATTCAGCTATACAAATGGCACCTGTCAGTAAGGGCACCGTAGCATGCATTCCAAAGGTCGGAGACTTCACCACACTCCCCTCTACCAAGATAGTGTCCGGAGTCGCAGTGATTGCGGATTGTCGCTTGAGTCTTGAGTTTCGAGATTCTAATTCCATGCGATCAGGACAGCCTACATCGCAGATTCCTTTGCGACTCAAACCGTTCTTGATTCATGGATTTCCAACACTGCGAAGTGTAAAAATGATGCAAGAAGACGGAACTGGCACAAACCCGGTTTTGGTGAATCCATCACGTATGAACAGCGATAGTTTGCAAACCATGCGCCTTCAATTACCCGGAGTTCTTCGACAGGTTGTGGAGACCACACCCAAAAGTTTGATAGAAGCGCATCCTCGGAATGACGAATCTGTTATGAACAAAGGTAAGCTGTGGTTAGAGGACTGTACGGGATATCTTTTCGACTGGAGACCACTCAAGAATCCACGTGAAAATGTACCACCTGGCATGTGGCGCGTTGAATGGACTGTGAGTATACTATATCTTCTCGAAAGGAGACTACTGACCAGAAAGATGTTCCGACATCGCCTTCAAACATCAACAACAGAGGAGAATGCACTGCTTCTAAAGGACCTCCTCAGTGTTGTTGAGGAGCACCCAGATTCTTGCGATTGCTGTATTCCCAAAGCGCCGCCTCTGAGCTTGATGGACGTCATCGACCTCATCCGGAATACTCTTATATCCCACGCTCAGAGTTGGATGGGAATCGTCTCGCATGCCAATCAGGCCTCATCTTCAGCGGCTCAAAAGTATACACCGAGTAATACAAATCCCAGCGGCGCGACCAACTCCAAGACTACCTTGCATCTCAGGGGCCAGAGAAACACCGCGCCCGCGCCTCCGCAGCCAAGTACACCTCCAACGACAACAGCCTCTATCATTCCTGCTTCACTTCAGCAAACTTGCCATCAAGTCCTGTTTGCTGTCAAAGGCTCAAGGTGGTCGTGGGAACTCGAGCCGGTAGCTATGACGAACGCGATCTGCGACTCGACATTCTTCCACAGCCTCCGAACACATCACCGAGCTCACCGGCACGCTTATCTCCATTGGATATCACCCTTCCGCTTTAAGAACTGCAGATGCGTCAAGGTACGCCAGAACCACAACCGATTTTTACACTGCTAACGCACAGTCCAGCTCGATGTAGTAGAACCCCACCGCGTCCTAGCAGGAACTCAACAAGCCCTTCCCGACGACTACGGCCAAACATCCAGCTACGAATACGCTCCACGACCACCCAACGTCAAACTCCCCCTCATCGACCCAAGACACTACCTCATCTTGCTCAGTGAATGCTCAGACACCTGCTTATGGCGTCTCTGGCCCACCCATGAATGCATCCACCTGCACGCCTCCAAATCGCATCGCCTCAAAATTCCCCGCAGGAAAGACGACGTCAAAGACCTACTCGACGCTGGCGAGGGCGTCGCCTTCGGAATCGAGGCCGACTACGTCTTGTCACTGCGTATTCTGGCAGCGTACCATCTCGCGGCTATTGTGCCGGCGTTTATATTCTGGGCGTTCTGGCTCTCGAAGCATGAGGGAGATTGGCAAAATGCGTCCGTGCCGCTGTTGACTGTACTGGCGCTGACGACGGTGTTTTGGATTATGGCGGGGAAGAGGGTGGGGATCTCGTAGGGGGAGGGTGCATACAACCAAGGGTAGATCTAGAGATGTGGGGAGAGTTGTTGGAGACTTTGTTTAGAGACGGGTGCTGCTTTCTTGCTGCTGATATATACCCAGTGTCAGCTATAAGACGACAACCTCAATTGTTGTTGTAGATATATTTGAATTGTTGGGGAAGCTCTCACGTAGAACAGTACCGCCTTCAAATCAGCACTCAGTAGAAGTTCTACACAAAAGATAGTACCTTCGCACGCCTATGAACAATTCCCTTATCGTCATTCAAAGAGCGCGACAGGGTGCGGTGCTTGCTTACTTTCTTTCCGAATGAATTATAGGGGACATTGCTTCCTGAAATGTACAGACCACTCCTAGTTTAGTACATTATACAGGAAGCCCCGCTGTTAGAGAGCGTCCTGCATATAATATCTTAGGTAAAGGTGCTAAGCATCTCCTAGGTATCTCTTAGGTTTCTATAGACGGGCAAGCCTCTTCTTATCTCTACCTAGCCTAAGGTTAACAATGTTGTGACTGTTCCGTGACCTCTGTAAGTGGCTACCTAGTAGAGTAGTACCGTGGGTATAGAGAAGTCTAGTCTTTCTACCTGTTATAGGTACCCCGCACTACTATTATATATAGTCTAGTCCTCCCCTACATCATGCATATACGCACCCTTTAGCTGTTTAGCCAATTAGGGTGCGTGGGTACCTGAATCGTGACTGTGACAGTATACTGTACCAAGGTAGGGGGTGTTCAGCACATATCGACAAGCACTGATAATGCATATGTTTTACGACTATGTACGAATATGCTGTCAACGCTGACCACTAGCAACCATCCAAAATCAACAAATTAAAGCAAAATTCAGCAGCTTCAAAGTGGGAAGCTGAATCAGGGAAATAAGGGCCCTCAACTCACCACGATGAAATTGACAAATCAATAACTACCCTCCCCTTCAACTTCTACACCACCATCCCCTCAGACGCATCTGTCAGGTTCTCCATGGCCCCTCCGCAAGGGCCACGAAGTGAGGCTCGCCAGCCATGTTGGAAATCGAAATACGAAAACAGAATCCAGAAGACGCGAGAACTTTTCGGGCCAAGATACCTCGACTATAACATTTGCAATTCCTTTTTCGTCCAATAGAGACAATGGGTCTGCACCCCAGCCTGATTCTTCCGCAGCCACGCATGTCGAGGCTTGGCGAGGCTGTGTACCTCCAGTAGCAGGGCACACAAATCAAGGCTGTACACCGATTATCGCTCAGCCAAGATAATCAGGCTTAGTCTATGTGCACAGTTTCGTGTTACTGCTGTGTCCATGCAGGTAGTCCTGCTCGGGCTGTTGTGGTCAGTCTACCAGCATAGCAACAGAATTTCGGCCGCTCTTACAATACATAGGCACTCAATGCGCGAAGAGCAGTGAGCATAGCCTGAATATCATGAGACATCTGTCTGAGGTTAATAAAATCTCTAAGCACTTGCTGTGCACCAAACTGTACAAGTCCACTTCGCGCCGGATCTATTGACCCTGTCACCCACGTACTTTTCAAGGAAACTGTTCCTTATATATTTTCGGAGAATTTTTGCATCGTCGGTCAAAGAGGAATGCTGGTGCAGTACCGGTGTGTTTGTATCTAAGCCGCAAAAAAAGACAGTCGTACAGAGGCGAGCACAATCGGTTTCCGGTTCCTGCGTCAGCTTTCTTCTCGTCGCACGGTCTACGCGACAGGGATCTTTCTTAATTTGTGCTAGTGCTTTGCAAGGGCAGTTGTGTGAAAAACATCGCGTTCCGTAAAGAATGACTGCAGGCAGGACTAGTCGTCCCATATGAGTAATAGTCTTGCATAGTCACCTTGTAGCATACATGTAAGAATACTTATCCAAACAGAGGTCTGCGGAAAAGGCTTAGGCTCTTTCACACAAACCTGCTAACTAAGAGAAAAGAGAATTCTTGATGTATTTAAAAATAGCTTCCAGTGTTAGTCCCCTCTGGCTCTTTTATGGTGGTTAGTCATCGATAAGCTGCTTAGCGTGTGTGAATTCCAGGCACAAATCTTAGACGAGGAAGCAAAGCCTCTAATGCCGGACAGCTATCATGTGCTCGTTCGCCGCACTCTGCGTATAAAACTTCCTGGCGCACCTCTTACAAGGAACAGTAGGGTTCCCGTGTCCAGTGGATGCCATGTGCCCATTTGCTGCACTTTGTGTGTGAAACTTCTTCAGACAACCTCTACAAGGAACAGTAGGGTTCCCGTGTCCAGTGGATGCCATGTGCTCATTTGCTGCACTTTGTGTGTGAAACTTCTTCAGACAACCTCTACAAGGAACAGTAGGGATCCCGTGTCCAGTGGATGCCATGTGCTCATTTGCTGCACTTTGTGTGTGAAACTTCTTCAGACAACCTCTACAAGGAACAGTAAGGATCCCGTGTCCAGTGGCTGTCATATGGCTTGCTGCCCGACCTGAGCTAGACTTCTCATTGGATATGCGATAATTGAACGGTGATCCGTGGTCTCCAACCTCCACTTGCTGCATTACCACTCTCTCTGACTGGGCATCTGTGTCGCAGATCTGTCTTTCAAATTGTGGCTGTTCCCTTTTGCGCTGATACAAACTATTATGTCGTATGTCGAGAGGCGGAACGGTAGCACACTCTTCTTGAAGTCCGTTTCTCTGACGATGAAGAGCTGTTGCAGCGTCAGCGCTAATACATTGCCAGACAGAACACAACTGCTACACTAACCAGCCGTCTCTCGGATCGCTTCGTCCACGGTGTGGGTGTCGGCCACCTCCGCTGGTGGTATCACCGACAGCACCTCCTTCGCGTACGCCGCCGCCGTCCCCGCCGCGTACCCCTGCCACCGTTTGTTCTTGTGCGAGTCCGCGTAGTCACACACCCCGCGCACCACCAGGCATGGGAAGCTGTTCATCAGCCCCGCCGCCTCCATCTCGAAGCACAGCACCCCGCCGAGCTCTGCGCTGACCTTATCTCTCTCGGCTGCGCTCCGCATCACTTGGTTGCCAGACGCGATTGTGCCGTGGTGCACGACCACCTCTTGCCTCCGTGCCTCCCGAGCGACTGCGTACTCTGTGCTGCAGTTCCTGCACGTTGTCAATCCTACGTGATCATACTCCACCTCAAAGAGGGTATCCGACCCAGCAGCTTCACGGCTGAAGTCTGGCAGACTGTCAAGCTTGGACAAGTACTCTAACAGCCTGCCCCTCCCTCTGATGTGCTTAGCCCGCAGGTTCGCAACCGCGTTTAGCAAGACAGTCGGCGGTGTGTTAAGGGATCCCGTGCGCTCAAACCCGCTTGGCGTAGCCTTGCCCAAGTCGTACTGCACCACCCCGCCGTGCGTCTTGTGCGGCTTGCTCACTACCACATCCCCAAGCCGCACGTCAGCTTCCTCACTCGGCACGCCGCCGCCGATGCCTACCATCAGGCCGAAGCGCGTTGACGAGAAGGTCAACTTCATCTGCATAGCGACCGCTGCAGCTGAGGTGGTGCCTGTCTGGCCTTCAGGCAGACACGCGATTACGACGTTGTGCTCGCCAATGCGTCCGCAGGTGTAGAGGTTTGTGTCGTAGGCGTTGTACGGGGGCGTGTCGTGCTCCTTGTCGAGCATCTCCTGCGCGGCCGCCAGCTCAATGGGCAGCGCGCACACCCATCCCACCGTGTAGTCTTCGCGGTGCAGCGGGCGCGCCATTCGTCGTTGTTACCGAAAGAAGGTCTAGAGGCTGACGTTATGAGGGGGACATAGACGGTACGTAGAGGCTGTGAGCCGGGAGCCAGGCAACCCCCCAGCCTCTCAGTCCCTCAGCCTTGCGGCCTCCAGCTGCCTGCATGCCAACGGGGTACAGCCAGACTGAGCTGGACAGCCAGTAGGATGCATGGTGCTGCAGACGCGGGAGTGTGTGGGGCATAGGCGCTCAGCCAGACGGACCGTGCAGACGAGCGGGCTCCAACCGCTACTTACGGTCCCGTAAGCGCCACGAGGTCTTTGAGCGAAGTCTGATTAGAGTTTTCGGGGCGGATGCGCCCCCGGGCGACAGATCCCTATTGTGTTTATGAAGATCATCTTTCAAAGACTAATCTGCATGCCGTGCAGTCACACTGAAAGATTACGACCCATTGAGGGTGGCTGGTTCGTCTTGTAATCATGCTGTACGGTGCATAAGATACACTACAAGCGCACCCCTGCTGCACTAGTACAAATTTGGAAGGACCCCTGTTGCGTGGACCGCGGAAACCGATTGTGATCGCGACTGTACAAGGCAAGAAGGCGAAAACGCGAAAACGCGAAAAGCGATCAGGCTGAGCCGTCCTTGGACGCCTGCTGATACGAGGCACTGCCAGCACTTATGTGCCAAGCTGTACGCAGATTATGTGGCTACCTGATGTCGGGCAAGCGAGATATTTCTGCATGACGTCCACCTAGAGAACCAATAGGCTAAGAGACGGGGTTTGGCAGGTGAAACAGTAGAGCAGGCCAACCCGTTCCCTTCCGAGCGGCCTAGTTCACAAATCGCATCCACTGAAATAGAACCATCAGATCATGCGAGGAGTTTGAGACCAAATCGTTCTTGAACTTACACAGAGGGCGCACATTATCAACACCGAGAATGTGAGTATCAGGCTGAGATTCAAGTTAACTAAACTGAAAACTAATGACAGACGCCGATCTACTCTTTGTAAACTATCAAACGATTACTAAAGGATGGCACGCACGTTGCAAAGCCACACATCACATCTGACTTTGGAAGGAACCGAATTGGATACGATGTATGGACAGCAGAGCATGACGTTTCGTATCAGTTCAGACCTGGAGTCAGGGTCTGAGAGTAGTCACCCCGAAATCATGCTCTCTCGACCGGGTTCCACGCTCTCAACAAGCGAGCAAGCCGCGATACAATTTACACAAGTTGATACAAAGCGCGAAGGATACCACACAGACTCAAACGGTTTTGATGACACGGGGGTACATGAAGGGAGCAATCCCAGAAGCTCCGAAACCGGCTTGGAAGACCCCAAGGCCGAGCTTACAAGATTTGATATCGCCGCGCTCATATTGAACAAACAAATTGGCGCTGGCATTTTCGCGACCCATGGGGCAGTATTACTCTCAACACAATCAAAAGAACTGAGTATTGCGCTATGGGCGATCGGACGGTTCTGGAACGGTTCTGGAATCTGATTTTTCTCCTCATTTACCTTGAATTCGGGATTGCATTCCCGTTCAACGGTGGCGAGCTTGTCTATCTTGATGAGATCTACCACAAACCCGAGCTGCTTTCTACCATCCGATTTTCCGTTTTCTTCCTCATGTTTTCAAACTCTTATGGCAATGCCACTCAGTTCGCGAAGCATGTCCTTCTCGCAAACGTTCCAGACTTAGACGACAGTACACAGCTCGACCCACGCCTGGTCCGATTCATAGCTATTTCTGCAGTCACCTTTGTGTGCCTCGTTCTATGGCACTCACGCAGAGCTGGCTTATTTCTCAATAAGTTGATCGTCTGGTACAAGGTAGTTCTCTTGCTGATCATCCTCATTTTCGGGATGGTCAGGAGCAGAGGGGAAAATTCGAAATGGGGTGATGATGGCTCTCCAGGACCCACTGCAGACGGAATGACAGGCATGGTACTGATATTTTACTCATATTAAGGTACATAGCACGGTCTGAACGGTGAAGCACAGCTAACAACATACAGGCTGGGAGAACGCAAACTACGTACGACGTTGTGAAATTAGCCGGGGATCTGCTGACTAGTTCAGATTGCAGGCGAGATTCGCGGCAATAGACACACAACAAGAAAAACACTGATATACGGCACTATCATGGGTACCACAGTCACCTGGATACTGTACGTCTTGGTTACTTTAGCCATAGTAAAACCAATACGGCTTGTACCGTAAAAAGCTACTATACTGATGAAAAAACAGTATCGAGTTTTGGGATACGAAGACCTTACGGGTCCACATTCCGACCTCGCTGTGGCGCTCATACTTGCTCCGAGGATCTTCGGCAGCGCTACAGGAATAAAGATCTGTACAGCAATATCTGCACTTGGCAAAGTTCTTGCAGGCGCGTACACTGCTACCAAAGGTGTGTTTCTCTCGTTATCTAATCTGGAAAAGCTACTGAACAGTTCCAGTGAAACAATCTATTGCTATACAAGGAATCTTGCCCTTTTCTGATCTTCCATCGAGTGATAATCTCACACCCAAAGGGGCTCTAGCTTTACACTGGATTACATCAGTGATATTCATCGCAGCAGCGCCAACCAACTCGGATGGATACAGCTTTGCGGTCGGTTTTTAAACGTACGGACATATACTATTTAGTCGTTGGTTTTCTTCCCTACGTTCATCTTTCCAGGTACTGATGCTTTTACTAGTCTTCGTCGCTATCGGCCTAGTCCAGCTCCAGAAACGGAAACAACGCCCGCGTCACCAGTGGAAATATATACTCTTCAATTCCAAGCCGGTCTTGTACAGCATACAGGTCGTCTTTGCTCTCGGGAACGTTCTGATTCTAGTCTTCAACCCACTACATCTACCTTGCATAAAGCGCCACTATCCTAAGCATCGACCAGCACACACCATCCCCTCACTGAACACGAGCCCACATCCCCACCCCCGCAGAAGCCAACAGCATACACCCCCGCGCCAAATTCAACCTCCCCCACTTCTCCACCAGCCCCCGCGTCCCCGACTCACCCCCCTTCTCCCCCCTCTCCGCTCGACTCGCCAACTCCGCATTCACACTCCCCATCAAAATTTGCGTGTACGGCGCCAACCCCACACCTAGCAGCGCCGCCACAGCATACAAATTGCGCGCCCGGTGCGACACGAGTCCCGTTGCCGTGACGGACGGCGTGAGCGCAGCGTTGTACGCCAGCGTCGCGAAACCCGCGGCGGAGGAGAGCGTAAGTGCGACGACGGGGGTGATGCCGTGGTCGAAGAGGATTTTCCACTGTTTTGCGAGGGTTGCGGGGGGGGACTGGAGAAGGGCGGGGAGCGTGACGATGGTGGAGCTGAGGTTTGTGCCTGGATGTGTTAGCGGCGGGTGGGCGTGAGGTTATGGTGGGTCGCGGACCGGCTGCGAGCGTGATTGCGAGGACGCTGTAGGTTTGGAGGATGGGGCGCAGGGTGTCGAGGGGGGTGGTGGAAGACATGGTGAGTATGTAGGGGATGCTTGGAAGGCGAATTAGCTGCTTCGAAGCTTCGCGGCGAACAGTTGGCTTATGTACATCGTAAGGCGTTCCAAATGGTCCAGCTGAGAGATGCTAGTGGTACGTTCGGCCGTAACAGGTACAGGCGGAAGACAAGCCTTGAGCGGCGATTAGCGAGCGGTAGATCGGCGCTACTAGCCCCGCACTTGGTAAGCGGGGTGAAAGATAAGCTTCTGCTGACTACCATTGACAGGGCATGGCAGCAAGACCGACTTTGCATTGCTATCTTGATGCCAGAGCAATTCACTGCAAATGCCAACATACCAGCCGGGAAGCGATGATTCGTTCATGGCTCACAAGGGTTCTTATCCGCGTTGTACGTCCCTACTTGACGGGACATCGGAACTTGCTGCTTGAGCATACTTGCTTTCATCTCAGGAGGAAGGTATCTGCGGGTCCAATGACAGATGTCTGAACCAGATCCAGCTCTTGCTGGAAACCACTGGTACCTATCTTTCTAGCACTCTCTCTTGCTTCTTCTTTCTCTTGTTGGCCTTAGATAAGCACGATCTCTCGCATACTCTGCTCGCCACCCAAGATACTTCGTAGCTGTATCCGGAGTTCCTCTTGCGTCTTGATTGCTCTATTACGCCTATCAATCCACCCATCTTGAGGCGTTAGCCAGACATCTTCGATCCCAAACCATCCTGCGCGAGAGTATCGATCTCTACCTTCTTCCAACACAACAATGACTTCAGCCCCTTGGAAACCAAGGTTGACAAGCAACAGCAAGCCAAGCTTGTGCTCAGAGCGCGGCTGGACTCTGGGGTCATCTCCGTAGTCAAACTCAATTACGACTCGGTGCTGCTGTAAGTCGCACTCCGCGGCGTTGTATTCGTTGCGTGCAGGCATCGGAATCAGTAGCAGTAAGCCCCGGATTCTGATCTCAGAGGATTTCACCTCGCCAAACAACTCGCCCGGCATTGTCAGCTCAGTCACGTCACCAGTGACCTCGACCTCGTCATTGGGGAGCCACAGATCACGCTTGTGAGACCACCATGTTGCTGCGCCTTGGTAGGATGCCCAGCTCCAGGACGGTCCATGCTTGACACTGGACACGGCATGTCTGGTTTTGATCGGAAACCACATCAGCCCGATGATCAAGTCCGACTTCCACAAGCCACACATGTATGTTGTCCCCAAGATCGATGCAAACTCCTTCGCTATCGCAGATATAGCAGGTAGTCTGTCTTTCGAGTAACGCAGTGTGCGGGAGGAGTATGCCTCGATGAGGTCATACCAGTTCGACAGCACGCTGCTGGTCTCAGCAGAGCGGTTTTCGCTTCGCAGCATGGACATGGTGGCGACGAAGTCCGCATCGGAGTACGCTGCGTAGTTGTGGCCATTGCCAGCCAGCCAGCCATCGCAGTCGTAGTCTAGTGGCTCCGCGCAGTGGCATAGCCACGTTGTCTGTTTGCTGCGGAACTGGAGCCGGCGTCGAGAGAATATCATCTCCTGCAGTGTCCATCCCCGTTCGTACCACGGCTCTATCGTGTCCAGATCACGCAGTCTAAGCACAAACGAGGTACTCTCGCCCGTGCTGCTGGCGTCTTCGGAGCGGAGTTTGAATACCGGTTGGGGATGTCCGTTGACAAGACCGACGCCGTCTGGCGTCATGGATCCGCGATTCAGAAATCCCTCCGTGACACTCTTGGCAGCAGATACTACGATGGTCAACGTCGCGTTGCGGTAGATCTGGCCCATGATTCCCAGTTCTCGTGCTTTCCACTGCTCGTCGTCTTGGACTATGCAAAGCGCGTCGACCCACAGTGGCCGAAATCCCATCTCCCGCGCAACCGTGACAGCGTCTCTGATGGTGGCATCCAGATGCTCTGGGTTGACTCCGTGAACAAGTTCGTCTTTTTTGCTCTGCGTCAACATGAATGCCTGTACATCTGTTCCCCAGCAGTATGACAGCGCAACGTAGCGCTCTCTCAGATCGGCAGGGATTTGGAATAGCTTGACACGGGTTCTATCGGATACGTCGAGAGCTAGTGATGGCATTGACCCCGGCGGGTCATCGAATCCACATCCATGAGTGACACTACATCTCTGTAGCCAGAGCCGGTACAACTCCATCGAACTAGAGCTATCCGGACGCGAGTTGATCGGCATTCCTACACACGTTTTCGCCGAGTCTGCAAGTGTACCTTGCACATACTGTTAGGCTCCATCGACGATAGACGACACGGACAAGAGCGTGTTCTTACCTGGACTCGCCAGGACCCAGAAATGCGTCACATGTGTAACGATTCCGAAGCCAACGTTATTCCCCGACTGTTCGAGCATGGCCACAGCGACCTCAGCCGCGACAGCTCTGTCGGTAAAGTCGTTTGCAGAATCGTATCTCACAGCCACCCGAACGGAGTCTTTGTGCATTGCGGGGGGCACGGCGCGGAAGGCGGCTCCCCCCTCAAACCCCCAGTACACAGGGCTGTTCTTGAGGTGCCAGAACCGCTTCTCCTCGTCCCCTCCCAGGGACGCAGCGAGATCCTTCATGTGCTCATCCGACCACCAAGACCGGTGCTTTTTACTGTCAAAAGGAACATTCTTGGATTCCCGCTTCACATCTGCTTCCAGGCCGATCAGTTCGACCTTGTTCGAGATCATGGTCCAGAAGTTGCACCCAGATGCTGCGAGCGACTCGACTTCTGCCACGGTCGTATCGAGGAGGTACGAGGGCTCGTATTTCTCTCCCAAGGCGACTCTTTGCTCAGGGATATGCGATATTGTTATTTGCTGGCATTGCTCGCACGAGTGTCCCTGTGTCCCATCGAGCACGACCTCGCGCTTGAGGCGCACGATTTCTTCCTCAATCTGAGACGTTGCTGTGGACTCCATTGTCGTCGATAGCTTGGCGCTGCAAGACTGTACTCAGATCGGAGACCATGGAGGCTGAACGACGATGTGGGGGCAGGAAACGAATGGTCTTCTCGAGACGCAAGAATCCACCTTCGAGCAGTTTGTCGTGGCGATCTGTGGTTGGATGATAACTGTGCCGTATCTAGGCAGCAGAAGCCAGGGGTACGTCTGCCCGACTTTCCTCCTAAATCTGTAGAGCCGAGTGCAGCATTCACGGGAGACTGCTCAGCCAGTGCCATCCTGAGACTGAACGTTAAACTTCTCTTCCCACTCTCCCAGCTCACACTGTGAACGTACGCTTCTTGTCACGCGACACGCATGCTCCTACCAGAACTCACCTGCCCATTCCCCAATATAAAGGTCCAACCTCTTTGGAGTTGAAAACGATCCAGGCGAAGCTGTGCAAGTACGCTTACAATGCCCCAACCCAACAAAGCGAGCTGTAATTCAACACAACCAGTTGCCAAAGTTTGCACTCGAAGCCCAAACTTCACTGCGCCTTCTGAGTACCGAACGCTCCTTCCCGGTTTCTAAAACACAGTAAACCGTCGCCGTTCAACTAACCAAACTCTTACCATGCCAAATTCGCCCGTTCAGCCCTATCTTCACAGCGAATCCCACGCCTCACGTCCCAATCTTCCGCTACATAAACCCTTCCTCCTCCAAATAGTACTTCTTCCCACCCAGATCCCGCCTCAACACTGCCCGACCCCAATACAACCCAGTCTCCCAGGCGTTCACCCAGCTGAGTAAAGCAAGGGAACTTCACGCCCATGCCTCTGGTCGCCCCTTAGCGTGACTTTCAGACCGGAACTCTACCACTCACTATGCGAAACAGGTGGGTAGGTACTGTCTGCAGCTTGCAAACTTCGAGCGCGCGAGTCGGCAGCGAGGGACCGTTGCTGAGAATGGTAATGGTGCATGATGTTCTGGGTGCGGGCGCATGGCGCGTGGTGGCGGGTGGGTTGGGCCTGCTAGCGGGTGCTGGAATGGCAATCGCGCGGTGGTGTTGGCTGAGTATGGTCTGCGTTTGAGGCGCACAGCATGCTTGTGTAGAATCCAGTTGTGCATAAGTTTTTGAATCGCCACGAGCACAGTCTCGCAGGCCAGTCTCAACATCGATGGAATCTTGAGATCTTGACGCTACACCATAGTTCATCCGTCCATGTGAAATCCACAGCGTAAGACGTCGAGTCTCACGGCTGCGAAGCATCCTTCTGATACCCCATACCGACCCTCCACCACTCCCAGACGCCAAAACTCTCCATCTGCGCCCCAAACTCCTTCACAGTATCCAGCTCCTCCAGCTTGCCGTACTTGATACTATCTGCCGGGCCGTTCGCGTGCTTCTGCGCCGGCTTCCTCACCAGCTGGAAGTCCTTGTAGCGCAGACGCTGCACGTCGGCGACCCAGTCGCGCACGCCCGCCTCCAGGCCCTGGCAGTACATCACGCCGGGACACCCCCCGTAGCGGAGGAGCGCGTAGACATTGTGGTTCGAGGCCGCGGCGCGCAGCTTCGCGACCTTTTTGCGCGAGGTGATGTGGTGCGTGCGGATCAGTGCGTTGTACAGCGGCGCGGACATGGCAGTGTAGTTACATAGCGTCTGACTGCACGTGGATAGCGGGTGTAGGTGAACGGGCCGCACGTGACGTCACAGACCCAGATTTTCCAGTCGCGAAACGCAGCCGCGACTTTGTTCGTCGACAGACTCGCAACACCCGCATGGCGACCCGGTGACGAGCGATCCACCACCCGGAGAGACATGCCGCCGCTTCTGCTGCGCAAAGGCGCCGCGCCGTCGCCGCAGGTCCTCAGCTTCCTGCGCGCGCAAGTCCATCATGCCTTCGCGTCGCCCGCCGCCCCATGCGCCGCCCTCAAGCGCCAGCGCCGCGCCTACACGCCCTCGCCGCCGTGCCCGCTGAAGCCGTCTACGCCCGCGCGCAGCTTCTCGACCTCCCGCCCATGCGCAGCCTGGCCCAGCATCTTCCGCAGCAAGCAACCGCCCGCGCACGCGCGCCCGGGGCTCGTCCAGCCGCCCATCCCGCCGCCGGACGACACCGCGCCGCTCGCCGGCTACGGCGGCAGCCTGGGACGAATGGCGCGCACTGCGAACGAGCTCAAGATGCGGTGCACGGAGCTGGACGAGCACGGCAACGTGACGCTGGTCAGCGGGGAGTTCAAGAAGAGCGAGCTGATTGCGAAATACGGGCTTCTGCCGCGCGACCTGCGCAAAATCGATTCCTCGCTGCTGCCGCACATCCTGGTGCGGCCGTCGGCGATCCTCATCAATCTGCTGAACCTCCGCGTGCTGCTCAAGCACAACCGCGTCCTCGTCTTTGACGCCTACGGCACCACAGACTCCAAGTCCCAGAGCGTGTTTATGTACGACCTCGACCTGAAGCTGCGGCAGAAAGAATCCGTGACCACGGGCACCCTCGCATACGAATTCCGCGCGCTCGAAGCCGTGCTCATCAGCGTCACACTCTCGCTCGAAAAAGAATTTGAAGGCGTCAGCGACCCCGTGGTGCGCGTCCTGCGCGACCTGGAAGAAGACATCGACCGCGACAAACTCCGCTACCTGCTGATCTACAGCAAGAAGCTGGGCAGCTTCGAGCAGAAAGCGCGGCTGGTGCGCAACGCGCTCGAGGAGCTGCTCGAGGCCGACGACGACCTGAGCGCCATGTACCTGAGCGAGAAAGCCGAGGGCCGCCTGCGCGAAGACGACGACCACACCGAGGTCGAGATGCTGCTGGAGTCGTACCACAAGGTCGCCGACGAGATCGTGCAGGCGGCCGAGAACCTGGTGTCGAGCATCCGCAACACAGAGGAGATGTACGTTTCTTGCCTCCCCCGTCTAATATCCCCACCCCCTTTAAGAATTTAAGAAGAAACCCCTGCTGATGATTACTGCGCAGCGTCAAAGCCATCCTCGACGCCAACCGCAACTCCCTCATGCTGCTGGACCTGCGCTTCTCGATCCTCACCCTCGCCATCACCGCCGGCACCTTCGTCGCGGCCCTGTACGGCATGAACCTCAAGAACTTCATCGAGGAGTCTGACCTCGGCTTCTGGGGCGTCAGCGCCTGGTGCAGCGTCTTCGGCACCATTGTCGCGGTCTACGGGCTGCATAAGCTGAGGAAGGTGCAGCGGGTTAGTATGTATGCGCTGGGGCCCGGCGGGGGCGTGGGGAAGGGGTTGGGTGCGCCGTTGAGACTCGGGGCGAGGAAGGAGGGGGTGGAGGTGGGGGGGAAGAAGGAGGGGGTGGTGTCGAGGGTGAGGAAGGGGAGGGAGGCGGCGCCTTGAGGACAGCGGCGCCTTGAGGATAGTGGCGCGGCGCAGGCGTGGTGGCACTCGGACTGCGTGTCCAGCAGGCCCCTTTGTATAGTCCAGCTTCTCCTCTCATCTCTTCGCTTTTCGCGTCCAACTTAGACTCAGGGTCTCTTGCTTGCTTGCTTGCATAGCGCGGCGTTCGGCGCGGTACCGATGGTACAGATACATAGACGGGAACACGTGGTGCACGCTGTACACGTGCGGTTGTTATGGTAGATACGATAGACACGGTAGACACAGCCCACGCAGCTCCACCAAGAATGTACGATACTCACGATCCGTCGTTCCCAGTCTCGGTTACCAGTCTCGGTTCTCAGTCCTTCTGTGCCAGAGCCTTGCGCTCCGGGCCTCGAGGTCCAGCGTTCGACACACCGCACGGCACTGAGCAATCATGGCATGGCGCCGACGAATGAAGTTCCCGTTTATTGATGCTGATTATGGGGAGTACCGATGGGCGCACATCCGCGGCCAACACTCTCCATCTCTCCTGGCGCTGCCTTCCTGTCGTTGCCGCCCTCCCCCCGCCATCCCTCACCTCCCCCCCTCCCCCTTCAGTCCATACTCTTCAACCCCCAATCCCATCCCCCTCCCCGCCCTCCGTATACCCCATGGCTTTCCTAGCATCCCCCGTCCCTTCCTCCTTATCCACCACCCCGCCCATCCCCACAGTCTGCCCCCCCATCCCGCCCTCGCTGATGCTCTGGCCGTACCTGATCTTCTCCGCGGGCGTGATGCCGTGGGTGTTTGGCGCGTTGGTTTTGGTGTCTGAGGCTGAAGTGGGTTGGAGTGTGGATCCGCCTTGGGCTGCTGAGGCTGGGGGGTTGTTAGTGCACAGGTATTGGGGAAGGGGGGTGCGTGTGCAGGGCGTGAGGGGCGTGAGGGGGTGAGGAGGGAGAGAGACAGAGGGGAGGGAGGGGACTAGAGGCGAGCTTGCGTTGAGGAGAGGTCTGAGGGACCCGAGGGTATGGAGAGGGAGGGTGTGAGACGCACCACCTAGCTGCCCGGCTTCTTTCTTGTGCGGCACCATATCCGAGGCTTCGGCTTCGTACTGTGTCTGCTCGCCGCCTTTCTCCGTGGCCATGAGGTTTGATGTCATTGTTTGATTTGGCGTCGGAACTCGGATTGGGGGTGAGATTGTGACGGTAATGGGAATTGGAATTGGGATTGAATCGGAATTGGGATTGTGAGTTCAAGCGGTGAATGGTAGAAGATCGTTGTGTTGTTGGAGCTGTGGCATTGGGAGGAGCTATAATAGAGCTACGATGGCATGACGTAGTCGTCTAATCCCCACCTCAACACCCAACACATCTGCTGCACCCCACAGTCGTAGTATGCAAGGACACCGCATTCCTCACGCCGAGTCGAAGTCGATCCCCATAGAATAACTACTCAAATTAGCAATCATCCAAATCCACCACGTCGCAGCACATACCTCTCATACAACCGCATATACTTGGCCACAAACGCCTCGAGGTGGAAGATCTGCTTGCTGCCCATCTTGCAGCGGTGCTCGTAGAACGCGGCCCATTTTATGACCTCGGGCTTCAGCGCGTCGTCGGTCTTGGGTATGAGTTTCCACGTGAGTGTCTTGATGATGGTCGTCGAGTCGATGCAGTGTGAGAGCAGGTCGTACAGCGAGGCGCGGACTTGTAGTAGGCGCTGGGGGCTGCGCTCTTCGACGATTTGGCGCGCGATTTGCTCGATGAGGGCTTCCCAGTCGGGGGGTGGGATGTGGGTTTGCTCTGTGACTTTCTCGCTGGTGCTGTTAGTAGACGCTTGAGAGTGTCAAGTGTGAGGTGTACTTCTGTGCGTGCACTGCTTCGAACATGAGCAGCGCTTTCCGCAGGTTTCGCCCGCTCTCTTTTGCGATCCGTTTGTTGAGCGGCGCGACCTCGCTCCAGCCTTCCTTCTTCCCGACCGTGCTCAGCACGTCGCAGATCTCGTCCTCTGTCGGTGCGGCGACTCTGACGAGCAGGGTTCTGCTGCGAATGGGTGCGATGATGTTGCTTGTGGAGTTCGCCAGCAGTATCAGCCGCAGATTGGGACTGTACTTCTCCATCGTCCGTCTCAGCGCCGCCTGTGCATCGCGTGTCAGGTGGTCGGCCTCGTTGATCACGACGACCTTGAAGCGCTGCTTTGCGCCTAGATCGACCTGTTGTGTCTGCGCGACCTCCTTGAGCAGGTCCTGCACGACCACTCTGTCGTAGTTGCCGACATCTGAGGGTGTGATCTCGAGGTGGTATACGGACGCGACAATGTTGAACTCGAGCTTGCGATTCGAAGTCGTCTGGAAGACGCGGGCGTCGATTTTGATCTTCTCGACACCAGGCCCGTAGAGCTCCTTCAGCGTTGCAACAATGCGAGTTTTCTTGCCTGCGCCCGACGGCCCGTATACGAGAAGGTGGGGGAAGTCACCGCTTTGTGCCTGTCGTCGTTAGTGTTGTCGACGGTTGTGCTGCAGTCCCTACAAGAGCTCTGAGGCGCTCGGAGAGCTCTGGGTGGTAGTTAAGAGCCTCGAGATTGCGCGGTCTGTGTTTGTCTACGAGGAGTGCCATTGTGGGTGTGTTGTGGAGGTTGACAGTTCGACAAGCTCGACGCGTCGCGCTTCTCCGACGCGTAAAGTGGCTGGCGCTTGGACCGCAGTGCATCAGATCGGCTGCGTTTATGCACCCATGACTTTTCAACTTTGTAACATCACGTATGTGCAAGATTTCAACAATGAATCGATTCGATGCCGTGTCATTCATGAATATACAACTTGCGCGAGTTTTCAATCTACATCTACACAAACAAAGGGTATCCACTAAACAGGGTATGTAACTCCAGCGAAAATGGGGTATGAATGGGAATCTCGTAATCTTCATAGCGTCATGCAACGCCAACATGGCAGACAGAATGCCTCAGTAGCGGCGAGACTCGTATCCTCTATCCTCGTATCCACTCGTGCCGCGACCCCGGTAGTCATCATAGCTCGCCCGTGCCTGCGTATCGTACGAGCTGCTGTCTGCATCGGTGGTGCCTCGCCGGTGACGGTGCTGTCTTCTATAATCTTCGTCCTTACTGCGGCGACGGTCGTCGTGGGCGTTGTGGAGGTTTGATGCGTAGTAGCTGCTAGGCACGTCGTTGATGTTGCCATCAGAGTACGTGCCGTAGTTTGAGAAGCTGGGGCTCCTGGTGCGACGGGTGTTCGATCGTGGTTGCTGGTCGTAGGGGTCACTCGGAGGTGGTGCCCATTGGCTTTGGTTCGCGGTCGACTGTGCGCGTCTGCGCTGGGAAGGTGCCGGCGTGGTGTCGGAATGCGTGCTTTGAGACAGGTCATCATACACCTTGCCGGCATTTGGCGTCGCAGAGTAAGGCTTCCTCTCGCGCTCGATCGGGACGAAACCTGTGCCATGCTCGTCCTCAGGTTCAGGGCTTTTCGCGTCAGGCTGCCCTCCATACGGACTGCGTTCACGCTCGAGAGTCGGGCCGGCTGCGCTGGCGTCGACCTTGGGTGGCGGCGGTGGGAAAGTTGGAGCCTTTCGGAGAGGACCAGCACCTTCAGCGGATAGGCTGGCCGCACACCTCTGTTGGGCGTGCACGTTCTCGCTTCTCGGGAACATGCGTCGCGGCAGTTCCTTGGGGAACCTCTCCTTGATGTTGTCTGCGTTGCTGATGGGCATGTCCAACACGGCCTTTGACATTCGCTCGTACTCATTGTCGGGATAAGCCGTTATCATAGCAGTCATCCACTCCTGAAAGCCTTGTGGGGTCAGAGCGGGGATGTAGGGCGCGTCTGCTGGATGCTCTTGGATGAGGTGATGTTGGCAGCGCATGCTCTGGTAGACCTTGGACAACGCAGGGTACGATAGCTCTCCGAAGATGGCTGTCTGTATTAGCGATGATAGCACTGAACGAGAACAGTCTACTCACTTCGCCAGGGGTAGATCTCGTCCGGCACCTTCACATCTTCGTAGAATCTCAACATCTTTGCAGGCGATATGACGAGACTGCGCTTGGGTTCGTAGTCATCGATCTGTGGCCATTAGCACATGTAAATGACTATCAAGAAAGCTACATACCAGGTGCATTGCAAGTCCGCGAAGAAACTCGCCCAGGCGCGGCAGAGGTTGCCCTTCAGGGTCGAACAGACGCTGCCACATCTTCTCGATGGGAGTGAAGTCGTCCGTCGCCATCCTGGGTGCAGGGGCCGGTCGCTCTGGCCCTTGGTCCTTCCTAGGAATGTCGATAGGTGCGCTCGAAGTGTGGCGAGGTGTCGGGAGGTTGTCGGTGCTGCCGTCCAAACTTGAGTCGCGAGGAAGACTGTGAGCAGAGTGTTGTCCGGGAGTGTCTTGGTAGTACGGAGACGGCGGCGTGTATACGTCTCGCTTCGGAAAGGATGCGCTGGTGGAGTCTGGCGACGGTGGGATGTGCTGTGGCGGCGGAGGACCAGGCTGAGCTGGCGCAGTGCCTGCCAATCCACTCTGTTTGATCTCATCCAGCACCGACTTTTTGACTTCAGCTGCTATCTGAGCAATGAGTTCGGGGTCGACGGTCCTTGCCGCATCAGACTGCTCAAAGGCATTACCGATGGCACTCTTGAGCGGCTGCTGGGCCGGCTGCGGCAAGCCGTCTGAAGCAGCACTGGAGGACGCGCGCGATCGGCCACGGTGCGGGACATGATGCGGTGCATCGTGACCATACGGAGCCCCGTACCCGCGGGAGTCACGAGGGTCGTAATCGTCGAACGGCGTGTTGCGGTACCTGTCGTAGTCCATCGTGTTGAACGCTGCGGGCCAATGATGCGTCTAGTGCGCTACAGTATAGTAGCACTCTAGCGGTCTGTCAAACGGATGGTGCTGTGGAGCGCAAACAGGCGCTGTGCAGATTCCAAGGTCCCATGCAATGGATTGAAGTGCGAGCGTGGCAGTGAAGGGTAGGTATGGTGGTTGCAGGCGCTCAGCCTGGCGGCGCCTGATGTGATGTCTGACGTCCCGCAGACAGCAGCGTGGAGCAGAACAGCCAGACAATACAACAGTCAGTCAGTAGGACGGAACGAGGACCCGGATACTTGGCTGCGCACGAGCTGCCGTTCGCATGTGCGTTGTTCTAGTGATGCAGCTTGTGTGAACGGCCACTGCCACTCGATGCGAGCGCGTTGCAGTTGCGTCATCTGGCAGCCATGCCTCAGACCTGTTTCCAACCTTACGGCTCAGCAGCGCGATCGTTGCCAGGATAGGCGTAGTCAGCAGTTCACAGCATCAGAACGCTCCAGCTATGTACATACTTCGTCCATCGAACCTAAATGCGTACCTAAACACAGGCCAACGTCTCTCCTGTCGGCTGTGTGTTCGGCTATGTACTCGACACAACTGGTGGCAGCACGCGCAGCGAGCACCGATGACGGCGCGCCCCACCTTGTTTGCACGTCTTCGTTTCGACGAACGAGCGCTGACCGGCAGATGCCTGCGCGGTGCTGCGCCCCAGAAGCTGAGGTTTCAGTGCGCGCAAACAACGTCCGAGTGCAGCTGCCGGCCAGTGCCAGACGTCAGATGCACTGTGGCAGCCTGCATAGCTGCAACGGTCGCAGAGAGACAGCCAAGCACGGCTATGGCGCCGAGCAGAGTCAGCGTCCCTCACGCCCGCTGAGGCTCTGCGACGGGCTGGCTGCAGCTGAGACACGGGGCGGCGCTGGAGGGCCAGCCGTGGCGCGGGCGAGGGTGCGGCACAGGCACGCCGCAAGGAGCGCGCGAGAGCTAAGCAGGCCTGAAGCCGCAAGAGCAGCGCGCATCACAATTATACGTTGTCGGATGATGCTGGGGGACGTGATTGCTGGGGCGGGGGTTCATGCCGGCGCAGCGTGTGGACGACGGCGAACCCGGCCGGACCTTGATTGGTTAGAGTGGTGCCTGCCAGTTTCACCAGCGGTTTCAGAGTGCATTAGCGTCGTCGCCCACAGGGTCGTCGTCTCCTCAGCAGCATCCGTTTGTCTTGACTGCGCGACGGCTGTCTTGGTGCTGACCCTCATCTTCTCGCCACCGCGCTCGCCGGCGGTGCTGAAGTCTGAACACAGCTGCGACCCACTGCCCCCGTGCAGACGACCGCGACACACGGCCCTCGCGCCCCGCTGCCCACAACCTCATAACCGCCGTGCCCCGTGACTGGCCTGCCCGCCGCTCACTCTCACCACTCGTCGCCCGGCACCCGCTCACCACCACCTCGCCGCCCGCCGCGCCCGCTGCGCTCTCTTCACCACCAGCCCCGCGTTGCTTCACCGCCCGACCACCCCGCCCGGCCACCGCGTATGATGCGTACATGACCTCGCTCCCACGCCCGCCGCCCGCTTGATTTCCTCGACCCGCAGCCACCCGCCTCGCCATGGCCATGCTTGCCGCAAAGTCGCCCTACCCAGCGCCAACGCTCGGCGGAGGCCCCTCGCAGCCATCGTCGCAGTACGCCGCCGCCATGAACAGCTACCGCACCCACACGACCACGGCGCGCGCCGACCAGACCATGTTCGCCTCGCCCACCGAGTCCGAGTTCTCCGACATCTACGACGCGCCCGACGCTGTCCGGTGCGTGCCCCGCCCGCCCGCTGCCCGCACGCTGCTGACTGGCATAGGAATTGGGACGAAGACCGCGTTGCCGACTGGCTGAAGAGCATCAACTGCGCCCAGTATGCCGAGCTGTTCAGAAGTACGCCCACGCTGCCTGCTGACTGAGCCCCGCTGACCCGTGCAGTGAACAACATCAACGGCGAGAATCTGCTCGAGATGGACCAGACGCACCTGCGCGAGATGGGCATCAAGAAGGTCGGCGACCGCGTCCGCATTGGCTCGCAGGCCAAGCAGCTGCGCAACAAGGAGTTCAAGAAGGCCTCGCGGCGCACCTCCAACCGCCAGTCCCTGGCCACCCTCGACAACTCGTCGTACACGCCGCCTTCCGGCTCGCCCCGCCCCATGCACTCGGCCGCCCGCGCTGCCCCGCTCAGCTCACGCACCGAAAAGCGCATGTCCCGCCAGATCACCACCGCCGAGATGAGCTACGCGTACGGCACCAAGTCTCCCTCGCGGCCCAGCTCGCCTCTGGTCGACCAAGAGAACCGCCAACTCCGCGCCCAACGCCCCGGAGCGCTGAACAGCCCCAAGGAGCCTGGCAAGACATACGGCGCCCACCCGCTGAGCGCCCGCTACGCCCCGAACCAGCGGACCACACCCACCGAGACTCCCCAAACTGCCCGTTTCGCCCACCACGTGCGAGCTAGCCCCAGCGTCGACGCAACCAACAGTATGATTCTCCCCCAGGACAAGGCCTTCATCCGCGTCATCTTCGACGGTGGACGCACCTCGGTGCTTAACATTGAAGGATGCAAGACGGCCGAGGACGTGATGCTGAAGACTCTTCGCAAAGGCACACTGAACGAGGCCCACGTCAAGAACTACTGCTTCTACATTCTCAACAGCAGCGAACCCGATCCGGCCCTCGCCGAACGCCTCAGCGACATCGAGGTCTACCGACTTTGCAAAGACGCCAACAGGCACGAGCGGGGGCGACTCATCCTGCGAAAAGTCCACGCAGGAGAGCCCAGCGAAGAGCAACTCGCCGCAGCTGCAAACATCTACGCCCAGCAGAACTTCCAGCACCCTCAAAACATCTATGTTCCGGCCACCAACCGGAGTCAGCTCAAGATCGAGAAGCTGACTGGCGAGTCTCTGGCAGCCGTCAGCTATCCGCTGTCGCCTGCATCCGCACGAGAACGGGAGCGACACATCAACTCCACTGCACAAAATCTGGAGGGACCCGAGAGCTCCATTCGGTCGCCAGTATACCATGCACGCGCTCGTAAGCTCAAGCAGTTTTACGGCGCTCGACCGCCTAGTGAGCTGATTACCTCCGACCTCACATCTTACTTCCCAGACGTCCAGAAGGATGAGATCGACAAGACTGTGCGCATGTCTGTTCGCCGCTCGCGTCGCCTGAGCAAGGCAGCGTCCCGTCTGTCGATGGCGTCAAACTTCAGTGTAGCCTCTAGTTTGAAGGACGCACCGCCTCTTCCCTCCATTGCCGACAGCTGGCTCCAAGGCGGCAACCAAGCTCGGCCGTTGAGGCCGCTCTCGGTAATGAGGCTCGGCCTGCCGTCGCAGCACGGCTACCGCGACTCTATGGCCTCGTCCGTGCTAGAGCCACTTGATGAGGAGTCTCCTTTAGAGCCCAACCGCAAGTCGTATGTGTCCTTTGGCGACGGCAGCGGGTCTGACACCCTGGCTGTAACCGATCCAGAAGGCAACACCACGATGCAGTCTTACTTTGACGATGGCGGCAGCAGTCTTGCTGGCAGCAGCACAGACAACACCGAGAACGGCGACTCGCTCAACAAGCGCCTTTCTGAAGCTATTGCAGAAGACGGCGAGGAGTACGACGACGAGCTGACTGAGTACCTTGAACAAGACTCATGGGAGAACGTCAAGTACATGAAGGGAGCCCTCATTGGACAGGGTTCCTTCGGTAGCGTATACCTTGCATTGCACGCCGTGACCGGTGAGCTTATGGCTGTCAAGCAAGTCGAGCTCCCCTCCGCAGCAGGCACAGCACAGATGGACCAGAGGAAGACCAACATGGTCGAGGCTCTGAAGCACGAGATTGGTCTGCTGCGCGAGCTCAAGCACAAGAATATTGTGCAGTACCTTGGCTCCAACTCGGACGAGAGCCATCTCAACATTTTCCTCGAGTACGTCCCTGGTGGTTCAGTCGCCACCATGTTGATCAACTACGGACCGTTGGGCGAGTCTCTCATCCAGAACTTCGTGCGTCAGATCCTTACCGGCCTGTCATACCTCCACTCGAGAGACATCATCCACCGCGACATCAAGGGCGCAAACATCCTCGTCGACAACAAGGGCTCCGTCAAGATTTCCGATTTCGGTATCTCTAAGCGCATCGAGCAGTCCACCCTCGGCGGCAGCAAAAAGAACGCCCAGCGCGTCTCGCTCCAAGGCTCCGTCTTCTGGATGGCCCCCGAGGTCGTGCGCCAGACCGCATACACGCGCAAAGCCGACATCTGGTCCCTCGGCTGCCTCATCGTCGAGATGTTCTCCGGCAGCCACCCGCACCCCACTCTCACGCAGCTGCAAGCCATCTTCAAAATCGGCGGCAGCGGCGACGCCTCCCCCACCATCCCCGACAACGCCGGCGACGACGCCCGCGCCTTCCTCACGGACACCTTCCTCATCGACCACGAGAAGCGGCCGTCCGCCGACGAGCTGCTCGCCAGCCCCTTCATCACAAACCAGGGCGCCTGAGCCCTCACTACCGGTGCTTTACGCGCCACACCACACCACACATAGTTTCTCGACACTGCAAGCAGTGTGTAGCCTCAGTGCACAGCGCACACTGCACGTTCCCCCGTGTCTCTTCTTTTTTTTTTTTTTTTTTTGGCTCTGGAGCTTATCCGATTTTAATGGCTGCTACGCGTGAACGCTACGACATCTTGTACTATACGATACCGCATCTGCGGATGCTTGGGGCGGGCGGCTTTGGCTGCGGCTCGGCGGCGTTGGAGGAGGGATGGCCTGGGCCAGGGGAGATTTCAGGCTGCGGATGGGGGCCTAGGGGGCCTAAGGGGGGTTGAAAGGCGAGGCGAGGGGAGGGGGTAATCATGTTCATATCCCGGGTAGACAGGATGTACTATATCATACCTATACCTGCTCACGATGGCTTCATATGTCTGCATGTGCATGCTGGTGCTCTTGTTGCGAACGCCTGCTGCTAAGGAATAGCACGCTTACGCAAAGTACAATAGGTGGTGTAGCAGACCTACAAATCGAAAAAGAGACAAAGAGACAAAGAGACACTCGACATGGAACCTATTGACGATATCCCCTTCCGAGGCTGCTCGCTTCCCGAGTGCTTGAACACGCTCTGCTGCGTGTTTTGTAACAGTGCGGAGCTGGATTTCCAGGCGCTTTGGTGGCTTTGTTTCTAGCTGGGGAGGGGTGCTGGAAGCTGGAGGCTGGTGGGAGGAGGAGGGCGATGGAAGAGGCTTCGGTGGAAAGACTGAGCTCCGGTAGGAAGAGAACTTCTCCGTTATGTTCGGTGGGAAAAACAGATTCTTCGTCGACTACCCTATTGATTACTCCTCGCTGATTACTCACCCCATCTATCTGCTTCGCCCTCGGGATTCTTGGCCCCGTCGGTACGGCGGTGTGGAGCGTCCATCGCTGGTGCTGGGTTCCACCGGTGTTGTTTGACGCGGGTACTGCCGGATGTACGTGTGCGGTACATGTACAACAAGTACAGCGACCCGCCGGCAGCGTGGCTGCCCCGCCGATGCCTGATGCTGCATGTGCGGGCTCGCGATGCAGGCTGACTCGATGGAACTACACAGCGTACCTACTGTAGGTACCAGACCCTACTGTCGACGCGACCGCACGTCTCTCACAATCATCGCCCTCGCCGCCAGTCTGTTATTCACATCCGTACATACAATCATCCACTTGCCGAGTCCTTTATAGTAGTCTACGGAGGGTCTTCGCGCCGTGATCCGCTATCGAGATAATGCTGTACAGTAGTAGGTACTTGGTAGCGCGCGATCGTCAGTACACAGCTCCACAATGACATACGCGCCCCGCCCAGCCTGGACTCGGACGACGCGTTGCGGGGTAGCTCCGTCCAACGACGGACACCTTGGCGAGCTCGTGCACACGGAGGGCCGCACCTCATCGCACTTTGTGTTCGCAATGCCATGAGGAGATGGGTGGGATTGGTATGCTGTACTGCACTGTGCCGTAGCATACCGCACCGTGGTGTGTCGGTGCGAACACATTGGTGTGGCCGTGTAGCAGCACCCGTCAAGCAAGCAAAGGCAGTGAAGCTGGAGCTCGACGCCAGCCGAGGCACCCGCAAGCTCGACTCAGCAGTTCCTGTGTAGAAGTGGAGTAGCCGACATGCGATAGCCAAGCGACCGCCCGGAGCTGCCTCATAGCCGTGCAGCGCCGCCGTGCAGCGCCACCGTGCAGCTTGCAGCGCTGCAAACACGCGCCGCGGACGCCGTTTTGTGGGGTAGACTAGGGTGCTTCGGTGGGTGTGACGGCGGCGGTGGGTCAGATGGCAGGTGGGTCTGGAGCGGGTGAGGGGTATATATGGGCGGGCGTGGATGTTGGTTATCGGTTTCTGATTCTGCTTTGTACCTTTGCACACGCAAGAACACAGAGACTAAGACGGCTTTTTTGTGCAGTTCGATCGCGATTCGGAACTGATTCGTGAAGATCATTGGACGAGTAAGGAAGGGACTGATAAGAAAAAGAGAACGATATTGTCGGATAAAGAGAGGAAATCGCAGTCATGAGTGACATTCAGATCCCGAAGAAGCACAAGGCGGCTGTGTATGATAAGCCGGGCACGCTGTCGACAAAGATTGAGGAGTTGGATGTACCTGAGCCTGGGGCCGGTGAGGTGTTGATCAATCTGTATGTTCGCCGTCATTCATCGCCCGGGACCACTCGCGGTCCAGGGCTCGCTCTGAAGCTACGCGCGAGCTACACTGACCTTTCACAGAACACACTCGGGAGTCTGCCACTCAGACATGGGCGTCATGCTCAACGCATGGAGCATCCTGCCCTTCCCCACCCAAGCCGGACAGGTCGGCGGCCACGAGGGCGTCGGCAAGATCGTCAAGATGGGGCCCGGCACCGACAACTCGGCCGTCAAGCTCGGCGACCGCGTCGGCATCAAGTGGATGGCCGGTATCTGCGAGGCATGCGAGGCCTGCCGCGCCGGCATGGACGCATCCTGCTTCAACGGCGTGCGTACATCCTTTCCCCCACGTCAATTCCTACTGACACTGCCAGAAAATCTCCGGATACTACACCCCCGGCACCTTCCAGCAGTACGTCCTCAGCCCCGCGAACTACGTCACGCCCATCCCCGACGGTCTCGACTCGGCCGCCGCCGCGCCGCTGCTCTGCGCAGGCGTGACCGTGTACGCAGCGCTGCGCAAGACGAACGCGGACTCCGGCAACTTCGTCGTCATCATGGGCGCCGGCGGCGGCCTGGGCCATCTCGCTGTACGTCCCTCTCCCCTCACATACATGACAGCACGCTCACACCCCGCAGGTGCAGTACAGCGCGCGCGGCATCGGCCACCGCGTCATCGGCATCGACCACTCGTCGAAGAAAGACCTCGTCCTCGAGAGCGGCGCAGAGCACTTCATCCCCGTCGACGGCACCGCCTCGCTCGCCGACGCCGTAAAAGAACTCACAGGCGGCCACGGCGCGCATGCCGTCGTCGTCTGCACCGCGCACCAGGGCGCCTACGACGAGTCGGCCAACCTGCTGCGCTTCGGCGGGCGCGTGGTGTGCGTCGGCATTCCCGAGGGCGACCAGAAGCCGATTGCGAGCGCGACCGCGTCGTTGATGGTGGGCAAGGCGTTGCAGATTGTGGGGTCGGCGGTGGGGACGCGGAAGGAGGCGATTGAGGCGATTGAGTTTGCGGCCAGGGGCGTTGTGAAGACGCATTTCCGCGTCGAGAAGCTGGACAAGCTGACGGATGTGTTTAAGGAGATGGAGGCGCAGAAGTTGAAGGGGAGGGTGGTTATTGATCTTTCTGATTGAGCGTGTTGTGTGTTTAATGAAATGCAAATGATGGATTTAAATTGTGCTCTTCAACGCAGACCAGGGTTTTGATCTTCTCTGTCACTATGTATACAGTGAGAAAACGACGTCATCGCTTTCCAAAGCACATGTATGATCCGCGTCGCTCGGGAAACTCAGATGCTCCGTTCAACACCACAGCCAGACTCACACTGCAAAGTCACTTCCGTCGTAAAGTTCTTGCTAGACCCTGCCTTGCTCTTATGTACTCACGCTCTCCAGCACTCACATAGAGGAATTCAAAGAATAAGTTCCGACCTCCGCCATACACAGCCCTGTAGACAGCGCTGCGATTTCGCAGAAATACCACGGTCGTCAGCAGGATCGGTAGCACTTCAAATCTTCGGCGGCGGTGCCCAGACCCGTCTGAATCCATTCAGTGAACAGTGAAGTCGATTAATGCTCGATGGCTATTGGACCTTCTTGGAACGCGAGACACGTCTAATTTTCTCAGGGTGCACCTTTCAAACTGACGTATTAAACTATTGGTGTGAGAAAGGTAAAGAGACTATTACAAGAACAGCATGCAGAGTTCACAAGGTTCGAATTCGTGCCAAAAAGAAACTTCATAACAGAGAAGTAGCCGACGTGACCTGCACACTGTACCTGGCCCCAGGCCGGGCCTTCATCGCAGCCATTCACGATGCCCTCGCAACGCCACCCATCTACGCCACCAAAGCAACAGCGATCTTCTCAACCCCATCATCCAGCCCATCAACCTCCTCCTCCACCACGAACACCGCCTCCTCAGTCCCGTCCCCCGCCTGCGCGTCCTTGATCTTCCTCACCAGAAAGGCCACGCCCTCATCCACACGCGTCCCATATGTCAAATGAAACGGCAAAACAAGCGGCACGCCACGACACACCAGGTCCCCCCGCTGACAAATAACCATCACCTTCTGCGGCGGAAACCCCGGGATCCGCCCGCCGTCCTCGCGCGCCTGCGTGTCGCCATACAGCACCACGCCCGCGATGCGGTCCTGCACGGCCGGCGGCAGGGCCTCGATCGCGCGGTGATTAACCGCAGCGCCCTGCGAGTAGCCGCCGGCCACGATGACGGCGCGCGGGCACTCGTGCGCCATCGCGGTCAGCGTGTCGCGCATCAGGGCGGCGGCGGCGGCGTCGGTGCCGCCCGGCTCGAGGTTGTCGAGCAGCGAGGCTTCGTACTCGAGGCCTTCTGTTGCTACGGCGGAGGCGCCGAAGGCGTCCTTCAGGCCCTCGGAGGTCTGGGGGCCGACGATGAAGCCCTGCGCGGGTTAGTGTGGGGCTGCGCCGGGGGAGAGGAGGGGAGGGTGGTGTTGGAAGTGCATAATGTCTTAGAAACGAATATGGGTAGCGATTGTTTTAGTTAGAGATTAGTATGGAACTGGGCTTATAGAATGAATGGAAAAGCGAAAGAGAGACGGCTCTGACCTTTCAGAAACTGAAGAGGGGTGGACAGTAAGGAAGATACATATCGGTCCAGCAGCCTCGTTAAGGCTTTATTCTCGCATTATTGAATCTACAAACATTATGTTGGGGACGAGGTCATGATATAAGATAGGATGGCACTAAGCTATCGATGCGGGGGTTGCATTTGGGCGCTCAAAGTTAGGGAACGAGGAATATCAGGATAACAGGCTTCTAATTGGGTGGTTCGAGGCAACTTTGCAGTTTGATCTATGCAAACGTAAGACATTGAGTGTGATCTTCTTGGATCACACTTACCTACACTTTGTTCTGCAGTATTGTGGCCGGAGAAGTACCAACAAATCCAGCTCCTATGAAGTTGACGTGGGATTTTGGCATAAGTCGATATGTCTGGCTCTCGTGCCCGGCACCTTGATGCTCTCTGTAGCTGCATTAAGTCTGAACGCAAGGATACCCAGGGAGTGTCAGTAATCAACACAATTCGATAACCAAACATCGTCTTAGAAGAAGTGCGCATAACAAGACTTCCATCATCCCCATCCTCGAGATAAATATGAGCAGCCGATTTCCTCACATATCATCTTAATGCAAGGAAGCGTCTCAAACCGTACAACCTCAGCAGTGCAAACAAGCTTTTGCAACGTCATTAAAGGCTCCAGAGAATCTGCGCTTGGTTGTTGGCCAGCCTCGGTGGTTTCAAGTCTTAGAAGTAAACTTCCACGTTGGATGTGAGAGTTCAGCAGAATGTCTTGGCTGTAGTGGGCACACGTCAAGCCAGGGAAGCCGGTTTTCGCAATGAGAGTTTGAATGGTTTACAATCCGTTGGGTCGGATTCGTCATCATATATATTGGTGGGCTCCGTCGCTTTATGATGAGTATTCCAATGTCCACTTCCCAGGTTCTTCTCGACTTCTGGGGGAAATGACATTCTTATCCTCTCAAACTCCAAGGTTCTCGGAATCCTCCAGGGATTACTTGCAACATCTCCGGTCTCGACCGCCGCAGCTTTACTCCGTTAGAGGTGCGCTGATCCGGATGTCTGCCGCTTTATTTTGGCAGCCTGGATCTTGGTTGGCAATCGCTCATTGTCTTCGTTGTCCTGATTTCCAGTAAGCTTCTACTAATGCTCAAGTTGGCCCCTTGCCTACATGCCTACTACTGCGGGTACAGTGGGGCCTTCTCGTACAAACTAAAGATCGGAATGGAGGAGCAAACTGGTCTGTTATTGGTAAAGTTGAGATATTCAAGCAGTGAGATAGCTCAAGCTCATATTCAAGCTCCAGCTGTCGGAGAGGCCAAAGCGACAGTGACCACATCGCTCTCATCAAAACTAAGTGTGCTATGTACTTGCAGATCACTAAAAGGATTGAGAAAGATTAACATCTGTAACCTGGGTTGCTGTTCCAGAATTTCCAGCGGAGACTGCAGATGCAAACAAACTCTGAGCAAACAGTTAATCACAATGGGTCGCGCTCGACCGGAAGCGAAAAGATACTGGCTTACTGCATCGTCAAAGTTTCCCGCCACGCTTTGACCCTGAGTTCAGCGTAACGATTAGCTGAAATGCAGCGGGGTCTTCGTTCCCTCGTCGATGTCCATCCTGTCTTCAATATCTGCCCTGGTCTTGTGCTCTGGCACATGGACCACATCATCTTCCTTACCAAATCTCATCGCATTCTCGTCCTGGGGTTCAACCAGTTCCATCATATCAGGAGACGATCTCTTTCCTGCTTCTTCTTGAACTTGAAGAGCGGTTTCTTTCGCCATGTCGGGCTGTGCTGAATCCTTTTTCTTCGCATCTTCTTCAACCTTCTCTGTCTGCCAGTGCCTATCCTCAAAGTGCTTGCGAGTGTCTTTGAGCTTGCTGTTGATTCTCTTGCCACAAATCCAGCACTCACGTCCTTTCACATCGCGCAGAAACTCCTCCCACATGACTATCACTTTCTCAGCTTCCGTGGGGTCCAGGATGCTCGCCACTGCGTATTTGATCTCATCCCAGGTGCGCAGCAATGAATGCAAGGGACTCCCTTCGGGATAAGGGTACTTCCATTTCTTCGGTTCCACCGTCTCGAAATCGCCGTCTAGAATGGCGGAAAAGTGCGACAAGAACGCAGTCACGAATTCTTTCTTCTTACGCTCACCATCGATCTCAGTTTCGAACCATGCGAGGAGCATCGGGAGCTTACCGAGCATGTCAGCAAGTTGATTGGCCGTCACGACAGAGTACGTGGCCATGACTGATGTATCCAGCGCCAAACACATGATTGGACAAAACGGTGGCAACCTTATCGCTTCGCCAACGGTCTGCACAAGACACATGCCCCCTCGGAGCTGGCTAGTTACATCCAGTTTTGAACTATCGAATGCTTCTGAGAACGCCTCATATGAACTTTTGAGGATGCCGAGGTTGTGTTTTGATGGCGGCCAGATGATCCAAGCGACTGAGCCCGACATCAAGGTTGTGAATGTGGATCCTTCGTTGCTGTGCTGCAGTGGGAGAAATGTATCGGCAGGTAAGATTGTAGCCATGGTCATGGATTCTCGCAAGAGGTTGTCCTGCTTGATGTCGGCATCGGTACACATGCTGTCCAATGATGGGCTGGGGAAAGTGACAGTCATGCCGCTGTTGGCTCGACTATCGTCGGTCAGACTGTTCAGCAACTCGAGTACTTCGTCCCGCTCCTGCGTGCGCGCAGTCTCAGCTGACCAAACGGCGTTCATGTTGTCATTCTGGATATCACTCTGACGCGACTTTTGTAAGTCATCGATCAAAATCTTCTGCAATTCTGACAAGGGTGGCAGCATGTCGGATCCAAAGGGCGACATCCTCTTGCCTAAGCCCGGGAAGTCGAAGTCACCCGGCCCAAAGGCTAGGCGGCCTGCTTGCTGCTTCGACCCGTATGATAGGTTTTTTCCATTGTCCAGAAGCGATATGAAAAGAGCTGTGTGCGGAGACGACGCCTTGGCCACGGCTTCGCGAATCTTGATAAGGCTGACTATGCGGTCGGGTGGCGTCATAGTATGGGTGGATGCAGATAGCAAGGTCAACGAAATTGCTGGTGAAGCTGTGACTGAGTTATTGAGAGAAGTTGTGGTGAGACAAAAACACAGCTCGTGTGTGCGTTGCCTGGCACAAATAACGCGGTGGACCGTGCATGATGTAAGTGAAAGCGTCTCGGAGCATAACGTTCAGTGAGGAGGACCGATGACCTTACAATCTCAGCAGACACTCCCAGAAAATACGCACTTGATGAATCAAAACTCCTTGGTCAGTCAGCGCATAGCAGTATATGTGCCAGGTCCGACTCAATAACGCCGGCGATCAGTGTCCAATCAAGAAGCGGCGTCAGACCCAGGGCCCAAGCCGTCGGAGTCTGCAGGTCAGAGGGCGTTTGAATAAGCTTTACTGTGGGCTGCGGATCATGGATCGTGCTGGGGTAGTGGGCTTGCGGTACGGCCCAGCGCTTGACAGCTTGACAGCACTTAACAGCGATGTTGACATGCTGTCCGGCGCAAAGTCTAACATACGTACCTTTCGCATATTCTACACCAACGATGTTCATAGAACATGACTTTTCAATGGGAGTTCGGCACCGTCCTCCAGTCAGAAGTGATTCTCGCAACCTTATGTGTCTGCGCGTTGCGGTGGAAGCAATCTGTGGTGAAGCCGACCGTAAGCCCAGCCCTGCTGAAGATGCATCTGCGTTTGAGATATAAATATACAGATACAAATCATACCAACAGCTTTCCAATGACCAGCTTTCTTGCGCAGCCTGTCGACGTCGCGTTAATATTAGTATCGCACCTGGTATTAATTCCAGGCAGTCGAGTCGCTACCTGTACTTGCGACTAGAATAGATCTCCCAACCTCAGCTTATCTGTGAGAGCAAGCACTATCAACCAAAAATTAAGAAGTCGGTTGTAAAGTGTAACCAACATCGTTGATCCACCTGGACCTCTTTGCCCAATCGCGCAACTCGCTTAGCTTCGGCAGCCCTCCCGAGAGTTATCCACCTGCGGAGAGCGCTGCGCGACGGAATCGAAGCAAGTGTCACCGCAACATCAGCAGATCCGCCCAAGGTCCCACTGGCGTTTTCCGCTTGAAGCTATGTAGACCGGCGGGTAAGCGCCAGATAACGGCGTCGGGAAAGCGCAATTCGTTCTCCTTTGCCCGATCGGGATACCTCTCCCCAGACGATGAAAGAGCCCCGCGCTACTAGCGTCAACACGACCACGACATGTGGCCGAGAACGGGCCAATGTGTCGCGAGTGACGATAGTGCTGGATAGTATAAAGATAGATGCTGAAGGAGTCTTTGAAGAGTACTGCCATCGCGCTCTAATCCTTTGACCTCACAGTTCGAAATTCGACACAATGGCAGCATCAAAGCCATCCTATCTGATCGTCGGCGCCGGTGTCTTCGGAGTGTCCACCGCCTACCACCTTATCAAGAAGTATCCGGACCGCCAGATCACAATTCTCGATCAAGACGCGTATGATGCAGATAACCGCGTAGCTGCGTCTTGGGACTGGAATAAGGTTGTGCGCGCTGATTACGACGACATTGTCTACACAGAGCTTGCTCTTGAAGCCCAGGATGTTTTCACCGATGATCCTCTCTGGAAGCCATACTTCCACCAAACTGGTATCTTCTGGGTGTGCCGCTCAGATTACGCCCAGGATGTCATCAACAACTACAAGAAGCTTGGTCGCACAGCAGACCTGCAGGCTGTTTCTGTCGAAGAGGCCAAGAAACTCTTCGGTGGGCTGTTTGAAGACGCCAACTACGACGGCGCGAAGGAGGTGCTCATCAACAAGACAAGTGGATGGTCAGAAGCTGGCAACGCGCTAAGAGCAGTCACCAAATGGTCGATGGAGAAGGGCGTCAAATACGTCGTCGGCAAGGCCGAGAGCCTGGAAATCGACAGCAACGGCACATGTACCGGCGTGAAGACCGAAGATGGCAAGACATTATCCGCCACCAAAGTTATCCTATCCACCGGCGCCTATACCGCCACACTACTAGAGAAGGCCGCAAAGAAGAGCGGAAACAAAGCGCTTCGTGCTGAGCACAGAATTGTCGCCGGCGGCATCACCACGGGCATGACCACCCTCGACGATAAGTCGTACGCGCGCTTCAAGGACATGCCTGTGGGTGTGCAGGGCTACACGGCCGAGTACGGGCCCTTCATTGGCAGCCTGCCGCCCACCAAGGACCGCGAGCTCAAGTGGTGGGGCGAGAAGATCTTCAAGAACACCCATGAAGTGCTCCCCGGCAGTTTCATCTCTGCGCCCCCATCTGGGAAGGACTACAACCAGTGGGACGTCCCTGGGCCGCTGAAGCTCGACATCGACCACGCGAACAAGGTCTTCTACGGCAAGAACGGCGCCAGTTGGAAGATGGACAAGCACCGTATCTGCTGGTAAGTCGTGTTTGTCACCAGTTTCCGTGCATATGCTGATCAAATGACCAGGGACGCATTCACAACAAGCTCCGACTTCATCATCTCGCCCCACGCCGCGGCGAAGGGCCTGTATGTAGCCACATGTGGTTCATTCCACGGCTACAAGTTCTTCCCTGTGCTGGGTAAGTACGTTATTCAGATGCTCGAGGACGACCTGCGGCCCGATCTGAAGGAGAAGTGGGCGTGGGACCGCGAGAGGCCTGCGCCGGCTCTCAACCCTGACTGGCCAAGGTTCGAGATGAAGGACCTGTTGGACCAGTGGCCGAAGGCGAAGTTGTAGAAAGTAAACGTTCGAGTTGGGCATGTGCATTTAGCATTGGCTGCGTGGCGTTCCGGTTCATCACTCAGTCTACGAGTTAGAGAAACAATGAGCATAACAATTATCAAACAATCAAAAAGCCCGGTGTTCCAGTGTAGTGAGCGGTGATGCGATGTATAAGAAGGTATAGCTACGCTAACGACACTAGTGTGCCTGCACGCAAAAATTCTATACCCCACTGCACACAACGGCGGTCGTAGAAGGGAAAAAAAAAGACGCGATTTTGGCGGTACCGTGAATCGAACACGGGCTGGCGCGGATCTGGATCGGAACACTGGGTGTTCGCCAGCCACAACGCGACGTCATACCACTAGACTTGAGGTATGTTAGTCGCTGCTTCGGGAGCAGTTGGTGAGATGAGACTTACCCATACCACCCTGGGGTGAATTGATGACTCATCCAAAAATTAACATATATCTATCTACGGATGTTGGCAGCCATGGTCACTTCGTGTCTGAAATTCATACGCTTAATGTATGTATATTGATTTTTGATATGTACAACGAATGTGGAGTTTCCCCACTTTAAGCGGGATCGCGGTTTGCTGCTTATGCGGTAACCTTGGTCTTGATGAAAGCCAAAGCCTGGGAACCATACTTGTTGACGTACTGCTGGTGAGTGTTGGCATCGTTACCAGTGCAGCAGTATGGGTCAGCAGCATCGCAGTACGACTTGATGATGCTTGTGTTGGCAGGTGAGCACTGGAAGCCAGCGGGGCGGGCGGCGAACTTCAACGTTTGTCAGTACTCATTCGGGCTGACATGAAATAGAATACTTACGCCTTGAGTTGTGCATGTGCCAACATTGTATGGGAGGCCAGCACGGTTGTGTGGGTCGCCCATGAAGATAGCAGCCTTGACGGCTTTCAACGCGTTGCCAGTAAGAGTGGCACCAGCACCACCGCAAAGAGCGTTGTCCATAATTTGGCCACCCTAGGGAAGATCAGCAAGTGTTTTACTAAGCACAGTGGAGCAGCGTACCTGAGAGTAACCGATGAGGACGATCTGTGTGCTGGGGCACTTCTGGTTGTAGGCTGTGACGGCCTTCACGACGGCAGCGGTTCCCTGGCTGGCAGAGTTGTCGTAGCTGATACCTCCGCAGGATGCCTGGCCACCGCAAGCTGGGTAGACAATAGCCTCCGAGCTAGAGCCAGGATAAGCAGCCTTGACCGAATTCACGAGGCCGCCAGCGGTTCCATAAGCATTGCTTTGAGGAACAGTCGTCTCACGAGCTCCGAAGATGTAGACCTTGGGGCAGGCTTGCCTCTCAGCGAGTTCGACTGGGTTGGCAGCGGCAAAGCCGAGGGCGGTAAGAGTGGCGGCGGCGACGGTGAACTTCATGTTGACTGCTGTGATCTTCTGTATGCTGGCTTGGGATATGCTTGACTTGATACTGTGTTGATCGATTATGTGCAGCGACGGTCCGCGAATTTGTAGATTTCAGACGAAGAAGAAGAACCGATCTTTAGGCAGAATTAGTGAGGCTCCTTTACGACCATGATGAGTTGGCGTGGTACAGCAGACTGCTATGTTTTGCGAGCAGTTAGTTCGCCCTTTCGCCCGACCCTGTAATTAAATTGCGTCCTGTGATGGGAATTATTCAGGGGTGATTGCCGACACCCATGTCTGTTTGATGCGGATATAGAGTGTGGCGCTCTGGGGAACATGAATCCCGGTGGCTCAACATCGTTGGCAGATTGCTTGATATGAGCTTAGTGGGTCTCTCCGCACTTTCTTTGAACCAAGGACCATTTGTGCTCACCTACGTGACGCTAGAACAACTGCGAAGCTGGAGTACGATGGCTAAAAGGTTGCATTGACGAACAGCCTGGTAGAGCGAGCCTGGCGATCATGTGGGGCCGAGCTAAAGGGTCGAAACATAGCATCGACAATTATCGACGCAGTGTTATTATTGATTTAAAAAGGCGTCCTTGCATAGTCCGCTTGGCTTCAATGGGGTGGTTGAGCAGGATCGCATAAAGCTCTTCTGTGGAAAAATTGTGAAAGAAAAAAGGCGAAGCATGACTGGCAATAAAGATGAAACAGACAACATCAACCGAGCTTTAGGTTTCGAAACACCATACGACACGTGTTATAGCGCTCTGGTTGATAGAATTCGATGAGGCTGGTACGGTGAAGTTGTCGTCGGGGTCGTCCCTCTAATATCGGAAGTTTGCGTGATGTCATCAACGTTTTCGGCTCGCACTTGCTCCGACATGTCTCGGTTCATCGGTAGCTCGCAACGATACTACATCAATTCGTTATCGCTTTCGCTCCGTCCCAGGTTACTTCCTCGACGCTGACCAGAGAGGAGCATTGACTAGCTATACATTGCGCATAAAGCTTGGTCGATGCTGTTCCAAGTAGGGCACTGTACGAACAGGTCGACGCTCGCGATTATGTACCATGCCTGAGAAGTCGCAATTGTTGCAAGGCCCATGTGTAGCAGTATGCAGAGCGCATCCTTACAGCTCAATGAGTGATCAATGTTCTATATATAAGATTGCTGACTCAGTGGATATCCTCAAGGCTGCGATTGGCTTGCTTAACCCAGTCACCGCAAATACAGGTGTGCCGTCTGCTGTGCTGACGCCTATCATCTATGCGATTTTGATCGCGATCACCTCACACAAGTTCGAAGACCTCACTCTCGAGAAGGGAGTCTGGTACAACCCACGATCGTGGCATCAACATGACTTTGCCTGTTTCGCTCAGCGAGTTTTACACCAGTTTCTTCGTAGGGCTTACTCTTCACCTTGCGGTCGGCACCAGCAACATTGAGTTCGAGCGATATGTTGTGAATTCAATCGGAGCCGTTCTCCTTGCATATGGCGGCATGCTTACTTGGTGGTCTCGATGCGACGATCATGATCTTCTGATCGCTACAGGACGAGCGAGCCTGGCTGTCGCTGGTGCGACCACAGGAGTCCTTATAAGCCTTACCGTCTATCGACTTCTGATGCATCGATGCCACAGGTTTCCAGGCCCACGACTTGCGGGGCTTTCCCGTTTCTATTTGGCGTACCTGAACGCAAATCTGAAGGATTCCCAGTACTATCAGAAACTTGAAGATCTGCATCGAAAATACGGAACCTTCGTGAGGATCGGTCAGTAATGGCAAACTCCTGCAAATCCATTTCTGACCAGACCAGGCCCGCGTGAGATCAGTATACTTGACAAAGATGCGATCCCTCTCATCTATGGATCAAAAAGTAAATGCAGAAAAGCATCATGGTACAGCGCAACCGGATTCGACCCAGACCACGTCAACATTGGAGCAATCCGGGACCCTGTGAAGTACAAGCAGCGAAGACGTGCCTGGGATCGCGGATTGTCTACAAGAAGTATGTTTCCCCTCTACTTTTAGTATACGTGCTGATCTCTGGAGTGCTTCCTGTTTTTGAGCCTCGAGTCAAAGACAAAGCAGATATGCTTATCAAGCAGTTGAGGGATCATGCCGGCCAAGCAGTGGACTCTACAGCGTGGTCAATGTTATTCAGCTTCGATACTATGGGAGAAGTAAGCTTCAGTCAAGACTTTGGTAACCTAGCCACCGGCGAAGAGCACCCAGGTATCCAGGTCATGCACAGCCTTCTTTGGCTTCTTGGGGTTATGTCGCCTTTACCTTGGCTGTTGTATCTTTTTGCTTTGCTACCTGGCGCGGCGAAGACACTGATCAAGTTTGACAGCATATGCGTGGACGTGCTTGCTGAAAAAGAGAAGGTAGGCCTCTGAAGCACTCTTCTTTAGTCATTACTAAAGCTTATAGAACTGGAACAATGAGCAAGAGCCGAGCGATGTAGTTTCTTGGTTCCTCAAAGCTATTAATGACAAAGACGTGTCAGCGTCGCCGACCCGAAAGTCTCTCCTTGAGGACACCCGCGGCGTGGTCATCGCCGGCAGGTAACGTAGCATGAGATGAACATTGTGGCAACTAAGCTGACGCTTTCAAGCGACACAACAGCAAGTACGCTTGCCAATGTCCTGTTTTGTCTCGCCAAACATATCGACGTCCAGCGCAAACTTCGTAACATGCTAAATGAAACTATGCCTCAAGGCTATTCCGACTGGCAATATGCCTCGATCAAGGACATCTCGTATATCGACGACATAATCAACGAGACACTACGACTGAAGCCTCCAATCATACAAGGAACACCGCGCGAAACTCCAGCAGAGGGTCTGCAGATCGGGGACGTATGGATTCCCGGGCACGTCAATGTGCTTGTACCGACGATATCGATTCAACGTGATCCCCGTTGGTGGAAAGAGCCAAACCACTTCGTACCCGAGCGCTGGCACGAGCGGAAAAACGAAATGGGCACTGAGGATGCGCCGTGGATGCCATTTCAGCGGGGCTTACACCATTGCGCAGGAAAAGAAGTCGCATACCTGACATTGAGGACCGCGATTTCCGCGATTGTGCAGAACTTCGATGTCACGTTTGCGCCTGAGGAGAGCGAAGAGAGCATCAAAGCGTTCGATGAGCGGTTCTTGTCTTCGATGTTGATGACGCTCCGCCCTCTTCATCTTGTCTTCACGGAAAGGTAGAGAATAGTAGGGAGTGATTGGTCAGGGTCCTAGTGGTTGAACACTTGCGGCCAGATTTCGGAGCACTGAGGTTATCTTCTATCATGATCCGATACGTACTATACTTTACTCTCCCCTCGAAAGTCATGATATGCCAAACTGCAAGATAACTATCCGTGAACATGTAAACATCTCCCCAACAATTTCTTCAATCTGTACGTTGGGATAGTCCCTAAGCAGATATAATTAATCTTAGCCGCAATGGAAGGCTTTTAGTCGTACGGGAGTTCAAACTATGTCGAGAAAAGTGCAAATGTTCTGGCTTATTCATCGACAGCGCTGGCTTCGTCATTATATCACTCGCCTCTATCAGGCGCTTCAGTCTCTAGCATCGACCAACAGAAGTCAAGATGCGGTTGTAGAACGCCACCACATGGTGCTTCTCAGCCACTCATTTCCGATATCGTAGACTCTATTTACACCCTCTATTGATTTCTCTGTACATGCTCCGTGCCACAAGCATCACACGAGCTAGCTCCAATTATGCGAGCACCACCCAGCCCACACTTCACGACGACTAGCCCTCGAAAATGACAATGAATGGAGTGTCATAGCAACCGATGTAACGACACTTCCTCTACCGCCATTGCGTCAGAACTCTTCTTCCACCTTTCCAGTGCACCGGATGCACTGTGTATCAGCTTGCGGACCAACCATTGCATTCCAAATTCCAGATACACCCCGCAAACACGGAGCACAGGATACCCTGGAAACAGACAATATAGAAGTGCCCTATTGGCTCTTGATTTACCTTGTACTATCGCGAGGGATGTATACAAAGTTTTCTCACTGAACACAGGGAGTCTAGCACGTCCAATCCTATCACACCACATCACCCCACGCCGTGATCATCATATCCACCATTTGTGCTGCGCCTTCCACGTGTACCCTTTGCGGAAGTTAGAGCGCCTCGCTCATTGCGCTGGGACTATAGCAGTGGGTACAGCGCGGGAGTCTAGAGAGCACGGAGAACTCCGGGGGGGTGTCTCGAGTGGTTGTTTCGTGGCGAAGTTTCGTGGTCATGTTTCATGATGCTGTCTCGTTGTTTGGTTTCGAGGTAGTTCTGTGGTGCTGTACTGCGCCGGACTACTTTGTACCATGTCGTACGTAGTTCACCAACGCTGCGCTACAGTGCGCTCTGCCGGGGTTTCCTTACCGTATCGTTGACGTGCTCCGCAAAGTAGAATGAACGTGAAAATACTAAGTTTATTAGCACAACGCTCTGCCGAACTAAGATACTGCACCCTGCACTGCGATACACCACGCGGTCCGTACTATACATATCATCTCATCTCCACCACCACGGGAACCACCGCACCCGGGCTACATGCAGGTACACCGTCCCTCTTACCCACTGCACTACCGCTATCTCCGTCAAGGACAGCGTACATCCGTAGTTCACGCCGCACACGAGCCTCGACCAGTCTGGCGGGCAAGCTATTTCGGGCGCGTGTGGTCTGGAAGCAGCCAGGGGGCCTGGCACAAGATGAACCGTAGAACGATTACCTACAACAATTAGGTAGGTCACTAGCATTCCACGAGACGCGATACGAAAGGCGAGTGCAGCGTATGTATTTTTCCACTCATGTGCAATACACACCGCAGACGCGGATCTGCCAGTACGGGCTCGAGTGTGGCGCGTGTGCACTGCACTTTAGGCACCGGTACCTGGCACGCCCACCTGGCACCACGCGCGCCCACAGCTGGACGCGGCGCTGGCTCGCCACAAAATACATGACCACGCACATCGTCCAGGGCCCCCGTCGCCGCGCCCAAGGCTGTTTCCACACCTGGCTCCGTACATGTGTACGCAGCCCCTCGCCGTCGCGAAACCGTTTCGTTTGCCCCAGCGCCCCACATCTCCATATTGCGCGCATGAGCGTGTGGGAATCCCCGAGCGGGCCCGTCGGTCATCAGGTCAGACTCTGCGGACCTCGTGACTGTTGCGTTTGTCTTCGCGTTATGTGCGTATACAGGGTCTCTGTTTTACGCTGCGATGCGTATGTACGGCTGCCTCGGATTCCATGTCTATGTCTGTGTAATTTGCCCTTGATAGCGCAGCGCCTCGCGATTCGCCGGGTGCAAGCGAAAGCGGGGCGCTGCGGGAAAGTGTAATTGGCCGAAGGCGTCATGCGCTAAATCATTAGTTCTGCGGATTCTACCTGTCTACGATGCTTTGGGTGTAGAGGCTCGTGTTTGCATGACGTCATACAGGTCGTTGAGCGGACACGCATGCAGGGGGAATGTTCGGTGTGAAGACGTTGTGTGTGCAAGATAACGTGCTGGGATGGGCGGCGATGCGGACGCGAGTCGGGGTTAGAAATAGTACATGTGTAAGATCGATCAACGGATGATCGCGTTCGTCAGCGCCGCATGCGGCAGGAGGCGTCAGGGTTTCAGCCTTCAGGCCTCGTGTTCGTGTAATGGTGGACAAGCATGAGTAATGGTGGACGGTCGAGACACATCGATCATCGCTTTGGAGATGTTGAGAGGAAGATATGTATTGTCAATAGCGCAGCTACTGATGCTAGTAGTATGACTAGAAGATAGGTAGTGGTGTAATAGGTAGTATGTAGTATGCAATGAAATGCGAGATGGTGTAGCCTCCTAGGAGTGCTAATGCAGGTGGTATCATCGAAACAAACAACACCGAAAATGCTATGCTAAACGAACGCCATGGCCCTGTGCCTTGAGTATCCAACGTCGAGATGATGTAGCTTGGCTCGTCAGCCTCAGCTGCTGTCTTCCTCGCTTGCTGTGGAGGTGCTGTCACCGGGCAGCTTGCCGAGCGTCCAGCGCCAGTCACGGCTGCGTTTCCGTCGACCGGCGACGGGCGTCTGTGGGCAAGTGTCACTGTCATCTTCAGACTCAGACGAGTCACGCTTGTCTCCGAGTCTGGGTGGCTTTCGCTGCCGGGCCGAGCTCTCTATTGTGATGGTGGGCTTGGTCTCTGGCAGTGACTGGAACGACAGCGAGGGCTTGACGAGCTTAGGCACGACCGGGCGGTGCGTGGCTGGGGCTTCGGGTTCAGAAGCAGGGGACTCTGTCGATGTGGAGTCCAGGGTCAACGTCGAGCTTGACGACTCGAGGTCTGAGTTGGCCAAGGTGTACTTGACCGTCTTGATCTCCTCCTCGAGCGGCGTGCGGAAAGACACACGCTTCTCGGCCGGGAACATGGGACGGGAGGCCATCTTGCGCGGGACGATGCGGCTGTTGGCCAGGATGGAGTTGAGGTTGTGGGGCTGCTTGTACGGTATTGTGCAGCTGGCCGTCTCGCTGGAGGCGGATGTGAGTGTCGAGGACAGGGTCGAGGCCGAGTCCGGGGTGCTGATGGTGGTTGGGGCCGGAGTAGTGGTGCTGATGTCCAGACGCAACCTTGCAGGCGGCCCAGGCGGCGGTGCGACGTAAGTGTTGAGCGTATTAGAAGTGTTGGTTGTGGTTGTGGGCTCATATGCGTTGTTGAAGGTGTTGCGCACGGTGGGTGAGACGGCGCTGAGCGTATCCAGTCGTAACGAGGCGCCTTTGCCAAATACGCGGGGCTGGTGGGTGTTTACGGTGAGTTTGGGACGCTGCGACGGCCGCGAGGGCATTATAGGCAGCGAGGTGGCCATGGTAGACTGCAGCGCAGGTGACGACGTGAAGGTGGGCGGCGCGGGGTGGATAGAGAGCATCATGTGTGAGACTGCGAGCAGGTGGGCGCAGACTGAGGCAGTGTGGCGGGGATCCGTCAGCCTTCTCAGGTGCAGCGGTCGTGTCGGCTGATGGGGACAAAAGGTATCGTGAGTCGTCGTCGTGGTATTAATGCGTATATAGTCTTTAGTCTTGTCTACGCCCGGATTCAAAGACTGCGCGCGGGGCCGCGCTGCTTTTGAAAAGCGCCATCGCTGTTCCGTGATAGAACGCGCGTGCTGAGGGCAGCGGCTACCCAGGTTATTTTTGGCAGCCACTAGCAGGAAACCTTGAACAGACAGGGAGCCGCGACCCACTCGCAACCAGCCCGAAGCGCCCTTGTTTTGCCATCCTGCATCTGCTCCTCCACCAACGCAACGTCAGACTGCGAGCCGCCGACTCCCTCCGGCGGCCAGGTGGCTTCGCGTCTCGCTTCGATGGACGGCCCTCGCAGGCGGAGGCTGAAGCGGCAGCTCGACTCGACCATCCTCCACTTTGTAGGTCAGCACAACAGTCAATAACCAGGCACCCCGTCGCCGTGTTACACAGCCTGACGAAGAACGCCCGGGCGCCGTGGACCTCCAGCGCCATCGTCGTAATTGCTTGCGTCGAATCGTGCTCAGCGTTGCTAACGTGCTGCCTGTACGCTTTTAGGACTATGTACGTGTTGCCCTGTGCACCTGCCCGGCACCTGACACGGCTTACACGCGCTCGATTAGGACTGCTTTTACGCCAGCGTCTTTGAACGTGAGCAGCCACACCTCAAGGCGCTTCCTCTCGCCGTGCAGCAGAAGCAGATTCTTGTGACTTGCAATTACGAGGCTCGTCGACGGGTACGCTCCACATTCTCCAAACGGCACACTCACGTGATGCTGCCAAGACATCGTTACGCAAGCAGGTCTTGCGCATTAATAGTAGCATACATGCACTACGCAGCTACAGACTAAGCCAGACGCCAGTCTGCTGACCTGCTCAGGGATTGTACAAGCTGCAGCTGATTTCAGAGGCTAAGAAAGTGTGTCCTGATGTAGTCATTGTCTTGGGCGAAGACCTTACCCGGTTCAGAAATGCCTCGAAACAACTTTATGCCTTCCTGAGCTCGTTCTCATGGAACTCACGATGCGAGCGGCTTGGCTTTGACGAGGTCTGGCTCGATGTGTCTGATCTGGTTGACAGCAACGTCTCGACTTTGAATTTGTCTAATCTAAGTGAATCTTTCTTTCGTCTGTCGAAACAAGATCCTACAGTTGGTTTCTGCTTCAACGCAACCAGTTATGCCGGTCATGTTCATCCAGAGCTATCGACTGAAACGTGTGGTAAGCCTTTCTATCTACTACATCTACAGGGGGCATGAACTACATGCTCGTGCTTCTAGAATGCCCCAGAAACCCGCAGTGTGACAAGTAAGCAGATTTGTCGTCTCATGCATCTTGTACTATCGTTAGGCATCATGCCAAGAGCCCTCGATACAAGTTGGCGTGATGGCAGTTCGGTCGCGTCTGTTTCATGTTTCAAAACTCTCAATCAACATCTAATGCATAAAACCAGGTGATACTTCACATGACCCTCTGCGACTCCGACTGCTACTAGCAAGCCACTTGGCTCAGCACATTCGACATAAACTTGAGCACGATCTGGGCTATACGGCTACTGTGGGCATCTCAACGAACAAGCTTCTCACCAAGCTAGTTGGAAATCTCCATAAGCCCAACAACCAAACAACGCTGATACCGCCATACACGGCCGAAGATGACGAGTGGGATAACGTCACTCCGTTCGTCGACGATCATGAGATTGGCAAGATTCCAGGCATTGGCTTCAAAATCGCCCAGAAGCTTAGACAGCATGTACTAAAGCGAGCTGCAGACTTCGACACTGGTCTAGTATATGGGGGGACCAAGGAAAGTGTGCAGGTTCGAGATGTTCGAACTTATCCTGACATGGGCCCCAATGTCTTAGAGCGACTGCTCGATGGCCCAGGAACCCCGCACGGTATAGGCACTCGTGTATGGGACTTACTCAACGGCTGCGATGATACGGAAGTCGGCCAGGGTCGTGAGATACCTCGATCAATCAGCATTGAGGATAGTTACATAAGACTTGACACGATCGAGGGCGTAGTCAAGCAGCTGCGCATTCTGGCCATCAGTCTGTTGAAGCGCATGCGCACTGACTTGGTTGGAACTGACCAGGAGCCGGCCGAAGACCCGACTGCCATCGAGGTGGCGTCAGCTCCCCGCTGGCTTGCTCATCCAAAGACCATTCGTATCTCAACACGCCCACGTCCATCAGACGGAAACCGCAGCCGCACATTCACACGCATCTCCAAGTCCGGGCCAATGCCCAACTTCGTGTTCAAGCTGGATACGGACGTGGAGACACTGGCCGAGAGGATGGTACATGAAACTCTGATACCACTCTTCCGACAACTGCACCCCGAAAAGAAAGGCTGGAATTTGAGCCTTGTCAATCTTGGAGCTGCAAATATAGTGGAAGGAGCAAGCGAGAAAGGTGGAGCCGGAAGAGACATTGGGAAGATGTTCAAACGCCAAAATAGCACATTGTCACCGTTCAGAGTACGGGATGAGCCCACCGATGAAAGTGCGAGTTCTATATTCGAATACGAGAGCATGGCTACGGAGCAGGTACAAGAACCGGCCCCAAAAGAGGAACTACGCCCATACGAACCAAAGCTTTTGCTAGAGAGAATGGGCTCGGAAGACTTCCCCACGCCGTCTCAAGAGCAGGACAACAATGTCGATGACGTCGGGGAGGAAGATGACGACATGCCGGACGCTGATGCATACCAGTGCGATGTTTGTAGCGCTATCATGCCGCTGTTCGCGATGGGTGCTCATGAACGTTGGCACGCTCAAGATCGGGTCCGCTTTTCTGTACACTTTGACAACAATGCAACGTCGCCGAAGAAGCGCTAAGCTTCCATGTGGCCTTGCAGTCCGAGGTACAAAATTCTAGCCAAGCCTGCAGTGAGAGCGCGATAGCGGGGCACCGTGGGAATCGCGCAAGGGTGAAGATCAGCAGCCGAGGCAGCGGCTCTGACTAAGCATTACCAAGGTTACTAGGGACTGACATGCTCCATGTCAACGCTGACACTGAAACCCGCAGCGTCGATTCATGCTGCTGTGCCAGGATTAGGAGCGGATTCCACAATGCCACATCGACCCGATAGTCCGGCGGGCCCTCGCTCTGCTCCACACGAGCACCCAGAGGCCATGGAACTAGCAGACTTTCAAGCAGATACTGAAGGATTTCCAAACCAGACGACAACAGGGCCGCCCATTGACGGCGGACGCGAGGCGTGGCGCCTTCTTCTCGCTGCGTTCGTCTTCGAATCGCTTCTCTGGGGATTCCCGCTCAGTTTTGGTGTCTTTCAAGAGTATTACACGTCGATTGCGGAGTTCCGCAACAGCCCGTACATCTCCATCGTCGGTACTACGGCGTCGGGCATATCGTATCTCGGCGCGCCGTTGGTGATACCATTCATCCGCCGGTGGTCGGGGTACAGGACGCACATGATCCTTGTTGGCTGGCCGTTGTGCATCGTGGGGCTCGTGGCAGGGTCTTTTGCGGATTCCCTGGGCCCTCTGATCCTCACCCAAGGAGTCCTGTATGGAATTGGCTTCATCATATTCTACTACCCGATCCTGTCCATGGTCGACGAGTACTGGGTCCGTCGGCGAGGCATGGCGTATGGCCTGCTGTGCAGCGCCTCCGGTGTCAGTGGGGCGGTGACGCCGTTGAGTCTCCAAGCGCTCCTGCACAAGTACGGCCACAAGACGACGCTGAGGGGTGTCGCGGTGTTTCTGTTCGTTGCAACGGGCCCGTTGATACCGCTGCTCAAGGGCAGACCCGGCCAGCAACAGTCGGTGAGGCTCAGAACAGACTGGTCGTTCTTCAGGACCCCGCTGTTCTGGATCTACAGCGTCAGCAACCTCCTCATGGGCCTGGGCTACTTCTTCCCCGCGCTCTTCCTGCCCTCGTACGCAAGGTCGCTCGGCCTGAGCGCCTCGGCCGGCGCGCTACTGCTAGCGCTTATGAGCATCTCGCAGGTCGCAGGCCAGTTCACGTTTGGCTGGCTGTCGGACAGGCGCACGTCTGTCAACGCGCTTATCAGCACGTCGGCCGCAGTCGCAGCCATCGCGACGTTGGGCGCGTGGGGCGTTGCGCGCTCGATGGCGCCGCTCGTTGTGTTTGCACTGCTGTACGGCTTCTTTGGCGCTGGGTACACGGCCATGTGGGCCCGCATGGTGACGGCGGTCAGCGAGGAGCCGGCGGCGGCGCAGGCCATGTTCGGCATGTTCAACTTTGGCAAGGGCGTGGGCAATATCGCGGCGGGGCCCATCAGTGCTGGGCTGCTGGGGTGGGCGCGCGGTGACGCGGGATACGGGCTTGGGACGTACAAGGCCGTGGTGCTGTTCACGGGCGTGTGTCTGCTGCTGAGTGCTGGCAGCCTGGCGACGGTTCATGTCAGACCCAAGATGTCGTGATTGTACATCGTACTGCAACTTGGCGCTGTTGTAGGATTCTGTCCGGGTTTGTTGCAGCCAATGAGCAGAGCGGCTAATGTGTTAATCCGTTTAAGCACATATATTGCAACAGGAAAGAGAATTGATGAGATCATTGACCTTCGTGTCTAATGCCATTTCGTCAAGTGGGTGGTCGGACGTGCCAGGTGCTGTGCAGAGCATCACTGGCAAAGCTCGTGCTTGGATGAGTCGGACCGTTGCTCCTACCGGTGTGATGATATCATACACGTATGATTCGAACCATGACTTCCAAGTACAATTCACCCGTATGCGCCGAAACGTGACTTCCGAGTGTAGCAGCATCAGTGCACGATACCTGTCTAGTCATGATCACCTCACGCACTGCCGAGCTGCCAAGTTGCGGCAAATAACATGTACATAGTACCTAGTGAGACAGCAGACCTAATCCTGGCTGACTCCGCAACGGCGGCGCAGTTGTACTATTTCAGTGCGCGCCGTAGATCGTGGTCAGAGTGCTGTAAGCCTCGTGTTCTGGTCCACTTGCGCAATGGCCGTGCGGAGTTTCCGTTGGCGATTGGCAAATGGGTGCCGTGGCAACAGGGCAGACGCAGCCTCAGGCGCGTTCGGACGGTGCGCCTGAGGTGTGGCTGGAGGTACACGTTCGCATACCTACATCTAGACGTGTCTGCTATCAGCGCCCTTCGCAAGGCTGCCCGATAACAGCAGGTCGACATCAAGCTTTCGGAAGCGCTAAGGGCCGTTGCGTCGGGCGCGGAAGCCTTGGAAGCCGACGTCCCCGCATGCATGTGATGGGCGCGCAGCTCAAATCACTCACGGCCCGGCGGGCGATGGCTGCTCCACCACCACCGTGACTCTCCACCACGATGCCTGGCTCCTCGCGCCTGCCCGTCAGTCTGCGCGACACGTTCAATGCGCACCGCGGGTCGCCCAACGGCCGCCTCGCGGTGCTGAACCTCGAAGTGTACGCCACCACGCCGTGAGATGCTTGCTTGTGGAGGGCTCCGCTGACGCGCATGATAGGCTGCGCAACGTCGTGTTCATCCTGTTCCTGCTCCGCTGGACGCGGGTGCTGTTCTACCAGCTCAAGGGCCGCGGCGTGTTCGGGTCGCTGTCCGACGTCTATGTCGCCGTGCGCCGCTATCTGTACGGCGTGTTTCTGAGACTGCCTGGTGTGCGCACAAAGGTCCAGACGCAGGTGTCCGAGTCGCTGCTCAAGCTCGAGCGAAAGCTGGTGCCCAGCGGCCCGGGTGTGGAGCGCCTCACCGCGCTGCCGAGCCAGGGCTGGGGCGTGGAGGAGGTGCGCAAGAAGCTGGGCGAGCTGGCGGATATGGAGCACACGCGCTGGGAGGACGGGCGGGTCAGCGGCGCGGTGTATCACGGCGGGGATGAGCTGATGCGCCTGCAGACGGAGGCGTTTGGCAAGTTCACCGTCGCGAATCCGATCCATCCGGATGTGTTCCCGGGTGTGCGCAAGATGGAGGCCGAGGTCGTCGCCATGGTGCTCTCGCTGTTCAGCGCCCCCGATGGCGCCGTGGGCGTCACCACCAGCGGCGGCACCGAGTCGATCCTCATGGCCTGCCTGTCTGCGCGCAACAAGGCCCACGCCGAGCGCGGGGTGACGCAGCCCGAGATGATCCTGCCCGAGACGGCGCACACGGCCTTCCGCAAGGCCGGCGAGTACTTCAAGATCAAGATCCACCTGGTCGCCTGCAAAGCGCCGAGCTACAAAGTGCACCTGCCCTCTGTCTCGCGCCTGGTCAACCCCAACACGGTCCTGCTCGTCGGCAGCGCGCCCAACTTCCCCCACGGCATCATCGACGACATCGCCGGCCTCAGCAAGCTCGCCCACAAGAAGAAACTCCCGCTCCACGTCGACTGCTGCCTGGGCTCCTTCATCATCCCGCTGCTGCCCAAGGCCGGCTTCGACTCGGAGCCCTTCGACTTCCGCCTCAAGGGCGTCACCTCCATCTCCTGCGACACCCACAAGTACGGCTTCGCGCCCAAGGGCAACAGCACGGTGCTGTACCGCAGCGACGCCTTCCGCAGGCACCAGTACTTCATCTCGCCCGACTGGAGCGGCGGCGTGTACGCATCCCCCTCGATCGCGGGATCGCGCCCCGGCGCCCTGATCGCAGGGTGCTGGGCCAGTCTGGTGAGCCAGGGCGAGAGCGGATATATCGATGCGTGCCACAAGATCGTCGGCGGGATGAAGACGATCGAGACGGCGCTGCGGGAGCACCCATCCCTCAACGCCGACCTGAAAGTCATCGGCCGCCCGCTCGTCAGCGTCGTCGCGTTCCTCTCCGACACGCTGGATATCTACGACGTCGCCGACGCCATGGGCGCGAAGGGGTGGCATCTCAACGCCCTCCAGAACCCGCCGGCCATGCACATCGCCGTCACGCTGCCGATTGTCGCCGTCGTGGATAAGCTGGTCGCCGATCTGGTCGAGGTGGTCGAGGATGTCAAGGAGCAGGAGCGGAGGAGGGTGGCGGAGGGTAAAGGGGCCAAGGGCGCGGTCAAGGGCGATTCGGCCGCGTTGTATGGGGTTGCGGGCAGCTTGCCGAATAAGAGCGTTGTGGTGGATTTGGCAAAGGGGTTTCTGGATACGCTGTACAAGGTGTAGGGGTATTTCGTGATTGAGACTGGATGTGTGTTGTGTGAGCGTTTTGTGCATAGTAAGACGTGTTCCGTTGAGCATGAGTAAGACGGGTCCCTTTGAGCATGAGTAAGACGTGTCCCGGTCGCTTGGTGAAGTGTAGGAGGGTTTCAGCAGCTCGTTCTCAGGACCATCCATATGTAGGCGTCTCGTACATACAACTACAACATATTCGCACAATGCACCACCCGCCGTCCCAACCGCCCCCTCACAACGGCGCAGCAGGCTTACTCGCCGCCGCCGGGATCCGCGCCGCCGTCTGCTCCAACGGCAACAGCCTGCGCGGCCTCTTCAAATCCGCCGCCGTCACCCCGTTCTCCAGCTTCGTAATCCCCATCACCGGCGCATCCCCCTTCTTCACAAACTCATACAGCCCTGTCCAGAATTAGCCACACCCCCCAACCCCCATCACAGCGTACAGTACTCACCCGGCAACTTCGCCCCCGCCAACCGAAACGCATCCCGCACAACCTGCTCGTGCAAATCCCCCTTAACCTCAAACACAATCTTACTCACCGCGACCCTCGCCGTCCAGCGATCAAACGACCCTTTCCCCTTCCCCATGCGCACGTCGTTGCCGCTGGTATACACGCCGATATTCGCCGCCAGCCGCATGTACATGCGGAACTTCATCCCGCGCAGCCGCTTGCGGATCGTGTCCTCGGCGATCTTGAGCTGCGCGGCGCTGATGCGCCGGTCGTGGTCGCGCATGCGTAGGCCGTAGTCGCCCCAGACGACGGTGGTGCCGCGTGTGCTGCCGCCGGTGGGCACGCGGCAGCGGCCTTTGCGCGATTTGGAGGATTCGCCGGATTTGGGGATTAGGTAGTTGGGGCGCGCGGGCGTGCTGGTGAAGGTTCGTAGGGTGGGTGTGAGGCGGAGCGCGGGCGCGGTTGCTGGGTGGGTTAGAGGGGGTGGACGGGGTCAATGGGGGGCGTACGGCGTGGGCGCAGGGTCAGCGCGCTGAGGGAGGCTAGCAGGCCTTGCGGTAATCTGGGCGGCGGCATGGTGGGCGATGTGGTTGACGGGCGTCTGGACGACCGCTGATAGTTTAGAAGTTGAAGTTCGGCGCCAAGGTGTGGCTGCTGCTGTGGCTGATGCTGTGGCTGGTGCAATCCCCTAGCGCAGGTCGCGTCCCTGCCTAATGACTTCGCGTGGGAGGCGCGTCTCACGTCACGGCTGCCTCGAGCATTGTCGGGGTATAATTGCGTCCACGCCCGTTGTTGTCGCGTCGTCTCTACAAACACCTGTACTACTGCGATTGCAGCGTTGAGGTTTGTTGCCACACAAAATGCCGGCGGATATTCGAAGCTTCTTTGGTGGTGGGCCGCCCAAGGCGAGCCAGGGCAGCGAGGGCTCGCAGAAGAAAGAGACGGTATGTTTGCGCCGCTGGTGCAAGTGGGATCCCTTCTACTCCTCAATCATATCGAAAACTACAAATACCCATGTCCCTCCATGCACTTCCGTCTCGACTCCATGACGTCGTGGAGAGCCACGGCTAATACTGCGCAGAAGCCTGCCCCCAAGAAAGCAGCACCCAAGAAGGGTCGTGCGAGTCGCGTTGTAATGGACGACTCCGAGTCCGAGGAGGTTGAAGCCAAGTCAGACCACCGGCAGTGACGTCTAAGACTCCACTGACAGCTGCCAGGCCCGTGAAAGCAACGCCGAAGAAACCCGCGCCCAAGAAAGTGAAGCGCGAACCGACGCCCGACCTCGAAGAGACAACGACATCCGACTTCTTCGCGGCATCGAATAAGCCCAAGCGCAGCGAGCCTGTCAAGAGAGCGGTCGAGAAGGCCGTCGAGACACCCAAAGCTACACCGAAGAAGGCGGCCGGGCGAGCATCGAAGACTGCCACACCGGCGACAAATGGCAGGGCGTCTGGGAGGGCGAAGAAGCCCGTCACATCCTATGTGGAGCGGGATGACGGGGACGAGTTCGACGACGACGAACTGGACAATGCAGACGACATCTTCGGGGACGAGTACAAGGGGAAAGGCAAAGGCAAGGACGATTATGTTGAAGGTGTGGACAGTGATGAGGATGTGCCAATCAAGCTGCCACATCGCGCAACACCAGCGAAAACAAAACAGCTGAAGGTTGAAGATGAGGATGACTTCGAGCCAGAGAAAGATGTCGATATGGAAGACCCCGATGACGACCTCTTGGAGCCTGAGCCTGAGGAGCGGGTCGTCAAGAGCGAGCCCAAGAAAGCTGGGCGAAAACGCAAATCGCCAGAAGTAGACCTGGACGAAGAGGAGTCAGAGGAGGAAAAGCCAAAGAAGAAGGCCGCAAAGAAAGCAGCTTCAAAGTCGCCGGTCAAGAAAAAGGCCAAGAAAGAAGACGCGGTAGAGGACGCTGGCATCCAGGCTATCTACGACAGCATACCGACTGTGCGCGCGCCGACTCCGCCGCCACCGGATGTCAAGTTTGATTGGAGAGCAAACGCAGGCCGCAGCGAGCCGGCGCCTACCGGAGGTGGATCCAGCGAGATGCCGTCTGGCTCTGAGACGTGTCTTGCTGGGCTCAATTTCGTATTCACTGGCGTCCTGCAAAAGTGGGGTCGCACTGAAGCGCAGGAACTTGTGAAGCGGCACGGAGGCAAAGTTACTGGAGCGCCTAGCAAGAAGACCAACTATGTCGTCCTTGGGTCGGATGCTGGCCCCAGCAAGCTGCGGAAGATCCAGGAGATGGACATCAAGACTATCGACGAGAACGGGCTGGCAGTGCTTATCGAGAAGCTCACCGCAGCTGGCAACAAGGGCGACTCGAAAGCGCAGGCAGCTCATCGCGAGAAACAGCGGAAGGAGGAGGAGAAAATCAAGGCGCAGGCGGCTGAGCTCGAGCAGCAAGAGAAGAAGCGCTTGAAGGAACTGAAAGCGGTGCAAGCAGCAAAGGCAGCCGCTGGAAAGGCGCCCGCGCCGGCTACCACCGCAGCGAATGCTGGCCCTGAGGTCGACGCCCGTCTGTGGACGACAAAGTACGCGCCCTCATCGCTGGCCCAGATCTGCGGCAACAAGGCTACGGTTGAGAAGCTTCAACGCTGGTTGCAGAAGTACCCGAAGAACCTCAAGACTGGGTTCAAGCTCGCCGGCGCAGATGGCAGTGGCGTGTTCCGCGCGGTCATGATCCACGGTCCACCAGGTATCGGCAAGACTACAGCAGCACATCTAGTCGCCAAGCTCGAGGGCTACGATATCGTGGAGAGGAACGCCAGTGATACGCGAAGCAAGAAGCTCATCGAGGACGGTCTGCGCGGTGTGCTTAGCACAAATTCGCTGCACGGCTACTTCGCCGGCGATGGCCTGAAGGTCGAGGCGTCCAAGAAGAAGCTGGTCTTGATCATGGACGAAGTCGACGGCATGTCGGCGGGTGATCGCGGTGGTGTTGGTGCGCTTGCTGCTGTCTGCAAGAAGACGGAAGTCCCGATGATCCTGATCTGCAACGATCGCAAGCTGCCAAAGATGAAGCCGTTCGACTACGTCACATACGATATGCCCTTCCGCCGACCGACTGTCGACCAGATCCGCTCTCGCATAATGACCATCGCGTACCGCGAGGGTCTGAAAATGCCAACGCCCGTTATTAACGCGTTGATTGAGGGGAGCCATGCCGACATCCGCCAGGTCGTCAACATGCTTTCGACAGCCAAGCTGGACGAGGAGGCGATGGACTTTGACAAGGGCAAGCAGATGAGCAAGAGCTGGGAGAAGCACGTCATCTTGAAACCGTGGGACATCACACAGAAGATCCTCGGCGGCGGCATGTTCGCCTCGAGTAGCAAGGCCACGCTAAACGAGAAGATCGAGCTGTACTTCAACGACCACGAGTTCAGCCCGCTCATGCTGCAGGAAAACTACCTCGGCACGAACCCCATTCTCGCGGCCGGCCACTCTGGCAAACAGTCAAATCTGAAGAAGCTCGAGCTCGCATCCCAAGCCGCTGATAGCATCAGCGACGGAGATCTGGTCGACCGCATGATTCACGGCTCGCAGCAGCAGTGGAGTCTGATGCCGACACACGCAGTGTTCAGTTTCGTCAGGCCGGCAAGCTTCGTGTCTGGCAGCACTGCCGGCAACCAAACCCGCTTCACGTCATGGCTGGGCAAGAACAGTAATCAGGGCAAGCTGACGCGCCTCGTCAAAGAGATCCAGGCCCACATGCGACTGCGGTCGTCGGGTGACAGACACGAGGTTCGACAGCAATACGTGCCCATACTGTGGACGGAGATGGTCAACAAGCTGCAGCGGGAAGGCAAAGAGGCGGTGCCCGAGATCATCGAACTGATGGACAGCTACTTCCTGACGAGAGAAGACTTCGATGCTATCATGGAGTTGGGCGTCGGGCCCATGGACCAGGACAAAGTCAAGCTTGAAACCCAGGCCAAGGCTGCTTTCACACGACAGCAAGTACCCAGACACGCATGACGAGCGCACGCTAACCAAGCCAGATACAACCAGCAATCCCACCCCCTGCCCTTCATGAAAGCCTCCTCCGTCGCCGCCCCCAAGAAACAAGCCAAAGAAAAACCCGACCTCGAAGAAGCACTCGACGACTCCGACGAAGCCGAGGTCGTCGAGGAACCCAAGGACGAAGACGAAGACGTCGACCTGTCAAAGGATAAATACGTCAAGCAGCCGAAGAAAAAGGCCGCGCCCAAGAAGAAGGCTGCGCCTGCGAAGGGGAAGAAGAGGGCGAAGGAGGATAGTGAGGATGAAGATGAGGATGAGGAGGAGGTTAAGACGGCGGCGAAGGGGAAGGGGAAGGGGAAGGCGGTGGCTAAGGCGAGGAAGAAGTAGGTGCGTGTGCGTGCGTGTGTGTGTGGATGACGGGTGCTGGGAACGGGCTGGGTGGGGTGTACGATAAGCGATGAGCGAGAATAGTGAGGGTACTGTATATGGTTAGCTAGAGATAAGTATACTATACTATTCAATGATCAGGCGTGTCTAGTATTGTATCAAGCGATGAAGCGATGAAGGAAGGCAGCTTATTGATATCATCCTACCCGCGTCTGTAATCCGTCTACGATAGTAATCGTAGACTGCAGTTCTAAGCCGCTGAGGCAGGGAAACTGAAAACGTACCACGGCTTTGTTAACACTAAGTCCATGCCCCGGGCAGTATACATTGCGCTTAAGCTTCCATCATAGCTTACACGAGGTAGGATCTAGCAACGCTCCTCTTTTTATAGTGATATAGCGTAGGGCGTGGATATAGCGCAGGGCATGCTGCGATATGTTGGATTGTTGGGTTGTCGGGTTGTTACTAGACTCTGGCGCTGGGAAAGGGGGGGGGGGGGGCTGAATACGCTACTGGGTCGGTGGGTGGTGGTTTGCGTGGGCTGGGTATGTAGAGGTGTAGTGTGCTGTTTGTTGTACTGTTGGTATTACGGGGGTGAGTGCGTGAAGATGCTTGGTGGCTGGATAGCTACAGGGTACGTGTGTAACGTGCAGGAGAAGGCTGGAGTCTATATTATAGTGGTGTAGGGTAGTAATGGAGTAGGCGGGGGGGGGGGGGGGGGTAGACTTGCTAATTTGTGGTGGTGTTGTATCACCTAGCTACTTGTGGGGGTTGTAGAGTGCGAGCTAAAATGTGCAGACTATATCTAGCTCAGCACATTATATAGAAAGCCTAGCTATTAGAGAGTGTCCTGCATACCTACGTACCTGTAATGTCTTGCATGAAGGTGCTAGGCAAGCCTCTTCTTATCTCTACCTAGCCTAAGGTTAGTGACACTGTAACCATTCCATAATCTCCGTAAGTGGCTGCCTAGGTACGTACCTAGTAGAGTAGTACCGTAGTTATAGAGGAGTCTAGTCTTTATACCTATTACAGGTACCCTGCACTACTATTATGTATAGAGTCTAGCCTTCCCCTATCCTACACACACGCATCCTATAGCTATCTAACTAATTAGTGTGCGTGAGTACCTGACTTGTGACTGTAACAGCATACTGTACCAAGGTAGGGGGTGGGCAGCACATATCGACAAGCACTGATAGAATAGTTGTGATTTTAAAGGCTTAGGCTGGGCGGGAATGAGAAGAAACTTGTCTGTCGGTAGATACCTGGGTGGTCTAGCACCTTGACCGAGGTGTTTTATGAAGAAAACTCTATGATAGCGGAACTACCCGCATTGTGTGGTGAATCAGGAGTCGTCTGCACATCTCGGCCAGCATTAGAATGTCAGTGGTGCATCGAGCTCATTTTTGTGAGTGAAATCGCCTCCACCACCAAGATACGTCATGATCTGTTTCTTCGTGTACAGATTACCATTATTCTATTGTCTATCGTATCTCATTCCCTGGTGTTGGGATCAGACCATATCCTTCTCGCTCCGCAACCCCCCTTCGTCCCTCGTCCAACCCACCTCCGCCCGCGCCGCCTCAGACCCTCGCCCCATCTGCGGCAGCGCCGTGATCCCCTCCTCCTCGCTGCGCCGACCCGCCGCGCTCGTGTTTTTGCTGTCTGCGTCCGCCACATCCCGCATCTCCACTTCCTCCACCGCCGCGCCGTGTTCGCCGCCCGCTGGCCCTGCACTCGCAAACCCCGCTCCGCTGCCATTGCTCGCCACCGACTGCAGCTGCCACGTGCCGCTGCGCAGATGCGAGAACGTGCTCGGCTGCGTACCGCCGTTACTCGCGCGCTTCCAGAAACTGCCCATGAAGCTGCCGCGCACGCCGGAGCCGAGCGTCAGGGGCTCGAGACTCTTGCCGCCCGTGCTCGACGACGTGAAGTCGGTGCTGTTCGAGATGTCGATCCAGGAGGCCGGTTTCTTCCAGCTGCGGGGCGCGGGGGGCGGCGCGGGGCGCGGGGTGGGTTTGCTTTTGGGCCGCGAGGGCGTCAGGTTCGACAGGAATTCTAGCACGCGGGCGGGCAGCAGCCGCACGAGGAGCATGCGGATCGAGGGCAGCGAGACGCAGAGGAAGCCTGCGCCGAGCTCCAGCTCGGTCCATACGGTTACGGGGAAGTAGTCCCACGACGGGTCGATGGAGATTTTGAAGGTGCTGAGGGACGGCAGGCGCATGACGGTGGCGATGAAGCCGCTGTGAGGGTTAGAGTGTGTTGGGGGACGTGGGGGTGAGGGGGCTTACAATGTGCCGATGCAGAACATTAGGCCGACAGCGACTTTGCGGGAGCGCTTCATCTGGAGGTTTCGGATGAAGACGATTGGCAGGATTAATAGAATGAGGTCTTGTAGGAGCGCAGAAGCTGAGACTGAGTATGCCATTGCCTGGATGTTGATACACTTGCCCTTGATGTCGCGGTTCCAGAAGGAGCTGACCGGGCTGCAAGCGAAAAGTGCGATAAACAGGATGATTACGCTGTTGAGGATCATGTAGGCGAGGAAGACGTAGGCAGTCCGTAGGAACTGGGGTGTCCTGAAGATCTCAATGTAGAACAATACCAGAGATACCTTGATCAGGCAGAGCACGACAACGTACGTGGACCATGAAACGTATACTGCGTGTGTCAGCATACAGTCAGTCAAGTCCAGACCCTTAACCGCGCTTACAGTAGTAAAGGATAGGCTTTAGGCTGTCATCTTCAAGGTTCCATAAGTGCTGACCAAAGCCGTGCAAAGCCATCTGGAGTACACATGCCACCGGTATTGCTGTAAGCAGCAGAGCTGCCACAACTACCGCGTCGTCCCAAGCCAGTCTCTTTGAGATCAGTTTCCCGGCGATCCTGAGGGCGACAGCAAAAAAAGCGATCGAGTACACGATACCCGTGTACAGGATCACTTGATGAGTCTTGGACTCGTTGGAGAGGTTACAAAGGTCTGCTTGAACCCTGGAAGTACCTAGAAGATGGCGTCAGTCTCCCGATATTTTCGGGTGGGTTGGCGTGATGGAAGCAACGAGCATACCCAGAGAGTCTTGCATTGTGCAATTCGCCAACATACACGCAGCCAGTGCGTACTCAAGCGACGTACTGTCGCAGATGCACTGAATGTCTGTTGCTGCGCATCCACTCGGTCCAAGCTCGATGAAGAGGCATCGCAGCTGCGTGACGTCAGTTATCGAATAAAGGCAGTATTGCATTTGAAGGAAAGGTACATACACCACATGGTGGAATATCAGCGACTGTCAATTCCCGCTGGTCGAACTCTGACCCCGAGACCCCTTCGTTGAGGAAGGCCAAAAGGCAAAGCAGCACTGTGAGTAACGATCGCACACCCATCACAGCGAGGAGTTCGTCCGATGAAGTGAACCACTACCAAAAAAACAAAACCGGGGTCGGACAGGCATGGCGTTTATGAGTAAAGAAGCGCTGGGGCGTCAGCTTGCTTGACTAGTCTTGTCGTGAACTCTATCCTCAGTACTGGCACCTGTCAGTTCAAGCGTGCATATACTGCGGGTCTTTCACCAGCTCCCTGGCCGGATTGGAAACCGCTACGATTGCGCCATGGGGTGTCAACGGGCGCGCCATCGAAAGCAACAGCGCCACGCGAGTCTAGAGTACGAGCCACACACGCATTGGGAGTACAGGTGACACATGAACCGCCCAGTCCCGGCACTGGCATAGCTGCTGGGCCAGGTACCAAGTTGCTAGTAGTTTGGTGCGAAGCAACTCTGGCGAGAAGTACTTTGGTACAAGCTCAGCGCCGACTCCGCCGGCCCGCATGGATCTTCAGGCTAGTCCACGTGGTACGGAGGCTGACATGTTCTACGGCGGACTTTAGGAAGGTCGAAGCAGGCAAACAGCAAAGGAGTCGACGTCAGCTGGTTGCGTCGCGAGACATGATACGCTTGCCTCGGTAACATCGAGGATTGCGACGGCTTGAAAGCTGAATGTGCGTGCGTGAAGGCGCATGATAACCCAAGTCGATTGAGGCAGAAAAGCGGCTGACTGCTTCCGGATCGACACATGGCGTAGGCATGTCGATCAATATCCAAGGGCGCGGACGGGGAGCGGGGAGGGGAAAGGGCTTCGCTAGCGTGATTGAATTTTCGAAGCTCCAGGTAATTTTCAAACTCTATTCTTGACCATCGCAGAACAAAAGACATTACCCTTGCCGATACTTGGCCGTACTGTGTTGCTTTGGTGCGCAGCAATTGCTATGCTTCATATTATCCGACTTCACGCGTGTGCAGCTAGAAAAAATCGTCCTGGCGGATGCTGAATAAGGCTTCCCCAGTAGATATTCTTTGCACACCTGTCAATGCAAGTACTTGACACGTTATTTCATTCTGATCCCCGACTGAACTGGTTAACACAGCCATGTTATTGACAAGTACAATTAACCCGGCCAAAACCGATCCGTGTCGTTGCCATCACATTTGCGCCAACCTCAGTCTTGACACCAAGTCTAACGCAACTTCTACTTATTAACTAGTCTACGTCTCGCTAATGCTATAGCCTCTAGAAGTAACTTTAGTACGTATTTACTGATTATTGTATACCTAATATATTAATGTTTTTATAGGTGCGCGTTAGGGGTTCAGCACATTACACGAATCATTGGGCATTACGCGCATAGGTGCCCTATCCGTGTGCATAATACGCAGACTCACGTGGATAGAACGATTCGAAAACAATTCATAGCACGTCACTATCTTCGTAGCTTGTCGAAACACCGTAGAACCAGACATGTTCGCGCAGTTCGCCATTTGCTTCGCGATGTTGCATTGAGATTGCGGCTGAGTTCATTGATTATCATGTGAGATGACGGCTCAGGCTGGGTATCTGCAGCCAAGCCGTCTCACTCCTTAGGCAGCACCGTGCCTCCCTTATAGCCTCGTGGTCTTCTAGCCACTGTACCGACTCGTTTCGAGCGATGCGATACAGGTGTTCCTTCGGTACCTGTCCAGCATCTCTCAATCTGGAAGGTCATCAGCAATTATAATTACCACGACACGTCTTTATGCCGCCTCCGCCACAGAATAAGACCCTCCAGATTGCCCCATGTCTCGCAGCAACCCAGATTTGGTAGCCATCGGGGGATTACACAAACAGCAACTCTCATCTTCGATTCGAAAATTGCTTTGAAAGTGCCAGGAGCTTCGATTCCGCTGTGGCACCGTCGCGAAGTGTCTGTAACTCTTATGTGGCTACGCCGATACACAATGCAAACGAAATCCGAATCTCAGAAACGTTTTTCGTACAGTCACCATCCGCTTGACTTGGACACGGATCAAATCCGACTCCTCAAGGTTCATTACACCAAATGGGATGAACCAGTTCGATGTAGCATGCATGTTGTGTCTCTGGAAGCCTTCCAACAACAAGACGAGTATGTGTACCTAGCACTGTCTTATGTTTGGGGGGACCCTGAGCCAACGCACACAGTATACGTTGACGGGTTACCCCTCTCTGTGAGATCGAACCTGTTCGATGCCTTACGTCGTCTGAGGCTCAAATTTCCTTATTGGCCAGAACACGATCTCATCTGGATCGACGCAATGTGTATCGATCAAAGCAGTCTAGAAGAACGGAGCAGACAAGTAGCCATGATGAGTCGCATCTACAAATCATGCGCTAAGGTCATAGTCTGGCTGGGAGACATCGATAGAGAGACACCTCCTGCTGTAGAGATCTTCACGCCTGACGAGCAATACATCCCACCGGCTCGTGAGCCTCACACAGCTGGATGCCAGTGTCAAGACACCGACTAGGAAAGATCAGCTTCATTGTCCTGGAATGGAACTCCCACCAAAGCATCTGCTATGGCAATCAGTGTCTTAGAGCGATTGTCAGCAACAGAGCACTGCGATGATCTTCAGCTGTGCCGTCTTTTTATAAGTATCGAAGAGATGGTTGCATTCCCGTACTTTATGAAGTATCTGCTTCACAATTCATGGTTTACACGCATATGGGTTGTACAGGAATTTGTACTTCCACCACAAGTATCCTTGTGTATCGGCTCCGCCATACTGCCTGTCGAACTCCTTTACAACGCTACTGCTGTTTTTTACTCACACGTACGAAGTGCATGTTGCTTAAAGAACATTCTGAAGCGGGTGCGCTTCACGCCTGTGTTCGGCAATGTCGCTTCCCTGCGACATATACGTAAAGCAGTCGCCTCAAATTCCGATCTTGATTACTTTGTGCTGCGTCACGCTCTGGCTGGAAGGAAGGCTTCGTTAGATCACGATCTGCTATATGGAATTCTTGGTTTAAACCCTCTGCAGACTGATGATTTGGTCCTTCCGGACTACGACCGTCCAGTGACAGAAACATATATCGAATTCTCCAGCAAGTATGTCTCTTCACGAAGCGGCTGTGACTTCAACAAGTTCGCAGCGTTTACGCACGCGCCTCTCAAATCTCGATATCCCGACTTACCATCCTGGGTCATTGATCATACATTGTACGAAGACGACAATTTATTTGAATTTCTCCCCGAGGCTACAGGATTGATGGCGTCTTTTGCCCGGTCGCATGCCACTAAGCACGGTGCCTCACATAGCTTGAAGATCAGGGGTCACCATCTGATTCTGCACGGGCACTTCATCGATTCTATTGACATAATCGGTCAGGTTAATTTGGATCGACGTTTTGCGTACAAAAGCTTGCATGATGATCGACGCTACAGAGTGTTAGATGACTGGAGGGAGACCGTCTCAGCCCGTCATGCATCAGACGAGCCGTATGTGCTACCAGATGAATACGCTTCCTTGACGGACACCTGGCAAATCGCTTGGCTGAAAACGATGAGTTGGGCCCATCGTACCGGAGTTGAAGGTGGTCCCATAAGGCTGACAGATGAGGAAGTCGCTTCATTGATGAAAGATGCCACTCTGGACCCTTCAAGCCCTTGCAATTTGGACTCCACGCCAAGCTTTTGTGGCCGATGGAGCGACGAATACACAGCAGAAACATATGGACAGATGGATAGGGTGGACCTATACATTCAGTATGTCTCTATGCTCGTACGCGCGTTGTATCGAACCAGAATGTTCTTGACCCACTCACATTTTCTCGGGATTGGGAACCCCAATATACAGCCGGGAGACAGGGTCTTCCTTTCAGCAGGCTGCGGTAGACCATTGATCCTGAGGCCTGTGGAGACGAATTTGCAAAGGAATGGACAAATTACGTATAAGATTGTTAGCTCTTGTTATCTCCATGGCTTTATGGATGGTCCAGACCAAGGGACTGAGTTTCCTTGCAAAGAGGTATGGATCGAGTAAGCTACGCTATAGCGATACACCACGCCATCACGTTCCTGTATAACAATCACGTTGTTTTATTAACGTGAGCATAACAACTAGGCATCTACTCACCTTACCTATTACTTATACTATTGCTCTTATATACTTACAGTGCCTGCTGAAATGTGCAGACCACCTATAGTTTGGTACACTATACAGAAAGTTTCGCTGTTAGAGAGCCTCCTGCATATAGTATCTTAGGTAAAGGTGCTATATACCTCCTAATCCGTGCTCTTATTGTACATAGAGTCTGGTTCTCCCCTAGTAGGTTATAAGAGGCTTAGGTGGGACGGCAAAAGTCTAACTGTCAAAACGGTAAGTTACTACTTCACTTCAAACCAATGCAGTCTCGAGCTCACGAGGTCTCACTCGGCATTCGAATAGCGAGACTCATCATTGTACGTCTGGGAATCATTCAAAATTGGTATTATAAAACAAGATACACCCGACAAGCAGCAATCTACACCGGCAGCACAACCTTGACGCCCATGTACTCTCGCTGATGCATGAGCTTCCCATCGATGATGACCTGATGCACGCCAACGCGGTTGTGCACCGTATCCGTCGGATCCGTAGCGCTTGCGATCTGGATCTCGCGCCACTGGCGATTGGTCGGGACCAGTTCGCCCTGCAGCGTGCGCTTCTTGAACTCCTTGTAGATGCCCTGGTCTTCGACGCAGCCTTCGCGCTGGATGAGTGGGGATTCTGCGGCGGGTGTTAGTATATCTGGCATGCAGTGTGTCATACTGCGACGTACCTTGTGCGGGTGTCATGCGCATGTCGCCGAGCGAGCTGTTGAACAGCACCAGCGAGAGGCGCTCCTGGTCGAGCTGGTCGACAGGCGGCTTGAAGACCCGGTGTCGGGTGGCCTTGAAGTGCCCGCCCGATACGATTTCCAGTGTGTCGCCGATGTTGATGACCAGCGCGCCGGGCTTGTATGGTACGTAGTACCATTTCTCGTCCTCGCCCCAGATCTGTAGACACGAGATCGGAACGGAAAAGAGAAGTGTTGTGAGACCGAAGTCGGTGTGTCCGTGCATGCGTAGCCCCTTGGATGCCTCTTGAGTCTGCTTTTGCACAGGGCGGAAGAGTGCGTGGCGGAAGTACCCCTCGCCGGTCGGGCCATCGTGGGACTGAACGTTGTCCCAGAGGTAGTCATCGGGTAATTCGAGCACTCGCGAGAAGAGTGTGAGGAGGCGGCGGTTGACGGACTTGGTCAGGTAGTTGCAGAACTCTTCGATCTCGTCCATGAAGGGGTGAAGGCATTTCGGAATGCGATCAAGATCTTGCCAGTCAGGCTTGTACCAATTGAACTGCTCGATACCGTCCGCAGGTCCGCGATGGCGCTGAATATCATATCAGTGACCGACTTTGGGAATACCCAAACCGCGTATCATACCTTGAAGCCATATGGATGCTTGTAACCAGACCATACACCTGTCTCTGGGCTGAAGAGAAGACGTTCTCTATCCTCTTCACTAATGTTCTTGTACAGGTATTGAGCAAGGGCGAATTGTCGGTGCAGCTGCTCTAGCGAAACGCCATAGTTCTCTAGGAAAAGGAAGCCGTCGTCACGGATAGCCCGCTTCACTTGCTGCACGAGATCATCGACCACTGCCGGATCGTCCGAGTCCATCAAGGACAAGTCGATGGACGTCAGCTCGGCGAAGTTCTCCTTCTGCTGTGTGACGGGCGGGGGGATCCATTCCGGAACAGATGGCTTGCCGGGCAGGTCGGCTGCAGGAGGGTTGAATTTAGCGGCTGGAGCCATGATGAAGTAAGGGAAGCAGTATTCAGGAGGTACTATCGCACAGAAGCTGAAGCTGATGTTGAGATAATGCCGAAGCTCAAGAAGACCAGTCCTTATATCCACTGGCGCAAAGTATGGTGTGAGATTAGAACGCGATTTACTCAGAGAGTACGTGATGGTCTCGAGCTCCTCCACAGGCTGAAGGCTCTAACTGAATGTAGACTTATCAACAGTTCGTACTCCCTTCCTGTTCTTGGACTGTGGAGTGCAGCCTTCCTATCGCCGCTGCTAAATCCATGCTCCGCGGCATTTGAGCCGTGCATTTCCCCGCATCCCGTGTCGTTATCTCTCCGTCTGCACCTCCATGCTCCTCTGCAATCTGGCTCCAGTGGCGGGTGTGACTTGAGCTAGGACGACAGATGAGGGTGTACCTAGCGCATCTATCGCGGAGGAGTGATTATCGGGAGGAGCTCCTCCCCGTGTGGGGTCTCGCGCTAGCCCGTCTAGGTAACTAGTGCTATCTGGATCCACCACGACGGGTTGTGCACGTAGCAATCACTCCGGAAGATGGCGATCTCTGTTGAGCCTGTGGTTTAAAGATGGTTCAGTAGGTACGCATGTTTTCCCACAAGACCCTCGCCAACGCCAAGCTATTACCTTCACCCTCGCATTCATCTGGCTTCATCTTATTCAGTAGCAACCATGTCACGCCAGCTCATCTCAAGCGAGAAGTTCCCTACGAAGCCTCACAACTGCCCTGCCACAAAAGTTCCGGGCCTTGTTTTCTGCGCCGGACAAACAGCCACAGGGGAGATCAAGCAAGCCACAGTACGTCTCAATATTACCGGGATCTCGGCAAAACTAACATGTCTACAGAGGACAGTCTTGCAGAACCTGAAGGAAGTTCTCGAGCTTTCTGGCTCATCGCTTGAGCAGGTCGTCAAGTACAATGTCTACCTTGCAGATATGAAGGACTTTGCCGCGATGAACGAAGTGTACATCGACTTCCTGCCCCAGCCTATGCCGTCTCGATCTTGCCTACAGGCACTGCCTCCCGGTGACGGAACCGTTATCGAGATTGAGTGCATTGCGCAAGCGTAAATGGTTAGAGGTGGAGTACGAGAACAGCAATAGCGAAGACGTTCATAGCAGAGAAGACTTGGAGGAAAGATCGGAATATGCATAGTCTAGAAATATAGCAGCTTCAGCGTCTGACGCGAGCGTGGCCCAGCGGAGACGAAGGCCTTGAAAATGAACACCAGTATTCTTACCCTAATTGATCAACCACATACGTGCAGTATCGTAAATTTGGTACCTAGAAGTTTCATTGGCTGCAGGAGAGGGGCTCTCCAAGGCATCGTAGATCGCTAGAAATGCACTGTGTTCTTTTGACGACTGAACGATGTGTCTGATGGCTACGATCACGTCTGCGCTACGGCCTGTCTCCTTCGATGTAGGATCGAAGATACTATCATTGCCAGCAAGAACGAAGCCCCTTGTTGTGGCGAATGAGCGAACATCTGCGGAAACGGTTGCTTATATATTGTCGCAACGAATCTCTGATCTTCATATTACGAGGTTGTTGGTATCGTTCGTGTCCCGTAGTGGGCGAATACACAAGCCTCCTCTTCATCCCAGAGATGTCCCAACCTCGAGCTGATCTATACACCTCATGACAATCTTGCCGAGCTGCCACCTCTGCCGCCGCCCAAAAACCTTCCTGGCCCAGGCGAGCGCCGCGTGCGTATCCCCGTCCGGCACATCGACCACTTGCATCGACCCCACAATACCATTGCGGACGAGCTGCCACGCAATCATGAAAGCTTTGTATGCATACAGAACCACCCACGGTGCTTCCGTGTCCGCCGTCGCCGTGGCATCGAGATACTGCAGGAACCAGTCTACGTGCGGCTGGACCAGATTGATGATGCGCGACTCGCACAGAAACTCGCACGACGGGGCGTGCTCCGTCAGTTGGTCGAGAACGGCATCCACGCTGCCCTGGATGATGCCGCCGGTGTGCGTGGGCGACCACATTTGCAGTTCGATCATTGCCGTCTCCCATGCGATTTCTCCGAGAGAGGCTAGTGCTGGGTTCGAAGTGCCGCCATGCGGTCGAGTGAAGGGTTCCAGGGCTACGAGGGAAGACCTGAGCGGCTCCACTCTTTCGATGCTGAGGATTCCGGTGATCGTCGACCAGCCCGATATTTCCCGGGCGCTGGAAATCAGGAACTGGGTTATGTTGATGGTGCCGTATGGATCGAATGGTGGTAATGTACAGAGATCGGCGTTTGAAGATAAGAACCGGCGGACCACTTCTGGGTATTGCACTGCAGTGCCGGCCTGACGCAGAAGTAGTTGCCTGTGTGCCCACTCTTCGGGAGTCGCTGCTGCCCAGTGGTCTTCTGGGCATGGTAGTTCGTGCTTGATCTCCAAATGCGACAGTGACCGCGGGACAGAGAGCACCTGATACCACAGTGCGTCGATCTGGTGCACAGCGAAGCAAGTCCGCTTGTGCGCCTCAGACTGTATGAAGTGATACCAAAGGGATTCCAGATTTGCTGTTGCTGTTGCCTCAGTAGTCAGGGGCTGCATGAGGCCACCTGCTCGCGCCAGAGAGATGATCTTGGAATGAGTCTTCAGACCATACGCTGATGCGCTTCCGCAGAGGTACATCATAGTATACAATTGCTGTAGCAAGCATGCTTGTACAACTATCGTGTTCTCTGAGGTACTCAGTTCTCCGTCTTCTATGTCGGTTTTGAGAAGCGCTCGTGCTTGATGGAAACATTGATACGAGAGGCTCGCGCCTGAGCCGGCCTGCTCCCCATACTCTGGATCCTCGCCGTACTGGTAGCCAAGTGACATCATGCCGAGTAGAAGACGTTTATCTGCTTTGTCTGCGTTGAATGTCGGCTGATGGATGAAGGGCAAAAATGACGAAAGATGGTTAAAGAACAATTCAGTGCCTCGAGCGGCTTGTCTTGTCGAGACAGTCCAGTCCTCCTGGACTTGTGGTGATTCGACAGAAAACCAGCTGTTAGGGCTACCCCGGGTGAAAGGCACAAGACCGCTAAAGGCTGTGTTGCCCTGAGACAATTGACTTTCCGCGACCTCCATCATAGGATCCGATCCAAGCTTTGCTTGCCCGTGAAAGTCATGGTCAGATATCGCTGGAGGTGCAACAGACATCGTACAGATTGCCGAATCATTTCTTGATGAGCCACTGTTTCTAGGGTCCCGTTGATCCAGACCTGGCGATCGCTGGTCGTATTGAATGGCATTCTTCCAGGCTCTATCAACATTAAACTCTTCCTGCTCTTCTGTTGTGACAAAGGACAAATGATCCTGTATCTGAGGAGGCGAGGTACTCGAAGTCTTATCTCTCTGCAGCATCTGTCGCTTTCTGGGACGATCAGTCTGGTGTTCAGGGTGCTTCCTCTTGATATGCCGCTGTCGTAGGTCTGACCTCGAGAACGATGCAGCGCAGAACTCGCATACTAAAGAGGACACCGCCGAAGAGCGTGTATGAACAGCAGCATGGCGTTTCAGGTTCTCATGACGAGTGAAGCGGCTTTGGCAGATCTGGCACTGGAACGGCTGGAATGATGCGCGTCGTTCTGGGATTGCAGGTGCTGCTGTGACGGATGTCATGTTGATGGCCACGGTGTGGCAAGTCGATGACAAAAGGATGCATTGTGCCAAACCTGCGTCAAGCAGTCCGGAAGAAGGGCCCCGTTCCTTCCCCGCAATCCGAGGTACGTTTATCTCCCGCTAACAGGTTGTCTGGGATGGTGGCAGACGCCAATTGATAGCAACCTAGTCTTATCTTGGGAAACACATGGCACAGCTTATTTGTGTTGTGACAATTGGTCAATGGCATATCTGCGGACCCACATTTCTGGGATCATTCGCCAGGCGATGTCAAGCTTCGGCCCGATCGGCAATTGACCTCAACACCGTGACGAGGGCATAGTTCTTAACACAGCGCACCCATCCATCCCAACAGAGCTATGTTCTCGCCTACGGGGATGAGACACATTGCGGGTCGGCATGGTGTCACTAACTGATTGATGACACTGGCAGAATTCTTGGGTTGGAACACTGGACACATCTACCGTATGAATCGGTATGATACACCCAAAACGACTGTTAATGCTATCTGAGAATCCCAATCCGCGCACCCGTTGTCCTTACATAAATCATCGCCTTACATTGATACAAAGGAAGAACTGTCCATCAGTACATCTCATACCGCCAGTTGAGCCGGACCATCTCCTCTGTCACACCTCCACGAATGACCTTCGCGATCTCATCTGGATCGCCCGAGTCCAGGCGCTTGTTCTCACGGCGGACGAGCCATCCATAGAAGGTAATGGTGAGGGCGAAAACAAAGGCGCAGCCCATCAAAGTGCCAAAAGCCGCATAGAATTGCGGCGGTGCGTAGTAGAGGTATGAGGCCCAGATGTTGGATGTGCCACCGATGGCGTTGACAAGGGCCGACGCTGCCGCACGCTTGGCTGTTGGTCGTGCCAGGTGCAAGTTGATGGTCTTGTACAAGACTAGTTGAGGACCTACCGAGGCAAATGGAAGGATCATCATTGAGAAGTACCTCGCGCCAACGCTCAGTGTCGCCATTGGGATGACATACATTCCACATGCAGTCAAGATGCAAGCAATAATGATCGGGTATGCCGTGTTCTTGCGGTCAGAGAACCACATGAGCCAGTAGTAGACGATGCCAGCCAATACGTAAGGGGGAGCCGTGAGCAGCAGACTGGTCGTGCCTTTGTATCCGAGCGATGCGACAAGAGTAGGGAAGTAGTTGGCGATGGAGCCCTGCGCCTGAGAGAGAAGGTTGCAGAATATGAGGAGCAGGAGCTTGGGGTCGGTGATGGCCATCTTGAAGCCTTTGAGCGTCTCGTTCTTCGTCTTGCCCACGGCTGGGCCGGACTCGGACTCGATTCGCCACACTGCAAGGTCGCGCTGGATTGGGCTGAGGAACTTGCTGTTGTGTGGGAACTCAGGCATGAGGAGGGCGCAGACTGCACCAATGCCGACAGTGGCAGAGCCTTCGATGATGACTGCGAAGTGCGTTAGCAACCGTCAGGGCATGACGAGGAACAGCTTCAAACATACAAAGCCATTGCCATGCACGGATACCGTGGCTTCCATCAAGCTTGAACACACCAGCAGCGAAGAGGCCACCAAATGCGTTGCCGAATTGTTGCGCAATGTACAGAGCAGCGATGCGCTTTCCAAGCTCTGTCTTGTTGTACCAGGACGACAGGTAAAACACAGCGCCAGGAAAGAATCTGAGATGGAACAGGCAATTAGAATGGTTCTTGAAGCGCCTCCTGAGGTCTGAGTTGGACTTACACAGCTTCCGCCGCGCCCAAAATGGCGCGCACAGCGAGGAGTTGACCGTAGCTTTTGACCGCAGCCGTTGCAGCAGAAATGGTTCCCCAGACGATCACGGCCGTGCAGATGTAAAGGCCTGGTCGAGATATCCTTGCGATCAAGAGGTTTGATGGGATCTGGAACGGAAGGTAGCCGACGAAGAGGATCGAGATGGCCGTTGCAAACTGCTGGGTGGTCATGTTGAGGTCCTCCATGATTCCCTGCAACTTCGCCGCAGCCAAGTTCTGGCGATCGATGTAGTTGAGGATGTAGAGGATGCCGATGATTGGGAGGATGACACAGTCGAGCTTGCGGACCAGCTTCTTGTTGAGAGCCGCGAGCTCCTCGTTGCTGAGGTTCCGGAGCGACTCTGGCATCGCCTCGTCGCGCGCACCATCAACAGTGCCGAACTCGACATCGGTGCCAACAGTTCCAATGAGCTCTAACTTCTTCAGCTCGGAAGCCATTGTGGTATGACTCAACGGTCAAAAGGAAGTTGAAATGAGGTGGTTTGAAAGGTGCAGCTCACAATGATGCTGGCAACGAATGATCAGCATCCCATAACCAGAGGTCATGATATATAGCGATTCTACCATAGCATGCGTGTTCATAGACCTGAGATAAGACTGAGAGGAGCACCCCAGCTGATATCAAGTTCTGAGCTAACGGCACTAGTTATCGGAGGCTTATCTCACGCGAGGACAGAATCTGGGGTACAGCGGGCAAGACCCCTGGCCCATGCACGGGGCTAGCGAACAGTGGGAGGAGCTCCTCCATTTGTCCTCCCTGTGGGGCAACACTCACCTCCCGACATTTGTCGACACGCAAGCGGAGCTGGGTGCTCCTCACGTCCTGCAGGTCGCGATAGACAGCGCGATTGTCGCAATGGATGAGCAGCCAGACGCTGATGTACTACTTAGCCAGATAGTATGCTCAATGACAGATCCCATCATCTGCATTCTCATCAATTTGTCTAACACTTGCCATTGTGCACGATTGTCAAACCCGATCAATTCCAGCGATCAACCTCAAGACTTACATTCGACACTCATCGACGGCAACACACAATGGGCTACCCTACCGCACAAACAACAACGATCCAAAATCCTCGTTTGAGGCTGCTGAACAAAATCAGAGCAGGAGAATTCCCGTTGATGACCTTTGTTGCGATACCTTCTGTTCGCCAAGCCCAAATAGTAGCATTGACAGGCCTCGACGGCATCATCATCGACTGCGAGCATGGTCACATTGGTGACGATGCTATGCACAACTCGGTAGCTGCCATATCAGCCCTTGGCGTGTCACCAGTTATCCGCATCCGCGGCCCAGCACACGACATTCTCAAGCGCGCGTTGGACACAGGAGCGCACGGTATCATGGTCCCTCAGATCAACAACGCCGAAGAAGCCGCTCAGGTCGTCGCCTCTTCGAAATTTCCCCCACAAGGAGTTCGCGGCCAGGGCTCAGCATTCCCGGCCATCGGCCATGGCCTCACGACCCCTGAGTACATGAAGTCGGCCGACCAGACAATCATCACCATGATCCAGATCGAGACACGCGCCGGAGTTGAGAATGTCGAGGCCATCGCCGCTGTCCCTGGCGTGGACCTTATCTTCATTGGTCCGAACGACCTTGCACAGTCACTGCTGGGCTACACTCCCGCACGAGGCGACGAGCCAGAGTTCGTCCAGGCCGTCGACAAGATCATTGCCGCTGCGCGTAACAATGGCAAGTGGGCCGGAAGGATGGTCAACAACGGCACAGCAGCGAAGGAAGCGAGGGAAAGATACGACACGGTTGCCATCACTGGCGACACCAAGGCTATTCAGAACTGGTACATGGCAGAGTTCGAGATCGCGCGGTCTGGTATGGCGCAGCCGTAGATGGATGCAGTGAAGTGGCGGTAGAGAGTGGTGGGGAGCATGCAGACCGAAGGTCAGATGAGTGCGAGCAACAGCAATACATATCTTTGTCCAACAGCTCTCTCGTGTACGATCTGAATGAGGTGATGTGCGCTCCGCCGTGTTTGCTGCTTCTCGTTGTATGGGATTGAGGTGCTGGATATGGATATGTATTGCTGTTGCTCGTACTCATCTGATTTTGGAGATGCTTGTTGAGATTAATGACATCTTGATCGTCCCAAAGTTATTTCATGATACCACGACTGTGGGAGTATGTGATGTCTGCTATCGAGTATCAGTTCCAGCAACATTCGTGACTTTTACGACAACTCATCTGGGTCATATGGTATTTGTCAAGGTCGCTACAAGGTCCGAATGAAAGCGTAGGTAAGACGAGAACTCACTGTGTTCGCTACTCCACTCCCCACGACTGATTAACTGGTTCGGCGTGTGAATTAGTTGGACAAATGTACACTGCAATGACACCATTTCATTCACAATACCACCTTACGCATGCTTTGAAGCCGCTTATTGATTATGGTGGAGGTCATGCGAGCACCGGCGAGACTCTAGCGTGGACAAGGGCCGACAACGTCAGTCACGTCACGATCCACTCCCCACACTGCAGCGCCAGCAAGATTCTCCTCGCACTGCACACTTCCCTGCTCTGCCTTGTTTCCTCCGCACTTGCTGCGCGGGCGCGTTCGAGATATCATTGTGTTAGGCCGTGCTTGCGCTAATTACCCACTTTTACCTCTGCGTACTGCGACAATCACACTTACGACTCACGGCCACGCTTTGCGCCCACGACTTGCGCGCCCACGCCTTACGCGCCACCACCGAGAAGCCCCCGCGAGGCACACACCCACGCGCCGCCACGCACCTCACCGCGCGCACCACCACAGCCATGGAGCTCTCCCAAACCGCCGCCCGCAGCGCCCGCGCCTTCCTCGACGCCCACACGCGCACCGACTGGTCGTACCCCGCGCTCCCCCCGCCGCGCACCGCCAGCGACGAGGAAGTCAGCACCGCCGTCGCCTTCCGCGAGCGCTACTACGGCGAGAGCGAGAGCAGCGACTCCGAGGGCGAGCCGGCCAACGCCTCCGCGAGCGCGGCGCAAGGCGCAAACGGGAGTGCGAACGAGTACAAATTCGACTCCCCCGATGCAATCGGCGCCGCGCTCTCGCGCTCGCGCAGCCGCCGGCGTGCGCGCAGGCGCGCCAGGCTCGAGGACGAGATGGCGGTTAATGAGGGCCTGCGGATCTGGGTGGAGCGCAGGGACGCGTGGACGGGGGCCGCGAGCGTGCGGCGGTTTGGCGTGAAGCGGCGGCGGGGCGCGACGGAGGGGGCGACAGAGAGCGTATTGAAGGAGGGCGACGCGACCGCGGCCCCAGCCGCTGCAGACGCCAACACGGAGACGCGAGGCGCAGACGCGACACCCCCAGACGCAGCAGACGCACCACCCTCCACCGAGTCCCCAGGCCCTCCCGACACCCTCCCCCTCGCGCCCCCCCTCCTCCCCACAAACCCCCTCCGCGCCTCCATAACTCCGAAATCCTACCCAGACATATACACCAAAATCGTCGCCTCGTCGCGCACCCCCGCGGTGCCCATAAACCTCTCTGACATGACGCGCGCACTCGTCCAGGGGTGGAAAGACGCAGATGAGTGGCCGCCGCGGGTCGGGGGCGTGGATCCGCTTGCCGGGCGGCGGCGGGGCGCGGGAGGCGGTCTTGGGGGGAGCTTGGGGGGGCTGATGGGCGGGCATGGAGGGCATGGAGGGCAGGGCCAAGGGGGGTTTATTCATAGGCATCCGCATCTTGAGAAGGGGGTGGGTAGTGTGAGGAAGATTCTGCATTTGAGCGGGTCGGCGCATGGGGCGAATGGGAGTGCGGGCGCGAATGGGAATGGGCAGGCTGAGGGGTGAACGGGGATTGGGTGTGGTGGTGTGGGTGTGAGGTGGGTATTGTGCATGCGGACGGGTGCGGTGTACTTATCTGGCGAGGCACTCTGCACGGGGGACTCGGAGTGGGAAGGCGTGATAGTAATAGCACAACGGCCACTGCAGGGTAACAGCAGAATGGCTAACAGCAGGATGACTCCCTTGCTGCTCGACCGAGAAACTGGATTTGAAGTGTGTTCGACTACGCACGTACTGGGACTGTGTGTTGTGGATATGGTTGCCGCCTACGCGTGCTGTGCATACCTATCTGGGGTTGAGAGTGTGGTTACCTACCTGCTTCCATCCCGAGGTCCAGGGTTTCAAGCATCTGAAATGGCATACCTAGAGATACTGAAAGAGCAGTAGCAAACTACCTAGCTAAACCTATAAGACACTCTTGGATTTTAAATAATCATTGATAAATAGAGCTTCCTTCCTAGCGCTGCGAAACGCAGCCTTATGTCACATGTTCGCCTACCCTGGTTCGCTGGATACCCAATGTGGGCGCTCCAATTCGTGAGGCTGACCAGCTGCAGCGTTCACTGAGCAAAGTAACATATTATCGCCCTCGCGCAACCGCACTTATTGTTTCTCTATGCATGGCTTGAGCACATCCATCAGGCCTGCCTAAGTCTCGTTCTTCAGATATTTCCTGTTTCACCTCCAAATTACTCACAGGGCTACATAGTAGGTTGTATGTATCGAGGTATAATCAAGTTGCCATGTACACCCAAAGGTATGCATCTACCTACCGAACATGGTTTCTGCCAGGCATTCCTCAGCATGCTTCACGCCCAAGACTGCCGGTGCAGCTCAAGCCAAGCCATGGGAGCTATCAGTCGCGCGCACTAATATCAATCCGCCAAGGTCGACAAGGAAATTCACGCCGAAGATGGACACTTGAAAGTAGAATGACACTTTTCATGATCCTCCCTTGGAGTGCGTTATTGCTTCTCGCGCTCGGCCGCGAACTCAGGGACGAAGGCATCGTTGATGACATTGCCCACTGGGTTTTCTTCCACCGAATCCCACCAAAATTAGTTGTTCCTCCCTGTGCAAGAGACGCAGAGTTCTATCAACCATTGACTCGGGACAAAGAAATTCGACTACTTGTACTCGAGCCCGGAGCTGCTGGAGACGAGGTCAAATGCCGTCTGATACACGTTGAACCATCTTGGCAGACTAGATACGAAGCCTTATCATACTGTTGGGGGGATGAATCTGTCACCCAGAACTTGAGATGTTCAGGAACCACCATAGCTGTGCATGCTAGTCTTCACGATGCTTTGTCAGACTTGCGGCAGCCTTCACGAGAACGATTACTGTGGGTAGATCGCTTGTGCATCAACCAGAACGACTTTGAAGAGATGGAAAAGCAGATCACCCTTATGGGCGAGATCTACTCTCAAGCTCGTCAGGTACTGATTTACCTCGGAAAGTCAGACTCTTCTGTCGAGCAGGCATTGGAGTCCATCAGTCAGCTTGATCGGAAGTTCAAATGCACGCAGCTCTTCGGCACCGTCTGGCAAATGTTCGTCTTCACTATCATGAGTCCTGTCAACGAAGCCAAAGATAACGTTAACTGGAAGCAAGTCATCAACTTGTTTCAACGTCCTTGGTTTCAGCGCACGTGGATCGTTCAAGAAACCGTCTTGGCACGCAAAGCACAGGTCATCTGTGGCGGCCAGTCTATTACTTGGGCCAAGCTACAACGAGTAGTCCTTGGCATGTCTGGGTACAAAGCTTACACAGCTCTCATACCGGAGTATTACTTGATTGCGGACGCAATATCCAATATCGAGCTGATGGCCCAAACTCGGCGCATCCATCATCCTCGTCTCCAATCAACTGCTGCTCGGCTATTGCGTCGGCTCCGTCGGCGCACACCACATCATGATGATAAGCCAACCAGTCCCACGCTTTTAGACCTGGTGTTGGACACACGTTCGTTTCAGTGCAAGAATCCTCGCGACAAGATCTTCGGCATGCTAGGACTAACGCGTCAGAACACAGCCCACGAGTACATCCAACCTAAATACACTATCTCTACAGAGAGCGTGTATCGAAACTTTGTCCTCTGGGAGGTCTTTCACAACAACAGTCTCCGCGTCCTTGGACTGGCTTCTGATAATACCGTTCGTCAGTCCTCTTGCCCATCGTGGGTTCCGCGCTTCGATAAACTCGATCCTCAGAACAGCCTTACTGCAGAATGGATGAGCCAAAGGTTCAATGCCAGTGCAGGTCTCTCTTTGCACGCCGAACTATCCGACCAAAATACTGTACTTCACCTGAAAGGCTGTATAGTAGACACTCTCCATACAGTTGGGCAGAAGTCATTCAAAACTGGACTGTCGCTACAGCAGGAGAAGCCAAAGGACCGTATCATGTGGTACCAATTCCACGAATTAAACAAGGATATGATCAAGGAAGCTATCGACATTTGGCTTGCAGCGGCAAGACGATCCCTCCCAGGACACAGCTCTCCTCCTGAGGCTGGCGAGTTGCTTGCCATGTTAGATTCAGGTACTGGAAATCAAGAGTACGTACCATGGGGTCACAAGCCGCGCCCACCTCCCCCAAAGTGGGAACCATTTCTGCGAACATTCATGTTCGACCAGACGATAGATGGTACACCGGCGTCTGACAATCACAACCTTGTCTCAGCTGCCGCATCTATTCTGGTGGCTCTACGAGGTCCTCTCACACCCAGATGGTTTCGAGTAGAGTATGTCGATGACGCTACGGTAGGACAGGCTCGTTTGGCGTTGTTTGCACCTTCACGTCGCTTTGCAGCAACCAAAACAGGTTTGATAGGCTTTGTGCCAACAAGGGCTAGAACAGGGGACCTGATCTGTATCATTCATGGCGCTAAAGTGCCATTCGTAGTTCGAAAGATAGCCAATGGCAGATACACACTAGTAGGAGAATGCTATATGCATGGCATTATGTATGGAGAAGGCTTACGAATAGGGCATGTCGAAGACAGAAACATAGATTTTGCTTTAGAGTAGTCTTGGTTCATTTACCCTAAGTATTAGTCAGTAACTATATACTAGAACAGACCAGGAAAACAGTATACACAGTCTACCTATCGGCCCAGGGTCTGGTCCCCCCCGGGTCGTAATTTGTGTTCCGATTCCGTGAACCTCTGATGCCTGCGTTGCAGGACCTGCTAAGCTCTGGTAGCGCTGAGGGAGCGGGATTGAAGTGGTCAAGCCAGGAACATGCCGAGACTGTGGATATGTGTGTCCAAGTATATGAAATCAGAACCGCACAGCGACTTCGCCCTCCTCCCGATAAATCTCATTCCAGCCCCTGCCCTCACCCTGCATCAGAATAGTATCTCCCGCTCTTGGCATGAGATACGATGTCCCCACCATTACCCACCCTTCTTCCTCAAACCTCGAGACAAGAATTGCAAACGAGAAACCTTCAGTGTCCACTAAGTCGACTGGATCGTCGTTCTCCAGAGACTTGTCTTGGATGAAGTTATCGTGACAATCGAGACAACACTCGTTGACGTAGATGCAAGCACGATGACGGTAGCTGTTTGGGTCGAATTCCTCTTCCCCAGATTCGAGCCACTGCTGGAACTTTCTGCACAGGTCTGATCAGCAAAGCGACATGCGACAAAACTATGAAAGTTAAGCACGTACTCGCGGATCACATCTGGATCTTCGTCCTGTAAGTCGGGTGAAGACTAGAAGTGTTGCTCTGATTAGCGTGCTGGTTCTGTGTGCATGTTGCGAGAACCCATACTATGACTTTCCAATCAATCCGATCGTACAGATGGTCTTTTCCCTCTGACTCCAATCCGCAGCGCGTTTGATGCTTCAAATAAGCCATGAACTGTTCCCAACGAGCTTCATCGCTGTAGTCGCCGCGGTAGATGATGAAACCATACGGCTTCAATGGGGTCGATTCGTCAGCCATGATACGGCTTTTTGTAAAGTAGCAACTCGTGATCAATAGGTGATAGGCGGATTGGATATGTACAAAACAAATGTGTGGCGCAGACCTCGGCGGTCGGGCATCGTCAGAGCAACACGCTGCGCCGCCCCCGCTATGCACCTCTACCGATAAGTCCACATTGAGAACCCTAGTATCATGACGTGTTTAAAACAAGGCGGATGGACTGCGCATTGTCGCCTACTGTAAGTATGCCACCCTTGTCGCGGGACAAGGGCGGTGTCTCCGGTGGCTTGGGGCTGAGTGGGGCTGAGTGTTTGGCTGCAAGATTTATGAAATCGCTGATGCGACTCCGTAACTCGAAAGGAAACTTCAATAAACCCTTTAACTGACATGAAGGCCTTCAAGAGTGTATTCGGTGGCTCAAAACCGAAACCTTCAACACCCACATCTGACCTAAACCTTGCCCGCGGACAGCCTTTGGATATTCAACCTCCTTTGGTCCAGGGACCTTTCGGACGACCGTCAAGTTATACATATGATTCTAACCCGTCTTCTTCAACTCCTTCATACTCGGTTATTGGACCAAGAACCCGCGACCTTCCAGCTACGCAACCACCCATCGTTCGCATACACCCCCCAACAGATTCAAATGAAGTTCGTCAGCAGCCATACCTCCCAAGCATTCCCGAGATCCCAGCAAGACCTCTTCCAAGCTCTGCGTTACAAAGCTCAACACTGAATTCGACTTCACCGATAGCAGATCATCCCCATGACTTGCCTGAGTTCGGCTCGCCTCCAGCGTCCCGGCCTGCAGATGCCGGTGTCTCAAGCGGCCTACGGCCACCTGTCAAACGAAGTCTGACAATCAGGTCGGCTGACGTGACAGGCTGGCAGGAGCAGTTCGAACTGGAACGAGCTACCGAGTCGTTACCATCCTCCTCAACCGTGGTACGATCAGATCAAGAGAAGGATGCTTCATCAGAAAAGGTATTTGTAGAGGTACACCCGGCGAACCCCACTTCAACGTTACAGCCAGTGCTTGGATTGAGGGTACTGGCATCAAGGCAAAGCTCTACGCCAGTCAATTTGCATTCGTCAACCTGGGGTGAGACGCATGGAGTGCTGCCTAGGCGATCAGCACTCCAAGATACACGCGATGCAAGCATAACGGCGACGAATGCAACTGCGACAACAACAGCATCCCAAGTGGCACAGACTCACGTGGATAGACCGACCTGCTCGCTCAACCTTTTGTGTTATCGGCCTGGCTATCAGGGCTGCGTGTTGAAGCAGATAACAGTCATTGGCCGCTCAAGGTTTCCCAGCAAAGACGCGTATGAAAAAGCTCTCAACGAACGCAAAGACAATCTCATCAGTGACGATGAGGCGTTCTTTCGGACTCTGCAAGCAACATACAGCCTTCAGATGTGTAGCTTTTGGCGGCGCCATTTTTCGATGAAAACGTTGCAACAGATCAGGCTGCTATCGGTAAGATCATGTCACTCAATCAGCACAGTATCAAAGGTGGTTTGTTCTAACGTGATACAGTACACAGCAACAACGCGCCCCGAGGTGGTGCCTCTCGATGACTTCACACTGCAGGAGGTATTCCATGCCTACAACAACCCATCCATGATTGAGACCGAGACTGCGTGGATTGAATGGGTTTTCAATCTTCGTCAAGCGGATCGAAGGCATGCATTAGAGTTCGTAGAGAGCTGGAGTGGTTCTCGGATCGCGACGGTTGGGTCGATACCTTGGATCTCCGCCTCTATCGTGGGGGTCGTGTGGGTAGCTCGCGGGGGAGATGCACAAACTGCGTTCACTGTTGCAAGCTTCATCCTGACAGTCGGCACTTGTAGGTTGGGTTCCTAGCTGTCCGAATCTGTATGCTAACATACGGCAGCACTGCTTGCGCTTCTTGCAATCATAAGCAAGATTGAGCCATAGCTCTAGAGTTTTTAGAAGTAGAATAAGCGTATCACTAGGGTACTTATACTATAGGATATGCAATGAAAAGTAATATAAGTTGAAACTTATTAGTAGTAATAATTAAGAGAGTAGTTTTATAGTTAGTTTTTTAACTTGCCTGGCGTAGAAATTACTCGACCATAACTTCACTGCCTTCGCCTCTACGCACTACCCTTGCTCTCAAGCCCTCCTTTCGAGCGTCCTTCAACTCTTCCAACATCTCTGAGTCACTCTTCTCACTAGCACCTACTATGTGCTCTCTGACCTCCTGCGATTCAAGGATCTGGGCGAGCGCAGACCAAGCGTTGCCGAGAAGCGTCGACCGCGTGTTCCTAACGAACATGACGACGAGGGCTGCCATAATAACAACATGAGCTACCAAGACCCACAAGAGGATCACAAAACCAAGACTATCTTGTGGGTATAATATATTCTCAAAGACCGCGACCGTTACGTTGTCAACCCTGTCAAAGGCTGCTTGCTGGCTGTAGTAATTCGACATCGAGAGGATGGTAAGAAGATTGGACATAGCCCAGCTCACAGAACTGACCTCTAGGGTGTTGTTGAATATGGCAGCTAATGCTGGATCAGCGGCTATCGCGTGTGTTGTGTCTGCAGCATTGGCTGCAAATCGTCGCAACACAGTGATCAGGGGCTCCCCGGACATGAATGCCGTCCATCCGCCTGGGAGCGGCCCGCTACCACCTTTTGCGAGTGCAAATTGACCTCCCATGTCGCTCTGAACTATGGGCCGTCGCTGCCTCGGTGGCAAATCACCGAGAAAACTCTGAGGTTTTTTCATGGTCATAATTTGGCGTGTGGTCCTATTTCCACCAGGCAGAAAATGTCCTACGACCGCTGAAGTTTCATATCTCTCGACTGATATGTCGTACTGAAGCATCGGCTCAGTCCGGTTTGTATGGCTGACCAAGTCAACGTTAAGAATCGCAGCGTCCCATGGTGCATGACATATGGATACCGAAAGATTTTTCGTCGGGAGGTGCAACCATTCCTCTGTGTAGTTCCTCACAGCACCTTCCGTGGTGACCAAGAAGACAGCTCCAGGAGCGGTCGAGTTGTCGAACTGGCTCCTCAACAGAGAACTCGAAGTGTTGGATCCCTGACCTAGCTGACAGATCGTGGTACCGCCACGAAGACAAGACACCTCGTATATGATTTCGTCTTTGGATGAAACTACAGTGCCGTTGACATAGCCGTAGATCGAATTAGTGGTCAAGTTGGTGGAGCCAGGCGCCTCACATTTTACCCTAGCGTCGAGTATAAGAGCATTACCAGAGTACGACGATACGCTTTGTCTCTCCTCGGAGGTCGCGTATGGCAGCAGGGCGCGAAGCAAAGATCCAGTGCCTGTCGTCTTAGCTGTATCTGGTTCGTAGAATTCTGCATAGACAGGATAGAATGGCGGGTTGGTAGTCCATGCAGAATCACGAGGAATTCTTTCGGCAAGTCTCAGTTCTGAGTACGATAACCCAGTTCGAACCTCGGAACGGTGGGTGTATCCGACTATAGATCCTAATCTTATGTCCGAAAGCAATATGGTGGAAGAGAATTGGAGTATGCTTGTGGTGATGATCATGAGCCCTGCAATGAGACAATACTGATAATTTGAACGTCGATGAGCTGCTGTGGACCACCAGAAATCTTGATATGCACTTCGAGTCAGAGTCCACAAACTGGTGGTCCCCGCGCGTATCGGGGATATCGTGGCAAGATGCCGAAAGTCAATGCCCGCTTTACACTCCAGAAGCAACGAGGCAATGATGGCAGATCCTATAGCAGCCTGCAGGTCTACTGCGGTTCTGAGCACTAGCGCTATAATGGCAACCGAACGTGTGGCCCAACCATTAACCATGATCTGTTTCCAAACATGTGAATTGTGTGGTGCAAACCACAGATAAAGAAGAAGTCCGCAAAGACCACCCAACACGACAGTAGTACCTGAAAGGATGTACAGAGTCTTGTGAGACAGCCTCCGCAGGTCGCTCGATCTGTTGACTTTGCTGATTGCGTGACATGTCATCTGGGTCGTTCGGTTCTGGTCTGGATGGGCCTTGGAAGGGAGGGGCTCACTGTTCACACTTAGCTTCAGTTTTGCAGTTCTAATGTCTGAGCTTATCTATACCTCTCGGAAGCGTTCTCCTGTTTGTCACACCGATATCGCACTTGCCGCCAGCAAAGCCAAATAATCAATGCTATGCATGTCATATTTATCAATACCACTGAGATCGCTCCAGACGTGATAGCAACGGAAGGGCCAATCACCGGGGCATACAAATTAGGTGTGGTGTAGGTAAGTAGAGAAGTTGCAATAACGACTGGGGCGGTCACAATGGCAGTTGCGTTGGTTAAATTCGGCAAGAAGTAGTACTGGTCTAGCCGGTCCCAATACCCTGGTACCAGGTCTTCTGTGGGGCAAAACGGAGGTTTGTTAAGACCAGGTTCACTATTGCAGCAGCCATAGAAACCGTTCTCAACTCCCCAAGTACTCCAGAAAGGCGTTTGTCCTCCACAGGAAAGGCCAGGAATCTGGCCAGAAAATGCTTTGCGAAAGGCCATTGGGAAAAGGCGACCATCTTGCAAGTGACAGCCATTTCTGCAGGGATCGCCGCCACTGCAGCATCCCACGAAATTCGTTCCTGTTTTGCATACATAGAGATCACCGCCCTGCGGACATGAGAAAAGATCATTTGAGTATTCAGCGTATTCACCGTACGAGGGGTCTGCCATAAGGTCGAAAAATATCAAAAGGGATAGATGGATTGAGAAAAATCGATTTAAGAGAGAAAGGCAGGTTTTCTACGCTGGTGGGTGGCCTTGCCGGCCAAGAGTAGGGGGCAAATCGTTCGTTACAGCTTTACGCGCCCATATGCTGTCAGCATGCAGCCAAGTAGCTTAGACAAGGGTACCATCACGCTGGTAGGATAATCGCATTTCGATCATTGTCAGCTAACTGTGTTTGTGGATACCAAGTCTTAACTACGCCTTGCAGTACTCCCACATTGGGCAGGGTACCTAATGTTAGTGCCGGTGCATGCCACGCCGCTGCGAATAAGAAATAGGCCCTCACAAGTTGATCACTGAATGCAACAAACTTTGTGTTTTGGTACAAATTCGTTCGGTGTAGTCGCAGGGGAATAGGTAACGAGCAAGATATGCAGACCCTCCTAACCACAGAACAGAATGACCACAAGGCCTTTGATTGGCTGCACGCATCTAGGTAGACAGAAGTGACAGTCTACGGGGCAAGTGCTGCCTGTACAGTAGTACTATAGCACCTACCTAATCATCCTGTAGACAAGGGGATTCACACAGTTCGCAGACAGTCAGATCCGCAGTACGCAGCCTGATGCGACGCTCCTCGCCGCCACACACAGACATACGCGTCTTAGGGTGCGGGGAATTGTATGGGTCACGGATGATGGGACTCAGTATTGATGTATAGATGTAAAGATGTGTGAATAGATGGCTATCGCCTCTCGCGACCAATCCACTTCATCCTCTTGAATGATACAGAGGGCATCGATCCAAAGATAGCGTACTCCGAGCCATTGAGTAAAAACAACGGCCTCCTGGAAGGTCAATGGCAGTGTCGAGAATCATATGTTCTGCTTATTTTGACGAAAATTCAAGGCTGTGGTCTTCAAGCTGCAGCCGTGCGGTCCCCAACGGTGTGAAAGGCACACATACTGCCCTGTTTCACTTGTGTCGGGTTTATGTAGAGATATGTCATCCTCTGACTGCTTGTCCAGCCCAAGGTCCAAGACTCGAGTCGGAAGTCGTTTGGGACCATCAATACTACAAGAGGGGACATGAGTCTCGCGACAATCATCCAGCCATTGGCGAATTTGGACTGAGAATTCAGCCAGGAGTTGGAGGCTATCCATGCGCACGCCCGGTAGGATTTCCGGTGAACCGAGATGATAGATGTTTCCATCGGTGCTGAAGATTGTCATATCTGGGCTGTAGGCTGTGTGTCCAGAGGAATTACCACGACCGACCTGAGAGGTATGTTGAAACGCCAGTGTCAACCATTGAGGACCTCCACGCTCAAGATATTGCTAGACAAGCACATTGCCGGAGCCACGGGGCCCGCGACAACCTTTCGCAAAGTAGCATGCAAATTGCCATAAGATAAAGCAGCCATCTGGAAGGCAGAATCTGTCTCCACATATGTTTTGATAGCACGATTATCATCTTTGTAGCCTCGAAAAAGGTCGCAGCTAGGTACTAGACAGCGTCAGTGTGTTCATTCACACAATCTGAGCAGGTGTAGAGTGAGCGCTTTCGTTTACTGTCAATTAACATTGTGCCCAATTCTAAAACATTTGTTAAGAATCGCAGATTTCAACGTGCGTACGGTCATCCGAGACGATGGGCATGATGGATAGGGAAGACTGGCAGGCAGCTGTCGACTTTGAAGTAAGCAGGGCGCCTTCACTTGGCATGTATTATGCTAACACGCTGACAGCGCATACTTCGATGGCTGTTGAACAGATGCAACTGTAGCAAAATGTTCAATGACAACAGTCGTTTCCTTCGTGTTCAGACGCACCTTGTATCGACTGGGTACTTGATCACTGGATGCGGCACAGAGCTGGACAATGGCTGCATAATCGATAGGCCCCACCTGCAGACCTGGTTCTCTCTGGATTGGTTGGATTCTTCACTTTGCTGCTCCAGCTAGCAAACACTGTAGGAGGAGAGGGAGTCGCACTTAGTTCATCACATATCTTCACTGGAATGAAGTACAGTCCACATCAAGACGCAAGTGCCAACAGGGGACAACGCCATCTTTTACTCTTTATTAGCATCGTTGCCTTTCAAGATACGATAAAGGCAGATCTCCGTGTAAAACAAGAGCATGGAGTGGTCTAAAGGATTGGGGCTACCCTGAGTATCTCGAATGAAAAAGTTGCACCGCATTCTCTCTTCATCGGTCCCTCATTCATTCACTGTAGGTAAGGAGGGTAGTACAAGAGCTGATGTGTGCTTCTCGTTGGCGGAATCGGCGGCAGTCAGACCTGTCTATTCGACCAGGCTCGAGTTCACTTCTTCCGTGAGTATGAATGGTACGGTAGCTTTAGTTCTGAGTTTCAGGTTCTCATGGAGGCATATACTAATAAATTCTATATTGAAACATCATAAGGGGATTCTATGTATCAGGTACATTAGGAGAATGAAGTCGCAGATGGTATCTTCAGCAATTGTTCAGCCAGCTCCCAGGTGAGGTATGTACTGGCTCCATTGCGGAACCTGATACACTTCCGGTGGCAGTTGCGAGATGTTAATGAAACACTCCACGAGAAGATATACTCGTGCAGCCAGATAGGTCAGACCTAAGACACCCAACAGAACGAAAATAGCAATGTTCCATTGCGTCGAATCCTCTGGAAATATGGCTTTAAAAGCCTTCCCCAAGAGCCACAGAGGCGCGAAAACGACGTAGGCCCAATTCTCGTACTCGACAGCGTCGAAAAGTTTTAGGGCAAGAAAACCGAAAGCGACTATTACGGTTGGACTCGCTATAATAAGGCAGGATACTCTCCACATCCAGCGCTGAATGGGTGTGGTGAACGGCCCGTTCCATGCTATTAGGTGTACGAGACCATAGACACTACCAGCGACTAGTAGCATTATCGGGAAGAAGTAATACACTTCTACTTTCTTTGTGAATATATTGGACCCCCGGAAGCCACTAAGTTCAACACTCCTTGTATCGAAATTGGATATGTAGGGTACCAGCAAGGTGGCGGTATCCGGGTTATCATGGTCCCAATTGGTTTTCCAGATGTCGTTGGCGCCAGATTCAGTGCGCAACACATCTACCAGACGAAGACATTCCAGTGTTACCGGATCTAGTGCAAGATACAAATCGTTGAGACCATCCTGATTCTTCTCTCGATCGTACAAATGATACTCTCCAAGAATAGAGTAATAATTTTCTGCTAGAACAAGGTAATGTCCGTGAATGGACTGACCGATATAGAGCTTGAGTGAAGCTGCAGGTCCATCGTCGGCTTCTACTGTTCTTTGAAGTAGGTCGTTGGAAACGTCTTCGGGTTTGGGGAATCTGTAATGTGCAAAGTATGCACAAGCTGGCTTAACACCATCTTTGTTGTAGAGATCTTTCGTGTGTACCAAAAGTCCTCCTCTATTCGCGATCGTCGATTCATTCTTGAGTAGCCTGTGAGCTCCCAGCCTGCTGTTCATTATCATCCAAGCACACATCTTGCGAGTTGGTTCTGTGTTCATCCTGATGAGTTCAGGTTCCAAAATGTCCAGAGGCTTGTACCACCAGGCGAGGTAAATGATCAGACAGCATAGGGCATGGAGAAAAGTGTTCATCTCCAGTAAGCTTATCGGAGCGGAAGTGGAAGCACGTCCAGTGATTTGAACAATGAACCAGCATGCCTGTGAGCAGACCAGGGCCTTTGCCAGCCAATTAGCCTTGCTCTTATCTTCTATGGCACTTTTTGATAAGTCGGGGATGGACATCGGCTCCACATCGGCCATCTTCCGTAGAGCGCGTGGTAACAGCGTCATGCGGGTGTTTGAGTCTGGAAATAAATTGACGAATGAGTCATCTGCTTCGAACGCAAATCCTCCCATGAGTGCGAAGTGGCTGTGCGTGCGAGTCCATGTGTTCTTTTTCCGGCCAGCTTCTATTGTATCAGATTTGTCGTCAATAGTCGTAAGTTCAGTGGCCTGTTCAACATCTGCCGGAGCGTTATATCTCGACCACATGTGACGTCTAGGTGTCGCGATTGTCGGTGGGATGAGCTTTGCTATGGGGCCACTCATAAAATCCTTCAGATTCCTAGCCTGATTCCACTGCCGGAAAGCAAGAAATGCCACCTTGTCTCAGCATTAGATACGAGTTGTTCGGTTGAGACGAGACTGTGTAACTCACTAGTTCGGGAGCGCATAGCCCAACAAGGACTCCAAAAGTCTTCAAGACCCATGGTTTTTGAGACCAATGTGTGACCTTATGCACAGGTATGTTCAAGTGTAAAGAGGTATAAACGCATAGAAGCAATGTAAGAATGCATGTCGACAGGATGCCGAAAGTTCCTCGTTCGCTAGGGGCTGGTTTCCAATATGCAGTGGCGTTTGCAGGTTGGGTACCGAACGGTTCCCACATGTTTGCAACTTGGTGAGTATTTGCGAATCTAGGTCCGAGAGAACGGAGCAAGATAGATGGAATACATTGATGTCGACACAAAAATGCTGCGCCTCCGGTGTGGTCGTTGCTCAGGCTGCGCACTTTTGAGGGCCAAGATAGTGTCTGAGATGACAGTGAACTCAGTGGTATCACATCAGTACTCAGCCTCCAAGTAGCGACCTCTAACAACGTCTTATAGGCGCTAGGCTGCCTTGGTATGGCTTGGTTGACGGTGGTCAGCAAGCCACTGGCAGCAGCGTCCCAAAACAAGACAAATGTGACCAGGGGCTGCCTTATCTAGCGTGCGACTATGAGGCAACGCAATGAACGGAGTGCGGTGAGTGGACGAGGATCAGCGCTGTGGCGCATGTCCGTTAGTGGCTGGGGCCCCATAAATCGTCCAGCTGCACGACCGACAGCCCTGTCACACCAAGGACCGCACCCGATACATCACGAGTAACCAAAATTAAACCCTGGAGGGGCCAGCGAGTGATCCTCGAGATACGAGAGACTTTAGAGCTTTGACCTTGAGTAGAGAGCTTCTATCCAGACTACAAAGAGATATTACTCTTTGGACGCAAGGCTCGACACAGAGTCGATGACAGAGGCTTTCGCAAAGGGGAACACGTCACTTGCCTCATCTTCATCTGCGTGGACGAAGCCAGAGAGAGTAGATCATAGCATCCATCGATAATTCCAGACGAGTTACCTAGAGGAACTGTGAACTCAATTTACTTAGATGAATTAGCATAGGTGAATTAGCATTAGTGCAGACGCACCTCCGGCCGTGCACTGGTTCCTTCTCAGTTGGTGGCTGTGTTTCTGAAACAGTGTAGCGTCTTGGCAAATGCGGGACAATGCCTTCGGACTGTCACTCTTCCCACACGGTTGCCTTTCCGTCCAACTCTGTTTGCAGAAAGCACTACTCAAAGTGATTCCGACTGACATTCGTAGATAAGAAACGATCATTACATGACACTCATACTTAGGTTCCAAAAAGTTCAAATCAAATCTAATAATAATTGAGCACGATACCATACATCTTCGCATACTCGAGCGTGCTACTAGGCTTGACACAGTAGGAGTAAGAGGGCTACAATAGTAGGTCTGGTAGCATGAAGGATGGTAGGATCGTTCTCGCGACGCGGTCGTTCGGCTGGGCTTGATTGCGGATTTCTCGCTGCACAGCCTTGTTTCGGACCCTAGGCAACTCCCACGTATAAAATCTGACACCTCAAATCGTAAGCTCGTTCTCTAGAATCCCAACCATGCAGGCAATCTTGGACAGAGTAGACAACCTCACGAAACGCGACGTCAACTCCTTAAGAGCTTTCATGCTACATGATCCAAAGCGCGCTTGGCTGGAACACAAAAGACGTCTGGTGCGTAAGACGGGCGTCAACATCTTGGCTAAGTTATGGATCCGGTCAGAACGGCTGAGGAAGCTCAAAGGTGGGTTCGTTCTTCGGCAAAGGGGATGAACATACTTTGGCCTTGCAAGTGGCTGACGCGACAGTAGCACTGTATCTCAAAAGAGCTCTCTCACCAACAGCTAAAATGTACAAGCGGGATCTTGCTAGAGGACAAATCCGATTGCTTCACATCAAGCCAGGCAATTCGTTGAGTACAATTGAGTGTGCATTTACGTTTATGGATTTACCAAAGAACGGAGATTATGTAGCTCTTTCCTACACCTGGGGTACAGCAGTCCCCTCAATCCCCATCATGGTCAACGGAACCGTCACAATGGTCACCGATAATCTTTACATGGCGTTGCTGCACCTCCGCAAAGGCAAGGTGCCAAGAGTCTGGGTCGATGCCCTCTGCATCAATCAGAACAACATGACTGAACGATCAACTCAAGTTAGCCAGATGGCTGAAGTATATCGAGGCGCAAGTATGGTTTATGTCTGGTTAGGAGAGAGTAACGAAATGACCAGGCGGGCCTTCGAAGAGCTCTACAAAATGACTCAGCATGTCGGATGGGACAACAAAATCCCAGCTGCATATTTCGATACTAATCAGGCGCATCCAGAGTGGGTATCGATGTGCGAGCTCCTTTATCGTCCATGGTTTCGCCGCGTATGGATCATCCAAGAGATACTCTCTGCCCGGCACGCTTTGTTTGTCTGTGGTGCAGACTTTCTTGAAGCGAACACCTTCCTGACAATCATCAATTCGATGCTTGAGGCGAAAGTACTTTCGAAAATTTTGTCGTTTCATGCGAACAAATCGGAGTTGGTGAATGGCACGAAGACAACTACTTCTCGACAGCTTGAATTCATTGTACAAGCTCGGAACAGATCAGTCAACCCACTGACGATGATGGATTTTAGAGGTAGTCTTCTGGATTATCTGTCGCAGACACGATGGGCCGAGGCTACCAATCCGCGGGACAAAATCTATGGCATACTGAGTCTCGCCAAGGATGCTTCGAACTTAGGCTGGTATGAGGAAAACAGGCCATCTCGACGACTTCGAAGCCATCGGGTTGATCACAAACCATGGGCGTGGGTACCTTTTACTGTGGATTACGCCGTGTCTCCCGTGCGAGTCTTCACCAATGTCACCAGGGCTATCATATATAAGACAAAGTCTATCGAAGTCTTGAAATTTGTCGACAATGGGACGGCTCGATTGACCGAGCTACCGTCTTGGGTGCCGAACTGGGGTGATAGCTCACCTCCGCGTACTTACCATATACCGTTCGACTACGAGCGACAACCACGAAGCTCAGAAGGTCCAAAAGTGTGGCGCCCCAGCAAACGAAACGACTTTAGTAATGCCAGACTCGATCGTACAAGGAGAATGATCAGTAACTGCATCACTGAACATTGTTCAGCTGTGTTTTCCTTTGGACCAGACGACACGTTGACACTCAAGGGACTTGAGTTCGATAAGATTACTGCTCTTTCCACTGACATCCATCCACCAGTCATCGACCTCTCCAAGGAGCCCAATATCGGAGAGTTGTGTGCTATCAAAGACTACTTTCTACGTCTAAAGCAGTGGATCGAGCAGTGTGTGCAACTATGTGAATGCCATGAGCCATTTCCCACACTCGAAGAGACGTGGACGGTGTTCAAGGAAGTGTTGTACGAAGGAAAAGTAGAAGAAGGGGTTAAGCCCGTACCTGGAGGTTTCGATGATCTCCTCACAGATTTGACAAAGGCCATTGATGCACTGGCCATAGAAATTAGAGTCCATCAGCTTGGAGACGACGAGCCACTTCTAGATGTCCTGAGGACTACTGCCAATGTCCAATATGAAGCAGGGCTGCTTTTCCAGCGGCTCCCGTCAGCAAGCTTATTTTCTTCGGATCGGAGGCTTGCCATTACAGCGAAAAAACGTATGGGTCTGGTTCCGAAAGATTCGAATGTTGGTGATGCCGTTTGTGTCATGTACGGGTCTGAGCTACCGTTCATCCTGCGTTACTGTGGGAGAAGGAAATTCAAATTCATCGGTTGTGGTAAATTCGAGGGCTTCGACTTCGACGATGCTGTTATAGACAGGACGTACACACTGCGTAGCTGGGAAGACCCTGACTGCGAAGACGGGATAGTAATGTGGGTCACGGCAAAACGCAGAGTGTGCATAGTGTTAAAGAGGGCATCCACATTCTGTCTTGTGTGATCACTGGCTGGAGGGGAGAGCGGATTGGACCTGTGAACAATTCCTGCCACTGTTAGTTGGTAGGCGTAAAATCGGGCGAAGCTGCGCACTGCAAAAACAAGCATGTTTACAGTCTTAGTAGATCAAACTACAAATATGGCTTCGCACACTAGAGCCTGCTTAGCAGGGTGGTTGGTATTACGCGCCTCCTTCGGGCTCCTTGGGTCGCTATACTCAGTAGTATATGTAGCTAGAGTCGGTAAGAAGGCTCGGACTTTAGCAATAAAGGAATGGTGGGAAATTGAAGTTGCCAAGAAAACGTATCTACCAGAGGGTTGTATGAGAGTCGCTGTACGTACTACTATAAGATGGGGAAACAGTATTGGCGAGCTGGAGACTTGTTTAGAGGTGTGTGCTCCAGAGAAAACACACAACAATAGCAGCGGCGATAGACGACCCTCAGGTACAAGTCCGGGGAGCCATATCTCGCGAGAGCTTCAGACTACAGATGGAAACTCTTGAATTAGATTGCATGCTTGAAGTGCCAGTGTTGGACTAGCCTCAAAGTGGGGCATTGATTTGCAAAACAAGAACATTGCAGCTGTGTGCTCCTACAGCAGTAGCAGTTCTCCACGAAGTATTGCATAAGGTTTAGAAGAGATCTAGATTAGCAAAGCTGGACTTCAATCCTTACGCGTCCAATCAATCAAAGTGTATGTTGGCATACCTGTCCCACTCAAAACTGGACAGTTTTCGACTCTAGCTGACTACAGCGTGTTTCGCATGCTGCATACTGTGCGCATTCAAGAAAACGGTAACAGAAGGCAACTGTCCCCGCCAGATGTTTGAGAGGGGGGCTGCACCTGGTCAATTGCATACCGTCGTTAATGCGAGGCACAATCCAAATCGAGACGCGAGTGCCACCGGAGACAACGCACACATCACGTCAAAGGCCATGTCTTACTCGCGAATCCGCATCCCAGGACCGCTTTCCATCACTGGCCGCGGAACCAGACGCTGCAATCGCGCCAGTCGTCATGCAGCACGTCCACCACTCACGCCCCGCCATCACCAGCCGGCGCATCTGGAACCCTCGCTTCAACGGCGTCCCTCATCCGTCGCTTCTCCACGAATGCACGCACAGCCACGCCCGTTCGCCACAGCACAATCCCATGCCAATCACAGCTGCAGATGGCGCACCAAAAACAGGGTCCGGCACGGAAATGCCATGCTTAGCTGTGGCTAAGGCAGGTTTGCGCAGAACGCTGGGGTCGTGGACCCTGGATCTGCGGCCTGCTTGCCGCATGTGGGCGCTGATCTGTTGGCTTTTGCCTCTTGATATGCAGGACGGCTTGGAGGCTGTCCTGATAAAGTTGGAGGGCGCCGTGCTGGAGGGGTAGCTTTCAAGTCCAGGATGTGCTCAGAACGATAACGAGTTGACGATATTACGACCTAAACATTATTATATCGGTATCACAAACGGTCCGTCATGCATTTGCTCGGATCGACGGTGCTGCGATGGGTGGTCTTGGGGATGGGAACTCAGTGTGCGCTGGGAGGTGTTGTGCCTGCACCTACTATCACGCCGGCGCCGATTGTTGGACGACAGGACCCCAATGCGTATGTTGAATCACTCTGAGATGGTGGACAGGTCAATTGACAGTCGGATAGTATTGAGCTGGCCAAGGTGCTGCTCACAGCGCTCCCGGCCTCACTGCGTCAGCTTGCTGCAACAAACATACCCGCTGTGTCGAGCATCTTGTGGCGGGAGTTCCTTGACGACAACAAACCGGACTGGTTTACAGCTTTGCCGTCGAGCATACAGAGCTATCTCATTGTCCAGTACGGACCGTCGACGGCATGGCCGACTTCGACTCCGACACCGAGCTCGACTCTGGCCTCAACCACAGCCGATGCAACTGCAACAGAAACTGCAGCTTCTGCTGCGGCTAGCCCTGACAGTCCGCCTGAAACTAATTCCGGTCTCAGCATGGGTGCGAAGATTGGGATCGGAATCGGCGTCCCGCTCGGCGTCCTCGCACTCCTCGCCGTGCTAATCCCATGCTGCATCGCGTCCCGCAAGAAGAAGCCAAAGAAGTCCAGCGGCTACGAACCGCCTCCCTCGCCGGGCTTCATGCCTCAGGGCGCCTTCCAGGAGAAACCCACCAGCTACCAGGAACACCGCACGCCGCTCAACCGCGCCCAGAGCTGGGACCACGACGACGAGCCGTGGCTGCAACCCGCTGCCGACGGGCGCCCGACGCACCCTGCATCCAACTTGCCCGCAAACAACACGGCCATCGTCGGGCCCCCGCTGGTCCACACGCACAGCTCCAGCCGCGGCCGCGGCAAGCGCACCAGCCACAACAGCCTGCACTCCGTCGCCGAACTCACCGAACCCGACGACACCCACGCCCTGCGCTCGACGCGGCGCTCCTCCCTCCCGCCCCCCGCAGACACCCACCCCATCCCGCCCAGCACCAGCATCCGCCGCAAACCGCTCGCCCCGCAGCCCGCGCCCCTCCCCCCCAGCCCCCGCGCCCACGGCCACTTCTCGCTCCTCCGCCCCGCCGTGCTATCGCAAGACCACAGCGGCAGCTCGTCCAGCGGGCTCCCGCTGTCCGAGGACTCGCGGCGCTCGAGCGGCACGGCACCTACAGAGTCGGATCCCAGTTCGCCGGCGACCCCGGGGTACGCGGCGCCGTATGCGCTGGGCGAGAGGTGGAGTAATCCGTTTTCGAATGAGCATTATGTGGATGTGGATGAGGGGCGTGGGTATGGGGACGGCGGGCTAAGGAGTGTGTATGCTGACGGCGAGCGCGAGAGGGGCGCTGGGTATCCCGATGTGCCGGTGAAGAGCGAGAGGCGCGCGAGCCAGGGCGAGTGGCGGGCCAGTGAGGGCGAGTGGCCGCTGGGCGAGTGGCCGCTGCAGATGCAGCCGGGGCACGGGGGGCACGCGCAGGCGCGGCGCGAGCAGTGGGATCGCGTGTACGCGTGAGGCTGAGATTCGCTTTCTTCCACGATCTTTCCTTCTCTTCTCCTTCGCCGAGCACATGCGTTGCCGACGAGTACGCTGGCGCGTACATAGGCATACGATACACGATACACGATATACCCTTTTCTATGGCACACCACATTCAACACACCATCCTTCATCTCTATTCCTTTCTGCCTTAGTATCTGCATAACCCGTTGCATGCCGCCTGTATAGCTACGTCTAAGCAGCTACGAGACACCAGGCCAACAGGCCACAGGCGATAGTGTATAACCAAAGGGAGAAACTTCGCAACGGTGTCCACGTCCACTGCATGGAGACTGGTTGGGTGTTGTTGTGTACGCCTTGACTGTATACTCCTTGGTTGTGCAGTCACCGCCGGTGGCCTCAGACAGCCACTGCAAGAGGGAGGGGGAGGGGGGTTCACAGGACAATCACCAGTCACGAGGGGTCAGGGATGATTCAGAACCGCTTTGGCATTACGTGCTCCCAGCTATTGTATTGTAGCACTCGGTTCCACTCGGTTCGGTTGGGGATGGGTATCAAGGGGGGCCGAAACGCCGGGCGCCGTGGTGTGTAATAGAGGTGCCCGTCTGCGCCTGATCCCTTTCCCTTGTCCTTCGCCCTTGTCCCTGCCTTGTTCCTGCCTTGTTCCTTGCACCTATCCTTTTCCGTGTCCTTTGCCCATGCCTCGTCTTCCATCTCGCGCGCCTTTCTTTTCTGTCTGTCCGTCCGTGTCCGTGTCCGTGTCCGTGTCCGGGTATCATTAGCACCACCATGTTTCCCTGCACTTCCTCCTATGCCCCCCCTCCCCCCCACGCAACCAATCCATCTCCATAATAATCCCCACCTCACCGCCCCAGCAACGCGCCCAACTCGGCATTCCCAGCGACCAGCTGATCCAAGAAATTCGCCGCTTCGGTGAGCACACTGCTCTTGCTCAGCCCGCCCGTCCGTATCTCGGGGACCAGGTCGTGCAGATCATCGAACCCGCGCTTGATCAGGTTGCGCCGCTTCTGCTCGGACAGGATGTGGTTGCTGCGCTTCTGGGCCTCGGACAGGTTCTCGCGCTGCAGTTTCTGGGCAGCAGAAGAGGAGGAGGCGGCGCGTTTTTTCTTGTCGTCCGGGGGCTTGGGCTTGGCGATGCGGGCGGCGGTGGTTTTGCGCAGGGGGTCGGGTTTGATGGGTTTCTTGCGCTTCTTGGAGGGCGGCGACGAGGGCGTGCTGCTGGGGGTGTCGGAGTCGGAGGGCGAGGGCGAGCGCGACGGCTTGGCGTCGAGCGGGATGAAGGCCTGGGTGTGGGCCATGTCGCGCAGCAGGCGCTGGGTGACGTGCTCTTCGGTTTCGGCGTGCGGGGCGGAGAAGCCGGCCGGGTTGCTGAACGAGTCGTCGGTGCCGAAGGTGTAGGTGCGCTTCAGGCTCGGGCGGTGCACGCCAAACTCCTCCTGCACGATGTGGTGGGCGTCGCTGCCGGCCCACTGGGCGGCCAGCTGGGCGTCGAGGGTGCCGGCGGCGCCGTGGTTGGGCAGCAGGGCGGCGAGCGGCTCGGGGAGCAGGCCCTGGGCGGTGGCCACCATGGGGCGGCCGTTGTGGGTAGGGACGCCGCTGTGCGAGGAGACGCTGTGTCTGGGGACGCCATGTGTGGGGACGCTGTGTGTGGGGTGGTGGCCCGAGGGCCCGTCGTGGAAGCTGTGGCGGTAGGCGGGCTGCGGGTGCTGCGTGTTGAAGAGCGTCTCGGCGGCCTGCAGGTCGTCGTGGGTGGTGCCCATGTCCAGCGGGGCGAACAGGTCGTAGCCGTGGTGCAGCTGGGCCTGGTCGGGGATGGTGGCCGAGACCTGGTGCACCGTGGCCGGGGCCATGAAGTTCCAGTCGTTGAAGTCGGAGCCGGCCAGCTTCGTGTCGGGGGCGGCGAAGGGCGGGCCGTCGGCCAGGCTGAAGGGGTCGGTGTTGGAGAAGAAGTCGGCGAGCGACTGGCCCTCCATGTCGCTCAGCAGCGACTGGCCGTGCGAGTCCAGCGGCGTCGACGCGCCGGCGAAGAAGTCGCTGCTGAACGTGTCTGCGCCTGTCAGCGTCGCCTCGCCCATGGCTCTGTGCACGTACAGCCAAACGGCGGCGGGTCCTTGTCGCTCATGGCGGCGGCGGCGGCGGCTGCGCCTGCGGACGGCGCGGACGGCGCGGACAGCGCGTGCGCGAGGATCTCCAGTTTGGCGCCGTTTCCGGTGATATCTGCTCTCGGGCGCTCGTCGCGGCGGTTTGTTGGGATGCGCGCGCAGGACGCAACGGCTACGTGATGGGCCGGGCGGCGTGCGGGGAGCTGAGAGCCGGAGCGCGAGCGGGGCCTGTGGTGCAGTGGCTACTCCCAGCAGACATGGCCGACAGCTGCGGCGCAGAGGGCGGGCGTGGGTATCGAGGTCGAGGTGAAGGCGCGCGGCGCTGCCAGCATCTTCACATGCCAGAAGTCTGCGCGGCACGTGTCCGAGGCTCCGCTCGCTTGCGCCTGCCGCCAGCCCCCGAGCTACCCCGGATTGTCCGTCGCCTCATCTCCTGCATGTCACCCGCCGTGGATGACATGCCCGCAGACCGCCGCACCGCGAGTCTGGCGCCCTGGCCCACCGTGCAATTCCCGTGCAGCCCCGTGGTCGCCGTGAGCCCGCTGCCCCCTTCTGTCCCTATTGCCTGCTCCATCGAGTCTCTGCTCCGTCCGCGCGCGAGGCCATGCCTGCGGGTGCCCACCACCTCGGCCTAGCCTCCACCGCTGCCTCCCCCGCTGCCTCCGCTGCCAGCCCTTAAGCTGCCCCTGCGCCGTCGCTGTCTGCATTGCCGTCGCTGGACACTCGAGCCGCTGCCATGCGCGCAATGCGTCCGCCTCCGCCTGCACTGCGCCTGGCGAAACCGTGAGACGGCGTGTCCGACTACCGACGTGACTGACTCTGCCAGCCTCGCGACTGCGTATGCCCTCGGCCTGTTGTCGAGCACTAGTCCGCGTCTGGCGAGGATCCTGGTGTTGTTTGGCCGCGGGAAGTTGACTGTGCGTGCGGCATGGCTGCAGGTGGGTGACTTTTGCAACTCTATTATGCAGGGGACTTGTCTGGGCATGAAAGATCGCCATATCAGCTGATATATGATCGCCTGACATGTATATCAAAAACATGGAAATTGGACGTGTATGAATCGGACATGTAGGAATCCGCTAACATGGCAAGTCAATCTACACACTTCGCGAAGCCCTGGCCCTCCACCGCTTCCCCACATTCTGTGCGGTCCTCATCGGCGGCTCGACCCTCCTGCAGATCCCCATCAAGGCTGTCCTCAACACCCTCATCCGCCTCACCTCCCGGCCTGACCATGGACTCGCCCGCGTGCTGGCCAGGTTTCTCGCAGCCCTCGTCTCGGCATCGGCCGCGTTCAGGCTGCTCAACAGTGCCCCCGTCAAATACGACGCCTTGAACGCGAACCCACCACCAGTGCTCAACCGCTTCGCGCCAGGCCCCTTCGACGAACCGCCAGAAGACCCAGCAGAGGTGACCGCTCTGTCGCGCCCCGCCCTCGCCGGCCGCACCATGGACCTCACCCTCTTCACCGCCGTCCGCGCCCTCGACGTCCTCGTCACCTCGCACCCCAGCCTCCGCAATGCCACCCGCCACCTCCCCGTCCCGCTCTTCTGCTTCTCCGCCGCCACCATCATGTGGGCGTGGTTCTACACCCCCAGCCGCCTGCCGCGCAGCTACACCGCGTGGATCGCCGCCGCCGCCGAGCTGGACCCGCGCCTCGTCCTCGCCCTGCGCCACGCCCGCTACGGCTCCTTCGTCTACGGCAAGGACACGGGCATGGCCCCGCTCCTCGGCTCGCTGGCCGCCGACAACGGCCTGCCCGAAGCCCTCGGCGACCCCGCAAAAACAATCCCTATCCCCTGCCAACTCATCCACGCCGGCGCCACCAAGAGCTGCGAACTCCACGCCCTGCGCCGCTTCGCCCGCGCCTGGCTCGTCGCCGCCCGCGCCTACACCCCTCTATACCTCCTCGCCCTCGCCCTGCGCGTCTACAAATCCCGCGGCGCCCGCCTCCAAACCCTGACACGAAGTCTCCCCCACGCCCTGCAAACCGCCGCCCACCGCTCAGCAACCCTCGCCCTCTTCACCGCCCTCTTCCACTACGCCGTCTGCCTCTCGCGCACCCGCCTGGGCCCGCGCTTCTTCCCCGCCACGTCCCCGCAGACCTGGGACGCCGGGCGCGCCGTGCTAGCGGGTTGTGTGGCGTGCGGGCTCAGCGTGCTGGTCGAGGCGCCTGCAAGGCGCGGGGAGTTGGCGCTCGTGGTGCTGCCGCGCGCCGCCGGCGTGTGGTTTCCGAGGAGGTATGAGGTGGGGAAGAAGAGGTGGGAGGAGGGGGTTTTTGTGGGCGCGGCGGCGGTGGTGGTTACGGCGGCGCAGGAGGGGAGGGGGAGGGTGAGGGGGGTGTTTGGGAGGGTGGTGCGGGGGGTGTTGGATGTGTAGGCTGTAGCATGGGATAGTCACGCCAGATGCACAGCATACACAGGTACTCTGTGATACAGTGCCAGAGCGCTGAGTCCACCGCGCTCCCTGAAGCTCTCCGTACCCTTCCGTCGTCCTAAGAAACTAGGTGTGTGTGTGCTTATAATAGGCGCGTGCTAGTAGTAGTCTATACACAAAAGTAAAAGCTAGAGCACGGGGACGGTGGTGCGTATACCTTACTAGAGGACGTGTTTGTATACACCTCTTCCTTCTTCCCTCTGCTTTTCGTGCTTTGGTCTCGCGGGGCACGAGGGTGTCAGCACTCGACAGAAGCGTCTCAGCTCTCACGCTTCTGCGTTTGTGGTCTTTGCTGTTCGAGTTTGGCCTCGGAGTGTGCGGTGCTGTGTCCTCAACACGTGAACGTGTGCGTAGGCTGCTGTCTGAGAGAACATGGTATGCCCCTTCTGTTGTATGTGGTCCACTACGTGCTCTGTGTTTACTAGATGTGTCTGTATCTCTGTGCATTGTTACACTCTGTATGTCTGGCGGGAGACTTGCTGGAGGTGCACATTTTTCGTCTGCGTTATTGCATACAGTATGGCAGGAGTAAGTAGTCAATGTGTCACAAGACTTTGCAGCAGCTAGCTGTTAACAAAACATAACCTATAAAAGTATATAAAATATTTTAGCTTTAATGTTAGCACTTTATTGTTTAGTCTAGTGTGCTTCACTACAACTTGCAGAGAGGTGCTGCTAGAAGAAGAATATTCAAGGATCTACATTAATTACTTACCCCTGCTATACTGTATGTCTTGTGCGTTGTTAGCAACGATATATCGCAGGGAATGTGGCAGTGTATATCACGAGCAGTGCAACACCACTCAGACAACCACTTGACTGGACATGAGCGACATGCCAGATATCGCAAAGAAAAGAGGCAAAAAGCAGTCACGCGCAACTGCTACATCCTCTAGAGTTACTGCTTTAAGTAGGCAATCTATGCTGCGACACCAGACACCTCCCTGTCGTCGACCTCCTACGCCAGCACCGCCGGCGCCCCGTCCAACTTGAAATACCCCGGCTGCAGCTTCTGAAACACCTCCCGCGGATCGTACCTCTTCGCAACACTCTGCAGCCTCGCCTTGCTCGTCGCCCCGTACCCCGCAATCACGTCCTGGTACTTGCTCGCATAGTTCATGTACATGTACGACCGCGCCAGCCCCCTGCGCTGCGCCTCGGCTGTCACGCGCGCAAACAGCGTCGCCACAAACCGATTCACGCGGTCGTCGTCCGCAGGATCCGTCCACGCCGGCGCAGGGTTAATCACCACCAGCGGGCCCCCCGCGGCATCCAGCCCCAGCGCGTTCCCGCCGCGCTGCCGCATGGCCTGCAGCTGCGGCACGGTGATGACCTGGAACGACAGCGGCGACAGCAGGCCGGGCACATCGGCAATCTTCGCCGTCTCCTCGAAGAACGCAGCAGCCGTGAACTCGACCAGCGCGCGGTCCAGCGCAAAGGTCTGCGTCCAGTAGCTCTGCCGCTGGCCGTAGGGGTTGACGGCGGTCAGCTTGTCGACGAGCTCGACGAGCGAGTGCACGCCCGTGTTGTCGAGGGCGGGCGGGATCGCGTTCCACGCTGCGAAGACGGAGGCGTTGGGCTCGGGCAGCGCGTACTCGAGCTGTGCGGACGCGAGCTTCGTGCCGGCCTGCACGACGAACGACAGGATCTGCGTGGCTTTGGGGTCGGTGGCGGCGGCCTGGCCGAGCGCGACGAAGGCGTCGATGGTCGCGGGGAAGGCGGGCTCCAGGTAGATGCGGTCGCCGCCCCACATCTGGCCCTGCGGGAAGGTGCGCACGGTGAAGGTGGTGACGAGGCCGAAGTTGTTGCCGCCGCCGCGCAGGGCCCAGAAGAGGTCTGGGTGGGATGATGGGGATGCGGTGACGATGAGGCCGGAGGCGGTGACGACTTCGTAGGCCTCGACGTTGTCGCATGCCCAGCCGAATTCGTTGGCGAAGAAGGAGATGCCGCCGCCGGTTGTGAGGCCGCCGACGCCGATGGGCGCCACCTGAGACGTCAGTGAGTGTTTTCATCTAGCGGATGGCCAACGTACGCGCCCTCCCACAACAGCAAGACCGTCCTGCTCGAGACTGCTGTACACTTCGCGCCAGGTGTTGCCGGGCTGGAGGGCGAGAGTCTTTCTGTCGGCAGACAGCGTGCGACCCTTCATCTTCTGGAACGTGACAGTGATGCCGCCCTCGATGTTCGAGGCTCCCGCAAAGGCTGCGTGGCCGCCACTCTTGGCCGCAAAGGGGCATTGCGTGAGGCGTGAGAGAAGCACCAGTGTCGAAACATCCAGAGCCTTTGTCGGGTGGAAGATGCAGTGCGGGCTGACTTCTGCCTGCTGCTGGGACCAGTACGCGGCGCTGAAGTTTGCATAGCCAGGGCTTCCCTCCACGACGACATTGGCGCCGAAAACGGCTTTGAGCGAAGTGCACTACATGATCAGATTGAAGTTCAGTGACTGGAGCGAGAACGTACTGCTGCCGTGCAGCCACTGAGCGCCGATCGCGCGTCCAGATCCGACAGCTCAGGCAGCGCAGACGCGGCGACGCCGTTCTTCAACAATGCCTCGGTGACATTGAAGTCCGCCGGCTCGAAGCTCTGCGACAGCGCACACGCAGCAGACGCGATTACAGCGATCAAACCCCGCATCTTGAAGTCTACCGTCGGCTAGATATTACAGAGCGAACGCGACTGAGCAGCGGACCCGACTCTTATACCCTCCGACATCCCGCCTGATCATCCCGTGCGACCCGCCAGCTTACAGCGGTGAGGCTTCAGGCGGGCCGTCCGAATCCTTCTGTGGCGTGCCGTCACATAAGGGGAAAGGCTCGATAGCGCGCATGTCGGGGTCAAGTCTAAGATGCAGCCCCGCGATCGTCCAGCACAGCAGCACTGATGCCGACCCTTGCTCTGCACGATGCGCGGAAGATCTGGAGAGCAGCGTCTTGAAGCTGCGTTTTCGGTCCGTCTGAGCGCGCTCGAGCTGGATGGTGGTGGAGATTCCCGTCCCGTCTGCACCGCGTTAGCGGCTTAGCGTCCGCCTCCGGGGTACCTGGATCGTGTCCCAAGCCGCAGGATAGCAATATTAGTGTCGGCGCATCTCAATGATAAGCCTTGAGGGCGGCAGCACGATGCTGTTCCGGTCGCCCGGACGTAATATGAGGAGAGTCCCGATGGATGCCTGGAGGTGTCCATGTATGACGTTACCATGCACATACATAGTCCGAGGTATATCGGCGGTAGTACAGAGAAACGCGGTAATCCTATTCAAGCCTACCCCAGACAGCCTCAACGCCACCGCGTACTACCCCACCAACGCCATCTTATCCACCACAATGCCATTGTGTTCGCCAGCGCGATTCCTCGTCCGCCAAGCGACGGCCTACCGGCGTTACGTCCGTGGTCTTAATACTCGGCATATTAAGTTCGCGAGATACGTCCTGAATTATCTTACCCAGCGTGCTGGGACGGCTAAATACTATACATATACAGACTAATCTTACCACAGGGTATTGCAAAGCACGGTGCATAGAGCCAAGCACCTAAATCGGTACTTCAGCTCGCATCTCAAGTGACGACGGACGCTGGACTAGACCACCTGGGCGGCGAAATGTTCTGCAGACACAGTGTCTGAAACAACTAACGCACGAGCGTCGACGGTGGCTCAATACTCGGAGCCCTTGGCTGCATTTACGAGCAAGCGTCGGAGTGACCTGGTCGCTATCTCGGTGCACACAAGACTATGAAGCTGAGCAGGCACTGCCAGGGCACTGCAACAACCAGCCTTAAGTATACAGGCATCCTCCAAGCAGCTTATAATTAGCTCAGCAGACAAACCACGCACGCCCCCATCGCCAATCATTAATCCCCCGATCGACATCGTTGCAGCAAGTCATCAACATGCAGCTCAAAAGGCCCGAAACCATATCATCTGCAGCCTGTGTCCACGACGCGCCCCCATCCATACTATGTAGTGACGCACAAATCCCACCACACACCGGCAGCCGCACAACACCCCCTAGCACGCAACGGGCGAGAACGGTTGCCCAATGCAGCGTAGCAGCAGATCTGGTCTGGATCGCCCGCTATCTCGCGACCGCACGGTGGGACGGTGGAAGTGAGGGACGTTGCACATGGGTACCTATGCTCTACGAGACAGCACGCCACGGCCGCACCGCGGATGCACGCGCGACCCGTCCCCGCGACCGCAGATGCTGCACGACTACCTCGCCCGCCTCGCGACGTGCAAAGCCTGAGGCCCGAAGAGCGATATGTCCATCTCCAGTCACCCCGTCCAGCGCATACACCCCCAGACAACCACACGCCCTGCACACACACACCCCTACAGCACCCGCCCAGGAGATCCACCCACCGTGTACTATATATCACGCCCCTCAGCGGAACTACCCGCATCTACTTATCCCTAACGCCCCGCCTCCGCGCCCGATCCGCCTCCCGCTAGTCAGTAGGGCCGCGCCGGGCCTAGACTGCGCTTTGGTGGCGGGTGGATGGGCGTTGGGTGGCGGGGCTGGGGTGGGTGTGTGGGAGCTGCGCTTGGGGTGTGTGTGTGTGGGTATCTGGGCTTTCTGCGGGGGATGATCGGGAGGCGGAGACGTGCGGCGACGCGCGGAGCTATGCCTGGCTGGCGACGGTGGCGAGACGTAGGAGGTAAGTGGCTGGCATTACGCAGCAGGGCGTGGATGGCACTGTTCGTCGTCGGTATTGCCGTCGATGTGGCCGCAATCACCGTTGCATTCGTAGTCGGGATGAGAGAGATGCTGGAAGGCAATGTGGGAAATCTAATCTGCAGAGACTAGTCAGTTCGGCTCAGAAGGCGGGGAGGATATGAATGCTGCGGGCGGGGAGTGGAGAGAGCGGGGAGGCAGAGAGCAACGATTCAGTGAGCCGCAACGTGGTGTCAAACGCAATGTCTCGTGAACTGCTAAACTGCTCGGTCTAGCATTGCATCGCTTTGCGTGGCTCCCAAGCCGGGTATCGTAGCCGCTCCACCCAACACCTGTAATACACACGTTCTCGTTGCGTTCCCCCCCCCCCCTCCGCCAGCATCAGCACTTGATAAAGTGGAGTCACCCCGCCCAGCCCAAACTCCGCACGCCAAACAATAATAACCCTGCGCGCCGAAACTCCAGTGTCTAGTACCCATCAAAGCGCTTCACGGATCCGTCAGAAACTCCTGCAGCGACTCGTCCTCCACCTTCCACGTGCGTCCCCCGCCCGCCCCCCGCAGCCGCGCATTATCCGCCTTCAGCGCATCCCGCTCCGCCTCCAGCCGGCGGATATACTCAATCGCACTGGCCAGCACCATCGCCTTGCTGGGTTTCGGCTGGCCCATGGCGCCCGCCTCGCCGCTCTGGGGCAGCGACGGGACCGCGCGGCGCAGCCTCTCGAGCTCGGCGTTGAGGCCCTCGCGGTACTTGCGCTCGACCTGGTTGTGGGGCAGGCGGCCGGTCTTCTGGGCCTTGGAGTGCGGCGAGGCGGGGCTGGAGCCCGCGCGGTCGAGGCGCGGACGGCCGCGCTTGCGGGCGCGCGGGGGCGGGGGGGAGTCTGGGGCCGTGTCAGGGGCCGAGTCAGGGGTGGGTGGCTGGTGGGCCGGGGGCGAGGCGCTGAGCGAAGGGGGGGTCGACGCGGGTTGGCTGGCTTCCTGGCGCGGGGAGCCCGCGAGCGAGAAGCCGAACGAGAGGTGTTCGGGCTTACCAAACGGGACGGCATCCGAGGGGTGTCGCGAGGGGGGGTACGAGCTGGTTCTGTTGCTCGGGGTGGTGCTGGGCGCGGACATGCCAGCGACGGGCATTGTGGGGTTGAATGGCGGTTGCTCCTTGGGGAAGGCCGAGGACATGTCGCCCGGGGCGATGGCTTGGTCGAAGAAGGAGTCGAGCGAGTATTCGGGCGATGTGGTGTAGTTGTCTGCGAGGTAGCCGCCCCCGAATTGATCGGGGTAGGAGAGCATCTCCTGCGGCGGGGAGTAGTCGGGATTGGCTCCACTCGGGTAGCCGGGATAGTTCATTGCCGAAGTGAATGAAGACGTGGATGTATAACGACAGTCGATGGGGTGGTGGTTCGGTGGGTATATGGGATTGATATGCCCAAGGCTAAAGTACAAAGAAGGCTGACAAGTTACAGTGAGTCGATGCGCCGACGGCAGGACCCTGCTTTATGGTGGTGTGGGAGACACGAGCCTCTTCCAAAGCGTATCGACGATTCCAGAGCTGTCAGGAACCCAACACGGCAATGGCTGTGCCTGGGTTGTGTGGCCGAGCGCCAGGAGGTCCGCTTTCCGAGCTTGCTGCGTCTCGCTTGTTAACTTCAGGGCAGAATAGTCGAAATGCATGCGGTTGAAACTTAAAACCGTAATTCGGCCGTTGATCCTTCATCTCCTACCTACCAACACAGCAGGTTGATCCCTCCACTTCCGCGTTCCCCGTAAGTGTGCGTGCCTAAACCTGGATCCCACAGTAAGCTTCCGAGGACATTAGACGTATGCGCCTGTCGAACCACAAACTGCCCATGTCGGTCTGCCTGTTTTAGAGCGGCACCTGCTCGTGGAGTGGGGCCATCCCGTGCCCGTTGATTCGTATTCCGGCGTGGCTCACGCGCGCGCCGACATGACGTGCCGATTCGTCGAAGGGATGCGGCACAGGGAACCGTACACAGACGACAGCAAGACGCCTCGATGGGCTGTCAAAGACCGATGGACGCTGAGCCTGCCGTGCCACAATGGCAGACTGCGTCGCCGGCAATCTCTGCAACACCGAGCCGGATTATTGAAAGTACCATGCGTGTGGATACTTCGCCACCCCATGACTCCCAAGAAAACTGCTGCCGTAGGATTGCGTGGAAGCGAGCGGCTCTCGTTCCACGGTGTAATTCGCTGGCGCGCGCTCCGACGGCCACCTCCACAGCACAGTTGATCAACCGAACATGACGTCGATCAGGAACGCAAACCCCAGCTGTTGCTGAGGATCCTAGGCACCTTCATCTTCACTCGCCGATCCTGGCTGCTCGGAGATGGCGCCGCAGCCGCACCTCTGCAGCACGCGTACGACGTGCGAGGCATTGACAGCAACAAGTCGTCGTCGGCGGGCCGTTCCTCTGCGCTCGCCGCTCGGGTCCGCAAACCGAGCCACGATGGTGTGACGCACCAGGCTCTGCGCAGCAGCAGACAGCGCGGGCAATCCCGCCGCCGCCAAACAAGGCGGTAAGGCATTCTAAATAAGGCGAGAAAGCGTCGATAAGGCTGAAGAAGCGACGTTGGATCTGCTCCCAGGCGTCCATCCAAGGTTTGCTCCGCACGTGTGGCCTGCCAATTTTCGCGCGGCGCCCGTCCAGCGCATGGACTGATTGTCACGCCATGATGGTGCCATGCGGCCCAAAGCGGCAACTTACTCAGGCGCAGCGAAACCCACCGAGGCCTGCACGTGCTGCGCAGGCCGGTGCGTTTGCTGGCGAGCAGTCAGCACGCTCGTTCCAGCTATTTCGCAGGTAGGTGGTACGCAAGCACGTTCTCCACGCCCATTCTTCGCGTTCCCGTTGAGGCGCACGTATCCACTCTGCGCCTCAGTCGCACTCGAACGCCCACGCGCACGCTGCCTGGGAGCCTGCGAACGTGCGTGCGAGCGAGCGTGCGAGCCTGTGCCCTGCCCTACGCCTCAGTCTGCCCTACGCCTCAGGCTTCGTGGAACCATGACCGTGAAACCGCCGCACCCACCGCAGCCGCGCTTAGCGCCGTCCGCCCACACGACATCCGCGGCCCATGGATCGCCCCTGTTATAGCAGGAGTAGCTGTTATAGCAGGCAGTAAGTATGAGTAAACAGCTCGGCCGCGAGACCGCGAAGTTCAATCAGCATTTACCATTGCGACCGCGACCTCGGCACCTGCACCTGCACCTGTCGTTGCCCGTCGCATTAGTGATCGCCCAGTGCCTAACCCAACCTCGTCCCGCACCTCTCGCTATGACCAGCATCGCCCTCGACGCTCGAGGCCAAACGCCGTGAGACGACAAAAGCCCATCCACGGAGCGATGAAGCCGCAGAGCTGCAGATGCGAAGGGGAGATGAGTCGAGCTAGCAAGCCACCGCGTAGGAAAGTTTCCCAGTCGCCCTCTCGTCCACAGAACAACGTATGGTACGTACTTCGTACACAGTGCAGCACGCAGTGCAGCGCACGCAGTGCAGCGGGCCACGGGGCCTGAAACCTTGTTCTGCGAGCTGCCTTACCTTGGCCTACCTCCTTACCTGACCCTACCCTACCCTACCCTACCCTACCCTACCCTACCTCCTTACCTTACGCACCCAGTCCGTACAGCCATGGCATATACACACCTACCTAGTACAGACCCAAACCCCCCAGCCCTAGCCCCAGCACGGGCAACACCTCCCAGTCGTTTCTTTACTGTGTATAGCTAGTGCAGTTCTTACCGCCCGGCTCTTACCGCCCAGCCCTGCACTGCACTACAGCCCGCCACTCCCCGAGAGCGAGGAACCTTGTAGGGTGGGAAAAGGACCGTTTGACGCACTCACTGCATTACTGCCTACTTAATCGAACGCTACCTACTTAATTGACGGGCACCGTACCCGTGCTTCCCTGCCCATATTTGTCTCTCACTGGTTTGTCTGCCGACCGATACGACGCGCATGGGACCCAAGGGGGGAGGGAGTCTGCCCAGCCGACGGAACAGTCAGCTACGTCTTTTCTGGGGCGCTGAACGTGGTCACTGACATCGTTATCGTCAGTGTTCCGCAGCCTTTAGTCTGGAGTCTGAAAATAGAAGTATCAAGAAAGAGGGGCTTGAGTTTGGCGTTTGGGCTTGGATGTCTGTAGCTCGTAGGACTCTGCGCAGTAGAGCACGCTCGTGTGGGTATATTGCTAAGGCCTTTCACAGGGCCTTTGTGGCCTCGGTAGCACGGCTGGTGCTCACGGTCCAGCGGTCTCGTGCCGAAGACAAGACGTACTTGGCCGCTTTGATGGGAAGATGGGCAGAGCTCGAGCTCACATCGAGTCTACTTACCGTTTATTCTCCAGTCGTGCCGCCATGTATTAGGTGGCTTCGAACAGGCGCTTGCGATCGGAGCGGGGTGTTGATCTGGGGCACTCGCGTGGGGGCGAATGAACCGGTTGAGCCGAATTCAGAGCCCAGGAATACATATGCTGTCGTGACTCTTCGACCAATCAAAGACATTCCTGTTGACGTTCGAGAAGACAGGTTTGGCATGCCCCGTTCGTTGCAGCGAAACCAGGGCAGAGAGCAGGCTAGGCTTGCGACAGACTTTTGGTTTGAGAACAGGGTAGACAGAGACAGCGATGAGATCGTTTTGTGCAGAGATACCTGAGCGTTGAATTGGTGAGCATGGCAGCGTCTTTGTGGTTAAACAATCGACCTTTTTGATAGACGGAAGCCCTTGAAATGCGTAGGACACACATCTCTGTAGCACCTAGAGCACAGTTGAAAATGAACATGTGCTCTGTTCTGTGGATAATCGGGACTTCTACTAAAGATTGAGGAGAATGATGCAAACACTACATCATATAGTCCCCAGATTGCGGACCAGCATCTTTCAAAGAAGAGAGTGACAGAAGAATAGCTACCGTTCTCCTCTCTTTCTCAGAATCTTATCTCATTCGGCAACATATTCTTTCATCGTGATCACCCATCAAACCTGTCTTTTACGGAAGCGTTCCTCATCTCGATAAGGTTATGAGGAACAGAGGAAGAGGACTAGATCTTGATGTGTCGGAGACAGCCTCGTTACCAATACTTCGGGAGCCAAGAGATCGAACCTACCAAATGCGGCGCGGAGGCGTTTGCTCCGTCCATGCTTTTGAACCAGAGATTCAGAGTGGAAACTCCACTCCATCCACAAGGTCCCTGCAAATTGGACGCCTTACTAAGTGACATCCTAAAGAGAATCGGAGGTCATCCCTCCACATGCTGGTAACTTAAGATACCGTGACCTAGGTATATCCTAATAGACAATAGGTACCACGAAAAGCGTCGCCGATATACAACAGCCGGCTCAATCAAGAGTGTAGGTATGCGCTCCAGATGAAATGTGGGACAGCGCTGGGCACAGAAGCCACCTTTGTTTCGAAGAGATGGCATTGACCCGCCAAATGGTGATTTGCAGGGACACGCACCTAGGTAATGATGTCTATGCAACGTACTCTCACTCGTGAGAGCAAGGACGATCAATGGAGGACGTGCACTTGTCTCTTGTATAAAGACCGAGTTCGGCAGCATGCTGTGTTGGAGTATCTCATCCACAATCACACTCGTTACTACCACCTTTTCGTCTGCTTCATAACTCCCCGCCGTCAAGATGAAGATTTCAGCCATCGCTTCTGCTCTTTCAATCGCGTCTGCTTCGGCGGCCGCCGTTCCTGAGACTGCCTCTCCGAAAGGCCTCGAGACCCGTCAAGAGACGGGCTCGTACACCATCTCGGGCCTCGGAGCGCGCAAAACGCAGGTCACTGCTGCAGGAGCCAACTCGTTCAACATGGCCATTGCCATGCTCGAGACCGAGCGCATGGACACGAACGTAGGAAGAATTCCCACAGCCAGATCCCAAACGCGTACGTCCACTAACAAAGACCGCGCACGTGTAGTATGCGTATGGCGACAACAAGCAGAACGACGCTGCCAACTTCGGCATCTTCAAGCAGAACTGGAGCATGCTTCGTGTGTGCTGCAGCCGCTTCAAGGGCCAGCCGCAGTCGAGCTGGAACAACGGCGCGGTGCTGAAGTAAGTGTCTCCCTGCCACCCTTGACGCCATGCCCACGGACACGCGCTGATCACGACATGCGTACATAGCTCCAACCTGAATGCCGACGTGCAGTGCTTGAAGGACTGCCAGAGTTACTATGGCCGAGACAAGTGGCTGGCCGGCCACCGCAATGGCGAAACGGGGCTCAACAACCCGAACACGCAGGATATCAACAGTAAGCGACGATACCTTAGGTACTTGGGCTGCAAGACGTGCAACTGACGCTTGGGTAGACTACATCAACGGCGTCAAGTATATTGAGCAGCAGTTGTTGACGCAGCCAAACGGCCTGACGAACGATGTGCGCTACTACATCTATGTGGTCCCGATCTAGGAGCGGATATTAAACTTACGTCGTTAGCTGTAGTAGACAAGATAGCAGTGTAGCCCCTTTGCCGCAGTTTGGGTTATACTATAGGAAGTCTACTCTTATCTAAGTACTCATGTATATAGTTATAGAATACTACCGTACGCAACAACTTTTGTGCCACAGGCAGAGGGCCTTGGCCTGTTTTGTGGGATTTCTCGCTACATACCCGTATTTTTCGTGCTCTATCAATACAATCATACTTCATAGATATCATACATAACAACAGAGAATACTCATATATAAGTAAATACTTCTCTGAACAACACAATCTTCTTAATATCTAAAACCTTGACCCTAGCCTTCGGTCTACCTGACCCCACCCTACCCTACCCTACCTCCCTCACCTTACTCCACCCTACCTCACCCTACGCACCCAGTCCATACAGGCTCAGCCATGGCACATACACGCCTACCTAGTACACACCTCAACCCCCAGCCCTAGCCTTAGCCCTAGCCTTAGCCTCAGCCCCAGCCCCAGCACGGCCAACACCACGCAGTCGTTTCTTGACTCTGTAGAGGTATGCAGTTAGTGCACTCCCTTATCGCCCGTCTCTTACCGCGCAGCCCAGCCCAGCCCAGCCCTGCACTGCACTGCACAACCAGCCCTCCACAGGCAATCGCTCTCCCATTCCCTAACTGCAAATGCCAAACTCTCCAACACTGCACACCTCCAATTCCCGCACGTGCACACTTACGCACGTGTGTGCGGCGGGGACAGGAGATGAGAACCTTATCACAAAAAAAAGGGCCGTTTGACGCACTCATTGCATTACTGCCTACTTAATTGACGGGAACCGTACCCATGCATTCCCTGCCACTCAGTGATCCAGACACATCCTGCCACTCAGCGATCCAGCCCCTCAGTGATCCTGCCACTCAGTGATCCTGCCACTCAGTGATCCAGACACATCTCGCCACACCCCTTGCTGGGCCCTTTGATCCAGAGATACACAAGCACCGTCAAGAGCGGGATAAACACCACCGACGTGAAGATGATGTAGCGCCAGGCAGGATACACGAGTGCCTGTTTCAGCGCTGTGCACGCGCCGCATGTCCACTTCCACTTGCTGCGCGGCGTCGCGCACGCTGCAAGCTGCATCTGCTGCGTCGCGGTACCGTGGGCGGTCAGATCGAGCATCGAGGCTTCGGGGTCGTTCACGTCGACGCCCAAGGGATGGCGGTGCGAGAAGCGTTTGTTGTTGAGGCTCACGAGAGTCTTGCGGTTCGTCTCGTCCTTCAGCTGGCTGTCGACTATCGCGTCGCCCTGGTCCTGCCATTCCTTGTAACGTCGCTCGAGTACTCCGTCCGTTTGCAGCTGTTTGATTTCGCGGATCTTGGCCGTCAGGGCTTCGTAGGTCTCGCAGTCCCTCAGCTCCTCGTACAATCCACCATCGAGCTTCTCAGCCTCGATGTTGGCTCGCTTTAAGCGGTCTACTATGTGTATCCACGACAAGTTACCTCCGGCATAATCGAGGACTTTGGCAGGGTTTGGCAGTTGGCGCCATCGCCGCATGTGTACGATGAATTCGAGCACGTTGCAGTAACGTCGCTGCACTACCGCGTGGCGCCTGAGGAAGTACAACTCCAATCGCTGGTCTGTGTACTTCTTTTCTTCTGTACACTGTGTCGCGAGCCCTTGAGTGAGCCATTGAGACTTTCGGAAGGGGTTGGGCTCCTAGTCGTTCCAAAGACAGCATAGGATGTTCAGTAGTGCAGAGTCGTAGCCGGTCAGCGATGCGACGTCGAGCCCCCTGGCGGCTAGCAAAGCCTGTGCCTCATCTGGCAGAAGGATTGGCGTCTCAACGATGAGCTGCAGCCGCATGACGAGGCTGAGAGGTCCAAGGACGTACGGCACCGAGCTGCAGAGGCGGAAGAGCGGTTCTCCCGCATACTTCGTGACGTAACGGTGGTGGTGCATATCCTGGGGTCGAGGTAGATGAACCTGTCGCTCGTACGGTGGGTTTCCTCGGGTGTAAATAGACCGTGGACCGGAAACATGAGGATAGTCGTCGTCGCCTTCAATGACGGAATAAGGGACGTGCGTTGTGTTGGAAGACGTCGTTAACAGTATACCGGGTGGTTGAGACGAGCCACCTGCATCTTGCGTTGTATTGGAAGATGTTGTCAAGAGTATACCAGGCGGTCGAGACGAGCCACCTGCAGCTTGCGACGGTACAGAGGAGGCATGCTGCCCCACACCAGCTGGCCCATTCGGCTTGTGTGCGTGCCCTTTCCATCTGATCGACTTGGCGGACCATTTACTAGGTCCCGGGAGCTTATCGGTAGGTGGTCCTGCACTCGCCACACCTTCGGCCTGAGGGCGAGGCAGAGACAAGGCGGGCTGCCCCAAGTCGGCTGGCGGCAAGAGCGCGCGTCCCTTCCCCTTGTCCAATTTGCCCTCGGCAACATTTTTCTCGCCGTCTAGCGAGCCCGAACCAACATCGCCCTCGGGACCAATAACAAGACCCGAGGTGTCAACGAGCGCAGCAGCATCGGTCGGCGGAAGTGGCGTCGCATCAGTGAGCGCAACAGTGTCGGAGGGTGCAGGCGCAGCGTCCCGAGCATCAAGAGCCGAGAAATCCCACGACGGCTCTTTCAGCGTGGGAGAAGCCTGCATGTTGGCTCCTGGGGCGCGAGACCCGGTTTGCTCGGTGTGGTCGCCCATCGTGGTGGCTGGTGTTGATAGTGAGAGTTGGTAGTGGGAGTTGGTAGTGAGGGATGTTGGATGTTGGATGTTGGATGTGATATGTGATATGTGGTAACGTCTGGTATCTGGTGAGATGTCTGGTGCGAAGAAGAAGGGAAACGTGAGCGAGACGGTAAAGTAGGTTACTCGCATGACGAGGCGAGCTCACAACAACGCCCTCGAGGCAGGCGCGCATCGACCCAAACAACCACCACGGCAAGCATCACCGCAGGACCAGCAAGCAGTAACGAGCCACGCCGCGCTCAACGCTCTTCATTCAACGCCTTCGCATCCTCGACCACCACCCGCGCCACCCTCTTCAACACCGCCTTGCAATCCGCCTCGCGCCACCGCTCCCACGCATCCAACCCCTCCCCCGCCTCGATCTCCAACGTCTCGTACCCCTGCTTGATCACGCCGCTGACCTCCTCCGGGCTGAAATGCCGCCCCTTCTTGCCATCCGTCAGCAAGTCGTGATAGTGCTGCGCGACATTGACCAGCATCTGCAGCGCGCCCGAGGACCCCAGCGCGTACGCGTCGCGGAAGCGTGTCAGCACCGCGCCCGTCTCGACGAGCTTGTAGAACAAGTCGTCGTAGGCGGCGGAGTCGGGCAGGAAGGTTTCGCCGCTGGAGACGGCGTGGGCGAGGACTGCGACGAGGGAGCTGATCATGGTGCGCGATTTGGGGTGCGAGTTGATGTCGCTTTCGTACTGGGTGAGGAAGCGCAGGAAGGAGAGGAGGGTGCGCCAGAGTTCGGACCAGTGGTAGGCGAGGCGGGTTTTGGTGCGGCTGAGGTAGGAGAGCAGGCGGAGCAGGATGCCAAGGGAGAGACTGGGAGTGTTAGCGTGTGTGGGGTGGTAGCGAGGGCGGGCTTACATGTAGAAGTCGACGTCGAGCCGGCGCCGCAGGTTGTGGTTGATGCCGTCGATCATGAGATCTAGGATGACGGCGGCAGGTACTCGATCGCCTGCGACTTGCGGTAGGAAGGGCTGCCGTTGACGGCACAGGCGAACGGGCATCTTGCTATCATCATTGCATAAGCGCTTCAAAATCTCCTTGTCTTCCACTAATATCTGCAGAATGAACAAACAGAGGTGCGTATACAACGCAGATCTTGTCGACCGGTGTGCATGTTGAAGCAGATACGACGTCATCGACAGATAGGCGCTGAACGGCGACGTAGCACCCTTAGTAGCGGCCGGCAACGATGTGAGGGTGAAGCAAAAAACCTTGTTCGCATTGACGAAATCATACGTTGACAGTAACACGCCGATCTCCGGCCCCGGCAGCGTCGCAAAGAGCGATTTGGACTCGTCAGGATTCGGGGTCGGCGTTGTCGGCCGCGATCCTGGCGCAAGTACACCCAAGCCTATTGTCCGCAGCGTCGACCCCAGCGACCAGGCCTCCGGCACATCGTCCTGGATCGCGACGTAGGCGTCTCTAATATCTTGGCACGTAGACCCGAAACACGTGATCATGTCGCGAATGATGCCGTCGTTGACGAAGTCGTCCAGGCGCAGCCGATACGGGTTCTGGAACTCGAATTTGTTGTAGTTGGCGAGCAGGCCGAGCAGGTACAGGGCCGGCAGCACCTGGGCGCTGTCGTCGGTGTCCTGGACGTATTTCATGAGCGACGGGAAGAGGTCGCGGTGCGTGAAGTAGGACGGCAGCGCGGTGTGGAAGCCCGCTGCGGTGATGGAGAGGGTGGCTCTGACAGCTTTGCGGCGCAGGGGCACTGCGTCTGTCAGTACTGGCCGCGACTCCCAGATCCCTCTACATACGTGTGCGCCCCGTCCGTATCACCGTGTCCAGCATGGTAATGAGGTCGGTCATGACGGCGTCCGCATCGTGCAGGCCAGCGAGAACAGAGATGATGTCGGAGCTCGGGTTTGTGTACTTCTTGGTCAAGGCGGCGTCCAGGAAGACTGTCAAGGTCTGGCTAGTGAGCCACGGGGTACATCTCAAGGGTCTGGCGTTCGTACCTCCAGCGCGACCTCGTCCGAGGGTGGTTTGGCTAGCTTGGCCGTCTGTATGGCGCGGCGGAAGAGCTGCTGCGAATGCGCCTGGCGGTGCAGCATCTCGTCGGGGGAAATGGCGCCCAGGATGCGCTTCAGGCCGGCGGAGTCGGGGCGGTGCAGGAAGAACTCCTGCCAGAAGCCCTCGGTGAGCTCGACATCCTCCTCTTCGTCCTGCGGCTGGTGAGCGACAAACACGCTGCGGGCCGGCACATGCGCACCTGGAACAGGGTTTCGTAGAGGCTGATGATTTTCGGCTGGAACAGCTCGGGGCGTGACACTTGCGTCAGCGGCGAGGGCTCCATGGCGGACAACTGCACAGGTCGGCGAGCCGCGAGGATGCGACAGGAGTGTTGTATGATGAACGTGTTGCGCGGCTCCCAGAACTAGTGGACCCTGGGCCGATCACCCCCACACACCCCCGCCGGTCACGTTCTGCGCGGCCAACACCACAGATTCGCAGTGGAAGTCCCACCAAAAACAACAATGTCACAACCACCCCTCCTAGTCGGCATATCCGGGCCCTCGTCGTCAGGGAAAACCACCCTCTCCCGACTACTACGCGACACCTTCCCGCCCGCCTCCCTTACAATCCTGCACCTGGACGACTTCTACCTGACCGACACCTCGATCCCCGTGAAGAACGGGATCCAGGACTGGGACTGCCTGGAGTCGCTCGACCTGCCGAGTCTCAGGAACGCCCTGCTGTACATAAAACAGCACGGCAGGAGCCCGGACTGGCTGGCCAGCAAAGAGGACCAGAACAGCGTGGGTGAGCATGGCGTTTCAGAGCGCGTTGTAAATGAGCTACGGAGAGAGGTGAGGGCGTTGGTGGATGCGAGGCCGGAGTGGCGCGAGCGCCGGATCTGCATAGTCGATGGGTTTCTGCTGTTTAGCGAGGAGATGCGCGAGATTCGTGAACTGTTTGATGTGCGCATGTTTCTGCGCACGAGCTATGACACGGCCAAGAGGAGGAGAGAAGCACGAAGTGGGTATGTCACGCTGGAGGGGTTCTGGCAGGATCCGCCCGGCTATGTTGATGACATCGTGTGGCCGAACTATGTCAAGGATCACAGGTTCCTGTTCGAGGACGGCGACGTGGATGCTGAGCTAGACGAGGATGTCCTCGAGAAGACAGGGATCTGGGGGATGCCAAGGGAGGCAGAGGGGGATATGGAGGTGTGTTTGAGGTGGGCGGTGGGTGTGCTGGAGGATGTGATCAAAGAGACCTAACAAATGATACTGTATTATGATTACGCCTGACGCCGTGGCTGCTGCCGTCCAGTAGGCATGTCGGTGTCGACAACTGCGCAACCCAAGTGATGATACAGACAAAACAAGAAACACAAAACGGTGCCGCTCAGGTGCTACTCTTCACTTTGTCAATATACGCCTGCCCAGGGCTCTCGTACACGGAAGAGAAGAAGGCGTTCACTTGCGGTTCCTTGGACAGCCACGTGGTCATCCCGCTAAGCTCCTCGCGAAGACGGTTGATAGCCTGGACATCCATGTTGGTCTGAGCGATGAGCTCGGGCATCGAAGCTACAACCTGTCAGTGATGCAGATGACATCATATAGTCGAGCTTACCAAAAAGGCGCAAGAGGTGCTCGCCGCCGTAGATCTCCGACATGGACTTGCCAGCAAGGTCGTTCGTCGCTTGCTCGGTCTGCGTCAAAATATCGAAGAACTGTTCACGCTCGAAACGGTAGAGCAGCAGGCGACCCAGAGTCTTGTTGAAGTACTCCTTCAGGCCCTGGATCACTTCCTCCAGGATGTCGGCTTCGGTGTTGCTGCGATTCCCTGTGGAGGTCGCAAACGCAAAGTACTCGTCCAGGATGATGGCAGCTGGCTTGTTAGCCGGCAGCTGGACCAGCTGCAAGTTCTTGGTGATGTTCTCCCAGTCATCAACAAGCAGGCTCTTCAAGCGGTCTGGCATGTAGATGCGCACAGCGCGCTTTTGCTGGAAGGTTTCCTCCTACATGAATGGTTAGAATGTGAAGATCAAGACGAGAACGTCTGGGTATACCTTTTCGAGATCCTGGTCACGCATGCGCTTCTGGCCTCGGGGTGCGGCAGAGACGGACGTCTGGCGCTCTTCACTTCCCCGAGTCGAGCCTTGCGCCTTCTTCTTGACGGGCGGGGGCTGCGCGCGAGCGGCACGCTGAGCTTGGAGCATCTCGTGCCGCAGACTGTTTGCCAGCTCACGGTTCTCCGGGTTGAGCTTGCGAAGACGATCTTGAGGCACCCAGTCGTCCCAGCTGAATTGGTCAGCAACGGCAGCTAAAGATGAGTCCGGCTTAATGTGTGAATCCGAGCTGTGCTCAAGCGTTGCTGGTGTGTTGTCGAGTTGTGGTACTGAAGTGGCCGACAGGGTCGAGTGGGCGAGGTGCCGACGTGGTTTCCACGTCCGAGGCAGCCAAAACCAGACACAGTGCAAACGCGGTAGAAAAAGAGGGATTGTACATACGTGTTCTTCCAGCCCTTGTAGTGGACCTTGTACTGGAAGCCACTCTTCTGGTCGTCGCCCTCGTTCGGCTTCACATCAGTGACCTTGGCCTCATAGAGCAGCTCATGATGGAAGCAGAAAACCTTCTCATCCTTGCGGTACGTAGGATCTGTAGCAGCTGCAGGCGCCATGATTGTCAATCCAAACTTGGAGGATGGTGTTTGGGGGAGGGAGAGCACGGCGGATGGAAAGGGTGAGCAGCGGCACACGTATCTCACGCTGCTGCTTCCTCGACGCGCCACGCAACGTGTCTGCCCACAACAAATACCAAGCCTGGCTGAACCAAGAGATTCGACGATTTTGAGCAGGCCGATGATGGGCGGAGTCGTGTCGCGCGACTTGTAGCAGCCGCATCCACGGCTTTTCGTGCGCACGGACGGCACGCGACGCGCTTCACGCAGCCTCGACGAGTGCTTCACTCCCGCTTCACTGACGCGCCCGTCGAGCACCCGCTGCCTCCCGCGCGCGACGCCCCGCCGCAACTATGTCGTCGGAAGCCAAGCTGCTCGGCGACTTCCTCCTCGCGCCCGCCCCGCTGCGCGACTTCATGACGCTGCGCCAGTTCACCGACATCTTCCCCCGCAGCCACCGCGAGAACCCGGCGGTGCACGACCTGTACCGCGAGCTGCACCGCCTGCGCGAGGCCGAGATTGGGATCGTGCGCGATGACGTGGCGAAGGAGGTAAAGCGCTCGAAGCCGCTGCGCCGGGCGTATGCGCGCGAGCGGCGCCAGATGGACGACGCACGCGTCGCCGGCACGGATGCGGTGGCCCTGCAGATGGAGGACGAGGTGAGTCTGCGCGCAGGTTGTATTGCAGGGTTCGGATGGTAACGCGGCCCAGCTCGCAGGCCACGGCCGTAAGACGCCGCACTCACTGCAGACGGTCCACGCCAGCATCGAAGACTCGTGTCAGAGCATCGAAGCGCAGATCGCCGCCATGGAAGAGGAGAACCGGCGGGCGCTGGCGGAGGTCCAGGAGGCGGTTGGTGCCCTGAGCGACCTGCGCCATGGACGGTTCGTGCAGTCAGCCAGCGGCGAAGACATTGGAGAAGAAGTACTGGCGGCGCTGAGGAGACTTGAAGCCGTCTGCGCAGACCCGGCGAGCTGAGCATGGTGCCATTGCATCCGAACGCCACGACGCGTATCATTATGCCGTGGGAACGCCACGGACGGGCATCACTACAGTACTGGCAGCCTTGCTAGCACGATACCTCCAAGACCACTGCTAAGCACAAGTACTTCAGGTAATAGTCCTCAAACACATGGTCCTAGTCATAGTACTAGTCATGGTTCTGGTCACGGTTATAGTCGTGGTTCTAGTCATGGGCGTGGCTTTACCATGTATCCACAATGCATCGCTACGGACGTTGATGCCGAGCCCAGCGCGGTCGTCACGAGACGACCTGCACTTCTGCTCTAGCACTACCGACCTACCAACGGCACTCCTCTCTAGAGACGGATAGCCAGGCACGAGATCCCCGGTCCGGCTCAGGAACGTCGACAGAACATCCGGAAGTACGTCTGGGACGCGCCATCTGATTGGCCACCCGCTGCATAGCAATCAAAATAGATGAGCAACCTCAATATCCCCAAACACAACACTCGCTGATCCTACGTACTTGTCAACACCCGTCCGCAACCCTCAACGTGTCCCCTCTGACCCTATAACAATCCACCCGCCGCTCACCCACAATGCCGCTCAACCCACCCCAACCATGCATCTCCCAACCATACACCTCCCCACGCTCCTCTCCCTCGCCCTCCTCTCCAGCGCTACCTCCTCCGCCCCCCCAAACCCCTCCTTCGCCGGCATCAACCTCCCTCAACTTCAATACCTCACCCCCTCCGCGCGCGATGCCACAATCCTCTCCCTCGTCGCCTCCAACGTGCGCGTAATCCGCCTGCAGCTGCGCCCCACCAGCCTGCACACCGACTTCGAGCCCACGCTCGGCACCTTTGACAAATCGCTGCTCGACCAGACCGACGACGCGCTGGCCGCCATCCACCGCCTGTCCGGCGGCCGCATCAAGGTCGTGCTCGCGCCGCACGATGCGGGCGCGCTGCTGCCCGGCGGCGAGGTGCCGTGTGACGCGTACTGCGAGGGCCTCGGGGGCGCGTATCTGGATTTCTACAGCGGCGAGGAGTGGCGCGAGAAGTACTGGACGCGGCTGGAGGTGCTGCTTAGGCACTATCCGTCGAAGAACTTTGGCGGCAGGGGGTGGGGCGAGCTGGACGAGGTTATCATGGTGCGTATGCGTGTTCCCCGCGGCTTCTCTGCAGTGTTGTTTATGTTCTCCCTGTTGCTCGCTCGCTGGCGTCGTGGTCCATGTCGTGATCAACAAAGTCCTCACTCACCCCCCACCAGGCCGTCGACATCCAATCCCGCCCCTTCGCCCCCATCCACCCGATCCCCGCCGGCGAGCCCTGGCTCTGCGCCACCGCAACTTACCTGCGCACGCTCCTCTCCCCCTCCATCGGCGTCTCCAGCGGCGGCGTCTCCGGCACCCTCTCCCCCGGCGGCACCGAAAACGCGCCCGCCGCCGTGCTGAAGTGCGACGCCATCGACATCGTCGGCGTGCACGCGGGCCCGCAGCTGTCCAGCTCCGGGCTCGCCGCGCTGGAGGACGTGATGGCGGAGGCGCAGGAGCGCGCGGAGGCGCGAGACGCGGGTGCGAAGCCCAAGCTGCTCCTCGTCGAGTCCTGGACGGGGCCGCACGATGCCGACGCGCTGGCTGCGCAGGCTAGGGCGCTGGACGAGCGCGGGATACCTTGGGTGCGTCCCCACGCCCTTCCCCTCTTACTGTTTCTCTTGAGATGGCCACTAACGAGTGTAGTTGTACACCCACGTCCCGCCCTCCAACACCTCCTCCGCCTCCGCCTCCCCCCCAACCACGCCTTTCACGCCCGCCGCCCTCGCCGCGCCCTGCGCCCACGCTGCCTCCTCGCGCGCCCGCGCCGGCTGGGCCGCGTACCTGCCGCCGCTGTCCTCGCTGCCGCCTTTGCCGCTTGTCGCTGCCCAAGCACAGGCGGACGGCGGTGCGGATGGCAAGGCCGGAACGGAGGAGGGCGCGGTGGATATGAACGCGCTGTTGCAGGGGATGCTGGGGATGGATTTGAACATGAGCGCGGAGGCGGTTGCGAAGGCTGTTAAGGGGCTGTAGGGGCTGTAGGGGCTGTATGGGCTGTAGGGGCTGTATGGGCTGTATGGGCTTAGGGAGTTTCGCGCGGCGGCGATGGCGATGGAGACGCAAGGAGCTTTACGCTGTATGCAGATGTGGGCGAGCAGCACATCGTGGCTTCGCCGCGTCGCGCGGTGGCATGCACGTGACGAGAATAAGGTTCTTCAATAAAGAGTATAGTACTGCGTAGGTGTTCCCGTGTCCGTCTCACCATGTCTTGGTATGCGTAGCAAACCGCGCGAACGCTCCTATCGCGGTCCGGGCCTCGGGCGCGAGAGAATGTAGTCTGATCTGATACGAGGCGGTGGCAGGGTGGGAGTTGGCGCGGAAAGAGGGTGATTTGGATGCGGGGAATAGTGAAGTGGTGTTGTGTATTGGTTAGTTAGTTGGTGTCTTGGGAGATCCATACGATCTCGATTCTAAGCATTCAGTTCTGGGTGTTCAGTTCCTGATTCTATTCCGTGTTTCCAGTTTCTCGGTGGGGTTGAATGTACAGACAAGCATTCTCGCACATCGTGGTAGTTCAAATCGTTTAACTACCACAATCACATGCTCAGGTACCCACGCACCCTAATTCTAGATAGCTCTAAGATGCGTGTGTACCAACGTGAAATGTAAAGGACTTAAACCCACTACATGATAGTAGTGCAGGGTGCCTAAAAGGGGTAGAAAAGCCAGATGTGTCTCTATCTGTAGGGCTAATCTACTACCTAGCTACTTACAGAGGTTACAAAATAGTAGTAACATCAAAACCCCAGGCTAAACAGAGATAAGGAGAAGCTTGCCCTCCTATAGAAAGTCTAGTACCCAAGATATCGACAGTCCAACAACAAGGCTTCCCCACGGTGTCCCCAGACTAAGCTAGTCCGCACGTTCTGGCCAGCACTTAAATCAACCATCCAGGCTGAACGCGAGAAGCTTGCAGAACAAAAGTGCGGTGTAGAATTACACACAAAAACCGTCGATCGGCGCTTGCTCCTGACAGCTTGTCACACGACGCCGTTTCAAGCCGTACGCACCACGGCAAGTCGCAGACCGACAATCCAAGTGCCACGAGCAAGACGTCAACCAACCACAAGAAACCATATTCACTCAGTCGTTGTATGCCGAGCAGGGTAACACTGCTACTAGCCACCTTCACCGCTCCAAAACATCCCAGGCTGTAAACAAACAGCCAGAACAGGAATCAGCGTCTGCACAGTAAGCAGCTTAGCGACGTTACACACGCCCAGTCAGGCTATGCGGGATCTGCCAAGTCGCATCTGGCTGGTATCAGACCAGACATGGATTTCTACTGGGCCAATAGGAAGGTACGCCTGTATCCGCGGTATGATTTGTGTGACATGACAGCAAGAGATGATAGATACAATCGTTGGCGTGCGAAGGCTGGGGCGAGCGGCTCGTTCTCGCTGCTGCCGGATCTGCTGTGGAACCGTTGGACTGGGAGATGATAAGGATATGGGGGCTTCGACGGTTGGGGGTGTGTGGGTGGTGCGTTGGCCGCGTTCTTCGCGCGCTGTGTGGCCTCTGGTTAGGTCGTCGGCGTTAGGTTTACAGTATCGAGATATATAGCCAGGCTATATAGTCTGTAGGAAGGTGGACACGGTCTGTGGGTACTATGGCTGGGTGTATTCAGCCTTGCACTTGCTAAGCGCGGACTCAGCAAGCACGCACCGCACCCCTGCAGCTAGGCGGTCTCAGCGTCTTGCCCCTGCGTGGATCTGCGAGTAGATGGCAGTCGGGTATTTGTTGGAGTCGCAGAAACCCAATGAACAGGATATGCGTTCACGACAGGCATGCTGAAGCGACAGTCCGAGCGTCGAGTGTTGGGTGGCAGGGTACTGCAGCTGTGTACCCTGGAGCTGTGTGTGAGCGGACGAGAAGACAAGTCACTTCGTGAAGTTTGTTGACCACATATCAATGCGTTTTGACGGGGTTTCCTCTGTATCTTTCTCTTCTTTTCACTGTCGATTCACGCCACGCAGCCTGACGGAGATTCAGTGATGAATATGTCGATAAAGCCACCGGCCGTAAAGACGAAGACTGTGCCGAAACCAGGTTAGTGCAGTTGACAGATCCGCCTAGGTATGTGATGCTAACTGCATGCCAGCCACGCTAAAGCGGAAGGGTACGGCGACGGTGCTGAGGGCTGGACAGAAACGTGCTCGAGCGGACCGTAGCGCCGATGAGGGTGCTGACGACGACGTTCCTCTTATCGCTTCAAGGCGCTTGTCAGTCCAGAATCGCGTCGATAGCGGTGTAGCTGGAACTCCTTCACCGCGGTCGCCAACTCCAGGCAGCAATCTTCTTCTGCTAGCAGGGCCTTTCGCCGATCAGCTTTTACAGCAGTCGCCAACATTTGCAGGGTGGAGGGACGCGAACTCAGACCTCACAGACCGTACTACTGAGTTAGAACAGAAATGGGAAGGGGACGAGGAAGACCGACGTTCGCTTCGGAGAGAGGTTCGCAGTCTGGAGGGTCAGCTGAACGCAGAATCCCGCCGCCTTTCCAACGACCACACGCAGCTGAAGAAAGATGTTGGAGCCAAAACCACTGCACACGAAAATGCGATGCGCGAAGAAAAGGAACGTCTGAAAAAAGTTATAGCAGGGCTGGAGCGAAAGATCGAAACCGACGAAGCAGCCATCGCCCGACTTCAAGCAGCAGAGAAAAAAGATCATGACATGCGAGCCAAGGAAATCACAGAGAAACAGAAAAATGATGGAGACATGCAAGCAGCGCGGCAAGAATACATCAACTTTACTGAGAGGCTCCAGCAACACATCCAAGACGAGGTCGAGCGACAAATCGGCCCTGCACTCGCGGACTTCAACCAACAGGCCACTGAAATCAGAAATCTTAAGCACACCAACACGCAGCTCCAGACCACGATACAGGGTCTCCAGACCAAAACACAGGCATGGCAAACAAAATTCGCCAAGCTCGAGCAACGCTGCAACGATCACGCAGAAGAGAACATCGAGTGCCGCCAAGCTACTACGGAAAATGGGAACGACATCTCATTGATGAAGGCCGGGCATGTGGAAAACTTCAAGAAACTGTCCAGGCGCATGTCTCGATGCGAGGAGAAAGAGGACGTCCAGGGTTATCAGGAAGCCGTCGAAGTGCTCCAGAGGACCTCTGACGACACCGCGACCGGCCTTAACAATCTGCGCAGGGAGACCGACGAGCTCAAGGCCGAAGGACGCAAGGCTGCTGAGCAGCTAGGCGCTCTGTCGGGTGAGATCCAGCACGTGAAGACCAAGCAAGACGAGCTGCACACACGTGTCGACACCTTGAGCCAGATGTTGAACGCAAATATCGTGGCTTCGCAGAATATATTGAAGACGATGGCGTCGGCTGAGTCGGAGCGGCAGCAGCAGGTAGGTTCTCAAGAGAAGTACTTCGTTGGATGTAGCTGACGGCTCTGTTAGGTTTGTGATGTGGTGGCAGTACTTACGCGATCCGCGGAACCGCCCCAGCCGTTCTCTGAGGCCGGTCTACGAGAGGCATTCCAAAAGGTATGGGTGCATGTCTACAGTGCTGGGTAACAGCTAAGTCTCTGACAGGAGCAAGCGAAGCGCTATCATGAGCTTGCTAAACGTCAGCAAGACGAATGCCCAAGCGGCTCGGAGCTGTGTGGAGATCAGATGAGTACAGTACACAATCCAGGTGACATCAAATCAGGCGAAGCGCAGTAGCAGGACAACAGGCGGCGCTGCGACCTCTCAGGCAGTGACATTCGGCATCTAGGACATGCTGTAGCTCCTCTCCTTGCCCTCCTCGGCGTCATCCATCAGCGTCGGCTCGAACTTTGACTTGCGTGCCTGCGTCGCGCCCGACGCCTTCCACGCCGACAGAATCAGATCCACAATCGCATCGACGCCCTGGCCCTTCTTCACCACGGCGAAGATGGTCGGCCCGCCCTCGCGCATCCTCCTGCTGTCCCGCTCCATGACGTTCAGATCGGCGCCGACCGCCTCGGCGAGATCGATCTTGTTGACGATCAGCAGGTCCGACTGTGTGATGCCCGGGCCGCCCTTGCGCGGGATCTTGTCACCGCCGGACACGTCGATGATGTAGATGATGAAGTCGGCGAGCTCGCGGGAGTAGTTGGCAGCGAGGTTGTCGCCGCCGGACTCGATCAGCAGCAGGTCTGTGTCGAACTTGTGGTGCAGGTTTGTGAGGGTCAGGAGGTTGACGGAGATGTCTTCGCGGACTGCGGCGTGGGGGCAGCCGCCTGTCTCTACAGCGACGATGCGCTCGCTGCAACAATCAGATCATTGGTTCTTCACTACTCGTTATTAGACTTACGCTGGGAGAGCCTTGTGCTTGGTCAGGAACTCGCCATCTTCTCTGGTAAAGATGTCATTGGTCACTGCTGCGACACTGAAGCGCTGTCGGAGTGCTTTGCATAGAGCCAACATCAGAGCCGTCTTTCCGGAGCCTACAGGTCTGTGCATGGTCAGTATACTTACCCCAAAGTACATGCTGCAGTCTTACCCTCCAATGCCTACTGTGAACGACCGGTCTTCCCAATCCCTGCCCTCGATGATGGGCATTTCGCGGCCCATGAAGCTGCCCGGCCCGTCCAGAATCTCATGGGTGTGTCCATGGTCTGCAGCTGCGTGCGAGTGCGAGTGATCGTGTGAATGATCGTGCGACATTGTGAAAGCTACCGAGGTGTGGTTGCTGTCACCGTAGACCCTGGTGTTGCGAGAACGAAGCTTGAGATGGCGGGGCACACCAGGGACGATGGTGGGGCTTATCGCTCCCCTCATCTCCCTCCCCGTCTCCAGATCTCCACCTACAATCACGGCCCATCACGTCCTTGCCACGATCGTCACTGTGTATTTCGCCAGATTTCTGGATGCGCCAAATGTGTGGCTCAATTAGAAGATGACATGATCGCTCCAGGCAAGGCAGAGCGGCAGACGCTTTGATCGCACGCTGGCCGGGATCATGGCTGCGCCGCGGTCTGTTCACCGCGGTCTCCCCTGCATTTTATCAACGCACGCGGTCCTTCTCATATGATGCGCAATTATATCTCGCGTACCTGAGCGCCTCCACTAGCATCTTCCCAATTGTGGGTTTGACGTTCCCGCATCGGTGCGCTTCGCGACCGCTTTGGGAAAGATTGTCGTCGACGCAGCCAGCAGCTTCACCAATATTGCGCTATGCATAGCGAATACGATGACATTCCCACTCATCTCGGCGGCAGCTGTCAGGTCAGCCGCGATTCATGCGTCGGATGATGCGGTGCATTAGGATGCAAATTCCAATTCCTTCGCGCAGATATGAGAAGACGTCGTCTGCTTTCGTCCTGTTTGGACCCGGATGCGGTGCGCTCGACTCACGGATGCCTTCTTGAAGTTTGCTCGCCCACATTGATTTTCATACCACCACACTCTTTTACTATCGTTGACGTTTGTACGAATTGTTTGTTTAATATTTAAATACGGCGCCATGTGGAACAAGTCGCAGCACACCTCGCTTCTGCTTTGGGACATCGACCGCGAGTTCCGGAACGCATACGAGCTTTACGAACAGGTGCGGTCAAAGTCCAGTTACAAGCGCACGGCGTGGGCGTGCCTGGCCGTCAAGAGTCAGGATGACGCCCTTGCAAAGGTCCTCGACATCGGACGGGAAGTAAGGCATTTTATGGAGAGTGGAAAGAGGCGGTTTGGGTCAGCATTCGAAGAAGGCGATTGTGAGTGTGACTGGTGAGAGGTATCGACTGTACTGACGTTACCAGCTTCATGCCACACAACGCTCGAAGCGCAACTCATCCGCCTGCAGTATGAAGTCCGTGAGCTCCTCTGCGACAGCGCCGTGTCCGACAAGATATCCATACCGTACAACGACATCATTACGACCGCAAAGAGCATCCGCCGTATATGTCTGGAGGCCTTGCAGGCCCAGTTTGAACGCTTCTCAACGCCCGCCTCGCTTCTGTATCTGCCGCCCCCACGCTTCAAGGTGCAGTACTGCTCCTTCGCCACGCAACTCCGCAAAGACCTCGACTCGTCAGAAGGGAGCACTCTCAAGACGAAGAAGCTACGACCGCGCGACCGCCACGATGACCGCGAGATCTGCCCCGACTGCGACACATGCATCTCTACTGCCACGCACTCCGGACTCCCCGATGCGCGGTGCATCCTCTTCACGTCACACGTGCGGCCCGAGGCAGGCAGCAAGGCCAAGAACGCAAGCTACGCATGCTCGAGCTGCTACAAGACCTTTGACGATTCGTACGCATTCCTCGATCACGTGTTCCAGAAGCAGATCGGCAGCGACCGGAGCTGCCTGCGCCTCTCGAGCCCCGACCTGGCGATCCACGAGTTCGACCCGTCGCTCATCGAGCAGTGCTTCAAGAACTGCCTTGTCAGAGAGCTGTCGCGGACCGCGGGCAAGACGACCATCAAAGGTCAGATCACGGTGCAGGAGAGGGAGATCGAGGTGCGGTTGAACAGTTTGCGGAGCGCCACGTCGTGGTAGCCGCTTGAGATCGATATGTTCCGTTCATGTATTACGCCATATACCCTAGACTTAATGTTTCTTCGCAGCTACGAATGTTTAATGCCATACACACCACTCTATGCGTTCTCGCACCCAGCGTTACCACGTCGCTACAACTACTCATACCAAATAGAATCCAGCCTCGCTAACAGACCATAACCCGTCAACGCAGGATGAATTGACTGTAGCGAACGCAGCGCACACATCCCCTCCATCCCTCACAGCACACCCTCGGCACCAGCCGAAGCGATCCTCACCACTACCACTAGCGCAACACCACGCACCTCCCACCACCAACCCACGTGCTGTGCGTGCCCACCGCGCACCGCCACCTACCTCTCGCCCACCCCTAGCCCCCCAAGCCCCAAGCCCGCGCCCAAGACCACCCAAGCCCGCCCAGCCCGCCGAGCTTTGGCAGCGGACACGGACTGCCCCGCTGCCCACTCTAGCCTCGCTGCGGTTTCCTCACCTTTCCCAGGTGAGAATGCGTTGTCGCGAGCGCGATGGTGCGGAGGGGGTGCGACGTGCACGACTGCTGTGGTGCATGGCGGGGGAGCAATAGAGTGTGTGGTATGCAGTATGCAGGATGCGGTGCGATGTGCGGGTGCGATGTGCGGTGCAAGAAGGTAGGTAGCGCGGCAGTGGGTGGCACAGCAGGAGGTCACACAGCAGGCAGCAGTAGTACCGACCCGACAGTGTCCCCACTGCAGCAGAAAAATGAAAAATCGCAGCGGGAAAGAGAATGGTTTTTCTTCTGGGCTTGGCGCGCGCGGCGGCGTGTTGGACATCACATAGCACGGCCCCCGCGCGCAGCCGTGAAAGCACCAAGACGCGCGAGACCAAGACACTGAGACACGCTGTTCAGGCTGAGAGCGCGAGTGAGACTCGGATGCTCATCAAGACCCAAGATGCAGTAGCTATCCAAGATTCAAGTCCACGCCGCCACCTGCCTCAACACACATACTCGAAACCCTACTATATACATACCACCCACCCATTTAGAATCCCTTCCCGCAGTCAAACCCCTCTCAAGCGAGACTCTGCAAACCCGGTGCTCGAGGCTAAACACCTATGTGCCGAGTACCTAGCCAGCTCAAAAGCAGGGTCCTGTGTCCCCGAGCCAGCCGCCGCAGGGTCCGACTGCGACTGGGATGGCTTGGGTCAGTGGCTAGGCGTGGGGAACGGTATGTTATGAGATACATTATGGCTACGATCCCGGTTTGTGAAGTATGGAGGTATGTGGTGTGTACGCGGTATGTACATACTACACAGTAGGTACCAAGGCGGACACCGACAGCAAGCCGCCGAGCAAGTCTCGTTGCGTGCTTTTAGTTGTCTCGGGAGGTTGTCTTGGCGATTCCGTGTTTGTGATGCGGGCGATACTGCGTCTCTGGCCTGTGTTGGGAAAGACGGTGCCATTCCGCTTCTTGCCTTTGAGGCTCGGGGGGCGTGCGGTTCCTAGGTGCGGTGCTCCACCATCGTCCTCTTCGGCACACCTCCCCGTGCGCATCGCTGTGCAGATACAGACGCAGACCACATAGCAGAGCAGAACGCAGATCCGACGTCAACGCCGACCCACCTCACCGCAGAACATGCAACCTCGTGTTACCTACGGTGTGACGCACTGGTTCTGCGGCGCTGAATACCTACATCATACATCGTACAACACCCGTGTCCTCGATCTGCGGAGCCGCCGGGTGTGAAGGGAAGCGCCGAGCGGGCGCCGGGGAGGGCAGCATCGGGGCATAAACGAGAAATTTTCCAGTGGATTTGCCTGTGGGGGTCTTGTCGGGGGAGGTTTCTTGCGTGCTGTTGGGAAGCGGGTGTACCTGGGTACTTATTTGGGAGTGTGGACTGGACTGGATTGTGGACGACTGTCTGGCCGTCGCTGTCCGCCAACGGCCTGTTAAGTGGCGCTGTTAGATAGCTGCCGGAGTGGGCATGGTGAATGGTGGTTGTGAGTGCAGAGTGTAAAGGGACCGTCGGCGTTGTCAGTGGTCATTGAGGGTACGTGGGAGGGAAATGTGGACTGCAGACTGCCCAGTGACTACCTGAGCACCAAGCACCCACTTACTGCGTCGACTGGAGCACATCGCCAAGTACCCACCAGCAGAATCCTCCAGAGGTTTCCAAGCAAGTACCTACCCACCCCATACCGTGCGGTGTGCAGGTCCAGCGACGCCTCAGCAGAGTCGCCGGCCACAGACCCGGTGATTTCGGTTTGTGTTCGGGAAGTGTGTCGTTGCCATGCACTCGTGTCTACCATCGTCAGTGTGAAGGAAGACATCGTTGGCTCCTCAGTCTTGTCTGGCTCGGAGTGCCTTGGTAGAGGCGTAGAGATGTGGTATCACGGCATGGCACAGCAGGACAATAACGAGTGAGATATGCAGTCCAATGTGTGATAGATCAATATCATTCACCTCAGCCCCACGGGCCTCCTACACCGCTCCACCGTCCCATCTGCACCACCCCCGCCCCACCTCAGTGTCCAAACGCCAGTCCCAAAGAAAGAAAACGGGGTATAAACCAACGGAGAGAGCCCTCTGATCCGTCGCACGCGCCACCATAAAACGCCAAAGAGAGAGGAAAACGCCATGCCGTGCCGTCATGCGCGAGCCCGCGAGCCCGCGTCGAAAATATGCAAAGAAGAAGGCGGAGCGTGGACGCCGTCTGCCGGCATCCACCACAACAACCACAACCACAGCTGCATGCACCACCACCGCGCCTATCTCAGCGCCCGCACCAGCCACCGCTCCCAATACCCGCGCACCCCGAGAATACTGTCTTTCCCGTCGTTGTGCCGCCCCCCGTCATGACCCCCCGGATCCCCCAAAATCAGGCTGAAGAACCAGAACCCGGCGGCCGTCCACGACGCGACCGCGACGCCGAGCGCGACCAGCGGCGACGCGAGGTTGATCAGCAGCAGCAGGGGGACGCTGTACGCGTTTGCGTCGTCGTCGGCGTCGGCGGTGTCCGCGGCAAACGAGGAGTAGATGCGGCGCAGCTGCAGCTCGAGCGCGGGCGCGAGCAGGCCGGTGAGCTGGGAGCGCAGCGGCGCGCGCGCGGTGCAGTAGCGCAGCGGGTGCAGTGCGAGGGCGAGCAGGAGCGCGACGAGGGTCCAGAGGGTGATGGCGGCGGACAGCAGCGCGCACGGGCCGGACAGGAAGAACTGGGTGCGGGTTAGCGGATGCGTTGCGTGCGGGGTGCGTGTGCGCGCATGCAGGCGCAGGCGCGGGCGCAGGGGTACGTACCAGCAGCTGGCAGGCCTTGTCCTCGGGGCCGTGGTCGTCGAGGTACTCGGTCTTCTCGTGCACGGCGGAGGCGCGGTGCGAGCGCGCCGAGAAGGCATCCGGGGCGGCTTTCTCGGGGTCGAGGTGGGCGCGCGGCGGGTAGGAGACGCGGCTGTGGCGGGTGTCGTGGCTAGGGGGCGGCGCGTGGTGCTGGCGTGCGTCGCTGGAGAAGCTGGAGCCGGGGCTTGGCGGCGCGGAGGCGGCAGAGGAAAAGGGCGAGATGACGGAGTCGTGGGCGCGGGCGAGGTCACGGGGCCGCTGCTGCGACGGCTGGGAGTGTTTTTGGTATGTGTCGTGCGCTTGAGAGATCTCGCTGCGCTTGTCGTTGCTCTCCGAGTCGTAGTCGGTGTCGGGCGACGAGTGGCCGCTGCGGGCCGGCGTGTGTGTGGCCGGAGAGGGCACCGGCGCGTGTCGGGGGTCCATGAGCGGCGGGCGTCGTGGGCGCTACAACTCAATGGGCGTCCGGCGATACGTCTCGAGGGGCGTCCGGCGACGGGGTGCGAGCAGGCAGACGGCGAGCGGGATGGGCATGATATAGCAGACCTCAGGAGACGACAGGAACCCAAGTGGCCGTCTTCTTCTTGGGTCTTGGCCGTTCACTTGGCCGGGCTTGGACACCCGCCCGTGATTGGTGCACGCCGGCGCTGCTCCAGGCGACGCTGAGGCCGACAAGACGGATGGAGCGGCCGCGACGATATTTGTGCGGCGGAGGAGACGCGGCGGTGCGCACAGCTGCCTCTGACTGCCTCGCTGTCCGCCATGCCCGCCTGCTGCTGCTGCTGCCCTGCGCCGCTGTGTCGCCCGCCGCGCGCGCCAGAGCCCGCCAAGCAGAGGCAGAGTCCGCCGGGACGCTGTGGTGCGGAGTCCCAAACCCACAGCTGATGCGGCCCGCCCGTCGTACAACAGCCCACAGCCAGCGCTGCTGCTCTGCCCAGTCCACTGCCTGCGCACCACCTCGCAAGCACACGCACCAGCGCGCCTGGTGTCTTGCACGTGGCCGCCGCAAGCAGCGCACTCAGGCGGAGCGGAGGCCGTCGATGTCCTGGCTGCGGTGCCTAGTCCTTAGCCTCGCGGCGCCAGCGACGCACCTCTCAGCGTTCGTGACGCACCTCTCAACGACTCCAACGCGCGCTCAGCACGCAGCCCCAAGCGTGGCTGAAACCGCACAGACCGCTGATCTCGCTCTTGGCCAACCCAGCCAAAGGCCCTTCTCGGGCCCATGTTAAACACCCGTGCAGATGGCTCCGTTTGCAGCGGGGAGTCGATGGCTGCGACTTCATTTCGTTTTTTGCCTTGGCTCGGCATGCTGCATCACGAGAGCTTGCCGTCCGGATCGGGCGGCAGCACCTCAAACCGCCGCCGACCATGGGTGCCGGGAGAGCCATTCGAAATGAGTCGCAGGTAGACACCTACAAACCGTTGCGCAGACGTTGAGCAGCCCGCCGTTGAGCAGACGTCAGCCACCGTCACGCTGCAACCCTAAGGCTGCAAGTCCGGTACGCGTTACGGCGTGCAGCACCAGATCTTGGTCGCACGTCCCGCACCTCGCGTCGATCTACGGAGTGTGCTCCGCCAACGGTTCTGCCACTCCCAGCACAGACGGCAATGTGAGAACCAGCATGCCACCAACACCAGAATTCAGTCTGGATGTGGAGGTGCAGTGCTTGTTGTGTCCATGGAACAATGCGGTCTAGGCAAGGGATTCCTGTTGTCGTGACATCACGGTTTTACATACATGAGGTTATGAACCTTCACGAACCGAGCCTGGACCGCCGCAGTGTTCCATTGACTGCTACCCATGCGTTCATATGAAGTAATTACCGCACGTTGAGGATATTGGGGTCTGTTTCTAGCACCCCTGTGATCTCTATTCGCAGTCAGCTCGGTCCTGTGAACATGTCTCGTCACTGGCATAGACTCACCGTCACCCCTGACGCCTGTCGACGTAGACGTATCCATCGGCCAGGTCACGTCCTCCAAGATCCGTGTCATGATAGTCTTCAATTGAAAGCCGACGTGGCACTGAGCATGCTTCCACGGCTCCACAGGTGCTGAAGCGCGCCTGCTCACCGACTCCGTCTCCGCGATGCGCATGGCCATCTGTACGTCTGACAGCTTCGCCGCGAGATCTTTGGGCGAGACCCGGAAGCCCTCAACCGTCTTGAGCATGGGAAACAGTCCAAGCTCCCGCAGAAATTTCGTGAACACCGAGAAGTTGTGAGCTGCACAGCTTTCCTGGGCTGCGAGATCGCAGTCGTGTGCGGCTTTGCAGGTGATGCCCTTGGACATGTCCGCCCACAGCTCGTACGTGGCCTTCATAATGTTGCAGAGAATCCGTGTTCGAGCACCGCGAATGAGCGCTGCGCCAGTCAGCCAAAGCACCGTGAAGTGTCTCTCCCAGTCAAAACATACCAAGCGTGTCAGCCCCAACCCTCCCCTCCAACCTCACCCCCCCGGGCCTCACCAAACCCCCAACCCCATCCCCACACCTCACCGCCAACCACCCCGCCAACGTCCCAAACTCCCTCCCGTACCCAAACTCCCCGGCAACGACTAACCACCCCTCGTACCCCTCCGCCAACAACCACCCCTCATACCGCTCAACCCACTCCTCCATGTACCCCGCCAGCAACGCATGCGCGCCCCATCTAGCTGCTACCCGCGCCACCTCCACGATGTCGCCGAAATCCAGCGCCCGCGGGACGCGCGCGAATTGCAGCGTAGCAATGAGCAGCACGATGCGAATAGCCAGGGGCTGCTCGTCGCGCAGACGCAGCGTGAGCGGCTGTCCGCGCAGCCAGTTTGCAGCGCGGCGGCGAGGCGGCGCGCGAGCAATGAGCGTGGCCCAGCGGGGTCCGAGTTGGCGCAGGATGGAGGCGGCGATCAGGAAGGAGTGCGTGGTTGGGTCCGGGCCGACGAGGAGGAGCACGTCGCGGCCGGTGGGCTGGCCGAAGCGCTCGATGATCGTGGAGGGTGCGGGGCTTGGTGGTTGGGGTTTGGGGGACGTGGGGGCTGCGTGTTTGTATGGCTTCAGGCGGGAGAGGCGCAGCTCGGCGGTGCAGCAGGTTAGGCGCATGGTGGTGGTGTGTTAACGAATGAACGCAGGTGTGCGTTGGTATGGATGTGAGTGAATGGTGGTAGTGATGTGGATGGTATGAACGAGTAGTGAGTTGGGAGTGGAGGAGAGGTTTGGGGTGTTTGGATGTTCTGATGGGCAGAAGGGGAAGGAACGAGATGGAGTGTGTTGTGCAGTGACTACCTGGCTGCGCGAGCCGCCGGGTGAGAACTTCCTTGGATGATTCTCAGTACATGTACAGTAATGTTAGCAATCTCGCCCATGCGCGTTGCACTGAGCTCCATATTTACAATCCCCCGTCTCACCCCATAGGAACCGGCCTCAAATGCCCATCCTTATCATACTTCGCCTTGAAAAACGTATAGCTCAACGTCACCGTCTCAATTCCCTTCATGTTGGCATCCGTGACAAACTCGGGATCAATGTAGAAGAATACCGGCATATCCACCGTCTCGCCCGCATTCAATCTTTGCTCTTCAAAGCAGAAACACTGTATCTTGCTGAAGTACGGCGCCACCTGGCCCGGCGTGACCGAGTACGTCGCCACGCCGATGATGTCCTCGTCGGACTTGTTCGTAGCCGTGTAAAACGCGAGCGCAGTCTCGCCGGGGAGGACGCGCACTTCGCGCTGCTGCGGGACGAATTTCCAGGGTAGGACGTCCGAAACCGAGCCGTTGAAGGTGATGCGGATGCGCGGGTGGTTTTCAACAGGCTTCAGGCGCTCGGCGGGGTCGGCGTTGGGGTCGGTGCCGCCGTGGGCTGCGGATTTTATGGGTTGGCCGCCCCAGCCGGTTTGCTGGCATATCTGGGGGATTTAATATAATTTTCTGTGGACGATTTCCGGGTCCTTACCATCTTGTACATGGGCACGGAGCCGTATGTGATTGCGACGAAGCCTACAATTACGCTGAAGACGTAGTTCCTACCGCGTCGTCAGCTAGTAGCCATAGAGTAGTTCTTCCAACATACATGACTGTCCGGTTCTTCTGCTTGTAGCGGGCGTGCATCTGGTCCATGCTCGGTACAGTGCCGTGCCTTGTGTCGCCAGTGGTGTTATTCGAGCTTATCCATCGGCGTGCAGTGGGAATTGCGGGTGCGCGGGTGCGCGGTATGCGGCTGAGCGAGCGCGAACATGCTGTACAGATCCATGGCTGCGCTATGCGCGCCTGGAACTGGCGCAATGGCATTGCGACAGACATAGTGTTGGTGGAGCGGCACTCTCGCAGTGGAGTGATGATTCAGTAGTCGCAAAGTTCCCGAGGTCGCCGCCGGGAGGCTTTAGCCCCATCGGGAATAGTCAAGAAACAACCTCTTGCGCCGGAGTACCGTCATCCCAGCTCCACAATATTTGTTCGCCAAAGTTCTACCAGGAACGGTCTTCAGATCCCTCCGCTACTTTCAGAACTCAATCCGAGATGTCAGACACACTCTGTGGTGTCTGCAACTCCGAGCCGAAGAAATACAAGTGCCCGACTTGCGCACTCCCATAGTACGTGAACTGCACATCTGCCATGACTTGCTAACGAATGCAGCTGCTCAATATCATGTTTCAAAGAGCACAAACCAGCACACGCTGATGCCGCGCCCGCGCCACCCGCACCACCCGCACCAGAGCTCCCGCAACCTCCTCCTCCAGCGCCCGTCCCACGCTACCTCAAGAAGAAGACCGACTTCTCCGTTCTCGCGACGAATCCCAAATTCCAAGACCTGCTCAAGACATACCCAGTGCTGCTTCCCACACTCCAGCGCGTCTATGCTGCCACAATTGAACCCGACGAGGACGACCAGTCGCGGCGCGGCAGCAGCAGAGGCAGAGGGTTCCGAGGGCGGGGCGGCCGAGGTCGCGGGAGAGGAGGCCGCCAGAACGATGCGCCGTATAAGTGGACGCAAAGACAAGGCGACAACGATGCTATGAGGATGCTCAAGGGGGTTAGAGGAAGAGATGACAGCGACAAAGAGAAGCAGGCTATGGCGGCGTTTGTGCAACTCGTCGAAGACACATTTGGCGATGCACAAAATTGAGATATGGAGAGAAGTTCAAGACTTTCTGTTTCTATTTCTGTCTGAACCAGTAACCGCGCATCGACGCTGTTCCCCTGTCAAGTCACGCGAGATCAAGTGAGAGAGGTCTCAGAACGAAAGATCTCAGAGGTCATCCTGGTGTCGTCAGCACCGCCGGGTCAGATCACTGTAGGCAGCTTACGCTTAGCATATGGGTCAGGACTTTGTTGTGCGTATGCTGCTTCAACGTTGCTTCAGCTTTGGTGAGGAGGCCGAAATCGCCGAGACATTTCTCAAAGGTGCAGGACGATTGGTGGTTACCCTTTCCGTATCCCTTCGTGCCGTCGCATGGCATGTAGGGTTTGAAGTCGGTGCCGATGCTCTTGAGAGCTTTCCAGTACCAGATGACACTCTGGTACATTGTGTGCGCGCTTTCTGGTACTGGGTAGAGACCGGCCGCTTGCAGACCCATCACGAGAACACCGATCTTGGTCGCCTTGCAGGTGGCCTTACCGCAGGGAGCCAGAGTTGCGACTCCCTTCTTGTGCATCGCCCCGTCGATGGCGGCGCTGCAGAGCCTCAGCCATTTCTGTAAGATTCTGGTCCGAACTTGATGAATTTGAGCTGCGCATCGTGTCAGTGCTGAGATGGAAGAATTGCTCCCCCTGCTCACCTTGAATGCGATCCGGCAGGTCCGATTTCAGCTCCGTCTTGGTTTCGCCAGATCCATAGTAGTAGGAAATGTACTTCTCATCGACCTGTACCTCCACCGCCAGTCTGGTGACAAGATACTCGTAGTCGTCTTGAGACCGGAAAACATGATTAATGACCGCCCAGTCTTGGTACGAAGGTTCTGCAGGCCACTTCTGCCATGCCGAGCGAGCATTGTTCAACCATTGCTTGGAAGCCAGCGCAACCTCCACAAGCTTCCCCAAGTTGTATTTGTCTGTCAGCCGCGCCAGTTCCTCCATCTGCGCCAGGTCGAGGACTGCGGGCAGCGCATCCATCTGCAAGTGTGCGACGCGTAGCACTAGCTCAAAGGCCCAGGGAGAGTCGTCGGGGAACTCAATCTCGGACTGCTTGCTCTCAGCCCAGGCACCAGTCAGCATCTTGGTCCAGATCTCGCTTGCGTGGCGTAGGGTGCCTTTGTTAACGCGAAAAGCAGCTTGTCCATGGCTACTGCCGGGAGCGCCGATAATAAGGGTGAGGTCGTAGAACGGATCTATTGTGGTGACTGTCAGTTCAGGCTCGGTTGCTTTGCGCTTGCGATCTAGCGAACTTGTTGCTGTCGATTCAGATTTTGTGTCGGTTGGTATGGGGACGAGAGATTTATCTGGTACTGTTGGTGGTACTGCGGTTGGTACAACAAGCTTCGTATCAACAGGGCTTGCACTGCCGTCGTTGGTAGTCATAGTGGCGGAAGAGCAGGTGATGTAGCTGCGTGGAAGTGGGAGGAGAGTTGTGGAGGTCGAGGAAGGAGCGTGGCAGCAGCTGCCAAGTACTGCAAACGCGCCAAGCCGCACTTCACTCTCACCTCAGCGACCTCTGCACTGCTCGACCAATACCTACCACTGGTCTCGTTACAGACACACGGCTAAGCACTGTTCAGGCCATATTTATCTCTCACCTCCCACCCTTTACTATAGTAAATAAAGCAGAGATAGCTCGGTTGCATACCTACCTTTCCTGATCACCTAGCACTGCCAAAATCTGCATTGTGTTGCACTGAATTATGCCAAGACTCATTTCACGCTCGACTGACTGATCTCTGCACTGATCAATCAATGTTCAGAACAGCTCTCACCAAATGTAGCTAAGCACTGTTTGGACTCAACTTCAGCTCTCACTTCAGTGTTTGTCACCACAATAGACCGAACAATGGCCATACAACCAGAAACACATCCATCTTTCTTGGTCACTGGAGAGAGCAACAGTATGCGTGCTGCACCAGTGTAGGTATAGATAGGCAGTATAATTGTACCGCAGCACAAAACAACCTACATGTATTCGCCTCCAAAACGTCCCTGCCACTTACCCACCCGCAAAGACGCAAACAAGCCCCACAAAACACGTTTTCTTGGAAATTCCCGAAGTGCGAACCTCCCCTCTCCTGCACCTGCACCTGCCCGTGCCAGTGTCACAGCCTCAGTGTGTTTGTACACATCCCCTCTTCTCTGACATGACAGGAACACAGATTGTGACTCCTCGGGGCCTGCAATCTCAGAGCGAGTCTCAGTCGTGCTGATCGCGCGTATTTGCTGTGGGTCTGTAAATCCCGGAATCAGGAGCTTGTTGCTCGACATTGCTCACGAGTTCCCAGTCCAATCTACAAATTTCGGTATTTCCCTTCCTCGGTTTTCGTTCTCAGGACCGATTCATTTCCAGGCTCTCAGTCCATAGTATTGGTTTGCCGGCCCGCACTGGGTGTCGGCGTTGAGGCATCGACATGGGGGAATCGAGTGTGACGGATCAATAGCTGTGGATCAGCGATGTTCACGAAATCTGGATTTATATGTGGAGTGCGTCTGCTGTCTCTGGTCACTCTGCTGATAGCCACTCTCTTGCTGGTAATAAGACTGCTGGTGTGATCGACTGTTTGTTTGTGTATGCGATTTGCTAATGGTATTGTGGGGGCAACGTGTCTCACTGCTCTACTGATTTGGGCCACTTCTGGGCTTGCACTCGTACATAAGGCGCTGACAACGTAGTGTCCATGGTGAGCTTTGTGTTGACTTTGCTGTTATTGAACTTGGAATGAGACTAGGAGTGATCGGTCAGGTCGCATTGATGGTACAGTCATCTGCACTGCACTACCCACAAGAACAATTTTACGTGCCGCATTGAGCGTTCAGGGCATCACAGGTACTACTCACGAATCCTTCGATGTACTCACAATTGCTGACACGGTTCTTTGTCGTTGTTAAAGTGCGCATGAAAGAGCCGAGACCGTGGTACTGGTCCGACTGCATGTCAAGTCTCTTCAACTTCTGTCCAAAGATCATTTCGTGAGCGGAGAGTGTACTCGGCAGTAACCTCGATCGTCAAAAGGAAAAGCGGCTTCATGTTTCAGTGCCCTTGTTGCACTCGTGGCCTGGTGATTCCTCGGCCGCATGCGGTTCAAACTCTACCGGTAGTCTCGTCTATCTTTGATTTTACTAAATTGCTGCTATGAACGCAGACAGCAATGGTACTGTGTGAGACTTATGGCAACATCGCATACTGGTATACCTGCGCAACAAGAGCAAAGGGGAAACCTCAGTGTTCGAAGATCGCTTCCTCGTACTTACAGGCCAAAGCTTACAGCGCATAGATATTCCAGAAATATCGGCCAAACGTTGTTTAGCATACCTACCCCTTTGGGGTCTGGAGATGGCGGATGACGCAGTTCCAACGCTTGAATCGCATCTTCCCCAGTCAAGCGGGGCGTGTAATCGGATACAGCGAAGATGTTCAATGTGAAACGCGCATTTGCGTGTGAAAGTTACCAGAAACGGTCCTTCTCCTCGCTGCGATGGGCAGGGCATCGCAGTGACGTCATGCATCTCAGCTTTCTACATCGTCGGAGCATGCTCCGCAACGATTGTACCTGGACGTGCAGATACCTGAATGGTTGGTTCGATGACTACACTTGACGGAAAGGGTTAGAGGCGATCGAATCCGTGTAGAAGCATATATCAGCTTGTACAGCTTGATACAATATGTCAAAGGCATATTCTGTTCCACATCCACACGAAAAGTCGTTTGTATCACAACACACATAACAAGCTGTCAACTACACGAACAACATAATGGGAAAACTTACAGGATACGATATCAATGGCTCGACGAAAGTTCCAAGAACCCACGGAGGAGTGAGTGACAGTGAAAACAGTGGTATGTATACACCCGCAATGAACCTGTAACGGCGAATTTGTAGTTGCCCCTGACAGTATCTGCACTTTTGTTATAAGCCATTGCCCAGAAGTGTTCCATTTTACTGACCACAATTTGGCAGTCCTCGACCAACCACTTCTACAACATTCGTCTCGCGGCATGTACCCCATGGCTAGCAAATCAATCCCGCCTACCGCCTTCAAGCCCGGTTTCTGCGACTCGCAAACCCCAATTGCCGCCGAGCTCACACAATCGTTCCTTGATTTTGCCTCGAAACGCGGCGGCATCAACCTTAAGCAGATGGGCGTGAGGCCGGGTCAGCGGTGGTGTGTGGAGGCTAAACGATGGCAGGAGACATTACAGCATGAGCAGGAGGCGGGAGTCGTGGTGCCGCCGGTCAAGCTCGAGTGCACGCATGAGAGTGCGCTCAAGATTGTCGAGCTGGATATATTGAAGAAGTATGCTGCGCCTTCGGATCTATGAATCTTGGAAACGTTTGTTTCAGGCATTGCTATAACTTCCAGCGCTTTCAGTTCAAAAGTCTTTTGGGGACACTGAACGAAAAGAAAAACCAAGAAGGCAGATACATGAGGGCAGGTTCTCATGCAGGCAGGCATATTCATCATCTATTAAACTTAAATGACGACTTTTCATTTTGAATCCAAATGTCGTCAACTGTTTCTCTCCTCACTCACGGTGTTAAAAAAAGGTGCTGTTTTGATTGATTCTTTCAGCAGCCTTACATAAATCAGGGTGGCCCGGTCCCTTTTGCGGCAACTTCCTCCGCAATAGTCTGCTCGTACGTATCATACTTGTACTTGAAACCCACATGGTCGCTTCTCAGTCCCTTCTGACCCTCACCGTATATTCTTTCACGATATGTGAGAACAGGCGCGTCTGGCTGAATGGGATCATCCAACAGACCCCTTCTCCTCAGTTCGGGCGCAAGCAGCTCAGACACATCCTCAAAACTTCCGGGTGAAACAACATATGCGATATTAAAACCATCGACATCTGCAATGTCCACCCATTGCTCGAAAATGTCGGCGACTTGCGACGGCGATCCCTTCGGCATTGCGCCAGAACCACCGATGGCGACCAACTTTCCAAGGTTGCGAACGGTGAGAGGAGGGATATCAGATCCAGTGTATTGCAAGTTGTACACGATGCTCTGAGCCAGCCGCTGCCACTGGTCACGGGGCAAGTCTTCCTCAGTGAGCAGATGGTCCGGATCGAACTTCGACACGTCAACACCGCTTGAAGCACACCATTGCGCCAGACCGCCTTCTTCAGAAGCGTACTGAAGAGCCTCACGGTGCTTTCTCTCCGCGTCTTCCTCGTCCTTGCCAATAATCGGTGTGATCATTGCGAAGATCTTGATCGACTGAGGGTCGCGTCCAGCTGCCGCGGCTTGTTCCCGAATGGCCTTGACACGCGGCGCTACGACGTGTGGTGACAGCCCGGCCACGAAGATGGCTTCAGCGTGCGTTGAGCCGAAATGCATCCCTGCGGCAGAAGTGCCGGCTTGGAAAAGCACTGGTGTGCGCTGGGGTGACGGGTCAACGATGAAGGGTGCATCCACTGTCCATTTGCCCTCGTGCTTTATGGTGCGGATTTTGGATGGATCACTGTAGATCTGCTTCTCAGTATCTTCGACAAGTGCGTCGTCTGCCCATGAACCCTCCCATAACCTGACCACACGTCAATATACGGGTTATTACTACGGTAAATCTTGTGCTTACTTGTAGAGGATTCGGAGGTATTCATCCGCATTCTCGTAGCGCTTGTCATGCTCGACATACGGTAGACCAACCTTGCAAGTATTAGATTTAGCAGTGACGGATATTAGGAGTAATTTTGACTTGCAGCTTTCGATGCAGCAGGTTTCCAACTTGTGACAATGTTCCAACCAAAACGGCCTCCTGTCAGATGATCCAGAGTAGCAAATCGTTTTGCTACAACATAAGGTTGTTCATATGACGTCGAGGTCGTGACAGCAAAGTTAAGATGCCTTGTGACGCTCGCCATTGCCGAGATCGGCTGTAATCATGTCAGCTAGTATCTTATACAAACGATGATGAACCTACAATGATAGGGTCTGCCATCGGCCACTGTGCTCCAGTCCTGAATGTCGGTTCAGTTCCACTCTTGAATACATCATATGGACCGAATGTATCGGCTAGGAAGTAGCCGACAAATGATCCCTTTTCTAAGATCTTTGCCAGATCAGTCCAGTAAGTGAGATCTCTTCGCTTGTCTTTGCTTCGATCACGAGGATTTGCCCACTGGCCAAAGGCCAGGTGACTCGGTGTAAACATGTCGAATGCATTGAGTAAGAGCTTCTTTTTTGGTTTCAAGGAGCCGTCTGCGTGGGAATGTTCTGAAGCCATTCTGATACCTTTCATGAACCGACGGGACCTGCGAGCGACCCGGTATCATATTTGAGTAGCAGCTCATTCACTGTCACTGACATCGCACTGACACCATTTGCGACGCATCTTACGAATCGGTACCTTTCACCCTACCCCAACAATCCTTCGACCCACAGCTGCTGCTGCAGCAATGCATGACCTGTCGACGTCTCTTATCCTTGATCTTACAGGTCGCCGGATAGTTGCCGAATGATTGCCGGATTGACGTTCTCGATGTCGCCAGCTCGTTAAGGATTGCGCCATCTCACCACCACGTGGAAATGCAACGCTCAACTCCAACAAACTCCAGAGAACCCCACTTTGATGAATGACACTGGTAGTTAGGCGAGATTTGCTCCGATTTCGCGTTCGTGCATATGCAGCAAAGACAGCCATTTGCCATACAGACTAGGGAATCGTCATCAAGCCCTCGCCTGCTGCTCCACTGATAACAATCTTGGCTTACTATTCCCGGATGAAGTTATCCAGATGTTCTGTTCATAAAGATGAGGATGCATGAAATTCACTTTTGAGCATTAGCAGGGTCGTGAACTCCCATTGCTCTTCTTCCAGCCTGACAGGATGACGGATTCAAAAGCCCCCGATGTGTCCACTGACGCGCCAGAAGTAGCGATAAACCACGATGTAGCAGTCAAAGTACGCCAGAAAACGAATGGTATCGTTGCTCGTGGCGACGTCGTGCACCTCCGAGATGACCCTGAAGCGAAAGCTGCGTTTCTCGCTACCTTCACAGCGGAAGACGAGAAGCGAATCATGCGAAAGGTCGACATGCGCTTCGTTTTCCTTGCTGGAGTTATGTATCTCATTAAGCAAGTAAGTAGCCCTGACCCAGTGGCTTGATGCGTGGACTCACGAGATGTAGATTGATCAGAACAACGCAACAAACGTCAAAGTCTTACACGTCGGCCAGCCTTCCAACATCATGATCGAGCTAGGCATGACATCCAATCAATACAACTGGGTCGGCTCGATTTATGGCATTGCTTACATCATTTTCGAAGCGCCCAGCAATCTGTTGCTGAAGAAGCTTGCCCCGCACAATTGGCAAGCCCGCATCTTTCTGACCTGGGGTATCATCACAGCATGCCACGCCGCGGCTAAGAATAGACATGATCTGTATGCCATGAGATTCCTGCTCGGCATGTTCGAGGCTGGCATGTTCCCAGGATTGCTCGCGCAGTTCCAAGCCTGGTACCGTCCTGACGAGATGGGCCGAGTGATCGCGTACTTCTTTTGCTGGAGTGCGGTGTCTGGTATGTGCTCTGCTCTCTTGGCATATGGTATATCGTACATGGATGGCGTTGGGAGTTTAAGTGCATGGCGATGGGTCTACATTCTCGAAGGCATAGCGACAGTATTGTTCAGTGGTGTGGTTTGGGCGTATCTGCCCGACTTCCCTAAGAGCGAGAGAAGCAACAGGTGGTTCACAGAAAGAGAGCAGGAGTTCATTGAGACGAGGTTACCTGAGAACGCGCCAATGACTAGTGATCCGGACTTCTCTAGTAAGGAAATCAAGGGGGTGCTGAGTGAGTGGTTGATTTGGAGCTTTATGCTCAGCCAGACGCTTGTCAATCTTGGGTTGGTTGCTGTTCTATTCGACCACGCGAGATATTGCTGACGTATCCAGTGGTTACGCCTTGACTTGGTATCTCCCTAGTGTCATCACCAACCTGGGATTTGTCGGTCTTCCCCGCAACCAGCTCTTATTACTCCCGCCCTTCGCTGCTGCCGCGTGCGGTCTCCTGTTCAGTGCGTGGTTCATGGAACGCGCCTGGATCGTTCGCCCGGCCTACATTATGTTCATCCTCTCCGGAATGGTCGTTTGTTTCGTTCTCTTCTTCACCATCTCAGACCGCACTGGCATCTATATCGCCTGCGTACTTGGCAACCTCTTCTACCAATCATATTTCAGCCCGTTCTGGGCCTGGCGTTCTGCTACACTCGTTGGTTCAACGGGAACGGCTTTTACGCTGGGTTTGCAGTCTGGTATCGCGCAGCTTGGTGGTGTTGTTGGACCGCAGCTGTTCCAAAGCAAGTGGGCGTACAATGGATATAAGACGAGTTTCGCCATTGCCGCAGCTTTCACGACTGCAGGGTGGGCGAGCAACCTGTGGACTTGGTGGCTGACCAGAAATACCGAGTATGATGTCATGCGGGTGAGGCGATTGGCAAATAAGGCAAAGAAAGAGGGGAGAGTCAATGCAGAAGATATTAAGATATTCGAAGAGAGGGTGTTCTATAGCAAGGGCTTGAGGCGGGCGAAGGGTTCTGAACGCGACAGTGGCAGAGAAGTGTGATGAAAGCGTTGTATAGAAGAGTTCGTTCTGTAATAGAGAACGGGAAATGGTTTTGAGTCGATTTGATCTGAAGCTGGAGGACTGTCAGCTCGGGAGACTGTCCAGCTAACCGAAGTGCCCGGTTAAACTTGCCCGACTGTCTGAGAGCCTGCCCCACTTTGTCTTCATCGATGCCTTGATGGCTTCAGGGTGTATGCGAACGAGCGAGTCGCGAGGGGACAGATTTCGTTTGGAGAAGTGATAAAACCCTGTGCACCTCTCAGGTTAGCACGACATGAGGAGGAGACCAGCCGGCTTGCAGAACCGGCAGCTTCCAGCCAGTCACACAAGCTCTCGTCACACCCTTCTGCATGTGCCTCGACTTGGTTTTAATGCAGCGCATGAAGCTTGTGTGAGACACATAGATACCCGCACCCTAGCACCAAGTCACCGAGTCTGAAGTACCCGTCCGGCAGTCGTTACCAATATCGACATCTGACCCACAAGTCGCCTTCCATAAAACTGCAACCTACCATGTCCTCACCAACCCCTTCAGCCACAGCACAGCAGCAGCGCGAAGCTCGGGCCGCGGTTATAGCATCGCTCTCTTCAATCGGTACGTCGGTTGATGCCGACCTCCGCACGCGCACGGCGGATCTGCACGCCAACTCAGCAGCGATCGCCAGGCAAGAGAGGGAGCTTGCAAAGCAGACTGCAGTGCTGCAGAAGGAGGGAGACAAGTGGCAGAAGCTCGGCGATACGAGCACGAAGAAGCTGAACGAGATCGGAGACGTGCAGAACTGGGCGGAGATGCTGGAGAGGGACTTGCTGGTGTTAGAGGAGACTGTCAGATTGGTGGATGAGGAGAGGGCAGGCGCTGGGCAGAGGAGAAGCAAGTAACGAGATGTAAACGCGTAATGCGCGTCTTCCGGTCTGTCTGAGGCTGGGAGGTCGGGGGAGCAGTTCGATAGTGGTAGCTTACACTGTGCTCGCCTCTGACTCACTGGTCTGCTGGAGCCACAAGGCACTCGTGTTGTAGTAAACGAAGGCATCGATGACGTCACCGGTGGGCGAACCTTCCAGATCAACACTTTTTGTGGTGCCGGTGAAGTTTCAGCGCACGCGTGGTGGTCGTGATGGCCGTTTCTTACTTAAGCGTCCAAGCGTTCCCGGCGCGTGCATCAACTGAGCTTCCGCTATCGACAACGAGAGTGACAACACCACGACCCCACACAGCCCGCACGACAGAGGCCCAACCTCACCAGATTTGGTATTAGTCATCTGCCAAATACTCTGCGCCTGCTCAGACACGCCCACGCCTGCACCGTGAGCCCTGGCTGCGCGTCCCACACGTCCGCCTCTGTTCCGCGCCCACCTGCGCATCACCTTCCCCGCCTACGACAGCGCATTTGCCTGCCCATACATTCCCCCGCCCGCTGTCGACGTCACCGCGACAATCCCTGTGCCGCTTCGCCATACCAGTGAGCTTTGCACCGGCGAGACAGGTTGTCGCCTACATTGCGCAACAGCCTTGCACTGCGGCGAGCCTAGCCTTCGCCTCCACCTGTGCGAGTGGAATTGCGCCAGAGGCGAAGTTAGAGGGGTTGCATGTTTGGCTAAGTTGCTCTCGGAGCGCCCGGCGCAGACATGAAGATCAAGAAGCAGGCTACCTCGCGGCATGAGTCGACTCTGGTAGGCAGCACCTCTCCATGCAGTCGATACTCAACTAACACGCATACAGTCGCCGATGATAGCAGATTTCGTACGAGCTACCGAGTCAATACCGCTCTACCAGCTGCTCGCACACCTTGCTTCCTTCCCCAAGCAGTGGCCATTTCCCCGCGGAGATGCCTACCACTGGATTCCTGTCCTGAACCGCTTCGATCGCGTACTGGAGCTGTTCAACCAGGAGTACGGGTTGGTGGACGGGCCGCAGACACAGCCATTCGAGCGGCGATTACTGCTGAAGGGCGACGCGGAGGAGGGCTGCACGAGCGCGCAATCGAGCACTACCGATGCCATACTGGATAACCTGCACGTGTCACAGGATGGAGATCGTGAGCTGATTGAGCAGCTCCTGAGTTTTACACGCATGCTGTTGGAGAATTGTGGCAACCGCAGCCTGTACTCGAGCAGCGAGCGTCTGGACAAGCTCTTGAACACAACCTCGACGTCTCTTCTCAAAGCAACCTTGCGCCTCGGCCACAGGCTGTCGCAGCGTTACCAGGCCGCACGCTTGCGTTTGGCACCAGCCACACTACACCCTTCGCTACTCTCGAGTCACTACAACATCGGCCTCGACAAGATTCAGAAGCTGTCTGTGCCCTTCTCGAAGGGTCCCACAGTAGCCGCACCGCTCTTCGGCACACCGACTGGGAAAGGGAAGGACAAAGCCTCAGGCGACCGACGTAGTGACGCGGACAGATTTAATCCTGCTGATTTGACTGGGTTGTACAAACTGTCAGAAGCTACCTTAAAGCAAGAATTCGGAGGAATCCACATCTCCTACTACGAGCCCACTACAGCGCCAGAAGAAAGCAGCAGTAACACCAGCAAGCTTGCAGCGCCTAGCACGGATGCACCCAGCACGCCGACACCCGTCCGTCGAACGTCGAACATGCGCAATCAAACGCCACGGACGCCTCAGAGTGCACCGAACGCATCGACCATAGACTCCCCGAATACGCCAGCTTTCACCCCGGGAGAGCCGGGCAGCCGACGGAACGGACCAAAGACATTTGAGCTATCAGCAGATAAGGTCGCGAAGACCGACATTCACGACCTGCTCAAGCAAGGCCTTGCAGAACTCCCCGCGAGTGTGCACTACGAGTTGTTGCACAAGCTCCGCGTGGCAAACATGCTAAGCAGCGGACCTTCTGGTCGTGACAACGCAGTCGCAATTCGTCTGCTGGCTATCGCCAATATGGGCTTTGTGCACAACGAGAAAGAATTCCACACGCGATTGGGTCAGCAAGACTTGGACGAGCCCCGGCGACTGCAATTAGCATTCCAGCTTTCTGAGTTGGTGCAGCCACCCGGTGACGGTGTGGATGGCATCTCCACTGAGCTTCAGATCTTTACCTTCAACGCATTGGAAGCACTAGCGAAACATAAGACCAAGTCCGCCGATGTCTGCACTGCGCTGAGCGTCACCGTGAACCACGGCGTGCTGTTTTACATTGTCCGCAAGCTTGTGGCTGGTCTTGGCATCGAAGACGGCGACGATATTGATCTTGAAGAGGATGAGTGGCGCGACGCGCTGTTTTCACTACTCAACACTATCCCACAATCACAGTCTCGAACAGGCGAAGGTATGGTCTCTGCCGGACTCCTTGAGATCCTGGTCGAGGTTCTCAAGCTTCGGACAAACAAGGCAGAACGCAATCAGCCCAAGATCCTTAACTTTCTTGACACCTTTGTGTATAACCTGCAACATGCATTTGCAGCTCTTGTCGGTGCTAGAGGGTTGGAGATTATCGCCGATCTTATGCAATATGAGGTCGATACATCGAAGAAGCTCGCCGAGGAAAACAAGGGCATGCCTGCAGAGTACAAGACCCAACTCACCGACTATCAGATTCCGTTTCATCACCAGCAAACTCTCCGATGGCTGTTCAAGTTTTTGAACCATATGATGTCACACACAGGTGGAAACTTCGATCGTCTCATGCGGCAACTCATTGACTCCTCGCAACTTCTTACTGCTCTCCGCACTGTGTTATCAAATGCGAGCATCTTCGGCTCGACCGTATGGAGCATGGCTGTCAACGTTCTTACAAGCTTCATTCACAACGAGCCTACTAGCTATCAAGTCATTGCTGAAGCTGGTCTGAGTGATGCGTTCTTAGAAACAGTGGCTGGCGAGCCAGCTTCAGAGGCAACGGCTGCAGCCATCGCTCGCCTTACGGACGCTGCCAGTCCTCAGCCAAGGCCAGCGTACACACCACGGGAACCTGGACAGCCCCTGGCCACAGGCGTTCTTCCGGTAGCTGAAGCCATTTCAACTCTGCCTCCTGCGTTCGGGGCGATCTGTTTGGCTGAGGCTGGCATGAAATTGTTCCAGTCATCTAAAGCCCTCCCTCGCTTTTTTGAGATCTTCGAGAGTCCAGCTCACGTCAAAGCACTAGATGCCGACACGGAGATGCCTACTATGATTGGTAATACATTCGACGAACTGGTCCGCCACCACCCGCCGCTCAAAGCGCGCGTTCTGTCCTGCCTAAGCGAGTTGATTGCCCGCGTCGTACAGCTCTGTGCGGAGAAAGCGGAGAGAGAAGGCGCCGGAGCGAAATTATGGACTGAGGATAGCGATGGCAAGCTTTTCGTTGCTGGGGGCCGTGGAGCGCTTGTGGGATTGCAATCCGTGAGTGGAGTGCAGCAGTCTGGGTCCGTTGCCACGGATGTCGAGATGCGAGACGCTGATAAACAGGCCACGGCGCAACCCTCGGAAGCGGTGTCCATTGACCAGGTCATTGAAACGGAAGACGGTGCCCAGGGACCGACGACTAGCCAGTATATTCGAGTGTTGTGTCGTTTCCTGAGCGGCTTTTTCTCCAACCACGCTATGTGTGCTGCATTCATCGAACTGGACGGAGTGGAGTCCATCCTGGACATCTCTAATCTAGCCTGTCTTGACCCGAAAGTGAAAGAGTCACGCAGTATGAGCGAGGAGTTCGGACGTGTCGTTCAAGTCCTCGTTGAACAGAAGCCACATATCACTGTGCCCTCCTTGATCAAGCGCGCCCAGCGCTTGCTGGAACAACTCGAACCTCTTTTGAGCCATTCTGGTGGAAAGGCGTTCTTCGCACCCTTCACCAGCAATGTCTCCCAGAACGATGAGGTGGTGAGGAACGGAACTACCTACGTCAAGGCACTCGTTTCTGCGCACACACTAGTATCGGCGATGACCCTCACCTTTCAGAGTCAGATGTTCAGTCCCCGTTCTCAGCACAACGTCTCAGCACAAGTCAATTTAGCTGATATGTACGCACGCCTTGTTGACAGCCTCGGCAAGCTTCACCGAAGTTGTGTATGGGAAGAAGTACTTCTCCAAAGGAATATGCCAACAGCTTGGGAAAAAGAGACTCGCATCATCAGCCCTGGGTTTGGAGTCGCTGAGGCTGACCGCATCTTCGGAATGGGAATCAGCGATCGACCCTCAGACTCAACTGAAGGAGCCACAAGCGAGGATGCAACGCCCGCTGAAGAAGGCCCATCTGCAACACCTATCCCGAGCCAGAACAGCGCTCAGTTCAAGAATACACAGACCCTTCGCTCCCTCCTTAGCCGAATACCGCTTGAGATCGCTCCTTTCTTCCAGTCTCTTGGTAGGCTCTTGCTGTCTAGGCGAAGTCTAGAAACCTACCAGAAGCAATGCGCCACAATCGTCTCCGATCAGCTTGCGCAAGCGGTCATTGATCAGCTTCAATTTGAGGCACCCAAAAACTCAGGATCGTTGGAAGATCGATATGCGTATCTGATCATCACCCTAACATCTCTGTCGCAGCTCATGATCGACCCACATATGGACAGAACTCAGGCGCTGACCTTACTGCTTGTCTCCTTCAGAAACTTGGGCGGTTTCGGTGTTCTCGCAGAGGTTCTCAACAAGTTTTACGAGTCAGCTTGTGAAGCGTCTCTCAAGGAGGGAGACGACATAAGTGAAGAGAGCAAACGAACTCTGCACTTGTCGCTTGGTGGTATAAAAATCATGCTGGCGTTCTACGCGCAGATCACCAACAACAAGATCATAAGCGAATCACCACAGACATCGTCAATGACGAATCGCCCAGACCGCGATCATAGTCGGTCAGACTATTTCTCTGCCGCGCAGTTCTTGGTCGAGCTACGCTTCGCTGTGATCAAGCCTGTTGAGAAGATCTGGAACTCAAGCCTCATTGACAAAGCCACCACCTCGATAGTAAAGACATCAATCAACATTTTGAGGTCTGTACTTGAGTGTGAAGGTGAACATGGGGCGTCCAAGAGTGTGGATAAGATTCCCAAGCGAAACAAGCCCATCATCAAGCCCTGGGCGCCTCGTAATGGCGAGCATACGATACGCTTGAAGGAGGCAGGCTTCGATGAGAGCTTGGCTGAAGAGGCGCTCTATCGCTGCTGTGACAACTACAACTTGGCGCACGACTACTGCCAGAACCAAACCCGAGAACAATCATCAAGGAATCCCATTCCACAGTACGAAATCGAGGCGCGAGGTCCACCATCTGCATCCCCCAGCCGCGCTGAGGTCGTAGTCCCTGAACATGCCGATAATGCCAGCACCGTTACAGGCGACGACGCAAGTAATGAAGGCGTGTCCGAAACACCAGGTGCCCAGTCTGTACAAATGGAAGACGTTGCCACAGAAAGCTCCCGAGAGATGCCGGATGCCGCTTCGTCCAGCATACCAGTGCCTGACAGTCAGCCGTTACAGCCTTTCGTTGCACCACACGACGCCTTGGCGTACCAGAATCGCATGGCCGTTGGCAATAAGGCTGAACTTGTCGCTCTCGACGACCTTGACAAGGAGCGCGCTTTACTCCGTCAAAACCTAGTGGACCGCTCGCTCGACATACTCAATTCCCATGATGGAGTCACTTTCGAATTGGCAGATCTCATCACTGGGGCTGTTGCAAAGGCATCTGACCCAGCAGCCATGCGGTCAGAGATTGGCGTGACGTTGGTTCAGTCTTTAATCTCCTACCAGAGTGAGGATGATTTCCGTTCGCAAGGCAAGAAGATTGCGGCTTCTGCCCATCTACTCGCCCTAGTCTTACAAGAGAAAGACTTTTACGAAGTCATCGTGGAGGAGCTGAAGGACAATTTCGCTACGCTACTTGGATTCATCAAGGTTTTCCCAGACCAGACGCCAGAGGAGTCGTCGCCTTGGATTGGACAGGTGCTCCTCATCATCGAGCGTCTTTTGGCCGAAGACCAACTGCCCCGCCAGATACAATGGACACCACCGACCAGCGATTCGCAACAGGAGGCCTCTATCGACGATCTACCTGAGCCGATCGTCAGCATTGAGGAGAAGAACCTTCTCTTTCAGGCAGTCATGGATGTACTTCCACGCATTGGTAAAGATGAATCTTTGGCCCTGTCCGTCATCCGCGTCCTGGTCATGCTCACTCGCACACGCAAGATTGCATCACGTCTGGCAGAGAAACGCAACATTCAGCGTATCTTCCTGATGATCAAGCAGCTTGCTGGCGTGACCAATGAGGGCTTACGAAGCGCTTTCATGATTGTACTTCGCCACATGATTGAAGATGATGCCATGATAAGGCAGCTTATGCGCACCGAAATCCAGCAAATGTTCGAGTCGCGCGATCGTAGGCAGACTGACACGACTGGCTATACTCGTCAGATGTATGCCCTTGCTATCCGGGCGCCAGAGATCTTCATCGAGGTCACCAACGAAAAGCTGCAACTAGCGCGCTTTGATCCCAATCAGCGACCACAGACTTTGATGCTCAAGCGTGAGGATCCTCCGGTCGCGGACTCAATATCCAACCCCGGGCCAACAGACACTACAGCTGAGGCTGATAAGCCAAAGGAGTCAAGCGAGCTTCCACTTCAGAAGCCAATATTGGAGCGCACGAAGACCGCGGATCTCAAGCTACCAGTCGTTGAGAACCCTGATGGTGTTATTCACTACTTACTTTGCGAGTTGCTTGCGTACAAGGAGATTGAGGACAAGCCAGAACCTCCAAAGCCCACTGAATCTGTGCCAGAGACTTCTGAGACGCCTGAAACCGCCACCGATGCCAGGCCTGCTTCAGAAGAGGCCTCATCATCGTCCACCGCGGTGTCTGAGCCAAGCAAGCCCGAGAAAATCTCGTTCAAGGCTGATGCACACCCGATCTACATCTACCGCTGCTTCATTCTCAAATGTCTTGCAGAGCTTTTGCAAAGCTACAATCGCACCAAGATTGAGTTCATCAACTTCTCGCGCAAGGCTGATCCGTACACCATGACACCCTCAAAGCCTCGCTCTGGTGTCCTGAACTACCTTCTTAATGTTCTGGTCCCGATCGGTACCCTCAACCATGAGGGCGATCTCGCCTTCAAGAAGAAGCTTGCAACATCGAACTGTGCGATTGATCTCATTGTTTCTCTTTGCAACAAGACGGGCGAGAATGCTCTGCCCAAAGCAGAGACCAGCCAAATGTCGCCTTACGCCGAGACCGAGCAAGACCTACTTTTCGTGCGCAAATTTGTCCTTGAGCACGCATTGAAAGCGTTCAAAGACACCAGCTCTTCTGATGAGGCTCTCGACATCAAATACTCTCGTCTTCTAGGCATTGCTGATATCTTCTCAAGAATGGTGTCGCAGCGAGCCAACGGTGAAATGCTCACCTCCAACACTGATCTTACACCGAACCTCAAGCAAATGGCAAAGATTATGTACGAGAAAAACTTCATCACCATCTTAACGACGGCCATCTCAGACATCGACCTCAACTTCCCGAATGCGAAACGAGTGGTAAAGTACATACTAAAGCCACTTAAGTGGTTGTGCTATGTCGCAATGGACCTAAGCACCCATTACGACGATTCCTCAGCACCTGATTCTGCAGACGAGTCCGAGATCTCAACAGCATCTGATGACGATCTTGTTGATAACGCACGTGAGGAGACGCCTGATCTCTTCCGTAACTCTACCCTCGGACTGTTCGAACCTCACGATGACTATGAATCCGACGACGATGAGGACGAGGATGATGAGGAGATGATGTACGATGACGGATATGCCGACGACATGGAATATGACGAGGGCGAGCTTGGCGATGATGACGTCGTTTCCGAAGAAGACGAAGAGATGCTGGAAATGGATATCGACAACATGGGTCCTATTGAAGGCTTGCCCGGTGACGTCGACGTCGAGATAGATCTTGACGATATTCACGAGGGCATGGAATCTGGCACTGACGATTCGGAAGACGACGACGATGACGACGATGATGATGACGATGAAGACATGGATGAAGATGACGATGAGGAGATGGACGCCGAAGATGCAATGAATGCGATGGATGAATTGGTCGAGGAGCTGGAAGAGGTCACAGGTGATGACGAGGGCGGTAGTCTCGCCGACGATCAAGAAGATTGGAGTGACGAGGGCGACGACTTTCCTTCTGGTTTGAACGGTGCTGACATGCCTACAAATCCTCTCAGCGGCTTTATTCTTGATCCGCCCCAGCTTCTCGAACAGATGCGACAGGGCGCAGATATCGATGACTTCTTGGGTGATGACATGGGTGAAGATGGTATGTGTTCTTGTCCTTGTTACGTACTTCGCGATCCTTACTGATCAATCTAGGTGAGGAGGAAGAGGAAGAAGAGTACGATGAGGATGACATTCATTACGATCCTGGAATGGAAGAAGACGAAGACGGAATGCCTGAGCTGGGCTGGGGCGGCAGCGGCTGGGATGAGCCCATCGCCCAGACCTCGCGCCACACCCATCGACTGAGCCCATGGATGTTCCCTGCAGGCCCGGGTGACCGTATACTGGTTCCAGCATACCGTTCTCACCGTCCAGGCGCCGGTCCTCGAGCAACAGATGACGGTGTCAATCCCCTGCTACAACGTGGCAGTCGATCACACGGCCGAGATGGTCCCGCCGGTCGGGGTGAAAGTGACTGGGTCCATGCCATAGAAGGACGTGGCCCTCGTGCAGCCAATGCTGATAGTCCAGTCTCTTTCATCAGCAATCTGCTCAACGCTATGAGCCAAGGCAATGCACCGCAGCTTCATCAGCATGGTGGGGCTATCCATTTGTCATTTAACAACCTTCCAATTGGTATCCCTCCACCTTTCGATGCTGGCTTCCACCGCAACATGGTCCCAAGTAGGTCGGGAAATATGGCACGCTCCGCGCGTGAGGACCCACACTCAGCAGTTGCATTCTCAAAGGCCTATACAAGTCAACGTTGGCAAGAGGAGGCCAGAATCCTTTACGGTCCGGCTGCAATCGAGAAGAGCCAACGCGTCATCAACTCGATTCTAAAGTTGATGGTTCCTCCTGCTTTAGAAGCAGCCAAGAAGCGAGAGGAGGAAGCAAAAGCTGAAGCTGCTCGCAAGGCAAAGGAAGAGCAGGAGCGGAAAGAACAGAAAGAACGCGAGGAGCGCGAAGCGCGCGAAAAGGAGGAAAAGGAGCGCAAAGAACGCGAGGCTGCTGAAGCTGCAGAGGCGGCCAGTCATGCGGCTGAGTCTGCTGCTCGAGAAGACGCAGCTGAACAGCCTGTCGTGGCTACTGAAGGCACATCTATGGAAGGCGTTGAGGCAGCTCCGGCAGAGCCTGAAGCATCTGCACAGCCAGTACCGCGCATCACCACCACGCTAAGAGGCCGCGAGTACGACATCACCGAGCTGGGCATCGATCTTGAATACCTTGATGCATTGCCAGAGGAGCTGCGTGAAGAGGTCTTACTGCAACAAGTCGCCGAGCGACGCCAGGAGCAACGTCAACAGCAGGCACAACGCGCACGTCAAGAACAGCAAGCTCAGCAACAGTCTGCTGGCCAAGCTGGGCAGGCCAACAACGCTTCGCAGGAAGAGCCTACGGAGCTCGACGAAGAGTTCCTAGCCGCACTTCCTCCGGAGATGCGTGCGGAGCTTCTTCAGCAAGAGGCGGCTGATCGACGAAGGCGCGAACGAGAGGAGAATCGCCGCCGCAATGCTGCCAGCGCTGGTGCCCCTGCACCTCAAGCGGAAGAGATTGATGCTGCTAGCTTCTTCGCCACGTTAGACCCTGCTCTACGCGCCGCCGTTCTTATGGACACAGACGAGGATACTTTGCGCCAGTTGCCGCCCGAGATCTCAGCAGAAGCTCGCGCATACAGTGGCAATCGTCGCCTCAACCAGTTTGAATTTGGTTATTCGCGTAGCGGACGTCGAGGTCAAACTGACGACCCTACACAAAAGAAGAAGGCTCGGCCATGTGTCCAGATGCTTGACAAAGCAGGTGTTGCAACTTTGCTGAGGCTCATGTTCATCCCTCAACAGGGCAGCGCCAAGTCTAGCCTCAGCTCGATCCTGCGATATGTTTGCGAGAATCGACAAAACCGTGCCGAAGTTATCAGTATCCTGCTCTCTATCCTCCAGGACGGCAGTGCCGACGTCAATGCTGTTGAGCGTAGCTTTGCCCAGCTCTCACTCCGCGCAAAGCAACCGCAGCAGCCCGCCGACAAGACCCCCAAGATCTCGCGAAAGAGTGGCGCACTGTCAATCAATTCAGACGTGTCGCCACTTATGGTCGTTCAACAGTGCCTGAACACCCTTGCTCAACTGACGGAAAAGAATCCTGCTGTCTGGCAGTTCTTCTTGACTGAGCACGAGACTGGCGTAGGTTTCAAGAACCGCGCTCATCGCAAGGGCAAGGGCAAGGATGCCAAGTCAACACGCTTCCCTGTCAATGCGCTCTTGACACTCTTGGATCGTAAACTCATCGTGGAGAGCTCCTCAATTATGGAGCAGCTTACAGCTCTGCTTCGCATCATCACGTATCCTCTTCAGCAGATCAAGAAAGACAAAGAGAAGGCTGCTGAAGATGCAAAGATGGCGAATGAAGGTGCCGAGTCAGCGCCCGTTCCCGAAGCTCCGTCGGTCGGGACTGAACCAACACCGACAGGCCGAGACGCCGACATGGTGACCAGCACTGACATAGCCGCGCCGACCGATGCACCCCTGGAAGGCGAAGGCAGCTCGCTCAAACCAGACGAGCCCAAGACTGAAGAGGAGAAGAGCAAGAAGCACCGAACGATCACACCACCCGACATCCCGGAGAACAACTTGCGCCTAGTCGCAAAGATCCTTGCGGCTCGCGAATGCAACAGCAAGGTATTCCAGGAGACCTTGTCCGTTATCAGCAACCTTTCACCCATCCCAGGTGCAAAGGAGATCTTTGGTCAGGAGCTTCTTGGTATCGCGAAGGACTTAGCCAGCAACATTCTTGACGATCTTGCCAGCTTGACAACTCAAGTCTCCAAAGCAGCATCTCATACTGATGTGCAAGGCATTGCATTGGCCAAGTTCTCGCCGGCCACTTCAGACCAGACGAAATTGCTGCGAGCGTTGACTGCGCTGGACTACCTCTTTGATCCCTCTCGTGACAATAAGGACAAGCCAGAAGCCAATGCGGAGGCCCTCGAGCCCAAGCAGAAGGAAGACATATTATTGACTCTCTACGAAGATGCCGCTTTCGCACCGCTCTGGACTAAGCTCAGCGATTGTCTAACTGTCATTCGTGAACGCGGGAACATGCTGAACATCGCTACCACGCTCCTACCTCTAATTGAGTCGCTTATGGTTGTTTGCAAGAACACCACGCTCAAGGAGCTTCCGCTGTCAAAGATGCTGCCGAAGGAGTTTGCACTCTCCAGCCCACCTCCAGAGAACAAGATGGAGAATTTGTTCTTCAACTTTACAGAGGAGCACCGAAAGATCCTGAACGATCTTGTTCGCCAGAACCCCAAGCTGATGAGTGGTACCTTCTCACTCTTGGTGAAGAACTCAAAGGTCCTGGAGTTCGACAACAAACGCAACTACTTCAACCGTAAGCTTCACTCTCGCGGAAGCGATCGTCAGCCACATCCACCGCTCCAGCTCTCAGTGCGCCGAGATCAAGTGTTCTTGGACTCGTTCAAATCTTTGTACTTCAAGAGTGCTGAAGAGATGAAGTATGGCAAGCTCAGCATCCGGTTCCACGGCGAAGAGGGCGTTGATGCCGGTGGCGTAACCCGCGAGTGGTTTCAGGTCATTGCTCGTCAGATGTTTAACGCCGATTACGCGCTCTTTGTTCCTGTCGCGTCCGACCGAACGACTTTCCATCCAAACAGGCTTAGTTCCATCAACCCAGAGCATCTGATGTTTTTCAAGTTTATTGGACGCATCATCGGCAAAGCTCTCTACGAGGGTCGTGTTCTTGACTGTCACTTCAGTCGTGCAGTCTACAAGCAGATTATGAGCAAGCAGGTCAATCTCAAAGACATGGAGACCCTGGATCTTGAGTACTACAAATCGCTGGAGTGGATGTTGCACAACGATATCACAGATATCATCACTGAGACTTTTTCAACCGAAGTCGAGGCTTTTGGCGAGATGCAGACCGTGGATCTTATTGACAATGGTCGCAACATCCCAGTCACCGAGGACAACAAGCATGAGTACATACGCCTCATAACCGAATACCGCCTTTCAGGCGCTGTTGAGGAGCAGCTAAAGGAGTTCCTTCGAGGCTTCCACGATATCGTACCGGCCGAGTTGGTATCCATTTTCAGCGAACAGGAGCTCGAGTTGCTGATCTCTGGTCTTCCCGACATCAACGTTGACGATTGGAAAAACAACACCGAATACCACAACTATACTGCTGCTTCACCACAGATCCAGTGGTTCTGGCGCGCTGTCCGTACTTTCGAGAAGGAAGAGCAAGCCAAACTGCTTCAATTCGTCACGGGTACTAGTAAGGTGCCACTGAACGGGTTCAAGGAACTCGAGGGCATGAACGGGTTCTCGAAGTTCAACATTCACCGTGACTATGGCAGCAAGGACCGCTTGCCCTCCAGCCACACGTGCTTCAATCGTAAGTACACTTTGCTCACTTGACCCATAACACGTTGCTAACATTTATTACAGAGCTTGATCTTCCTGAATACGAGTCCTACGAGGATCTCCGCAAGGCTCTCTACACGGCCATGACCGCTGGTGGCGAGTACTTCGGCTTTGCATGAGCATTACCGACCCTTCAGACTGTAACAATTATCCTTTGCGATTCTTCACATATTCATTCATGACCTTCGACATGCATTGCAGGCGCGCTTTTGTATGAGCATAAAACGGCGAAAGATTAGTGGGCGTTGAGCGTTTTGTAGCCAGCATGGCGATGCCGCGAAAGAAGACCAGGAGTGCAGGCCTGTGTCTTCCGAGTGTGCCGAGCACGTGTCTTCACACTGTTACATGATAGTTAAAGTAGATAGTTAGAACGATGTCTTTCGCTCTGATCCCTTGTCTCCTTAAGACGTGAGTCCGTGGGATGTCAAAGTCACTCTGGGCAAATGTGCTGCCAGATCACACGATCATCCGTGTCGTCTCGGCGTTATCAATTCCAGAATGAGCCTGGCACCCCACAGTGCAGTGGGGTCCCGATCTGCTGACAGCGGGAGCTTTGCTACCCATTCGCTAGTTGCCGATGATGATCCCGCAGTCCCTTGCCTGATGCCAACAGGTGAGATGCTAAAGTGTGCAGTTTCGGACTTGCACTTTCCGCGATCCGTCCGTGGTCAGCATGAGCGATCAGCCGCATTGGGTTTAGTTTGAGTCTGCGGACCTGCCGGATGATGAATAATACATAGCAACGCCGACAACGCCCTTTGAAACCTTCGATCTCTCCTTTCCTTACACAGGTTTGGCCATACTTCGTACAGTAACTTCGAACAAGAGTGACAACATGCTCTCAACCCTATGATGGTAAAGCATCGCTCGTGCAACTTTATGCAAGCGCTTCAACTCAACCATCAACCCCAATTTGGTATTTAGACACGACGATTGTAGTGCGCCAGCAGCCCTGCTACGCATGTAGTTGCACTGAGTAAGTTTCAGTTGCCTGTTCTAAGTCTTCGACAGTCACAATAGACTCTCTGGTGCACCACCTTGCGAGATGAGCATGCACTGTAAGGGTAAATCAAAGCGCGAAAACCATGACGGCTCGAGAATCACAGCGAATTTCAGCTTTAAAATCAAATCGTTCTCACAGCAGCTGGCAAACGAAACGACTTCAGCCATGTGTGGTTGACCGACTGGATACAAAAGTCCGCGACTTTATTGTTCGAACCTGCGACTCCTGTCGGCCTGTCGCGCCCTTTCCGACTTGCTGTGACATAGGTACTGTCGAACCAGCATCACGCGACCGCACAATTCAGAACCCGAAGAACAGATCAGAGCTTGTCAACGACGACGCAGCCAGAAACTTTCGCCACCAACTGCCATATGGATATCGACTCATTTAGGATTGCGCCCAGACGCCCGGCCTTGCCGCCAAAAAAATACGGGCCGTATCCCGGGAGCCGTCAGCAGGAGAAGGCACTGCACTGATTGGAAATGAGAAGATTGCGCCTCTACTGTACGCGAGGTTTGACAGGGCACGTTTCGGAGAGCCCCGTTCGCACAAACGTCAACCCGTCGACTCCCAATCGAGTCGCGCGGTCCCGACCCTGATGTTGTCGCCAGCCTGGTGGAGACTGTCGGAATCAGCAATCCACATCTGACGCGGCGTGCCAGAGCTGTATCTGACTGCCTGCGAGTGCGCGCAACTCCAACGCGCCCCGCATGTCTTTTGTGGATTCCACGCAAACGCCAGGGGATCCAAGTGCGAAAGTGGCTGGACCACGGAGCTGGAGGCGTCAAAACACGGCACGGTCGCGCTCAACGATCATCACAAGACGATACAGAATCCTGCGCTAGGGGCGGCGGACATCTGTCGTGACCCCTTCTCCCGCAAGAAACAGCTGTCAGGACTGCAAAGAGAGCGCAGGTGATTAAGATGGTCTTGTGCTCTTTGCCTCTATTTTGTGGCTTTGTGGAGAGACGCGACAACTTCGAACTCTGCACGACGTCACAGGCACAAGATCTGATTTAGGGCAGTATTTCCCGCACGTCAACGAATATTAACGGCCGAGGGGCAAGTTACAGGTAATGGCACCCCTGCTTGTAGCAAACCACGCTTCCAGAAGGTGTCTTGAGCAGTAGATCCAGGCCTAGCCCCAGTTATTCTGCTCCGCCAAGCCCTTGGGGGACGGACGAAAATCCTGAAATCGGGTCCAATTGCGCTTGATAGACGAGCCACGGGTAGGCTGAGCATGATACGAGTCTCACGCAGCGTCGTAATGAGAAGAGCCGAGTTGAGATTGGGCGGAGCGTGCAACGTAAGAATGAGTTACATACAGTGGCGGCGCACTGAACGGCCGCACGCGCGTTCGTGGAGATCCAGGCTAGCCGCAAGTGGATAGGGGTTTTTGGACCCTGAATGTTCCACAGAATCCACTGTCCGGGGTCCAACTTTATGGGCGCAACACAAACGAACTCAGCCCCGTGCCGCTCGCAAGTCGCCCCGTCTTTCAGGGTTTCGGAACCCGAACCGTGCACAGGCGTAATCTTTGGGCTAAGAATACCAAGGGGTTGAGTGCACTTGCCTCTGCGGCACTTACTTATGTATACGCCTTCCTGCCATGTCGTGTTTGTAACGCTTTCCCGCCAACCTCGACTCCCATCATTGCTGTCATGTCACAGCAAAACATGATTTCCGCGCACTACATCGAGGAGCTGGTGGCACAAGGCGAGCCCGTCGTCATCCACGAGGGGTATGCCTTGAACATTTCGGCATGGATCGATAGCCATCCTGGTGGCCGCCTGGCTATCTTGCACATGGTTGGCCGCGACGCCACAGACGAAATCAACATGTAAGTATTCTCGACCCTGGGGCAAAAAGAGCTCTTTGTGTCTATTGGAGCTACATATGGAGGTGGAGCTGGAGCTGGAGCTAACCCCACATCACAGTTACCACTCGAACAAGGCCCTTCTGATGATGAAGAAGTATCGCATTGGCCGAGTAGAGGAACCCTGGACCAACCTTGAGCCTCCTATTCGCGCCGCAAAGCCCGAGGCCAACTTGGATTATGAGGAGAAGAAGGCTGCTGAGGCCAATGCCAGACGGTCAAGAAGAAGCATCGACCTGAGCTCTGTTAGTCTTTCACTTATCACATGCTTTGCGAACATAGTTCCGTGCGTGCTCCCTGGCCTATGCTAATGCCAGATCCAAGGTCGCTGCCACAATCAGCAAGAAGCTGAACCCTGCCGATGGAGGCGCAAACACTTGCAGATCCCGCACACCTGACCCAGAGAAGCAGCCTCTAATTCGCTCCGAGGCCCCTCTACCGATCGCGTTCGATAAGAGAGCCCATAGACTGCAGTACGCTGCCGAATTAGAGGAGAGCGAAATCGCAGATGGTCTGAGAGACAACCCATCTGTCGATGTTGAGACACAAGGCCAGATCCTGTTGGACTACCGCGAGCTCCACGAGCAGATCAAGGCTGAGGGCTTGTACAAGTGCAACTACTCAGCGTACGGCTGGGAGTCCATCCGATACGCTGGGCTTTTCGCCGCCTTCGCGTACCTGCTCTACAGCAAGTGGTATCTCACATCGGCCATGTTCCTGGGACTGTTCTGGGTAAGCCTACTTTACCACCTTCCACGATCTTCGCTGACATCTCCAAGCAACAAATCATGTTTACAGCGCATGACGCCGGTCACCGCGGTATCTCCGGCAATTTCATCATCGATACGCTCATCGGTGCATTCATCGCTGACTTCTGCTGCGGCCTGTCAATTGGCTGGTGGAAGTCCTCCCACAATGTGCACCACCTCATCACAAACATGCCCGAGCATGATCCTGATATCCAGAACACGCCACTCTTTTCTACCTCGCCGACTTACATCAAAGGCGTCATCTCGACTTTCTACAAGGACTTCGAGTTCAAGTGGGACGCCGCGTGCGAGGTTCTCCTGCCCTACCAGAAGTACACGTACTACCCCGTTATGGCGCTTGCACGTTTCAACCTGTACATCCTGTCTTGGTGCCACCTGTGTTCGCCACGCGCTGCCCAGCTTGGTGCAGCTTGGTGGACGCGCCCTGTGGAATTGGTCTTCATGGCGTGCTACTGGTTCATCTTCGGCTACCTGCTCGTCTGGTGCACACTGCCTACCTGGCCAATCCGCATCGGCTTCGTGCTTATCAGTCACCTTATTACCATGATTCTGCACGTACAAATCACGCTGTCTCACTGGGGAATGCCAACTTCCGACCTCGGTCCCACAGAGTCTTTCCCACAGAGGCAGATGCGCACTACGATGGATGTTGACTGTCCGGCGTGGTTGGACTGGGTGCACGGCGGTCTTCAGTTCCAGGCTGTGCACCACCTGTTCCCGCGCGTTCCGAGGCACAATCTGAGGAGAGGCCAGGAGCTGGTCAGGGAGTTCTCAAAGAAGACAGGAGTCAGATACAACTGCTACGGCTTTGTGGAGGGAAACAAGATCGTCCTCAGCAGGCTGGAAGAGGTCGCCAACATGGTCAAGATGATGGTCGATTGCCAGAAAGATATGGCGAGGACTGGAGAGAGCGGTTTACATTAGAGGGAAGGCTACGAAAGTGCTTTGTCGCCTATCCCCAGGGGAATTTCACATCATGACCTTTAACTTCAAAAGCCCTGTGCAGCTTGAATTCCGTGGCTAATTGATAGAGACTGACGACCATGCTTTGCACAGCACAACTCACCATTACCCTTCCACAATGTACACATCTCCATCACAGCAACTAAACGTAGTCCAACCCCGATCATTCCTGAGCGAGCTCCCTCATGCACATCGGAGCCCAACCCGGCCCTAGCACCCACCGAATCACAACCGACGCCCCGATAATTCGTAACACCTCCATACACAAGTCCCTACACACGACATGGTAAGAATGACGGTGAACCGCATGACTCTGCGGACCTCGGCGTTCCACTTTTAGTAGCGTCGTCGCATCGTTATCGCCCCAGCTAGGCTCCGCCCAGATTCAGGGCCCTGGGCATAGGACCGTTTGCGACTCAGCGAGGGGCGTCGCCCACCAAGTCGCGCCCACTGCGGCGACGCTCTTTACGCTGTACGCAGCAGCAAGCGCAATGCTCGCGCCCGGTACGTCGCGGCTGCGCCTGTCATGTTCCGCGGAGCTAGGCGCACGAGCAGGGAGGAGAAAGAAAGGGTCTAAGGTCGTGGTGCTCGTACGAAGTACGGTCGTATACGGTATACCGTAATGGTACGAGCAAATACGCGGGTTCGCGACCACCCGCGACGGGTGCGATTGCGCGTTGTTTGAGGCTGGGTAAGCACTTTCGTCCGTCGGTCCTTTGGTAGATGTTGTCTACTTGGATCGGGCTTGTGGAAGCACCACGCGGCACGCTTAGTGCAGTTGCGACCTATATGGGTTGAGGGGTTGTACGGCCGGGTTCGAGGCGCGGATCAATGGTTAGGCAAGCCTCGTGTTCTTATTGACAACGGCGGATCTTCAAAACTGTCACGCATGTTTGAGTTTTGTGCCTTGATATTTTGTCTAGTAGAGACCTGAATTAGCTGTGTTCCCTCTGTCTCGCCACGCTGCTTCTACAGGAGCTCAAAATCGATAGGTTACACGTCCGGCCGTAGATGGCGTGGGTGACGCTGTCTGAGCAGACGGGCGCTTATACACTGAACCAACGCTGCTCGGAGTAGTCGGTACCCCCATTCTCCTCTCCTAGGTCTCCCCTGGCCTTCCGAATACTGCAGATCATGCATTGACCGCTACCGGGCATGAAGCGCCCCTGCGCGAAACGACCAACGTTCGATTTACCCTTGTTGATGTTTACGCACACCGCGCACGTCTTTACTGATGGTGTAGCATTACTGGCGGGTTGGATATCGTAGAGACTATCCGCTACTGACGCTCCTCGGACAGTGCTTGGGTCGGAATCGCTGCGGTCGTTGTACCGAGAAGGACTTACGGGTGCACCGCTTCTGTCCCCGGTAAGGTGCAGAGGGGCCTGAAGCCGTGGAGCCTTTGACTGGTGCAGCGAGTCATCGTTAAGTTGAGGCTTTTTGTTCTTTCCCTTCGCTGTATGGCGTTGGCGTTTGATGACGTAGATCTCTTCATCCCCTGTGTCGCGCACGCGGAAGAAGTCGTAGTTGCTGGGGAAGTCGCCCATGTGCGTCAATATTTGCTGATCAATCTGATCTCCTAAAACTGCTGAACGGTCAGATAATTATCACAATGATGTCTGAGAATGTTCCTACCTGGTATTCCGTTTACAGACACATCCTCTCGCGGTAGCTGTTCTTTAATCTCAGGAAGCTGACCCCCTTGCACACTCAAATTTTCTCGGACAGTGATGTCGTCTTTCTCGACAGCTACTATTAATACAGATCCTGGAGTTGCTGGAGTTGCGTCCGAGTCACTGACACACTGGCTTGCTGCGACTGGTGAACCATACCGACTCGAGCCCCCAAGTACGGGACTTGCACTGACTGGGTCGTCGTCATCTTCGCTATCTCCAATCACCGAGGAAGGTCGATGGCGGCTGTTTGACAGGCTATTTTGTATGTCACTTGTTTCTTTGACTGGTAGTACATCAGCTGCTCCTTGTAGTGCTTCGAAGTGTCGTGTTTCTAGTGTGTCCTCGCCACGAGGTGAACAGGCTTCAGGTTGTAGGGCTACAAGAGCTCCTGGAATGTCGCACAAGACGCTGGGAATGTACCACTTGTCCGGATCAAGGCCCTCAAATAGTGCTCCGGTGCTGACAGCTTCCGATTTAAGGGTACTGCATAAGCAAGTAAGTTCTGAGATAGCGTCAGTAAAGGTACAAGTGTATGCTTGGCTGCGTACCTTCAGTTGATTGGCACTGACTGCAGACAGTATGGTGCAGAACGACTCTAACTGGCTTGGCCCTGTTCTGATATGAATCGGCAGACTTCCAAGTGACAAGCAGTTGGCCTTTTCTATCCGTTTGGTCGCATTTGATCGATCGAGGCATTCGCGACAAACGGACTCTACCCATATCACGTAAGTGGCCTTCTTGGGAGGCAATCCCGCTGTGTTCTTCAGAGGCCATTAGGCGAGTCATCATCATGTCCCACAGCTTGAGGACAGCGTGGTCACAAACGAATGTTTCCGGTTCCTCGGTGGCATCCGCGTCGCAGAAGCAGCATTCATGCGCACCTTCCCAGGTAAGCCATTTGTCGTGAACACGCCACTCATCTGCAGTCAATCCGACGTTAACATTCAGATGCCTACCATCAACGAAGTGGAGTTTCATATCCCTTGTTGCCGGCGAAGCTTGCAAGATACAATTCAGCATCCAACTCATGTGTGTCGCGAATCTTGTTGATGGAACTTGAACAATGCCTGCAAACTTGAATCGTTTCATGACCTCATCTTGTGGCGTGCGACACAAGCCAAAGTCAGCCAGGATGTCCCATAGATCTTGCGAGATCAAGACCGGATTCATCTTCAGGCTTTGCTCGATGACACTCACGTCGTATCTCAATATGTTAGCATGCAAACGCTGGCTGTGAGTTCAGACGTACGTCTTTGCCTTTCGCGACGTAATAGAACGCCACTCTGCCTTCTGGGTCCTGATTGATCAGTAGCATCTGCGCCCATATCTTCTCCGCGATGTCTCTTTTCAAGGGATTACGTTTGCTGCTGAGCATAACATCTCCAGACTCATTGAGAGATTCGAGTATGAGCCGAGTATACTCGGTGAGTATAGCTGAGTCGTCAGAGTCATCTTCTCGGATTGCTGCAGCCCAGATCTCGGCGACTCGCCTTCCTTCCTCGCTGGCTCCGGAAAGTGAAGTGCGGTCTCGGGTTGTGGTACCAGTGAAGAAATTGTAACCATATCGGTACAGTTGTGCGCTCGTACTACCTCTTGGAAACAACAGCCCCTGCAGATACAACAGACCTTGGTAGGTGGGATCTCGTATGAGGAAACCTTTTGATGTCCGAACAATCTTCTTCGGGGGATTGATATCCAAGGTGACCCGGAGCCACATTTTGAACTCGTCGACGTGGATTCTTTCCCCTTTTCTCGGTTGACCAGAGATATTACGCGTCTTACCAGGGGCGCCAATAACGACGCAGACATCCTCCCACGCGTGGGCATCCGTAGTCCTGGCTAGACCACGTGTGCTATCTTGACCTACCTTCAATTTCATGTCTGGAATACGCGACAGCTTGCAAGCTAATTCATGCTGCTGGTAAATGAAGTTCCATTTGAAACCAGTACTTTCGATGTGGAATTTGTACCCCAAGCGACGAAAAACGAGTGCAGAAAGCTTCAATCCCTCACCAAACTGTCCGGTTTGTCCGCTGCCCTCATGCTTTGTGGTGCCACCGGTGCGCAGCATAGAGCCTTGCAAACTGGCGTTGAAGTTTGCTATTTTCAGCCCACCGCCGATGCTGAAGCCTTCTCGGTCGTAGGCGAAGCGAATGAAGCCAAGCAACTTCGCGGTACCGGGTGTGAATGCCCGAATAAGGATCGTTCGCTGGTGCTCGGTGTACTCGGTAGTAAATTCGGACAGGCTCAGCATGTGAGAGTTCATAATGCCATCTCTCCTACGACGCGTGAGTCCATTTTCTAAAGGAGACTTCTTCAAGCGATCTGGCTTACCAGTTCTGATAAATTTCTCGGAACGCCTCGGATCCTTCCCACTTTGGTACATATTGGTTAGTATAGTTCAAATACTTCGTTGCGGTCTTGTTGATTGCAAAGAGGTCATCGTTTTCGAAAACGCTCGGTATGTAGTCATCCGTCTCTGATTCACTGAGATTGCTGTGATCAACGGCATCATGTCCTAAGAAGTGCGCCATTGCTGGAAGGTCAGGATTCGGGCGGTGAACATCAGCGTCTGTGTCTCAAGTGCGTGTGAACATTGTAGTGACTACGACCTGATAGTGAATGTAGTGCCGTTGTGTACAATGCTTGTTGGAGCAGACAGGAATCGGTCGAGCAGCCAAGTGAAGTGCGGAAAGAGACCAGGTTGCCCATGGAGACGAGCGATAGACCAGGGTCGCATGAATGCCTCGCGTCTGAAAGTCACAAAGTCGCCATTCAAAGTACGGAGAATTCGCATGCCCTTCCAAACTTGCGGCTACAAAAGCCTTGGCTTCCACAGTCAATAGCTAGCAAAGACATACGCAGACATCGCGTTTGGGCTGATTCAATATAGAGTCAGGACACGCAGCGCGCGAAATTTGCATAGAGCGCACAGACTACTCACCAAATGCACGCGAAATCACGTGACCGTACCTAGGTAAGTATCTCAGAACCACGATCATCTATTCTGCTACCTATCCCCGACTCATACATGATAAACCATGTCAAGACGGGCTCATACTCTATCAAACCACAGTTACGGTACCGTTTGCTCTCAGGTCCTTCGAACTAGCACCAGCGTGCACAATGAAATCGCCTTTCTCAACCACATACTTCATGGTGCCATTCCAGAGGCCCCATTTGCTCACATCTAGATCGACGCTGACATCTACAGTCTCTCCAGCTGGGATAAGAACCTTCTTGAACCCCTTGAGCTCGATATTGGGCACGACGATACTGGCGATGACATCCTGCACATATATCTGCACCACCTCCTTGCCGTCCCACTGTCCCTCATTTGTGACACTTACGGTTGCCGTGATCTTGTCATCAGGCGACACCTCGGTCTTGCTGAGACTTATATTGGAGAAGGTGAAGTTGGAGTAGGACAGTCCGTAGCCAAATTCGTAAAGCGGCTGGGGGTTGTTGAGCACATACTGGTGTCCGAACTCGAGCGTGCCGTTCGGCCAAACCTTTCCTGGTTCGGTGTATCGTCCGGAGTTGAGGTAGTCGTAGTAGATCGGTAGAGTGCCGACATCATACGGGAACGAGACGGACAGCTTGCCAGAAGGGTTCACGTCACCGAAGAGGACGTCGGCGAGGGCGTGGCCGCCTTGTTCGCCAGGATAGAATTGCTGCACAAGGGCCGCGGCGTTTTCACTGATCCAAGGCTCGGTGATGGGCTTGCCGGAGCTATAGACGACGATGGTGGGCTTTCCGGTGGAGATAACGGCTTGAACCAGCGGGCCCATAGCACCGACCAGGTTAAGGGAGGCTACATCGACGTGTTCTCCAGTTGTAGCGTTGATTCCTCGCCAAAGTTCGAATTGATCACGCGACCAAGTACCCACTAAAACGACAGCGACATCTGCAGCTTCAGCAGCAGCGATGGCTTCAGGGAAGCCGGATTCGTCTGAAGACCAGCGCTCACAGCCTTGCACAAAAGTGACGGTACCGTTTGTGGCTTCTTGAATACCTTGGAGAGGGTTGACGTTGGCAGGATTGATCGCAGCTTCCTTGACGACATAGTCACCGTAGTTGGTGAAGTTGGCCATTGGACCAATAACAGCGATGTTGGCTGATTTAGACAGAGGAAGGGTTCGGTTCTGGTTTTCTAGGAGCACAATAGACTCAGCGTCTAGCTTGCGAGAAAAGGCGACGCTCTCAGCGGTGTGAATGACGGACTTAGTCTCGGCCGCTGGTAGGGCGTTATATGGGTGCTCGAAAAGACCCAAGGCAAACTTTGCCCTGAGCTGACGAGCGACTGCTCTGTCAACAACCTCGATATCGAGCTTGCCCTCTTCAACGAGCTGTGGAATGATCTCAAAGTTGTACGAGCCACCACCCATCTCGACATCGTTTCCGTTGGGAAGAGTGTACAATGTCACAGCCTCTTTGTCGATCGGCTTATCTTCAGTCTTGCACTGGCATAGCTTGAACGTGCAGCACAGACGATCTGTAGCACCGGCATCTGAGGTGATGAAGTACTCGTAGCCCCATTCCTCGCGTAGAATAGTCTCCTGGAGATGATGGTCTGCAACTGATGGAATGCCATCGTACGAGTGGTAAGCTCCCATAATACTCAATGCGCCGCCGTCAATGATAGTGCGTTTGAAGGAGGGGAGCCACGTAGTTCTTAGCTCACGTTCACCACCGTGTACAGGCCCAGTATTGATCCCCTGTTCTGGTGCTGAGAACCCAGCATAGTGCTTGACGGTGGCAGCGACCTTCTGGCTTTGGACACCTTTGACATAGCTGTATCCGAATTCTCCAGCAAGGTAGTGATCCTCTCCATAAGTCTCTTCGACTCTGCCAAATCGAAGCTCGCGCGCCAAATCCACAACTGGCGCAAATATTTGGTTGATACCAAGGGCTTGGGATCTAGTTCCTCATCAGAATGGGAACAATGTGGTATTTCAATAACGTTTACTTACTCTTTTCCGATAATTACAGCCATATCGTGAATAGCCTCAGGGTCCCATGAGCAAGCGTGGGCGATCGGGCTATTGAACACAGTTGCGTTGCCGACGAGCAGCCCGTGGATACCCTCGGTCTGGACTAGGGCTGGAATACCAAGGGTAGTATTATGCAAGATATAGTCCTGCGCCCTCTTAACTCCATCGGCTATCCATTGCTGCTCAACCGGATACCCGACATAGAACTGACCTCCGCGCTTTTCGAAGTTCCAAGCTATACCAGTGGCATTGAAAGCATTGGTCGTCGTATTGATCCAGTTAGAAATGTCACCTTGGATGAGTTGAGATGTCTTCTCTTCGATGGTCATGCGTGAGAGTAGATCTGCAACCCGGTCATCGACCGAAGCATTGGGGTCCTTGTACGTAGCATTGGCTGCAGCCTGTCTCCGGACTAGGTCCAGAGCATTGGTAGACGTAGGCAGCAACGAGCCAATGAGCAGGGCCGCCTCGAGAGAAAGGTACTTCATCTTGAAGAATGTGAATCGGGCGACACGTCCTGGTAATGGATCCACACAGGTACATGGACAGTACCCTTTTAGCTTTTATACCGTCCAAGTAGACGAAAAGATGAGCACAATTAACCGGACAAAATTGACCAAGATGGACATGCGGTTATTTCCCCGCAGTTGATGCATCTCATTTTGCCTTTATGGTACCGGGATCGTGGTCAGCAGGGTATGAAAGCATGTACTGGTACGAGCAGGAAGCGGGCTGCATGCTGCGGCGAGCCTGTTACATTGAACGAATGCCAGCCGACAAGCGCGGATCCCGAATGTCGGCCAGCCTGCGGACTCTACGTTCGAGCTACGTTACGGTGGTGAAGTAGCAGTGTCATCCCCGCAATACCCATGTGGGGAGACGTGATCGACGCGAAACTGCTGAGAGAAGTACATAGTTGGAATGTTAGGTGACGCGGAGTCAAGTTTGTGTTGATTGACGGAAGAAATGTGGCTGCGCTACTCCGCACATCGACCCCAGATCTCGGCGAGGAAGTTTTGCAGATGCGGCTAGACTGAACTTTTGCGGAATATGAGGATCAAGCCCGGAGTATCACGGTCCGTTGACCAAGGGTAGTAATGCGACCGGCGTAAGGACGTCAGTCTGCATAAACTGACTTTGTGACCTGGCGACATTACAACCACCTGCATGTGCGGATTGCTATCGTAACGAAACCCTTTGTGCCATCAAACAGCCCTGCGACTTGACAAGGATAGTATGAATTCAGTTTTGCGATTGTCGATCTTGAGCTGCGAAATCCAATCATAGAAGGCCTCGAATATTATCTATGTACCTGCAGTAGTCTACACCAGATTCACGCCAGATGTCTGACTCACGGTAGTCACAGACCCAGACTCTTGATCCCTGATACATGATAGCCATTAGTATCCTTAAACCAATATCATCGAAACATTAAAGTAATATCGTAACGTCATATATGTACATGAACCATGAACTCAACTCATCCAACCCATTGAGTCACTATAACACCAAAATAAACGCTGTGAGCAGAAGTGACACCCACCACATCCTCTCCTTACTATTCGAACCAAAATCGTTGGCGGCTCCGGTCTGAACTGGTGGGGCTGGCGGTGGGCCAGTTGTTGTTACTGAGGAAGCCGATGAGCTTAGTGGCGCAGATGTAGACTGTGTGTAACTGATGGAGGAGCCTGCTGCTGTGGGTCGTGTAGCAGATGACGTTGTCTCCGGGGATGAGGATGTAGGGCTGACTGTTGTTGAGAGGGTGGAACCTGAGTTTGCAGCACTGGAAAATGAGGTTGAGGCCACACTCAGGAGAGTTGACTCTACCGAAGAGGGCAACACACTGGATGGGGCTTCGCTAGGTGTTGTTGACGCTGTGGTACTAGAAGATGAAAGAGTCGTGCCAGCCGGCGAAGATGCTGGCTCCGAGAACGTGCTTGATGATGGTGTGACTATGATACCCGTCGGAGTTACCGAGGACAACATAGAAGACAGAAGCGAGGTCTCCAAAGAAAACGTGGGCAAAGGTCGAGAGGAGACATATGATGAGCTAGACACTCCGAAGGACGATACTACTGGCGATGAGCTAGCAATGCTGCCAGACTGTGTGCTTGCAGATGAAGACGCGACTGGAATCAAATTCGAGGACGGATGGGTAGGAATCGGGACGATAAGAGTAGTCGACAAAGAATCCGATGTCGTCGCAATGTCCGATTCTGAGACGAACGTCGTGAGGATCTTTGAGCTCGAAGAGCTTGTTGATGAAGTGGCGGGAATGGAGCTGGAGTATTGAGAGGGAATCGGGATACCGACAGTTGTCGAGGATAGCGAAACGGAGCTCTCAAAGCTACTGGACTTTGAAGTCGATGGAGAATTGACCGGATATGTTGCAGAGCTGGTGACTACGGGCGGTGTTGGCACCATAGTCTGAGATGGCAATGGCGTGGTGCTAGTAGCGCTCTCTGATGATGGTGCGCTCGAGGAGGCAGATCCTTGCGCTGAGCTAGAAGGCAGAGGAATGGCCACTGTGTAAGAGGGTCCGAGCCATGTCGAAAGACCAGAGCTGCTAGGAATATAAGGTATGGCTTGGGTATACGAAGGTGGTAGCCATGTAGAGGCGATCGAGACGACTCCCGCTGAAATAGGATACGCTGTGAGTGATGTATAGCCAGATGATCCCGACGTCACATGTACCACTGACGATTGATACACAGAGCTCGCAGGTTCATAAACGCTGGGGAGTGCTACTGGAGGGGAGATCGTCACAGTATCTGTCTCGCAAGGCTCAGAAGAAAATGGCGGCAGAGATGGTGTGCTTGACGTCGTCCCAGGAGGCTCCTGAGCAGATGTTGGTAACGTTGGCACCGGAATAGCTGTAGGCACAGTGTATTGTGTCTCAATATGTGACGATGAGTACGGTCCTGTACTATTGGTGTAATTTGATCTTGACGGCACATGGGCGAGGGCGATTGTTGACAAAGCTGTTAACGTCCAGATGGACGTTGTGCGTGCCATCGTGACTGTGGGCGACCTGATCAAGATACTGCGCTCTGATTGACCGAGAGTAGGAGATGTATTAGTCGTTGAGGTTAATGATTAGATGTATAATACTTTGGGATGAATACGAATCGGAGTGCACATTCCAGTCATAGAAGAAGCTCAGATATAGCTGGGCAGATGCGTTGGCAAGCTATTGGACAGACGGGGCTGATGGCTGGTACCCAGCCTCCCCAGCCATGTTTGCCGCACGCGAACGACAACGTGTAGGGCGCACCACTTGGCCGGTGCATACTGACGTCGCGTGGGCTGAGCAGGTCTAACAATGATGCGCTTTCCAAATTTGGTCGTCGAAAGCGTGGTCGCGGGCAGCGTCGTGCTCGGTATCTGGGCGGAACACTCAAGCGAGCGTCCAACGTCTAGCCGCATCTAGAATCTCGTACCTGCATATCAGCTTGCAGCGCGACAGCGTCTTGGGGTGTTCTTGATGCAGCTTCTCACATCGATTTTATGGCTACAAAGTTCGGCGTTGCGTTCTCAGTTACGTATACATGGAGCAAGAAGAGTGACATCGTATTCATGATAAGTTGCTGTCTCACGCATTTGACTGTCTTCTATATCGCCAAAAGCCTCCACGCAAGTTTTGTCGGTCGACATCATCGTTCATCCAAGATCTACGTTACTTGTCAGTGCTGGTCTTTCAGTGCTAAGTGGACGGTGGTGACAGTTGGGTACATTTCAGACAGCAGTTGGATCAATTTTGAGTCCACATTTGGGTTCAGACAGATCTGTGAATATTGATTTTTCATCATTGCATGTGGCGAGGAGGTGGAAGGTTAAGGATGTTGACTTACTGTAGTTATGAGAGCCATCTGATGACCTCGGCACATTCATATTTGTCAATCGACCTTGCGGCGCTTAAAAAAGGTCTCAATGCCTGTCTGGGATGCATCGTGGCGGGAGCTACCCACACCACCCCCAGTGCGCTTGAGACCAGTCAGGTGGTCCTTGCCGTTGATCGTTAAGATCGTGATTGTCCACCCGTGTGCGATGCGTAACCCAGTTGTACGTTGGGACGGATGAGCGACAGCTGCGGCTGTAGCCGGTATAGCCTGTATAGCCTCATTGACTTTGGCATTATCGCTGACCTGGCTTGGTTCTGCCTGGGCAGCGTTCTGAATAGGCTCGACGGCATCAACAGTGACGTTCAGGCTAGCTGTTGTGGGTTGTAATAGGTCCGGCTTTGACATTGCAGTAGTCGCAGCACCTGCAGGAGGGGCCTTGCCTGCCTCGTCGCGAACCATCAGTAATTCCAAGAATCCTGTATTCGACCACGCGCCCAGGTGTTCCAACGATAGGCGGGCGGTCGATTGCAGGTCTGCGGATAAAGATATGCTGTTTGCTGGAAGTCGTCGCAGTAAGCGCTTCCACAGGGTAGAAAGGAAGATGCCATGAGATACAATCGCGATCGTGAGAGCAGAGCCGTCAGTCGTTTCACCGAACAACGGCAATATATGCTCGTCAAGAAATGCATCGGCGCGTCGACTCATGGCTTCTTTCGTCTCCATAGCCACAAAGCCTGGCTTGTTTTGCAGCTCGGCTTGCATGTCCGCCCACTTCTTTCCCTCGAGGTCCCCGAAATCTTGCTCCGTGAGAATGGGCAACTGCACGACTTCTGCTACATTGCGCGGAGCCTCGATCGCATCCGTCGGCAGCTGAGCCTGCCGGATCAGATCGGCTGTTGTCGCTGCGCGCTGCAGATGGGAGGAGAAGAGGTGCGTGAATGCCAGGCCGAGGGATTTGAAGTGCAGACCTAGGCGAGTCGCTTGTTGGTGACCATGGTTGGTAAGTGCTGAGTCTCTGCTTCCGGCACTGCTCGCTCATCAGCATTGCTCGTCAAGCCGTGACACAGAATTACTTACTAAAGCTGAGCAACGTTGTCGACTGTCTCTCCGTGCCGAACGAGGAACAGCCTTATCGATCGAACCATGAAGCCCGTCGCGGGCGTGAACACGCTACAGCGAGTCGCATAACGGCGCTGAGGTGCTGTGAGAAAGACGGAGAGTCATTTCGTGAATGATTCGCCCGTGGGCGATGACTACCGTGTCCGTGCGCGTAATGCGCGGATTCGCGTAATGCGCCGAACCACCAAAACACCCCTATTATCTTACCTCCATAACAACACAACGCGATGGGATTAGAAGAAGCCCTTTTAGAGTGTGATACTTTTGCATCTGAAGATAAGATCCCGTGGTCTAAAATAGCTGAAAAGCATGGTGTTGTGCGGTCAACGTTGACGCGCACGTGGAGGGGTGAGACGCGGTCGCGTAATGAGAAGGCTATTGCACAGCAAAAGCTCACTCCACAACAAGAGGAGGAGCTTATAACTTATATAGGAGAGCTTACTGCTCGTTCTATACCACCTACAAGGGAGATGATACAGAATTTCGCGTCTTCTGTGGCTAAGGAGCGTGTGAGCGAGAGCTGGGTTACTCGGTTCATTAACAACTACTCCATCTATCTCATCTCTCAATACTCAACGGGTATGGACGCCAATTGCCACAACGCTGATTCATACACAAAGTATGAGCTATACTTCAACCTACTACAACGCAAGGTCACTGAGTATAAGGTTGAGAGCTGCCACACATATAATATGGATGAAAAGGGGTTCATGATTGGGATCACTACTAGGACGAAACACGTGTTCAGTAGGCGGATGTGGGAGAAGGGGGAGGTCAAAGCATCACTTCAAGATGGTAATAGGGCCTGGGTTACGCTGCTGGCTTGTGTGTGTGGTGATGGGACTGCACTGCCGCCAGGCATCCTCTACGAGTCTGCCAACAGTACCATCCAATCAAGCTGGGTAGAGGAAGTACAGCCAGGGGTACACGACGTACTTGTTTCCTCATCACCTACTGGCTGGACCAACAACGATATAGGCCTTGCCTGGCTTCAACAGGTGTTTGATCGCTTCACCAAGACCAAGGCGCGGAGGAAGTGGCGCCTCCTGATCCTTGACGGCCATGGATCCCATATGACTATGGACTTCATTAACTACTGTGATCAGAATAAGATACTGCTGGCTATCCTTCCTCCTCACTCAACCCACACGCTGCAGCCGCTGGATGTAGTGATGTTCAAGCCTCTCTTAACTGCGTACTCAAAGGAGCTCACAACATACCTTCACAATGGCTAGGGACTATCAGTAATCAAGAAGAGCGACTTCTTCCACCTATTCTGGAAGGCCTGGACGAGCACGTTTACTCAGGAGTTGATACTCAAGTCTTTTGAGGCAACGGGTATAGCACCCCTCCAACCCAACGTCATCCTTCACCGCTTTGCTGAGCCTTCTCCCCAGGCCTCTGATGCTAGCGGAAGCTCTTCTTCAACTTATTCTGGCAAAGATTGGCTGAAAATAGAGACCCTACTGCGCAAGGTTGCCAAGGATGAGAGTAGTAAGGAGTTGAAGAAGATCAGCCGCTCGCTCCACCACATCTCAGTCCAAAACCAGCTACTCCACCATGAGATAGCAGGCCTAAAAGAGGTTCTTAAGACTCAGAAGAAGCACAAGAAGAAGAGCAAAGTCCTTAACTTCCAGGAACCTGAGGACTATTATGGTGGAGCAGTGTTTTACTCTCCTCGTAGGGTTGATAAAGCACGTCAGTATGAGCAGGTAAAACAACAAGAAGCTGAGGCAGAAGAGGCTAGAAAAGTAGAGATGGCTGAACTTAGGCACGCAAACAAGCTATACAAAGAGCGACTAGCTCAGGAGAAGCGTGAGCAGCGGGTGAGGGAGAAGGAAGAGAGAGACCGTGTCAAAGCCAAGAAGGCAGAAGAAGTAGCTGAACGCAAGGCTGAAAAGGAACGTCAGAAGCAAGCTCAGGACGCCCAGAAAGCTATATAATTGTCCCAAAGAGGCAATAAGACAGCTTTAAAAGCTTCTATAGTAAGAAGAAAGCCTGCGCGTCGTGGTGTAGGTGCGCGTAGTCAACCAAAGCCTGCAACGCCTCCTCCACCAGCTCGCACACACACCACCCGCAGTGGCCGCACCGCCACTCTATATAAATAAAATATATAGGCAATAATTATCGCATAGACCTATAGAACACTCTACTAAACAATCTCGCAATAATAACTATTGTACGTGGCTCTACAACCTCATTTTTCAGGTGCACTTTAGGGGGTTTCGGCGCATTACGCGAATCCGCGCATTACGCGCACGGACACGGTAAGGCGCCAAGTTGCGCCGTCCACTTTCCGCGCGCGACACTTCCTCTCAAATGACAGAACAAACGGCGGATAAGCGACCTTCAAGCTGATCAACATCATAAAAAACTTGTTGCTATTATAATACTAATAGCTAGAATTTGTTTAAGAACTATCTTTGTTGTAGCCAAAAAAGTGTTCTATATTGTTTTTTGTGCACTCTCCATACAGTACATTACTGTCGCGTAGTAGATTATCCGCCTCATATCCTTGATCCGTTGTTTATCCTACGTGAGAGACTTCCACGGCTCCCCATGACCACCTCAGCTCTGTTGTATGTTCCTTTTTCGCCCTTCAAACCACCTTCTGAAGTTATCTGAATACACTGTTTTATACGAGAGGCTCCACCCTTATGACCAGTTCTGGTGAAACTTCCCAATGCTGTCTTGGCTGCCGACGCCCCGAGGCTTCGATTTCTGGGCCAAAGCAGTGTTGAGTCAGGAGAATGCAATGTCAGATAACGGACAATTCTGCGAGTGTGCGAACAGTCTGTACGAATACGCACTACTGCTTTGCAGACTTTGTTCACGCGTATCATCATCGCACGAACAAGCAATGAGAGCCCATAGTCGCGAAACCCTCGACTAGGAGCTTCTCCACGGTCTTCTAGAGCCTGAAATTATGTCAGACGTGTGTCTAGCTTGCGTTGCGTTGCCTATCCTTTACCCGCGTTAGCTTGACGATTGAAAGCTTCTCGTCGACCTTTGCTTCACCTCGCTTTATATTCATTCCCTAAAGTGTCTTCGTACCGCGATACACCGTCTTCTCCGTAAGGTTCGATGATTGCCATTCCAAATGCGTGGCACCTTTGAGTGGAAACTTTGATCTCGCAGCTAGCATCATCCTCTCTCACCTCCCACCTTTCAGCAGCACAGGCGCGCCTTGTTGCACTCACCCAAGTGCTCCACTAAGCGTGACACCTGATACATCGCCCCACATTTCCTCTCTCACCTCCCACCTTTCAGCAGCACAGGCGCGCCTTGTTGCACTCCCCCAAGCTCTCCGCTGAGCGTGACACCTGGTACATCGCCCACATTTCCTCTCCCACTGCTTACGTACACCTACCTAAGGTATAGAAGAAGCACGACATCCCACCAGCAAACCATATCGCTTACTTAAACGAGGTACCTGGAGCCCGCTCGCGCTTTAGCAGTAACGATGGACGACAATCCGCCAACCGGGCCCGACGTCACCTTCGACTTCAATCTACCGCACGGTATCGACATCGAGAATGATACCGTCGAGATTGAGCAGCTCCAGGATAGCTCTGGAATAGCAGATCACAGCTCTCAAGTGATGTATGGGCCCCGTGACGAATACGAAGACGAAGACGAAGACGAAGACGTTCACATGGAAGTCGACTTCGATGGTCCCAGCGATCTATCCAACGACAATCACACCGGTACTCGCAATCAAGACCACGGTAAACACGATTTGAACTATCGCTATTTCTCACCCGGCTTCTCCAACGATGAAGGTAGCGACGAGGCATTTGAACACTATTGGCTCAGCCACCAAGCCAAGAAACAAGCTAGAAAGGGCACGAAAGGCAAAAAGTCTCCAAGACGCTCGGAAAACGGAGGCGACGACTTTGGATCTGCCATTCGAGTGAAGAGGCCACGTCAGTCTTTATTCGGAGGAGCCGAAGAAGAACTCGATGATGAAGAGCAGGCGGACGACTTGCTTAAGGTTGCGGCTGCGGCTGCGGACCACGGTATCGGCAACCGGATGTCCAGCCTGAACCTTGACCAGCAGCAGCAGGGAGACGAGAACATGCCAAGCGCAACAAATACAGGATTCGGCCTGGCATGCTCAGACGTCGGAAGTGTGCGCAACTCACCCATACCTTCCGATGACGAGCCTTTCATTCCTCCAGATACTACAGTAAGTCACGCTGATTCTTGTTTGTTGGATAACGCGAATTAACGTCTTTCTGCAGCCTTACTATCAGTTACGCCAGGGCATAGATCGTAAGAAAGCCGTCACTCACGTTGATAATGACAAATCTGGCAATTGGGACCCCGAACAGGGGAACAGCGAGAGGGCTGCCAGGCCAGGTCGCACAAAAGCAGCCAAGAAGAGGAGGGAGAAAGAGAAGAGAGGAAAGAAGGGCAGGATAGATGCACCCAGCAGCTACACCATGAAGTGCATTGTCAGGCTTCCAATCGATGCTATCGGAGAAGTCCGCAATAGCACGAACGACGAGCAGAACTGGCCAGACAACTGGTCCGAGATCGACTCAGAGCAGGAGCGCGAGCTCAAGGAATACCGAGAGGCCTACCGTTCTAACACGCCTAACCCCCCGGTGCAGCTGTCTCTGGAGGACCCTGCTGGCATACTTGATGATATCACCGGACACCCTGCTGCACGAGGCTGCAAACAATGTCGCAAACTTGATCGAGCTTGTTCAATGATTGAGGGTGGCATGTATCCGCGTGAACAGTGCATCAAAGATGGCAGCGAGTGCCAGCCCATCCAGGAGCCAACAATAAAGGGTAGGTGCAAGCAGTGCGACCATGCCGACGAGGAGGTTTGCTCGTTTGAAGACGACCCCACTCAGCCAATTTGCAATTATTGTGCTGACAACGATCACGTTTGCGAAGCTTTACCTCCTCATGGCTATAAGGCTCCACGCATGAGTGTCAGCGAGGTTGTCTGGGGACCAGATCGCCCTTTCGTTGCATGTACCACTTGTCGCAGCATGAAGAAGCGGTGCAGTCTCAAAACTAAGAAAGACACTCCCCCTTGCAAGTGGTGCCGCAATACCGGCAATCCGTGCAGGTTTGTCGACCCACCCGATCCTAGGAGCGAGAAGCAAAAGAAGCGAATGCCGTCGGATTCGATAGCGCCAAAGGGCAAAACTCCACAGTCTATGTTCTTCACTGAAGAAGACATTGCAAATATGGGACGACGAAATACTGTGATCTTGGAGCGGGAGCCAACACCAGAATTGGAAATGGAAGATGCTGAGGGTAACAAAGGCATGCTCGTCAAGATCGCCACCTCCTTTGCACATCCCATCAGATTCGGCGTTGAGAAGATTACTTGCAGCTTCTGCGAAGATCCCACATTTGCCGTGTTTGGTCACTTCGAGAGGCAAGTTCACGTGATTCGCTGGCATTCTGGTATGGGATATGCAGAGGTCGGTGGCGGGCATTGTCAGAACACAGGCGAAACGGCCATGTGCAATGACTGTATGAACAAGAGACTTCAGATAATGGTGTGTCCCGGACATCAGCTGGAGCGGATCACTGGTGCTACCTCTTCTGACCAGGAAGCTCTTGCCGACGAACTTTGCGCGGCAGAGTCGGGAGGACCAGATGGGCAGTACCAGCTCTCAAGGTGGTGCTCATTGTGCTTCTCACCTGCCATATTTGGTTGCAGCACCGTACAGCCAGATTTGTGCGGAGAGGAAGAGATGGAAATTGCAGGCTGCCATTTGAGGCTCTGCCTCGTTTGTGAGGTGGCTTTGCGAACCCAGCATGGAGGCAACCTTGATGCGATGGCCACTGAGCTCGACCATCAGCCGAAGATCTCCGAACTTGACGAGACTACTGGTATGGGACTTCAGGGCAGACCAAGAGCAGATGTTGGGCTCTTGATGCAAGATGGATTGCTTATGCGCGCGGCTCAGGTTGAAGTTTAAGATCTCGGTCACCCACCTACAGTATAGCAGGGGCAAGTAATCAATGTAGATCCCTAAAAATTCTTCTCCTAGCAGCACCTCTCCGCAAGTAATAGTGAAGTACACTAGACTAAACAATAAAGTGCGAACATTAAAGCTGAAATATTTTGTATACTTCTACTATAGTATAGGTTGTGTTTTGTTAACAGCTGGCTGCTGCGAAGTCTTGTGACATATTGACTACTTACTCATGGGTACCGTAGTGGAGTCAGAAACTCCATAGGTCACGTCCAGGCTGTTGCTCATCTCCACGAATGAACGAGCGTTGTGAAGCTGCGCCTCAAGATCGAACTAATGACATGAAGTGGCAAATAACGTGACTCTCACATTTTTGGTTACCATGAGTACCTCTGACACACTGTAGTGTCACTGAAATATTTTATATACTTCTACTATGGTATAGGTTATGTTTGGTTGACAGCTGGCTGCTGCGAAGTGTTGTGACACATTGACTACTTACCTCTGACATACTGCAGTGTCATTAATTTCATCGGGTTGAGGCTTGGGTCCTAGTACTCGAAACCGACAGCTCCACTGTCAAATGGCGTCTCGTACGGCGCTTCAGCCTGCGGTGTGATCCTTGCCAAATGCCTGCGTGCACCATCGTCCCAGTCCAGTAACGCAGAATGAGCAGTCACTCGGTTGTCCCAGACAACGACCGTGCCCGGCGCCCACTTGACGCGAGCCTGGAAATCCTGACCCTTCGCGATGTGGTCATACAAAAAGTTTAACAGAAAGTCGCTCTCCTCCTTCTTGAAGCCAACAATGCGGCGACTGAACTGAGGGTTTACGAATAGTGCCTTCTCACCGGTAGCGGGATGGGTCCGTACTAACGGATGTATCGAAGTGACAGGTTCACGACGGACAACACCTCCTCGATTCCGGCTATTGTCAGCCTGCTCAACAGCTACATTGCGGTCAGCAAGCATTCATAAGCAGCAGTGCTACAACTTACCTGAATGCACAACCTTCAATCCATGTAAGCGTTTCCTGAACTCCGGTGAGAGCCTCTGGTATGCTGCTGCCTGGTTCGCAAACAAGGTATCACCTCCCGCAGCTGGACCGTCCAATAAATAAAGGAATGTTGTACCTGGCGGTTGCTTTTCATACGTGACATCCGAGTGCCATGTGATTGAGTTCGTTCGCTCTTCGAAAAAGTCGCGAGCTGTTGTGTCATCTGCTCCTCGGTGAACGAGGTGGACCTCAGGGTGACCCTCCGGAGCTCCCGATGTAGGGTGGATGTGGTGTCGACCAAAGTACCCACCAAACTTCAACGCATCTGTAATGGATAGGTCTGCAAAGTCTTGGTCGCGGAAAGCCACAACCTTCTTCTGAGCGACGAACAATGCAAGCTCATCCCTTCCAGTTTCAGATAGCTTGCTAAGCTGGACACCGTGAATCTCGGCACCAATGTTTGCAGTCAGATCTGCAACTTTGGCGTCCTTCAAGAGGTTGGGAAACGACGCATCAGCATCTTTGCCGTGCTCGTAGTGTTCGAAAGGTTCCAAAGGAGGGTACTTCTTTTCAAAGTCCCACACCGGGAGGTAATTAGGATACCTTGCAGGTGCATGCTCGCCCGTCCCTCTCAATTCGAGCTCCTTCTTATACAGTTTTGGTCCGCCAAACGCAGCTTCTTTGTACTGGCCAGCTTGCGACTTGAAGTTGGTGGACGACTGTTCGTAAACAGCAGTATCGACGAGTGCGGGAGCCATGGTGATAAACCTGGACAAGGCAGAAATGTGGAGGTTCGGTATCAGCAATTGTGTGCTTCAGGACTAAGACGCTTCTTATACAACACGAGGCGTGCTAACAACCCGAGTCTTGAACGTCATTCGTCTGGTGCGGGTAAAGTAACGGAAATACCATCATATTGCGCGACCCCGCTTCGCTTTCCTTGGTGGCAACACTCTCCGTCAACCTGAGACGGTGGGGTGGTGAAAGAACCCCTCATGAACACCGCAAGACACCGAGCCCCGTAGTACTGCCGGTCTAATCAGATTCAGTTCTGATGGCATCAATCTGCACGAAATCACTCCATTCGTTCTTATCGCAGCATCACTCGTCCTGAATAGAACGATCCACATGGGCTTAAGCGACCTGCTCGCTTGATGTCGCTACACGCCCGGCCAATCACGCAATACCCCATCAAGTACAGATGCGGCGAATCACTCAACACACCCTCCCGTTTACGCAGTGCGACATACCACCCGAACGTTGCTTGCTTCTTAAAAGCCCCCCATGATGCTCCACTCTCGATGTTATCTCTACCTTACTGGGCGCAAATTATGTGTGGCTAGCAATAAAATTCCACTTGCTCGACATTCATTGGCTAATCTTGTCATCGTCGACCGATATTGAAGCCTAGCATTGACTACTAATACACAGAGTGTCGGCTGGTGGAACTGTATTGTCCCATTAATCCCCGAGGAGCGCTACCATCAGCAAGAGCCGCCGCTATCGGGTCAGTGCCTAGTAGAGATGCACGGTTGGACTTTGGACTGCCGTTCCGATCACGTACTTTTGCCAGGATGAAGCAAATTTTCTCATCATTGCTGTTACGATGGGGTCGATCGGATCCCATATATACTTTAGTAGATTCGTCGCCGAGAAATTCCCAAGACCTTCCAAGAACGCCTGAGGCTTCCCATACCATGGCGAGTAACTTGACTACTGCGCTCAACAATACTACGGGACTTCCTGTCGCCGGCAAGCTAGAGACTGACAGCCCCTCGAGTGTCGCCTCTAGCCAGACAAACCTCGGCCAGGCTGGTACTGGCAAGCGAGGAACAACTTGGGCTGCGAGTGGGCTGAAACAAAGTCACTACCGGCCAGTCGATTCATACGAAGGTCTTCATCGTTATGATCCCGACTTCGAGTGGGAGCCTGAGGAGGAAAGACGGGTGATTCGAAAGGTACCGGTCTCACTGCCTTGTATGAGAATGAACACCAATTGACCTGATTTAGATCGACAAGCGCATCTGCACTTTTGTGTGTCTAATGTTCTTTGCGCTTCAACTAGGTAAGAATTATAGGTCAGATGCTACGTACACATGACAAGATCTGACTGAAGTCTAGACAGAGGCAACATCAGCCAAGCACTGTCGGACAATCTTCTGGACGATCTCGGCATGAGTACTAACGAGTACAACTATGGTCAAACAATCTTCTTTGTCTGCTTTCTCTGCGCCGAGCTACCCTCGCAGTTGATTTCCAAGAAGATTGGGCCAGACAATTGGATTCCGATTCAAATGGTATCGTGGAGTCTCGTTGCTAGTATGCAGGCCTTTTTGAGCGGCAGGAGCTCCTTCTATGCTTGCCGTGCTCTTCTCGGCCTGATTGAAGGTGGTTTCATCCCTGACAATATTCTATACTTAAGCTACTTCTACACTGGCTTCGAACTTCCTGCTCGTCTCAGCTGGTTCTGGGTGTCTTATCAGTCCACTCAGATCATATCGGCATTCCTCGCATTTGGTATCTTGCGCCTCGGTGGCCGCAATGGTATGGAAGGATGGAGATGGGTGAGTCTGCTTGCTTCGGACGAAGACGATATTCAGCTGACCAGCACTAGTTGTTTGCGCTCGAAGGAATGCTAACAGGACTGATCGGTGTTGCGGCCTGGTTTTATTTGCCTCCATCACCTACACAGTCTGCAACAACAAGCAAACTTAACCCCTTTCGCGGCGAGGAAGGTTGGTTCGATGAGCGAGAGGAGAAAATTATGGTCAACCGGGTCCTCCGAGATGACCCCTCTAAAGGCGACATGCACAATCGTCAAGGTCTCTCTCTACCTATGCTATGGGAGTGCCTCAAGGACTATCACATGTGGCCGATATATCTGATTGGACTTTCCTGGAGTATCCCATTCGCCCCAGTCCAATCTTACCTTACCCTCCAATTGCGGTCACTTGGGTTCGGGACATTCGATACCAACCTACTCACTGTGAGACTTCACTACAACGTTCAATTCAATATGTACTAACAAGAAACAGATTCCAGCTTATGTCATCTTCATCATCCAGCTCTTGTTCTGGACTTGGGTGTCCGAAAAGGTCAATGATCGCTTTCTTGTCGGCCTCGTCTCACAGATCTGGGCCCTTCCTCTGCTTATCGCACTGGAGTGCGTGTCGTCGAACACTTCACCATGGGCCCGCTGGGTTCTGGCTATTCTAGTGGTTGGACATCCCTACGTCCATGCTATTCTTGTTGCCATCACCTCCCGCAATGCGGGCACGGTCCGAACGCGCACTGTTGCCTCTGCATTGTACAATATGACAGTACAGGCAAGTAGCATCATCAGCCAAAATATCTACCGCACAGACGATAAACCACTTTATCGAAGAGGCAACAAAGTACTGATCGCAATTTGCGCCTACAACTTTGCACTGTTCATCGGGGCGAAGATCTTTTACATGGCGGTCAATAAGAAAAGAGAAGGAGTTTGGAACAGTATGTCGACCGAAGACAAGGAAACGTACCTAAGAACGACTAAGGATCAGGGAAACAAGCGTCTGGATTTTAGGTTCGCACATTGAGCGGGATGGCATACGTTACAGACGTGAGAGCTTCACGCGTTTTCAAACAAGTTTGAAGTACAGAATGACATCAAACTACAACACTGCACGAACACAACATAGTACATGTGTAATATCGTACACTAATTGGGTCCCATTCAAGGTACCTACTTATCGACAGGAGGCAGATAAGCCGAGAGTAAGGCAATGGATTGATTGAGTAAAGAAATATATGCCGATAGAGAGAAATATGGAGTTCTATAGTCATGTGATAGGTCACGTGACTAGTAGGTTTCGGCATTCAACACTACCTACTGAGGGCCTGCAGAATCATCCTGGATTTTGCAGGTTTGCAGCGACTAGAGCACAGCAACCCCGGCCAAGACCATTGTCACTGCATCTCTGATCTCGTAAGACAAGTTGTTCGACGATTTATGATCCGTCGACTAGGCTTTGCCACTATGTCTCTGCTTTCGCCTTGCTTCAATCTTGAACGAAACAACAGGGCATCCAAGAAACGACTGCAAAAGAACGACACGCCCTGTAATCGTTCCCAGTAGGAGCGTCGGTTTAGCATCGTGAGATGGTTTTCTTGGACCGGGCTATACTGGAATTGTAGAGTTAGCAAAATGAGTGGGCGTTGTTCGAAGCGCAAGGCATTCTGTCCCTGTTCAGCTATTTCTGCTTTGCTATTATGGTATGTAGCGTGTATGCTTAGGTCCGATATGCGACGAGATGTGGCTCTGTGCGAGAGTGAGTCGTGGGATTTCTATGGTCGTATTTAACACTGTAGTCTTTAAAGAGCGCTGTGTGCAACAATTGTGGAGGGTAGGTGCACCAGTGGGTGCCACAGGGGGTGCAATAATTCGTGTCCAACATGTCCCCTCAATTAGATGAGGGTATTAAGCTGTTTGTGGCAGTAACAGCTGCAACACCAAAGCTACAACGGTAAGGTTTTTTTCTAAGATATAGAGAATAGGTAGATCTTGTTCTCTGCTATCAACCTTGTAGAAGAAATCTTAATAAATCTATAGTTGCTGTTGCAGCTGTTATTGTTGTAGCTGTGGCCTAACTGAGGGGACACGAATTATTGCACCACCTATTGGGTGTAAAGATGATCTTACGTCATCGCCGTCGGAAATACAGTAGGTTTATTCGTCCGAACGTTAGTTCACGGGTAGTGATTGAGAGTTCAACCAATCTGGAACAGCTACACTGTTCTTCCGGAGCTCCGGCACGCTGTAGTAGCCCGACGTTTACCCCTCATACCTAAATAGATGATCGTCATAGACCTACCGACAAGCAACTAGGTACATCCATCATGGCACGCATACTCATCACAGGCTCTTCCGATGGCTTAGGCTCCATTGTCGCACAAAAGCTCATCTCCAAGGGTCACTCCGTTGTTCTCCACGCACGCAATGACCAGCGCGCCAAAGATGCCACTACCGCTGCGCCTGGCGCCGAGGGTGTTGTGACGGGCGACCTGTCCGACATCGCATCGACAAAGTCTATGGCAAAACAAATCAACGACATGGGATCTTTTGATTGTATCATCCACAATGCTGGTCTCTACCAAGGTGGATTCCGCAAGACTGGCGATGGCATTCCTGCTCTTGCAGCTGTGAATACTCTCAGTCCTTTCGTTCTTACAGCTCTTATCAACAAACCTAAGCGCCTCATCTTCCTTTCCAGCGAGATGCATCGGTCTGGATCTGCGGACTTGTCTGATCCTCTTTGGGCCAAGAGTGACGAAAGTGAATTCAACGATACTACCGCGTACTGTACCAGCAAGCTACACAACATTTTGTTCGCCAAGGCATTTGCGCGACGATGGCCTGATATTCAAAGCAACTCCCTCGATCCCGGATGGGTTGCTACCAAGATGGGAGGTAGTAGTGCGACAGGGAGCGCGGACGCTGCAGTCGAAACATATGTCATGCTCGCTGAAGGAAAGGAGGAGTACGCGAAGAAGACGGGGCAGTATTTCAACCCTGGACAAAAATTGGGGTCGCCAAAGAAGGAAGCCGACGATCATCAACTACAAGACAAGTTGTTGGAGGCGTGTAGTAAGTTTTCTGGTATCACGCTACAGTAAACTGTCCATATGTCATGCGAACACAGTCATTTATCATCCCCACTCAACCTGTTGCGCGACAGCTTTCTCTTTCTACGTGGCTCTATACCATTCTGGTTATCCTCGATCTTACTTCTCTGTCTTCAACTTGGCGAAGTGATCGTCTTGATACGCCTCACCCTTGCTAGGAACGTATCGAACTTAGCCTATCTGTTGTACCCAGTCACACGCTGTGACGTCGGTCGTCAGTACTAACTGCACGATAACATGCTCGCGCTCGAGCTCGAGCAATGATTGCAGGCTCTTTTGGTGCAAACTATGGTGTGTTGCTCGAATTTGGTACCCTATACTGTCGGTGGAGCTGTTGCATGTGAGTCTGCTGGTTTTGTCCTTCGGTCACAATGATGGCCGGAATGATACCAAAGTGCTCGTTCAGACGAGTGTACACATTTGTTGATGTCAAATCGCTATGCGTTTCCTCATACAGGAGCACGTCATTTCGTGTCCACGACCGGAGGTTATGATTTTTGACGCCATGCGCCAGCGCAACGCGATCGTCCGTGGACAGCGCCAAGTCATAGTAACGCGGCCTGGTACGTGTTTGCTCAGACTGATGCGTGGCCAAAGGTAATGGCAGTGTTCTACGATGGCGGTTGTTGTCTTTTGGCAGTTCTGGTACAGCGATGTTCTCGATGTCAGCTTTCGTCAGAATTGTACCGGACATTTGTACAGACTTATTAGTCGCCGAGCGACGCACAGCGTTGGATCGGCGTAGTGTAGAAGATGACCCGGGAGATCGAAATGGGTGTGAAGCGGGTGGTTCAGCGTCCACCAGGGACGGCATCTCGGGGACCTGTGGTGGAAGTGAAAGCAACTCCGCCGTGGGGTCAGTCTCGTTCGTGTCTGAGTCGCACATCTTCACAGAGAGTACCAAAGTTGCCTGCAACCTTCTCTTGAACTCAGTAGTGCTATACTTATGCTGCAGTTGCAGAGTACACAAGCTTGCACGGAAGATTGATCGGGTGTAGGAGGAATACTTTTTTGTATAAGCTGCGGCCGCTTTGTAAAGTAACAACGTCAACTTTTTCACATTGTATCGCCAGTCTGGTCGCATGCTAATACTTCTCTCTGCATTGTTCTTCATCATAGCCGATCAAAGGGCGTGGCTGCTTTGGTGTCGCACAAAGCCATCACGCTGATTGACTACTTTCTCGAGGCCATAATGCAACACCACTCTCCTTGTGAATTGCTGTCTTACTAAATATTATCTTTCGCATACGAGCACAATTTAAGGCTTGACAATGTTCTTGTTGCATCATGTACAGTAGGCCTAGCAGCAGTCACAAAGAATGCGATCTGACGCCCGAAGACTACACACTCGAATCGTAGGGCCTGTACGAAGACCTCCGCCGAGATCAGAGAACGCAGCAAACTGCTTATATCCGAGAGCGTTGATCATTGACAGAGGCGTATCAGTATCGTTCATTCATCACGTCGTGCTTGGATTGTCGAACCATCAGCGATTACGACACCAGTGACGATGGAGAAGGATTGCGCCAAGGTTTCCGCATCACTACGCTCGCTGAAGTTCCTGAGGGCGTCAACGGTCTCAAGTCGGAATGGCATTGATACACAGCAGCAGTACCATAGCGCCAACCGCCGTTGTTGATGTTGCAAGTACTGAAAAGGTGCCCTTCGTGGGAGAGCATCGTTCGATGATACTACGAAGTGTCAATAAGCAACTCCAAGTCCATTGCTCTGGTTATGAAGGCATGAAATGGTGAGCTCAGTGTTCATGTGTTGCAGTCAAGCTAGACAAAGGGGAACAAAGTGTCTCCCAGGAAGATTTGTCAAAAGTATGATAGATCCCGCCGCTGTTGAGTTATACAAAATTTGTGCTGGAGGGTTTCATATCATTGTGATGTCGTTGTTGGTCGATTTGTTCAGGAGGCCGAGATCTAGCATGCCAAGGTACAATAGCCGCATCGGTGCCCTTTGCCGAAGTGACGCGCGCTTTCCCGAAACTCAATTTCGTGGGACGGAACAAAACCGTTGGAACTTAATCTTGCCAGGAACACCGCGCTCCTATATCGTCACTACAAGGCCTCCCCTCTGTGCAATTGTATGCACTTATGCCCCTGATTCTATATCCGCGAACTTCATGTTGCCCCCCTATAACGCACCGCGGGTCTCTCAGCAGAGTAGGCTCGCGCGGGACATTTGAATACGAGCAGATCCACATGCCGTGCTTAGATGTCTTGCATGATCATCCCAGGTATTCCTGTTTCAACTGTCGTCCCCAGGTCCTGGTGTTGCACAGGCCCACAGGGGCAGTTGCGGCTAAGAGAGGTAAGGCTTTTCCCAGTTTGAATAGAAGAACGGAATACACCTATTGCATACTCAACTTTTGAACGACCTTGAGGCTAACTACCACCATGCTCATTGCCCGGTGCTATTTTTTTTGGCAGGCTCCACAAGGTCTAAGGGACGGCTGGCGGAACGGAAGACAGCCGTACCGTGATCTCGCCATTAGTGAGCTGGTGTTCCTGCAGCCTTGACCCACAGTTGGAAATTCTAGTCAAGATGGGACCCATGCATTCACAGGGTTGATCCACAGAGCCTATGTCCCGTCCACACCGGAACACTGGCCAAAACAGACTTGAGTCTCTAAGATTTGCTTCCGGACGCTGCACCTGCATTCGATGCGATGTGTGTTGGCCAATGGATTTACAGTATTGTCTCTACCACAGGCCGGGATCATGTCCTCGGTGAGGCCTAGACATGTTGACAGCTCCACATCGCGGACACGCTGGAAAGAGAAAGAGATTTTCAACATGACCGATGTGTGATCCAGAGATATATAGGGCCCTGCGTAAGCAAATTATCACTGTATTGAGTCTCCCAGCAGATCAACCTCATTCCCCTTTGTCAACATGCGTGGCCTCCCTCTTTTCATCAACGCAATTTGCGCTTTGTTCGCAACGACCGCCTTTGCTGGCCCGATAGCATGTCGAGCTTCTGCTCCTCCTCATATCGCCATCAACTCAACTTCTTCGTCGGCACCCGCTCTAAGCACAATCTTCCAATTCCCAGCTGGCTCTGGCGCATGGGTTGAGAACATTGCTGAGCGTGCCAATGGCAAGCTCCTCGTCACGCGCATGTTCACCCCTGAGCTCTGGCTCATCGATCCCTCGACCGGCTCTGCCGAACTGGTCTACAGCTTTCCTGATGCCAATTCCGTCACCGGCATTACACCCACTGGTAACAACGATGAATTCGCCGTTGCTGTCGGGAACGTGAATGCCGCCACCTTTACACCTGAGGCCGGCAGCTGGAGCACCTGGAGAGTCAACCTATCTGGATCCAAGGCCACTGCCACCCTCATCACCAAGATTCCCGAGGCCAAATTCTTGAATGGCATGGGTGCTTTCAAGACCGGAGGTTCAAAAGGCCTTCTTATCACTGACTCGGTTGTTGCTGGCATCTGGGCCGTTGATCTCGATACCGGTGCGACGAGCCTCGCGCTCCAAGACGACTCCATGCTCTCACCTGCTGGTGCGACCTTCGCAGTCGGTATTGATGGTTTCCGTGTCAAGGGCAACAACCTTTACTACACAGTCTTCGCTGGTGGTGTGCTTCGCCGCATCAGCGTCGAGTTCCCGTCTGCCGCAGATCTCGCTGCCGGCACCGCTATCCTCAAGCAAATCGCTGTTGATGAGCTTGCAAACACCGGTGGTTCATTCGATGACTTCGACGTCGCAGCTGATGGCACCGTCTACGTCACCACCAACCCCGAGAATACTGTCGTCAAGGTCGCCGCTGCTGGTGGCAAGCCGACCCTTGTGGCTGGCAACGTTGGGTCTCTTGATCTTGCTGGTGCGTCATCAGCACTTCTGTCTACGGTCGCTACCAATGTGCTGTACGTCACCACGTCAGGCGGGGTTGCCGCGCCTGTAAACGGCACCTTGTCTGAGGCTGGAAAAATCATGAAGATTGTGTTGTGAACGATAGGGCAGCAGACGTCAAACATAGAAGCAAATTCATACTCCATTACTGACCGTTGACTGTTGGCCATTGGCGTCTTCTACTTTGTATGCAAACCGAAACTTTGAATGCTGAATAATCCGGGGTATATGAGAGAAAGCTGAAAGCACAAAAGAACGAGGCGAGCGCCACCTCCAATCGCAGGCGATGCGATAACTTGAAAATCATCAGGACCAGCACAACTTCCCCTGCGCAGCAGTTGTGTCTCCTGTCAACGAGACTCCGTTGTGCAAGCTTGCGCCACACAGTGATTCTTTGGTTCAGGCGGCCAGTCCTACGGGAAGCGCATCGTCATGCCTAGCCTTTCTTGTGCCCCGCCCCTTGGTACTCAGCACACGCTTCAGCGCCCTCGCGACCTGCCAACCATGTCCGACCTTTTTCTCGCGGCCGGCGTCGCCACTGACCCTGCGCTTGTCGAGAAACGCGTCGAATGTGTGTTCGCGATCGCAGCTTTCGGTCTTGCCATCGATGGGCGAGAGTGTGTAGCGGTGGTGTTTGTTGTTGGGTGGGTTGTCGGTCCTGATTTTCTCGAGCTCGAGGGGGGCGCTGGTTTTTGCGCGTAGGTGGTCGATGAACGTGGGCGAGAGTTGGGTTTGGTCGCGTGAGGTCCGCGGCTCTTCCTCGCTCAGGATGTCTTTATCGAGGAATGGATTGATTGCAGGTAGTTTGTCGTCGTAGTCACGATACGGATTGTGCGAGCTGCGCTGGCTGCGTCTGCTGGCGTGTGTGTGCATCATGCTGGGCGACTAAGAGGCGATAGAGCTGGCGAATGCTTGTGGGACAGCGCTCATCGTGGAGTGTGCATGTGCGGGGATTTTAAACGCTCTGTCATCCATCCCGTCTGTCGACACTTGGCAATGGAACGCCTCGAAGGATTTAGCTACGATGCGAATCTAGCAAGCGCGACTTACCTACTTGGAGGATGAGCTGGCTGATAGGGGAAGGTGTACAGTATTGGTAGGAACCACGTGGTGGGCTTTCCTACTTGGGGTAAAGTGGCGGGCTACGAAGAGACCGGTCAAAGGAGAACACCATTCACGGGCTTTTCTCCACCCTCATGTCAGCATCATGACTGCATCGTGGACACTATCGAAACGCCCAGTATAAAGCAGCGGTGGTGCCTTGAAGTACCCGGTCGTCGCCTGAGCGCCTTGCGCAAGGCTCGCCGACACAGTTTTCGGCATACAGCTCGCTGGTCAGCCCTTCTAGCAACATCTCACCACCTGCACCGAGCCGTCTCTCGCCCCAAAATAGCTACATGTAATTTTTCCGGCTACTGAAGAAAACGCAAACGGCACAGGCGACTCCCTACGAAGGTCCAGATTTTTGCCGGAGAAGCGGTCCGCAGACCAAGACAAGGCGTAGATATGCCACTGTCTGGTCCTTGATAGGCTGCGCTGTCATCAGTCGAGCATTTGGAGGGTGTCCTCCAAGGTCATTTTCATCATGTCGCGGGTATTGCCATGTCCTTTTCGAGCCTCGTTTGCGCACACATCGATGCCACCATGCACGTTGGTCGGCGCATACTCGCTGACGCTATCGGCTCAATCCTCTCTCTTCAAAGATTACACCCATGTCACTTCAAATCATATTGTTACAATCCGTCCAAGCTTCTTGTAGATCTTTCATTATGCTAATGCTTTGACGTCGTCAGACGCTCTCGCATGTCCACTTGCCCATCATCACTGTCCCAGCTGAATTTGCTAACCAGCGGATGCTTGCCTGGCGCGTCCGGTGCCGCGGTGTTGTCTGTTCTTTGAAGAGCCAGTGCTGCCCGTCCGATTCTACCATGACGTTCATCAATCTGGGTACGCTGGATCGTTCGATTACACGGAAAATCCGATGGCTTCGGCGCACACGCAGCGTCTTGAGCTTCCTGGTACCGACGGATGAAGTCATGTAGCATTCGCTCCTCGATGGGAACCCCATCGACGTCGCTCAGTTCACAAAAGTACACCCCATCCGCGCGGCGGTTCATGGCCAGTTTGAAGGTGTCTTCGAGGAGATTAAGATTAACTCGAAGTGCCTGACGCACCGCGTGTCGAATCTTAGACTCGCGTCGTCGCTCAGAATTTCGCATTGTGAAGTTCTGCATCATCCCATGCTGGATATGTTTGTTCCGTACAAAGCCATTGTGGGCGTAATGGAGATGTAAGACTTCACGCGCACGCTGCATCTTTTGACGCCGGACGAGCTTCTGATACTCGTCGCCTGGAAGGCTACTGCGCTTTAAGGCATGGGACGAAGACCATGTCGAAGCTATCGTTGGAGGTTGCTGGGAGTTTGTGGTTGTCTTGACTGGCTCCACAATGTACTTTGCTTGAGGGTATATACACACTCGGACCGGTAGCCCCTCTGGGTTCCCGTCAGAGCTGTACCCAGAACTAAAAGAGAAGTCCGACTCCTCCGATTGAGGTCGCACACGAGACGAGACCTGCTGTCGTCGTGCTGTACGGACAAGTCGTTCGTGACGATGCGCTTCAATCTCTCGGTCGTGCTTCGTCGACGAAGTGCGAGCCTGGGCCTCCAGCTCAGACCGCCGCTTACCGATCATCTGCGGATACATTGAGCATTTGATTATTGGGTCGTTCGCATCATCACCACTCCTAGGATTCACACGACCCGACGTCTCGATTTGCGCCAAGCAAGACGTGTTCCGCTTTTGTCTATCAGCAGTACTCGATGAAATGGCATACAGACCACGACACGCAGCAGAACGTGATGTCGACTGCAAATGCCGCCTTTGGGTGCGATGCGAGCGATCGTTTAATTCATTTTCTGTGTGAGGGTGAGATTCAGATCTTGAATCCAACATCTTGAACAAGGACGGCATCGTAAGATCTGCAAAAGTCCGTTTGATTTTTTTAGGCGAGGAACAAGTTGAAATTGCTGGGATCGATGTATTACTCGGGATGTGAACAAGATTCTCTTTATGCTTTGCGTAGGTGTATTGTGCGGCAAGCTTTGTTTGCTAACAAAGTCTGTAGCTATTACAAAGGAGAAAGCTATCCCGGTAAAAAAGCACATAGCCTATGATGCTTGCATTTACTACAGCCGAATAGTACCATCCATTCCCAGTGGTTTTATTGCCAGTCTGTATACTTGGCATCCGAAGCTGATCAGGTACCGATCTCAGTTCTCCCAAAGTGCAACTTCCGCAGACATCTTTCCGTCAACAACCTAGACCTCCTATTCTGATCCTTACTCAATTCTCGTGGCTCCCACCGTGTCTGTACACTTTCCACATTCACACTCGAGCCCAGAATTTCGCCAGCAGTGTAGCTGCCAACGTCAACATCTATGTCTTCGGTGACGCGCATCATCAGCTTGTCCAAAGAATCATGCGGCCTCACGACAGATAAAGGGGTTCTGATCTCAGCCGAAATCGTCAGATCAGTAAACACGATGTCATTTCACGTATCCTGCACATTCAATCCAGATGCGACCCGCGCCTCTACATCCGCACGCAACGCTTCCAATGAGATATTTGTCGGCCGGCCGTGTATAAATCTTCCGCCTCGCTGCTCTCATCCGGTACCTACTGCTATAACTGGTCTACCTGATGGATCCGAACGCCCTGATGCTCGAGGGCAGATTGCAAGTGAAAGTATTGTCAATTGTGTACATGGCTGTTGTAGGTGTGTTGACGTGCGGAAGATAAATTCGGAATGGCGACCCTTCAGAGTGCTCAAAGCACGTGGGAATGAAGTCCGCGATGATGCTGTGCACGAACGGTGTGATGGAGTGGCGAATAACGAGGTTTCTACAATAGTTATACAACTCCGTGGGTGTTTGAGGGAGACAATCGTGGTGCGCCTGCGTTTAGTAGACAGTCTGCTGTCATGGTCACCTAAGCTGGGTTCAGCTACTTATGTGTTTGCGCATTCATTGTTACGGTTTGTCTTACATGTTTGTGTTCGTTTTCTCTTTTATCAACAACAAAGGCGTCATTTCATTTTGGTGAAATAAGCGGACAAAGATCCAACCAACTCTTACGCCTGAGCTACCAGAGTATGAGAGATCCTACGGAATGGAACAAGAGCAATTGTGATGTGTAGGAAGTTTCGTAACAAACGAACAGGATGTACAAAAATTGATACTACGGCGTTGAACTCAAATCCGGTCCTATAGCCCAAGTGATGAGTGAGCACAGCCACACCCCTTCAGTCTTTCATCTGATAACTTTACGACCATGATATCTAAAACTGTACGTCATGCGCAGCTCGATCCGCCGTTGCCGGATCCTCGCCCCTCTTCCTCACGCAAACCCCACACCTACAATCTAACAACGGTCCAAAAGCCCACACGTCGCATCGCGCATTGAACAGCTTCACTCTGTCGTCTTCAGTATCCCACAGCAGCCTGCTGTGATACTTGACCCGTGTTCCGAGGCGGATCATTTGCGTTCTCCACCATTGGTAGTCCCCGAGGCCGTGCTTTACGTGTTGTTTTAGCGCAACGATATTGGCCTGCAGCAGATTGAGGGGACGTGCGGATGAATCCGGATTCTCGAATGTAGCAAGGCTTGTCGTGCTATCTTTGTGGGTGGCCTTGGGGCGTCGGGTGAAAGAGGCCCTTGGTAGGGTTATGTCGGGAGGATCGTATTTGAGGCTTCCTTGGAGCTCTGCAGCGTTCGAGCTAGGCAAAGAATTACCGAGTCTCGGTTGCGCGTTCAAGTTGCGGGGTGTGCAGACCCGCGCCTGGTTGTTGAAGGAATGAATCGGGGGGTGACTACAGCCTCCAGGATTAGAAGCGGTAGCGATGACATTATGAGTACTTTGACTGTGGCTGGACTGAATATCGCACTCGATAATCTCATCTCGGTTGACTTGGTTGCGCAGAGAAGACTGCACTGGTCTCCGACGAATGCTGCCAGTCGCTTGTGGGACGATAATCAGCTGACCCTGACCATTGCGATGATACGTGATGCGTTCAGCTTCGAGCGGCAAAGGGTTGAGGGGTTGACATTCGGGTGAATATGTGTCTCTCCGTGAGCCATGAGCCATGATTGGATATTGTTGAGTCGATGGTTCCTCATATATGTTATCAGGTCGTCGATCATCTCGTTGGTTGGTAGAATGCTCAAAAGTTGGCTGTCGGCTGAGTCTGTGACGCATAGATCGTGCATAAACACGACCGGCTGGAGTGGGGTCAGTGTAATATTGACTATAAGCGTCTCGGAAATCGTTGGGGTGTAGGTGTCGTGCTGTTGTACTCTGGCCCGACTGTAGTGAATTTGTCGTAATGGACTTCAAAGAAGTTCTCTGGTGACCTGGAAACTGTTCCATCAAACCTGCAAGTAGGGGAGGCGCAGAATCCCAGTCTGTTGTCAAGTTGAGACTCCTTGTGATGGTGGCCCATAGCGACTTCCTTCGCTCGTGCTGTAGTGATGCTGCATAATCATGATTCGCCATCGAGGTACTTAGACGTGAATCTTGCGAGGTGATTTGAGAGATGAAAATGGAAAGGATGAAAAGGAAGACTACCGATAATGATCGAAATATGGGAGAAGACAGCCCACAACTGTCTCGAATGAACCTTTGCTGTCAACCACGCCATGTAATGGGGCTGAAGCATCGAGACTGCGTCTCACATCACTGCCCAGGCGAATACTCAGATGCGATTTGCATCCATATGTCCTGATTGTTGCGCTGAGACTCGCCAGTGCGTGCTGGTCTCGTGGAGGCCCGTGAGGGTGGGTCAGGTGTGGGAGAATGCTCAAGACATGTACGTTTGTGTCTCAAGCAAAGACGATGGTCGCATAGCGGCACATCTTGACGTGACTCTGAGGTTATTGGTGCTTCCACTTCTACAGTCGAATCATCTTCAATGATTGTAGGCGATTGTGTTGTGAATTCAGGTATTGCTTGAGTCGACCGTCGAGCCATACGTTCGTGAAACTTTATTCCGCCTAGAGCGAGGCCTCCGCGTAAAGTATTACTATCGTCTCGACCTTGCGGACCGTCGTTCCGCGGCCGAGTTCTGGCCATCCTACTTGCGTGACTGCGCAGGGAGTTGATAGGACCGTAAGTATCGTGCGTCTTGCGATACGACCGAGGTACGGGGTCGGGAATGGAGAGATTGCTTGATGATATCGTGCGTGCAGTGGAAGACAGACTGTGACATGTGTTCCTGTAAAGATGGTTGAGAGGACGACAGCGACTGATCGAACAGCTTGAAATCAAGGAGGCTGATAACTCTGAAGCAGTTTGCAACGATCGTTGCTGTGCGGTCCGTGGTGATGGACGAGACATCGGCTGAGACATTCCAACGGGAAGAGAAAGCGAGGTAGGTTTTGAACTGGGACGTGATAGTTGTGGCTGATGTATACGATGACTGCATTCGATTCTTGAGCGATAAAGAACAGGCTTCGACCGAGAACATTAGAGGCAGCACATACTTGTGGGTAGTAAGATCGAAGAGAGGCGAGGGATTTCAGGATATGGAACTGCAGGCGTGAGCAAACTTAACGGCACACAGGTAACAAAGGAACGGAGCAAGACGTGACAGTATATTCCAGCGCTATGCAAACACCAAGTGCAAGCGTCGTAGGCGGAGACGCTTTTCCAATCCATAGTAACGCCCGGATGTGGGACAATCCAAGCCCTTAAACAACCATCTAAAGCAGGGAATACGACAAGTGTAGGCAGCGAAGTATGTGAGCGACTTTTATAAGCCGCGAATCGCCAGTACATCCTTACATAACGTGTCCTCTATGCCACGATCAACGGCGGCTTTTCAAGCCAGCACGACCAATTGTAGACCTCTTTGCTGGTTTCGATTCCTCTTCACTGGAAACGCCCTCGCCGTCATCCAGGTCGTCACTCATGGGCTCGGACATGTCGTCGCCGGCATCATCATCGGTCTCTTCAGCCTCGTCATCAATCAGACCCTCAGAATCCTCGCTGCCCTCGTCCGAATCCTCGTCGACATCCATTGTTGTAGGCATCTCATCATCTGAGCTCTCTGCGTCGTCGTCGTCGGCGTCGACGTCTCGTATCCTCTTCCGTGTGCTATCGGGCGCGTCGTCCTCATCGGCTGATGATTCGTAGTCGTCCTCGCCCTCAACGTAGATGACTGCCTCGTCCTCGTCGTCACCAGCAGCCTTCTTCTGATTTCTCCGTCTCAGCTCAAGCTGGGCTTGTAGCATATCCAATCGACCCTTGAGTGAGAGCAGAGGCTGCAGTCCACTTGCGCGTTCCTTCAGCACCTTGTTCAGTGTTGCGAGCTGTCGGACCAGCTGGGGCTGGCTCGCAAGATAGCCACCGTGGGCAGCGAGTGACCACTGTACCCACACCATGAGCACGCCAGCGCGGCCAGGCTTCTTGTGCAGGCGCTCGGCCAGCTTCTGGAGCAGATTGCCCACCAAGGGCGAGGGGAGGCGTTCGACTGTTGCGTAGATTGTGTCGATGTCAATGACTCGCAGACAGGAGTCGAGCAGCTCTTGGTCGTTTGTCCGCAGAGCTTGGGTGAGGACGGTCCCGAGGGAGGAGGTGGAGGGTGCGGCGAGCGGACGGCTGCTCGACGCGGTAGCCAGTGTTCTTGCGTTGCTTGCGCCGAATGTGGTCTCTACGTCGACAATGCGCGATTCCTGGACGGGCTCGGGCTCCTGGGCGCGCAGCCTGTCGCCAAACGAGAGCTCCTCTGGGTCGGCGGTCTCGTCGTCGATGGGGCGGTCGACGTCGTCGCGGTCGCCGTTGACGGCAGGGGCAGCATCGTCGGCGGCGTCGTCGTCGGAGCTGGAGTAGTGGCTCTCTTCCTCGGCGCTGCTGATCTCGATCACGTCCGGTGCGGCATCCTCCATGTCGACGTCACCATGACCGGCCTGGCCGCCGCCCACGACGGCAGCGGACTCGTCGACGCGGGTGGTGCGCGCATGCTGGGCCCCGTTGATCTTGGCAGTGGGCTTTGCGGCGGCTCCGCTGAGCAGAGACTTGAGGCCGTTCGGACGGGTGGCCGCGGGCGGCTGGGCGAGGCGGGCTTTTTTGGCGGGCGGTGCGGCGTCGCGGGCAGCTTTGGCGGCCTTGGGCGTGCGAGAGGAAACGGCGGCGGGCATGCTGGCGGTCTCGTGCAGGGCGGAGTGCGCGGCGGCAGTGGTCGGAATCAGTGTCGCTGCCTGGAGCAGCGCAAGATGGTGCAACCGAAAAAACCTGAGCCCAAAAAATCTACAGTGGAGCTGCCGCTAGGACCAGGCGACAGGGATGGGCCGCCGCGGCGAAAATGGTCGTCTGAACCGCGGCCCAGCACGTCGCCTCCGCACGCTGGACAGACCCGGCGCAGCTGCTGCCATGCGATGCGCGCTCGCTGCGGGCGAGCCGGCGCGCAGTGCAGCGCAAGGGCGCGCGCGCATGAGCTGCACTGCTGCGGTGGTTTGGGCAGCCGCAGACACGTGACGCAACGGGCTTAGCGCCAGCTCAGGGGGAAGGCACGCTTGGCACGCATCGGAGTTTCTTAAACAGAGGGCCGCCCTCGCCCTCAATCTTCGTTCTTGTTGCTGAAGTCCTTCCCGATCTGCCTCCAATCAACGCGCGCCACCCCCGAACACCGCCCACGACTCGCGCTCGACCAACCACCATCAGTGCATCGCCGTCAGGCCCAGTTCGCGACCAGGAGCCCAGGCCCCTGCGCTGCAGAAACCGCCCGTCGCATAAATTACTGTCGCGTCCCCAGCTGCTGCAGCTCGCTTGCGGCCTGCTCGACGCCTGTGCTCAACGCCGTCGCCATCCGTGCATCGCGCATTGTTGGTGTTGTTGTCGCACCTCGTTGCTGGAGGCGCACGGCTGCACAGGACTTTCACTGCAACTCTGTACGCGCCGCGCTGCATAACAAACCTGCTGCCGCCTTCACGCCACTCGCGCGTCCACGTCTGACTCACTGCGTCGTTGCGCGCTGCCGTTGACCTCGCCGCCGCCTCCCGGTAAGTCACGTGCACCTCGACGCCGTTTCAGCCTCCGCGACATATAGTCTCCCTGTAGCCCCTCTTACCTTGGTCGCATTCCTTTTGCGACATACGCCACACTGCCAACAGCCCCACTCACCATCACGCCGGGTATAGAGCAGCACCCAACACTTTCACCCGTCATCACTACGCGTCGACTACCGTCAAAGTCGCGCGCGCGTCAACTGCAGTCTACTAACAACCCAGTTTGCAGCCTCCACCGCAACCGTCGCCGTTCCGCGCGTGCAAACACGTTCGGATCGTTCATGGCCCATGGCAGTAATGACATCACCTACCTTCGACAAACCTATTCTGGAATCCAAGGCTGACACGCTGGTGCCTGCGGACGCAATGGCAACCGAGACCCAGACCAATGGGTGAGTGCGACTTTACCTGTGCGCTCCTCATTGCGCTTTCGACCCATTAACTTTTTTAGTACTGCCGATGATCTCTTTGATGAGCCGGTCAACGGCATCGATGTTAACACGACTGGGGGATCAAAACCCATCACCAACGGCCACCACACAGTTTCAGACATGCCATCACCAGCGGTAGATCCTGTCATCCACCCCATAACTGATGTCTCCAGTGGCATCGAAGGCATTGCCTCGTTCCTGCCTGACCAGACAGACAACAACTCGCTTTTTGGTGATGATCTTGTGCAGTCAGTGACAGAGGCTACCGAAGCGCCAACCTCGGATGTACGCGACGAACCGGCACCCGCGCCAGCATACACTCAGGCAACGAGCGATAGCACGCAACAAGTTCCTGAAACACAAATCGCATCCTCGATTGAGCCAGCTTCGGCAGATGTAATGGACACCGCCGCTGATGCGCCTGAGGAGATGCGGGACACAGCTCCCACCAAACCGATGAAGGAGCTCTCTCTTCAGCCGGAGTCTAAAATGCCTGTGAAAGCAGAAGCATCTGCAGATGCAGACCAGGCTATGGAGGATGCACCACAATCCGGCAAGGTGCGACCTCGAGAAGATTTCGAAGAAGGGAATGAGGATATCGCGCCAGAAGCGAAGCGAACCAAGACCGAGGAGGCGTCAAGCTCGCAGGTAGACATCAAGTCTGAGTTACCGTCGCAGCTTGTGCAGGCAAATGGTTCCAGCACACCACGTGGTGATGGTACAGCTACACCGAGGGGGATAGCCACTGTGATCTCGTCAGAACCGTCAGGTGTACATCGCGCCGCCGACTATGAGCCGTGGCCAACAACAACCATGACTCAAGCGCAGAACAAGTTCTTGCTCGAGCGTATAAGAAACACGAAGAAGATCAAGGTCTCGTTGGCGTTCAAGGATCCCGTCGACCCCGTGGCGCTGAACATCCCTACCTACTCCCAGATCGTAACAAAGCCGATGGACTTGTCGACGATGGAGGTCAAGCTGAAGGAGAACAAGTACACTTACGTCAAAGAGTTTATGGAGGACCTCGACCAAATGATTGAGAATAGCGAGTTGTTCAACAACAAGCAGCATCCGGTCACGCAGGCTGGTTACAACCTGCGTGCATACTTCCTGAAAGGTATGGGCAAGATGCCGAGGGGTACCGTAGACGAGCCGCCAAAACCGGTCAAGGCCAAGAAGCCATCGGTGAGCACGGCGCCAAAGGCGGCACGACCACGAGAGTCGAAGCCGGCACCACCCACCGTGAAATCACCTACTGCGGCAGCATCACCTCCAGCGGCATGGCCTCTGGGACAGGATGGCATGCCTCTGATCAGGCGCGACTCCACTAGTGCAAATGATCGGCCTAAGCGAGAAATCCATCGCCCTTCGAAGGATCTGCCGTACGCGAATGCCAAGCCTCGCAAGAAGAAGTATCAGCAGGAGCTGAAGTTCTGCGAGAGCATCTTGACTGAGATCATGAAGCCGAGGTATGCAAATGTCACATACCCATTCATGACGCCCGTAGATCCTGTTGCTCTGAACATTCCGGCGTATCTGAAGATCATCAAGAAGCCCATGGACTTCGGCACGATCGAAAGAAACTTCAAGAACGGGGTGTATCAGAGCGCGAAGGACTTTCATGCGGATTGCATGTTGGTCTTCCAGAACTGCTACAAGTTCAACCCTGAAGGGGACGTGGTGAATGGGATGGGCCACGAGATGGAGGACCTGTTCACCAAACTTTGGGCTGAAAAGGCGGCCTGGCTAGAACAGCATGCACCCGCACCTGAGCAATCTCCTGAAGTCTACTCGGATGAGGAAGACGAGGAAGACGAGGACGAGGACGAGGATGAGGAGACGGATGCTGCGCAGGCACAATTCCTTGCAATCCAGCAACAGATTGCACAGCTTAGCGAGGCAGCGCAAAAGCTGCTGAATACCCAGAAAGGCAAGCGTGCTTCGCCGAAGGCACCAAGCAAGAAGAAGGCCAAGGCAGCTGCACCACCCAGGAAGAAGAGTGTTCCTCTTGCGGTGCCACCACCTGTAAAGGCTGGCAAGCCAAAGGCCAAGGCCAAGCCGCCGCAGCCTCTGAGCTTTGCTCAAAAGCAGGACATCTCGGAGGGCATCAGCACTCTCGGCGATGCTGACATGCGAAAGGCCGTGCAAATCATCAGGAATGGCTGCCCACATCTCGCAAATGTGCATGATGACGAGATGGAACTCGACATGGACGAGATCAACGACGAGACTCTGCGCGAGCTGCTGAAGTTCATCAAGTCGCTCCGTGGTCCTAAGGGAGGCGTGACGGTTGCCGATGATGATTTTGAGCCGCCGCGGCCGGTGCACAAGCAGACAACTGCGAGCAGGCCAAAGAAGAACAAGCCCATGGGCAAGACGGAGCAGGAGGACAACATGCGCAAGATCCAAGAGAAGCTGCAGTCGTTCCAAGGCGGCGTCTCGGGTAGCAGCCAGTCTCCACCTGGTATGTTGTTGATGTGTGATGGTGATGGTGCATTACTGACATATGCAGCGCATGAAGAGGAGAGCAGCGACGACGACAGCGGCTCGGAGAGCGAGGAAGAGTAATCCCTCGCTACCCCTTTGTGCATTAGGCGTGGGATCCTTGCTCTTTGCGTGGAGCCCTTTGACAGCGTTCTCGTTCCAGATTTCTTCTCTGCCAAGCGAGCGATCCCTTGCGTACACACGATCCGTCGTCCTCATGCCCGCCACACTGACACCGCATGACATGTCAAGAGTGACTCCGAAAGGGCTCGTAAGCGGGATCCTGCTCTTGCTTGGCCCGAGCCACGAACAACACACACATGGCTTGTGCAATATCCTTTCCTATGCTCTCGTAGCGAAAGAAGATAAAAGGCGTACCCGCCGCCGGCGTCGTTGTGTGTGCGACGAGGCTTGTGGTTTTTGGATGCTTTGACTCGAAAGAGGATATGGATTGACAAGGTTGGCCAGCAGCTTGGCGGCTTGGTGGATGGATGCGGTCGAGGGTCGGTGTACGAGTATGCTTTCGAGTAGATGCCGAATAAACCAGCAATATGTTCAATGTCTCCACCGCGTGTTTTGAGTTTGGTCCTGACTTCCGGGCACGTCATGTGACGGTGGTGAGGAGCCGTGGAAGGCGGAAGGCGGGCGGTGTGGACCCTGGGCGTCGAGCGGGCGTGGAGAGCGAATAATTGGTGGTGCAATGTTCAGCGCGCGGGTGCCGTGGCGGCGTGACGGCGAGGCTGCACAGGCACCGCATGGCCATGCCCGCCGTGATGTGGTCGTCGGGCAGTCCGGGGCACGCTGCGGTGCTGTGGGCATGCTGTGATGGGGGCCGACGGGAGGCGGCTGCTGGGCAGGGCGCCCGCAGACGGCGTGCGTGGAGCGGGGCGGGAGCTGCGTGCTAGTCAGCGAGCGTGCTGGCTCAGTGCACACGCGGTGCGGCGCTGCATGCTCAGTGTCGTGCTGGTGCACTGCTGCGGCGCTGGTGCGAGAGAGACTCGCTCATGCAGCGGGCCCTTTGAGCGCTTTGTGCGACGGCCGCACAGGGGCACCGGGGGGCGAGGGCGAGGCGAGGCGAGGGCGAGGGCGAGACGGCGAGGGTACGTAGAGATACGGCGCGCAGACGACGGCGAGCGCGTCGCAGAGGCACCGCCACACGGCGCAGCGCTCTCGGCGCAGAATGGGAACATGTTGTGGGCATTCTGCAGCGATGCAGAGTGGGGATGCGAGCCAACGCCCCTTAGCGGTGATCGCTGCCGCGCTTTGGCTGCTGCTTTGGCGGCTCGGGCTCGCGCTAGGCTCGCCGCGAACTTCAACTTTCAGAGCCCACGCCAACGCGACACACACGCGCCGACCCGCCGCAACCGTCTCGCCCGCCCATCGCCATCGCCATCGCCATCGCGCCAGTCGCCTCTGCAGCCGCACACCAGCACACGCCCGACTCCCGCCACGACAGCCGCCATGGCGACGGTCCCCGTCAGCGAGGTCAAGAGCAATGCGCGCGAGAGCAGGACCGCCGCGCACTCGCACATCAGAGGCCTCGGCCTGAGCAGCGACGGGCGCGCCACCCCGAGTGCCGGCGGCTTCACCGGCCAGGCCGCCGCGCGAGAGGCCTGCGGGCTCGTCGTCGACCTGGTCAAGGCCAAGAAGATGTCCGGCCGCGCCGTGCTCCTGGCCGGCGGGCCTGGCACCGGCAAGACGGCCCTCGCCCTCGCCGTCTCGCAGGAGCTCGGCACCAAGGTGCCCTTCTGCCCCATTGTCGGCAGCGAGATCTACTCGGCCGAGGTCAAGAAGACCGAGGCGCTGATGGAGAACTTCCGCCGCGCCATTGGCCTGCGCGTCAAGGAGACCAAGGAGGTCTATGAGGGCGAGGTCACCGAGCTGACGCCCGAGGAGGCTGAGAACCCGCTGGGCGGCTACGGCCGCACCATCTCGCACCTCCTCATCACCTTGAAGAGCGCCAAGGGCACCAAGAAGCTGCGTCTCGACCCGAGCATATACGAGGCCATCCAGAAGGAGCGCGTGCGTCTGGGCGACGTCATCTACATCGAAGCCAACACGGGCGCCGTCAAGCGTGTGGGCCGCTCCGACGCCTACGCCACCGAGTTCGATCTCGAGGCCGAGGAGTACGTGCCCATCCCCAAGGGCGACGTGCACAAGAAGAAGGAAATCGTGCAGGACGTGACCCTGCACGACCTGGATGTCGCAAACGCGAGACCGCAGGGTGGACAGGACATCATGAGCATGATGGGCCAGCTGATGAAGCCCAAGAAGACAGAGATCACCGAGAAGTTACGGCTGGAGATCAACAAGGTCGTCAACAGATACATCGACCAGGGCGTTGCCGATCTGGTGCCTGGTGTCCTCTTCATTGACGAGGTGCGCTTCCCCGATCCGTTGATGACCACGCATGCATTTCACACGAGTCCATGTACTAACTGCCCATTCTGTAGGTCCACATGCTCGATCTCGAGTCCTTCACCTTTCTCAACCGCGCTCTTGAGTCGCCCCTCTCGCCCCTCGTAATCCTTGCCTCCAACCGCGGCGTCACCCACATCCGCGGCGGCACCAACCTGCCTCCTAGCGCCCACGGAATTCCCCCGGATCTGCTTGCGCGTCTGCTCATCGTGCCGACCCACCCGTACAACGCCGCTGAGATCAAGCAGATCATCGGCTTGAGAGTCGGCACCGAGAAGCTGAACATCGCGGAAGCAGCCAAGGACAAGGTTACAGATCTTGGTGTCAGAGTCAGCTTGAGGTATGCGCTGCAAATCCTGGCCCCGGCGAGCATATTGGCCAAGGTTGGTGGAAGGCCAAACGGAGAGATTAGCGTGCAGGATGTCGAGGAATGCGAGGATCTCTTCCTCGATGCCGGGAGAAGTGCAAAGGGACTCGGGGAGGCTGACGGCTACATCGCGTAGACTACAGCGTCTTGTCTGGGAGCTGGCGTTTAAGAGGTTATATCATGAGATACAAGAGCGTATGTACAGTACTGTGAGCGGTATCTGATAATCACAAAAGCAAATTCACGTCCAATTTTAGCTTGCAAGACATGCACAATCCAAGTCCAGTCGAGAAGTAGCCGTCGGCAGTGATGAGTTCCCAATGTCCATGACGAAGTCTCTAGCAGCAGAAGAAATTGCATCATCAATATGGCCTGACAAATGTATCAGATTGCTCGCGTGGCTCAAAGTCAAGACAAATTGTAGAGAGCGCGATCTCAACGCTCGATGCAAGGTCAAAGTCAAGATCAAGCTCCGTTGCCACCCGGTCTCCGATTGGCCGTGCAATCTTTCCTAGTAGCCGACCTCGGTGCTTGCCTCATCCCATCTCGAGCCTCAAGTTCACTTTGCCTTCGTTCCACAGACCCTCGTTCACTCGCAGAGATATATTACCTGTCCATCTGGTGCACGAAACAAGTCACAGCACATCACGTCACGTCAATTTCCCGCACGAGACTGATACCCATCATCACCATCACGATGCTCCGCAACATTTCTCAATTGCCGCGCCAACTCTCGCGCCGCGCCGCCGCATTCAGCACATCAGCTGCCCATCAATCCTCTCCCTTCGGAGGCCCCAGCCCGCCGCGCCTACCCAAGGAGGAGCAAGAGCTATTCGAGAAGCTTCAGAAGGAATCGACCGGCGCATTCAGCCAGCCAAAGCCCGATCCCGAGCCCACTAGCCAGTCGAGCATTCGTATGCAGATCAACCAGTCACCGGACTCCTCGTCAGCACCAGAAATCAGATTCGAGAATGGCAAGGAGATCCAGAAGGGCGAAGAGTTCCATCCCAATATGCGCAGAGGCGCGCCGCCAGAGTTTGAGGGCGACGTGAACCCGAAAACGGGTGAGGTTGGTGGGCCGAAGAATGAGCCGCTGCGCTGGGGCAGTGGTGAGGGGAGAGGAGATTGGAGCTATAATGGGAGGGTTACCGATTTCTAGGCTTTGTGACAGAGTTGATCAAGCATGAGGAGAGGTGGGAAACACGTGACGGATTGGGTGATTACAATAGACGTGATGATGATTAATATCAGTGTATCAAAAACAAGAACGTAAGCAATTCACAAACGAGAGCAAACACAAACCCTGGCACATGTCCTACGGATATCGCGGTCATGGTGTCACGCTTCCAGCGGCGACTGGCGAGAGCGACCCTCTCTCAATCAACTGTAGGTATGCCTGAATTCACAAAGGATTTCGCATGTGCGCACATGAACATGGCTCGTATGCAGCCTCAAATTGTCAAGGCGTCCCGCAGATGCTCTAGAACCCTGAACACTCTCGTGCACTTCCCAATCCGGAAGCGAGGTGGCGTGTGGCTTTCCGGCCGCAAGCGATTCTGAATCGAAGAATGGAACTTTGCCTTGAACCAGCGCAAAGCGTCTCGTGTTTCGGAAGACCGGCACTGTCACTCGTGACTTCGAAACAGAAGATCCAGGGACCCAAAGCATGAAGAGCTTCCTTAAGGTTCGAAGGAGGGGATGTGCTAGGGCTGGACTGGATGACACTGATGACCGTGCAGAAGACTGTGGCGCGGCGTGCGCGGAGCACGTTTCGACAAGGCGGAATTGCGAGTGCGCATGTCGTGACGAGAACAGCGATTCCGGCTGTTGGTGTCTTGCAAGCCAATTACCTATCGGCGCTCAGGCACCAGCCCAAGGGCTGACACGACACGTGCATGCCCTTTTCCAGCAGGCGATCCAACTCCAGAAAATGGGAGATCTCCAGGGCCCTTGCGCTAGAGAGCCCTGAACTCTAGAGCTCTTGCATGCAGCTTAGATGATGGTCCAGCGGCCCCTGTGCCGTCATATTCCACGCGGCCACGATTGTGCAGGTTGTCCATACGTCGTCGCAATCACAACGGTAGCAGAACCTCACTCTCTGCTGCTGTTCGTGCTCGCGGGCTTCCCGGCGAGGCGCAGCGAAGCAGTTGCCGGGCGCTTGATAGACGACAGGGGTGCCCAAACGGAGCCCCGCCGAATACGATTTTGGCCTGGAACCATGCTGCATGGTGAACGGTCTGGATTGTAGCGTGCGACAATGTGAACTTGTGGCTGCTGCCGCTGCTGCACTTGACTGACTTAAAGATGTGAAGCCCCCCGCGACCCGCAAATGTAAAAGCGCTTTGCTTTCGGTCTGTAAGAAGCTCCGTTGCTTAAAGCGTCGGCGGACAATACTTCGGTTCGTGTCGTGAAACCGCCTCCGTACATCGTCATTTGCTAACTATAAGATGAAGACCCTGAGAACAGCGCTGAGCTACGGACATCCGCCTCAACATTATGGAGTAGTTACTATGCAACCGGACTTGAAGCACTTTGGTATCCCTTGCCATACAACCCATTGACCACTCATTATCCCAGTTGGTGATTCCGGACTCCGGAATCATCTACTCACGGCGCCCCATAAGCATTGTCGGGCCTGCCCCCTTGGCACCGAACGTCTTGAGGTCGTTGTCAACTATGATCGGTGTGATTCTATATGCGGCTCTGCTGCTGCAACTTACTGCGGCAGTCAATGTAACCGTCGATCTTGGGTATGCCAGGTACAGAGGCAAAAGCATCGGGAACGGCATCAATCGTTGGGCTGGCATGCGTTACGCAAGAAGCGTCTCTCGGGTCGACGGATTGCGTTTCACTGCGCCACAGGAGCCTCTCGCAGAGTTAAACAAGGTGACCACGGATGCAAGCAAGGTGAGCGTCCAATCGCACACTTTGTTGTTTTCGCTAACGCAGATAGTTCGGGCCCTTGTGCATCGGCTCTGAGAGCGATCTCAAAGCAGAATTTGGAAGCAAGTGGTCAGAAGACTGTCTGTTTGTCAACGTCTTTGCGCCTTCCGCGGCCACCAACACGAGCAAGCTCCCGGTCTATGTCTTCATCCAAGGAGGCGGCTTCAACGTCAACGGCAATGCAAACTACGATGGCGCCGATCTCATTGAAGCTGCACGCGGGGACATGGTGGTCGTCAACTTCAATTACCGAGTCGGACCGTACGGGTTCCTCGCCAGTAAGGAGGTTGAGGCCAATCGGACGCTGAGTCTCAACAATGGACTGAAGGATCAACGACTCCTACTTGCATGGGTACAGAAATATATTCACGAGTTTGGCGGAGACGCGGACCACGTCACTCTTGGTGGAGCCAGTGCTGGTGGTGGTTCAGTCGTGTTACAACTCACGGCTTTCGGTGGACGAAATGACAACCTCTTCCACGCCGCTGCCGCTGAATCAGCCGCATTTCCGCCACTACGAGATGTCGAACAGAGCCAGTGGCAATACGATGCCTTACTTGCTCGATCAGGCTGTAAGGATATTGCCTGCTTGAGTTCCCTTGATGCTGTCACTTTCCAGGCCGCAGTCCGAAGTCTCAAGCTCCCTTTCCCTGGAGGCAAGAATCCACCAATTTACTTCTGGAACCCAACTCTGGACTACGACTTCATCCAGAATTACACATATAGCGAGCTTAAGAATGACCGCTACGTCAAATTGCCCACCATCTTCGGCGACTCTACCAACGAGGGCATCAACTTCACGCCAAAAACCATTTCCAACTACGATCGAGCCCGCCAATTCATCGTCGACCAATTCCCTGCCGCCGACTGGGCCAAGATCCGCACAGTGTGGAATAGTCCCATGAACGCACCCGCCGATGCCCGCTGGCGTGCGCTCGCCTCAGATGTCTACGGCCACATCCGCTACAACTGTCCAAACTTGAACATGTCCGCTGTCTACGCCGAAAACAACACGTACCCGACCTATCAGTATCGGTGGAACGTTGGTGGTGCCGCGCACGTGGGCGAGTTGCCGTCTATCTGGGGGAACGGGACCACAGCCTCTGCTGTGTTCATGCAAGCGTATTGGGCGAGTTTCATTCGCAGCTATGATCCAAATAAGTACACAGCGGAGTTTCTCGTGTCAAAAGGCCATGAAATCGATAACCCCGAATGGACCACGTTCGCGAACCAAACTGGAGGTCTTGGGAACAGGTTAAGGTTTGGTGATGACAACATTGTTGTGATGGAGCAAGTTGGTAATACGGAGTGGGAGAGATGCAAAGTGATCTCGAACATGGGGTTGCATCTGAAACAGTAAGCCCCCCCCCCTTCTCGTTGAGCAGTCTGTCCATTCCAGGAGTTGCTTGTATGCATTCTTGGAAGAGTCTTGTCCTGGAGCCACGGGGTTCTGTTACCATTCGCTGACGCATGCTAGACCGACGAGTGATGGCTTACGTGTCTTGCCACTTACCTCGGGGCTTTATATGACGATCGGTATTATACTGCTCCAGTGGTTTTGTCCTTGAGGATAGCCAATCCTGAAGCGGACCCATGATCTCTGGAGCCGAATAATATGTCGATGCATCACCTATCAAAATAGCCACAAGACACCACTTGGTTTGTTGGACATCAAAAATGCCTCACGGGGAAGTTGAGCTGCCGATTATACAAGGTTCTGACACCGAGGCGTTCCACAAAAGGTCAGATTGAGCGACTCGTATCTCGGCCGTCGTTTAGCATGTCGATGAATGCTGGTCGTACAGTAACAGCGAGCAGAGAGGACTCAGCGCTGTGGTACGAGCGGGTCATAATTTCGTCCAGTGTTCTCTTGTGGCGCCAGGCAGTTCGAATGCTCAACTCCCGTGGTCTAAGGTCTAGTGACGTTGTGCGCCAGGATCTCCACGACAAGTCAAGTTCAATACCTACACAGCGCCCCAGATCAAACACACGCGTAGGGATCGTACGCTAAGGGTTGGTCATGCTGATAACACAAGTCTTGTGCATAGGACCTCGAGGGTTCTACTTGTACTCTTATTATCAAGTCCGCGGATTCCAACGGAATCCATAATGCGGCTAATGTAGTGTCTATCTATCATGTGGCATGAATTAACAATCACCACAAACTCAACACTAGAATACCACCAATCCCATAACATCCATTATAAGCCAACATTGTCACAACAGGGTCCGATTCACATCATACATCGTTCAACTGTAGTCTCGATCAATCGGTATAGTCCTTGACATTCGCGAAGAGACAACAAAAAGCTCGTGACGACACTCCAACACGGACGCTAGGATTACAGTCCAGGTGCCCGTACAAACATTTCGCCTTCTACCTCAAAATTTACGCCCGCTTATTAGCACTGCTCCGATCACTCATTACCTAAAAGGCAGGATGATAGTAGGACATGACACTCGAACTCCTAAAGACCCAAAATGAAAACCCGTAATCCAGCCAGACCCTAGAGTAATTGAGAACTTCGATATGAAAAGACGATGCTCAAGCTGCGCCTATAACGCCTACCGTTCTCCAAGTCTCCTTTTTGGCTCTACCAACTGGCGTCTGATCTCGAATAGCTTGAGCAGGAATACGGTACATGATAAGGTACTCGCCCCAGTGCAGCCACTCGTCAGCATTGTCGTCAGTATCCTACATCTGTCAGTCCAACGTCAGCTATTGAGCATGCTCAGAGACCAACCTTGAGGAGATCCGCAGCGCGAAACACAGGACCTCGCGCAAAGTGCTTGGTGTCCACACTGACGACCAAGACCTCCTCGCCCCATTTTTCCGCCAAATGCTGCGCCACGTTCTCTGCGTGCGGCAAGCTGTCGTACACGCTGATGAAGGGTGAGCTGATGTTGGTCTGACGATTTAGGTGCGCAAGGCCGAAGCGGCTGAGCGCGGATGTATAGTTGAGTATTGTGGTCTGATTCTTGGCTGCAAATCCAGTGGAGAAAGAATATCGGGTTTGTGCGGAGGCGCGATGAATGCGATAGACCATGGGTGGGATGGTGGTTGGTGGAGAGGCAGAGGGGGTGAAACGAGCTGCGGGTTGGGCAAAGAGGGCTGGTAATGTCAGACGAATGGAAACTCCGGCGGTAAGGAGAAGCTTACTGGCCATTGTTGCAAGACCGTCGGTTCGACTCAAATTCGCTTGGCACTTTTCACGTTTGAAGACAGTATCAATGACTCAGATGTCGCAAGAAGAGGTAGAGCCGATACAGCTACAAGAAAGTTGACGAGTAAGAGACACACAGCGTACTGTGATTCCGAAGATCTCAGAGAGGGTGCGAATTTCCATAGTCGTGATTGAGATAGGTGCAGACTGAAGCACCCTTTTTGTATCTATCCATGAGGAGCGACAGGACTCTCCAGACCTCACGATCAGATTACACGTCTTCGCATGAAAGCCTAGTATCGTCATGTTGGTATCCTTCCCCGACCCGAGATGAAGGATTCGGTCAGTGATGTGTATCCGCCTGGATGGCTGCAGCGACAACTGGCAAACGCAGCGTACGGGCATTCGATAGGTCGCGTCCTAACAGAGTGTAGCTGAGTAGCTGATAATATGGACGTTGCCGATAAGCGATTACAATTTCGGACGGGGGTGCCGGGAGGCTCGTTTCCAGTATGCACGTTTTGAGACCGAGCAAGGTTGTTGTTACACAACATGAAGAAGGCCTGTTCCCGCAATCCACTTGAACCTGGCAGGCGTGTCGATCGCACTACTTCCAGGTGCTTCCATAGCAAGTGAGCGTCGCTGCGCTGTGACATCGGTAGGCTGGCCGAGGCTAGAGGCAGTGGAAGGTGGGAGATGTGCAAAGCGTGCACAAGTGCTTCACTACTTCGGATCCGGACTGAATATCACAGTGCTACACCAGGATGAGCTACCAGATGGATCTGCTTAACCGCAGTACACGATGTGCTTCTTGAACATTAGTCGGCCGTTAGTGGGGCACATGTTTCTACAGAGAAAAGGCCTGCTTCAGCATGAAGGCAGATTAAGTCACCCTATCGGAGAGTATAACAGCAAAATGCATGGTATCTGACATGTTCAGATTCGACAAAGCGAATTCTCATGCCTGTATTACCATGCGGCGCACTACTGGCAAGGCAGAATGTCGCACATGCAAACAGCCATGGCTGTAGCCTGAGCTCCGGCTAGCTTCCCATTCGTTAGATACACGGTAGCAGAATTGACATGCTCGGTGCCTCCCGTGAAGACGACTAGGCCAGACTGTGCAGATCCGCATCACGGTGGGCCTGCGAGGTGAAGGGTGCACGCATGACACAAAAGACCAATCAGACCGGTAACAGAAGTAGCGGTGAACCAAGTAACTAGGTGTCATCACGGAGATGAGCACAAGATGGAAATGAGAAGAGGGCCAGGAGTGAGCGTTGGTGTTGTGAAGGTAGTTGACACGTGAACCGCGTTTGTTCTAGTCCACGTTAGGATAGCGCTATTTCGATCAGGACGTCGAAAAGTTGAACGACAGCATCAACGAGGCGCAACGACGACAATCAACGTCAACGTCTTAGATTGTGCGCAAGCTCTTTCTCATTGAATTGGTGATATAAAAGGCTAACGAACGAACAGATATTTCGCTCTTTCATAGCCCCACAACCGGGTACTGGCCCGATTGATTACACTCAACACCAACTCTCCACCCGCTGCACCGACACCGACCGCTCCACCGTCTTCACAGCCCACCTCACGACATGTCTTACTTTCGGATAACACTCATGCGCTCTGGCATTGGCATGCCCTCTAAGACTCAGGGTGTCCTGAAAGCGCTCGGCCTGAAGAAGCGTATGACAACTGTCTACCACCCCGTCTCACAGTCCGTCGCTGGTCAAATTATGAGGATAAAGGAGCTGGTTGATGTCAAGGAAGTTTCTCGCGCATTGACATCTGCTGAGCAGAAGGCAGCGAGGCGACCGGCACCAGGGTACTACATCGAGAGTAGAGCGTCGCAGGCAATGAAGGAGTGGGAGTGAAATGCGAAAGAAGAATGAACACACACACACTGGGATCTTGTTTTTATACTGTACAACTGTCATCTTGCATACCCACACGGCGTTATTGGGTCTCGGACTGACGGCAAGTCGAGAAGCAAATGAATCTGAATCCAGATTTGACGGACTATATACAGAAGTAATTGGCTCATGATGATACGTGCTTGTCAGTCAACCTATTCCGAAAACGCGTTCATTCTTTGATAAGTGAACGGCAGTACCACGTCACCGTTCATACCTGAAGTCGAATACAAGGATTTGAGCAATGAGGAAGCCGGTGCTGGGTCTGTCAATGCGATCATTACACGATCACCACACCCCTCAATCAGGGCTCAGAGCATCGCTGGTACCCATGCTAACCGGCTCACAAGAACACGCTTCAATCGCGCCAGAACCCCATCATTGTCGTATTTAATCACTCTGATCGATGCATTGAGCAAGCTGCGCCTTACCGCTACATGTAGGAACCAGTCTAATTTTGTTAACCCGTGCACCTCCAACAATGATGGAAATGTGAACAGGAAGGCCTTTTATTCTACGTCAAAATGCCAAAGCGATGAAGAGAACTCTCATCGGGCTTGCCTATCACTTGGTTTCAAGGCCTACGAGATGTCTGACCTCGGTCGCCGTTATCTCAACCTCGACCAATCCTAGAGTCCACCACACCCTTTAGTCCCCCGCAATCAGCAGCCTTTCTTCCTTGAGATATGGCGCACTCTTTCCATCGCCGAGCACAACTAGCAATAGCGCAATCTTAGTCTATCCCAATTCATGTTGAGATGCTCCGTGTGTCAGGCTTGGGTTATCCTTTTGCCTCTGCAGACCAGCCAGTTCCTCCCTAGCGATGTGCATCTTGGCCGAGCATGCTACAAGATTTTCTTGCTGTGCATGGTTGCCCTCCTTTTGTGGGTGATCCCACCAATCCAATGAAACAATATGCTCTGCGGCGCCAGATGGCGCAAGTTGATCCAAATCGAGATCAGGTCTTCCAGCGCTGTCCCGCTGGTCTGGCTGTCGTATGCCGAAGTTCGACAAGAGAATCCTTGGATCTAGCATGATCATCCATAGACAAGACAGGAATGTAGCTGTCTCTCGTCTGTTCCTCGGTTGGTATACGACATAGATGGTGTTCAAAAGGATGGCACCGAGAGCTTTTAGGATGCCTGTTACACCTGCGGCGGCTATCATCTCTTCAGCGAACACTTTCTGGCCGTTCCAAGGACTGAAACCGTGGATTTTATTATCGGACTTGGACTCCGTCTATCGTCTGGTCGGTCCCCGTAAATCCACTTCTACTCTTGCTCAATGAATTGTGTGAAAGATATGAACATTGGGCGAACGTCTAGTTTTGATCGCCTGCGATACTAAGGACTGGAGGATGTTCAACAATAAACAACGAAAGAGTGAACAGACAGTACTATCTATCGAGCTGAGTCTTGGTCAGGTCTGAGCTGCCACACCCCCAGGTGGTGAAGGGGATGACAACGGGCACGCGTTTAACATAGGTGGAGTTGCGTGTGTTATCCCGTGCAACACCCAACTCGGTTCCCTGCAACGCTGACCACCTTGACCCAGAGACAAACTAGCCACCAGTCACAGACTCTTCAGATCAGGCTACCATGGTCTCTGGGCTTCTGGATTCCTCATTCATAACGTTCAGCACGTGGCAAGCCACTCCAAAAATGGACAAAGTGGACCACCGTCCACGTGCACTGTCGTTCAGCCTAGGTACTCATGAGACACGGACAAAGGCATCAAAGCTTATTATATACCTGACGTCTACTAGCAATTCGATTTTCTCTCCCTATCATTTCTGCAATTAAGAGCCCTTACACCTGCTTATGTTTTGTCCCGTCGTCCGGTCTCTCATCAAGGTCCACACCACCAGCGCGCCCATCGTCTTCCACCCGCCCAGCCTTCGCAAAAGTCGATCCGAGAATGTGCAGTGGATTATTCATTCGCGTTGTCATGACGTAGAGTATTGTTAGGCCAACTGTTACGACCTCGTCACGAACCTCTCTGGGTAGTGCAGCAGCACTCTGCTCGAAGTGGAAGTTGCCAACTTGTTTTATTGCCCACCAGTTGACCGAAAATCTGGCGATGGGGGCTTGCGTTGTTGAGTCGATGCATACAAAATCCCAGATTTTCAAGCTGGAGGTGGCAATCCATGTGATGGGAATTGGGCTCTCGGTCGACGACAGAGTTGTGGAGAGATAGTTGTATGCTGTTTTCCACTTTTTGAGTGGCTTGATGTTGAGCTGTTGGCCATGCACCGTACATTCTGATGCGATGGAAACACTGTTGATGATGCCGGTGGAGATCTGAGTTTTGGTTGACGCATCTTCAATGCGCAACTGGGGTTTTGTTGGGCGAAAATGTTGAATGTAAACTGGTACAAGTCTGTCCCCATCCTTTTCGCTGACAATGTTGTGAAACTTGCTCCAGGCGAAGTCGACCTGAAGAGTAGCACCCGAAGGTGTCTCGAAATGCCTAGGCGGACTACTGGAAGGAGAGGAGTGTGTTGACATTATGGTAACTGATGCTAGGAGGTGAACGATTAACGTTTGTATTTTGAAGGCGGTGATAGCGGTATGGATGCAATTGCCTCAGGCTTCAGCCAGCGTCCAGGCAATATAAGTAGTTCTTCATGTCAAATGATAGTGGCGAAAATGGCTGTGGTCAGGTTGGGTGCCTGATGAGGCTGATTCCTACTCTTGGCCTTTGTTGTTGCCGGTTTGGGTAGTTCGTGAGCGGGGCTGTGCTTCGGTTTCTTGCAACGAGTAGCGATGACGTGAGACGAGTCCGTGCGGACTCAGTGCTGAAGATCATATGTAGGCACTACCAGAATTTCGGGCAGCCCGAAGAACACAATGGGTGCATTTGGTTCAGAACGTACCAGTCGGCTACATAGAGAATGCGATGATCTCTACGAGACCAAGGACAAGGCTGGATCTGTCTTGCGAGTCGATCACCAGACTTATGTTGAAGACAGACCTCACCATGAGTAGCTATGGCAGCAGCTTGCGCTTCCGCGAGGACGATACGAAGTACCACGTATCCAGCTGAAATCCGCGTCTTCCATTTGATCAGCGTCGAAACCTGCTTGCAATTATACAGAGTGTGTTATCGGAGTTTTCGGCATCCCCGATCCTGCATCATCCAAGGCTATGCATACGTACCATTCCCTCTCTCTCGAATCTCATGAAAAGCGGTGGATAAGCGACCTTTTCAGCTGATCAACTTTAATACCGAGCCTGTAGCTATTACAAGACCTAAAGAAGATATTTAGGTAAGAATCACTTATTCTGTAGGCAAAAACGTATACTATAGGGTTCATTTATATTTTCCCTCCGTTGCTGTCGTGTGGTGTACCTGGGTCATATCCTCAGCCCGCCATTTATTCTGCAACGTGAGAGCATGTCTCCAGAGTCCACTGTCACTCGCCCCGGGCTCCAACATACACCCACACACCCTCCCTCTCCTGCCACTTACTCGCGAAAACCCACAACTTTGCACCGGCCACCAGCTCTAGATCTTCTAGTTCGTAGCTAACGTCTAAACCCCACTCACCACATCGCGTATCCCACTGCCAATCCTCCCAGCTGCCGAGCCGCAGCTGCGCATCGTCGGGCATTATTTCAGACTCGGCCATATTAGCATGTTGCCATATTTCGCGGCGCGCATCGAAGTACCAGCGGGAAAGGTACAGTGCAGTTGCAGGCTCGCCGTCTGTAGGCAGGGAAGAAGAGAAGAACTCGCGCCACAGCGGATCCCAGGTCCACTCTCTTTTGGCAAAAGTCTCCTGCGGTGTTAGTCGGGTGCCCGGATCAGAATACTTGACGATGTCCGCGAGTAACCCCACGGCCGTGCTTAGGTCAGACAAGTCGAGGAAATCTGTCGAGCAAGGGATGGCGCTTGGCTGAGCTAAAGGGTGCCATTGGTCCCGTTGCTCCAGGGTATTTTGTAAAGAAGCGAGTTGTGATTCCAAGTGGGCTAGCTCCGAGGTTGTTTCTTGTGTAGATTTTGCCAGGCCGAGAATATCCTCTGAAGACGTCCTGTCGAGCAAGTGGCCAATCTGATGGTCAGCCATCTCAAGTAGATGCTGGTGATTTGCTAGAGAGGAACGTACTGGTTGAGAAACGTCAAAGACAAATTCTTGCCGGGTTTCTTCGATCTTTCGTCGGACATTGCGTGTAGTCTCTTGGAGAGAAACGATGGTGTTTGTCAGCTCGCGTGAGATGTTTGGCGAGGCACTCTCCATTTTGTCGGAGTACGCACGATCGTGGGTAATGAAAGCGAGCGTGTTTGGGTGCGCCGAGGCTGTCTGGATCTATGTCATTATGAGTGGGATGTCTAGTCGCTTCTGTGAGTTGCAGTCGAGGCCAAGTTTGTTGGTGCGGCGGCTTTTTTGCCACCAAAGTGGAATGCATCATGGATGCTCATCGCGACACTAGAGACAACTTGAGATATGGTTTGGTAGCAACGCAGACTTTATGTACACGAATACGGCGCAGATGGTGCTTGCATAGGCCCAGGTCGCGCTGGTAAGGCCTACACAGTATTGAACATCTACTTTGTAAACTAAGGTGTATTGGGCGCGCTAACACGTATGATATCGGAGATGTAAGTCGGCTCACTAGTATATCGGCGGAGGTTGATTGACAAGGTTCTGTAATGACTTGCCATGCTGAATCTCCCGTTCTTCTTGTGAGCATACTGCACTCAAGCACTGCGAGTTGCTTCTTGGCAGTTTTGTAGGATCGATGTATCCTTCAGCTCGGCTAACAGGCTTTCAAATCACAACTAAATGCCTCCACTTGAGCGCCACTGCACCAATCAGGAAGCTGCCTGTCAATGTTATTAACTCTTTGTTTCTTGCACTGCAGCTACGTCGGTGGCGACTCGAACGTGCCTGGTTGCAGTATGTCTTTATAGAAGCACGTCTTCTGACGGCTTGCAGATGTACAAGCCAACTTGTGCGGATGATGAGCCTCTGTCTTGGGCGGCTGGATTTCTAGATCTGCACAGCCTAAAGTTGGGTTGGATCAAGATGTTGTTGGTATCATCGTCTGGGGTATCATCGCGCACCCATCACCGGCCCGCCCACAGTCCTCCACCTCTCCCCATTCCCATCCCCCCACCGCCCCCAAACTTTCCCTCATTGACTGGCCTCTTAGCCACCCTCCCCTGGCTCTTGACGCCCTCGACAACCCTATCGAGCTGGGTCTCGACCACTACACCGCCGACTATCATCTCGCCTAGGGCGGCATGGAGGGTCTCGAAGTTGAAGATGAGATCGAGCTCGCAGACGTTCTCAAACAGCCCATCGAGCGCCTGCACGAAGACCTGGATCAGGTCGAGCAGGGCGAGCGGCGATTCGGTCGAGGTGGAGATGACGATGAAGTAGAGGGTCGCATAGTGGCGGTAGGTCACGAGGGAGGGAGTGTCGTTGTGCGGGGTGCTGGGTGTGGAGGACTTGGAGGACTGCTGGAGCAGGGGTGGCAGGCTACGTGCGTGGGTTAGCGGTGACGCGCTGGTGAGGAAAAGAGTGCGTACGGCAGGAAGTTGCACGCTGAGTTGGGGCGGTTGGCGACGAGGGTGAAGATCTCGGAGATTAGGCGCTGCTGCACGCTGGTCTCGAGCTGGGTGTAGAACTTGGTGAGGCGCGGCTGGCCGGCGTTGTTGAAGACGAGGACGGCGTTGATCATGGCGCGAGCTGCCTGTGACGGTGCCTGCGACGGTGCCTGTGGCGGTGCATGTGATGGTGCATGTGGGGAATGGTGGGCGGCGTAGGTATGATGCGTTTGCTTGGTGTTATCGATTGCAGCTGTTCTCCGCACCCTCATAGCTCACACCCGCGCCCAGCAACCTCCCATCAACGCTCACCACACCCGAGACGTCGCATCACAATGAAGCCTGTCACCCGAATTGGATCCCTGGCGCTTCGTCGCGCGGCCGCAATGCCGCTACGCGCCTCGACGCCTGCCAATGGCATGATTGCGCGCGCTGGCGCCGTCACTGTGCGCAGAGCGTCGGCGCGCGCTTTCCACGGCAGCGCGAGCGGGCGCAGCATCATGCCGGATAGCGAGAACCCTGCGCCCAAGCAGTCGGAGGAGCACGAGACGCCGACGGTGCCCACGGACATCTCCACCAGCGAGTTCCACGAGCGCGCCGACGAGTACCTGAACGAGCTGGTCGAGCGCCTAGAGGAGGCACAGGAGAAGAGCCCCGACATTGAGGTCGAGTACTCGGTGCGTCACGGTGCAGCAGTCGTCTGGCGCCTACTAACGCACGGCAGGCTGGCGTCCTTCGCGTCGACTTCATCTCCAAGCAGCTTAGCTACGTCATCAACAAACAGCCGCCGAACAAGCAGATCTGGCTCAGCTCGCCCATCTCCGGGCCCAAGCGCTTCGACTGGGTGGTGCTGCAGGAGGGCCAGAACGCAAAGGAGGGCAGCGGCAGCGGCGACTGGATATACCTGCGCGATGGCACGAGCCTGACCGACATCATCCGCAAGGAGCTAGGCATCGACAACGAGGTCGACGACGATGTGCCGAGGTAGTGTAGTATAAACATAGCCACAGCCATAGCCATGTCTGTGAGGAGCAATATGTAATTCGCAGTGTACGAAGTATGCAGTGGCACTGGCAGTGGCAGTATGGTACCAGTGACAGTATGGTACCAGTGGCAGTATCGCACCAATGGCAACATGCAGTACCCAGCGCCAGTATGCCGTACCCAACGCCAATATGCAACACCCAGTGCCTGTGTCCTAGTATCCCAAACGCCGGTCCATGCAGCGCCCAACACAGCAGCAGCAGCAGCAGTTGTAGTCAGCCAACGCAGCAGCAGCTATAGTCAGCCGGCGCGGCAGCACTCTAGTCAGCCTACGCAGCAACTGCTGTCGCTGCGCTCGGCGCATCGTCCTTGTCTGCGGGCAGGTCCGACTGTCACGGTCAGCGCGGTTCCACGTCCGGCGGGCCCGACGCACCTGGTCAAAGATAATGCGGATCATCAACGAGCAGCTCGGGCAGCGCGCAATGTCCTCGCCATCGCGCATGTCGTAGATGGAGATCTCGAAGCGGTCGCCGCACGGGCACGGGTGGTGGTAGATCTGCAGCGTCTCGTCGTAGAAGCAGTCCTCGATCTCGATCTCGTCGTAGAGGTTGACGTCTTCGTCGGCCATGCTGGCGGGTGGTGCGTGCGGTGCGGTGCGGTGCGGCGCAACAGAGCACAGGTTCGAGGGGCGGCGCAAAAACCGGCGACGCTGTGGCGCGAGGGGTCGAGGCTGGCGTCGAGGGCCGCGGGAGTGCCTAAAGTCCGCAGTCCCCAGTCCGCAGTGCGCGCAGCCCGGAAACCACGGCCGCGCCCTCCACCACGCCCACCACCACGCCGCCCACCTCGCCGCCTGACTCGCCCGCCCGAATGCCCTGCGCCGCGCACCAGACGCACCGGCTCGCCCCACCGCCCTGACCACACCCGCCCCCGGGGGCCCGTCCGCGCGCGCACCAGACGTACCGTCCCGGCTAGCCCCAACGCCCTAACCGCACCACCCCCCCCCCCTCCTGGCCATGGGCGACGTCGAGTCGCTCGCGCAGCTGCTGCGGCACCCCGAGGACCTCGACAAGATCCCCGCGCTCAAGGCCGAGTTCACGCGCAAGAAGGCGGCCGTCGACGGGCAGCTGCGCCATGGCCTGCGCGAGCAGCTCGAGCTGACGCAGGCCGGCATGAACAGCATCACCGACGGCCAGCGCACCGTCAGCCTGATCAAGGAGGAGATGATGAAGATCGACAAGCTGTGCGCCGAGGCCCAGAACATGATCCAGGACTTCCCGCACATCAACGTCGTCGCCCAGACCCACAAGAACTTCGAGAGCGTCGAGAAGATGCGCCGCGACATCCAGACCTTCGACCAGCGCCTGGCCCAGCTCGAGTTCCTGCTCGACCAGGACGACGAGGCCCCGACCGAGCAGCCGAACCTGCTGCCCATTCACTTTGGCCTGACCCAGCTGCGCGACATCCGCGACGTCGCCATGGACCAGATCAAGACCACCGCCGACGGCTCCACCGAGCTCATCGACAACCTCGCCCTCGACAGCGGCGCCACCGTCCAGGACCTCTTCGCCCGCCTCGACGACGTCATCGAGCGCTTCGACCAGCACATCGGCGAGGCCTGCATCAACCTGATCGAGCTGGTGCAGACGGGCAACGACGGCATGGTCGTGCGCCTTGCCGTCATCGTCGAAGAGGAGGAGAAGACCGACGCCAAGGTCAAGGCCCTGCAGGACGCCCAGCGCGAGTACAAGGACCTCGCCTCGCGCTTCAAGTCCATCACCGCCGGGCCCAAGGAGCTTCGCGGCTACAAGGACAAGTTCACCAAGGCCATCGAGTACGTCTGCGAAGCCAACATGGCCGAGGTGCGCGAGAAGTTCGACGAGGACCCCGAAAAGGTCGACAAGTACTTCAAGTGGTACTTCAACAACCTCAATACCGTAAAGCTGGGCATGGTCAATCTGATGCCTAAAAAGTGGAAGATCATGCAGACGTACACAAACATCTACCACTCCCACATGCACAACTTTCTCATGAGCCTTGCTGATGACGAAGCCATTGGACCACAGTACCTGCTCGCCGTCATCAACTGGGTTGACCGCTACTACGCCAAAATGAACAAGCTCGGCTTTCCCGAAGAAGTCCTTGAGCCCCACGTCATCGACAACCGCGGTCCAGAGCTGATCCGTACATACCGACAGGTCATCATCAACGCCGTTGACCAATTCATGGACCGCATCAACTCGGGTGATAGGAAGAGCTTTCTTGATCAGGATCGCAACGCGTACGAGGCCAACCCCGACGGCATCTTCCAAACCCGCTCACTGGGCGATGTCTGGACAATGTTGTCGCAGAATCTCTCTGTAGCTGCGAGCAGTGAACGCACCGACGTCGCCGAAGGGACTGTCGACGCCATGATCCGGGCGCTTACTACGCGTCAGCGCATCTGGACCCAGCTCATCGACGACGAAAAGGACAAATACATGGGCCCGAATCCCGCACAGGATGGCGACGGCGTAGCAGTCTTCCAAGAATGGTTGATCGCCATTGCAAACGACCAAATCATCTGCATTGACGATGCCGACGAAGCCGTTGGCCGACCCAGCTTCGTGACCATCTTCGAGAGAGAGGCCACACCCCTGCTATCCGCTCAGTACGCGACTGATCGCTTGGCTCCACAGCTTGACGAGCTAAGGAATGGCTACATTGATATCAGTAGCCACTGCATTCAGGTCTTTTGTCAGCTCATCTTTCTCACCGACTTTCGGCCCATCCTCAGCAAATTTTTCACGCAAGAGTGGTACCAAAGAACAGACATGGCGTCCATCATCATCACGTTCCGTGACTACCTCGCTGACTACGAGGAACAAGTTCACCGTTCGTTGCGAGACTTACTTATCGACTCTTTGGCAGACGAGCTGCTTGTACAGTATCTCGGCGCAGTACGAAACAAAGGCGTCAAGTTTAGAAGAAGCGATGCTTTCGCAGCAAAACTCCGCGATGATCTTGTAGCAGCATTTGAGTTTTTCCGAACATACGGCGAGCAGGGTCGCGAGATCACCCAGAGATGGCGCGCTGTTGACTTCTTTTTGAGGCTCTTGGAGACCGACAAGTCGCAAGTCCCTTTCGTCTATGAAGAATTCAAGGCTACTTATAGGGAGGTACACATTAGTTGGGTCGAAGCTGTACTCAGAAGTCGCGATGATTTCGATCGTGCCATGTTGAATGCGGTGAAGACTAAGGCTGCAGAGGTCACGGAGGATTTGGATGCGCCGGCGGATCCTATCATGGGCAGGGTGAAGTAGCCGTTGTAGCCATGGAGTAAATTAATGCATGGAATAGCATCATACCGTGATGGTGTTGGTGAAGGCCTGGCTAAGAATGCGTTGTTTTGGGATCGCCCATGATGTGCACTTGCTCGGGAGCGCGGTACAGTAGCTGCTTTACCAAGCGAGTACGACAATTCTCCCCGCATCCGTCATCGTTCTTCTTCCACTTGACCACACCCATTATTGTCGTACTATACATCGCGCTCACAATGACTTTTCTGAACGCACGCAATGGCTATGCTTGAGGATCGCAAAGTATAGGCTGTGCTATCCGCTCATCATTCGCATGAGTCAGTTGCGCACGGCTTGAGATTCGCAATCTCAACACTCCAGATCTCCTTCAGATCAACCGAACAACAGCACGTGCCTTCATTACGCCTGAGCGCGACCATGACCCTATCAAGCAACATGAGCCGATCACGACGCGTGTGATCCTCATCTCAACCTTCCGCTTGCCGAACATGAGATCAGGGCCACGTGATGAGAGATGACGGCAACGCTGAATGGCTGTTTCATCTTTGCCTATCAAATTGCTTCATCTCAGGGACTTCCTTGCAGCAACGAGGATGTTTCGAAACAACAATCACGTTGTTCGGTCTGTTGCTTGGCGTTGGACATTCCGATCAACAACCAAGCCTGTACCAAGGAAGGGAGCCACCATGAATGATGGAGAACGCGTGCGCTGCGCCTCGTACGTCTTTATCGTGGGTGCTGCTTGCATGTTGGTTGCGCGAAGCTGCGCTCTTCATCACCCCACGGGTCGGCAAGATGAGAGCCATGAAAGAAAAGCGGGATGGCACTTTCATACCTAGAGTCAATCATTAGACGAATCTCCGTTATCGCCTCGACCCATAATCTTCCAACCTCAACCATCTCTCAATCCCTGCGCTGACCAGGTGGGTCCCGTTGAAGAAGCAGCATGGGGTCAACCGGGACGCGCAATTCATTTCGTGGCACATATATGAGGCAAAGCACTCTGCATTCCAGTGCGCATCTATCATCGCAAGACGAACAATAATTCTCAGTTCTTGAACTGTTAGCCACTCTTTCAACCACTCACCACAGTCTTTACATTGCACATTATTTCAACTTTGCCTTACTTTATTTGGAACGCTGCACAATCTTCTCTAAATCCAACTCTCGCCAATCACCATGAAGTTCTCCATCATCGCCGCTTCGCTCGTCGCCGTCGTTGCGGCCCAATACAGCGAGGAGGTCTGCTCTGGCGCTGTCACTGTCACTGTCACCGAGTACGTTGTTTCTAGTTTTCGCGTATTTCAACACTAACACTCCTCAAGGACTCTCTCTTATGGCATTCACACACCCAGCGCCCCGGCCTCGCTCGCCGTTACCGCCCCTGCCCCCTACCCCACTGGCAGCGGTGCCGCCATCCCTCCAGTCGTTCCCACCGGCACTGTCCTGACCCCACTCCCTTCCGAGGTCGGCACCATTGCGCCCTCCGGCACCGGTGCGTATAGCGCGCCTGTTTCTGAGTTTACTGGTGCTGCATCCGGTGTCAAGGTTGGCGGTTTTGTTGCTGGTGTCGGTGCCGTTGCCGCGCTGTTCTTGTAGTTGAAGATCTGTGGGGTACGAATGGGACCGTGAGCGTGTCTAGACGTAGAGGCAATCTAGATAGATAATATACCCATCTGACATTCGACTGTATCTGCGGTACTTACCAAGGGAACTGCTATAAGCTAATGACATTGCATCACAAGTCTCTTGATGACGCACTACAGGCCGTTTCCACTTGATATTCAACAGTGGTGTGATGTGTTCTGCATACATCCAAATACTTGGGATCTCTCACAGAAAATGCAACCTAGTCTGTGGTGTTTCCGAGATGCTCTATCTGCGACTTGCTTTGTACAACATACGCTCGAAAGTAGCAACATGTGTTCGAAGATCTCGTTATACTGGGTTGTGGGAGTGAATCATTGTGATTCTGAGCGCGGTGAGTGCGAAGCTTGGCCTACACACGCTTCTAGAAGCAAGTCAGTCTCAATCAGCATAAGTTGTGATGCGGCTTTCCTGCATCTATGTGAAACTGCCACCTATCAGCTTGCTCATGAATCAGTCGGGTCACAAAATACACGTCTAGAGAATCGCTGTAGTTAGCATACCCATTTCGCTTACATCTACAGCTTATCTAGCGAACCCCATCCCAGCTAATTCCGGACCATTAGGTGGTGAATCATAGACCCAATACATATTTCACCTTGTGCACGAAACTCTGAAAAGGTCCTGCTTTAGTCTCCGCAGGATCCTCCACGGGACCATCAGCAAGCTCTTCGCTCGCTTCGTCTCGTGCACATGAAGGAAGAGGCAATTGCCAAAGTTCACCATGATCAACGACACAGTTCGATTTCGATGCCCCCATACATGCGTTCATCGCTGCCACCTCTCGGTGTTCACTGTTGACAACAGAGTCATCACGTGTCTGGGGCGTGGCTGGTTTCGACTTTGGCGGAACAATACCGTCAGCAAGCGGAGGAGAGTCCAGCTCATCTTCGTAGTCGAGCCATCGCTTGAGGTGCTGTAGGTTAGCGTCTCTGTCTTTAACCATCTGTCGACGAATTGATCTTGTGTAGTAGGATATGCGGCGAAAGTGCCAAAAAGTGTACTGCTTCCTGCGTAACAAGAAATACATCTGGGTTGATGAAGCATTAGTCAAAGACCCTGGGGCGACTTTTCAAGACATATTGTAGTAAACATCATTGTGTGAATCCGTGACAAAAGGGCCACAATGCCAGTGACGACAATGTTCGTACGTTGCAGGTCATTGTGGAGCGACCTGATAATTGTGGATTACATTATTGTATTTATCTGTACATATTTACACGTATGCTGTGGGCACAAATCGAGATAATACTCTTGATTACTGGATGGGGGCACCAGAAGCAGCGAGCGTGACATAAAATAGCTTGGTCTGCCCTGTGACGACCATGCGCCCCTTACCAGCAAACTGGAAGTTCGCGGCAGTGGTACCAGTGTATATCTTGCCAATCAGCTTGCCGGATTTGTTGTACACCCATACACCATCGCCCGCACCAGCGTAGACACGACCCTTGGAATCAGTGTGAACGCCGTCTGGGATGGACGAAGGGACATAAGCGAACGTTTTGCGGTTCTCCCAGGTGCCGTCTTTGGCGACATCAAAGGAGTATACGGACGCCGGCGAGGTAAGATTGCGACCGTAGAAGCCAAGTGCAATACCGGTGTCAGTCACGTAGGCTTTGGTGCCATCGGGAGAAATGGTGATGCCGTTGGGAAGGGTGAAGTCGTCGGCAACAACCGTGATGGCACCTGTCTTGAAGTTGTATCGATACACCTGATTACGAAGACCGGGAGGAGGTCGGAAGTCCTGAAGGAAGCCGTAGAGGGTATCGGTGAAGTAAAGATCGCCGTTCTTGGGGCTAACGACTAGATCGTTCAACGAGTTGAACTGACGACCGAAGTAGTTGTTTATGAGGGCTAATCGAGTCAAATTGGATCCGGCATTGACTTCAGTTGAACTTACTGGTGGTGTTGTATGGTGCCTCCGGGTTCATGAGATACAGTGCCGAGGGGACGTTGGCGCCCTGGCCTTCACCAGCAAAGATTATGTTGCCCTTATAATTAGTGCCACCATTCGGGTTGATCACTTGAGGGTTGGTGGTGTTGACGATGGTCACTGGTGCAGCGCTGAGGGTACCGTTGCGAACCTTCTCAGCGTCGGCGAGAGATATCTTTTGAATGATGGAAGACTTGTTCAGACCAGTACCCGCAGCACGGGCTCCAGCGTTCTGCACAAAGAAGACCTCATCACGAGCTGGATGCCTGTTTCTGATTAGACTAGAATTTCGTTACGTGCTAGTGCCAATTGATCTCACCATGTGACGGCCTCATGGAAGATAGGGTCAGACTCAGAAGATGCAATCTGGGTTAAGGATGGGTTGGATCCGATTACGTCGTAGAATTCCTCATCATAGATGTGGAAAGGCTTTGCAAGAAGAGACTCTTCCGTAACGCCCGGCCAGACAAATAACTAAGAAGTCAGTCGTTAGACGTCGCTGTGGTGCGGAGACCTGAGATAAGATATGAATGCGACATACGGTAGAGTCGTTCGCGATGGCGGGCGGTGGGACATTATCCAATACGTTGAAGGTCTTCTGGTCGACAATCTGGGCAGCTGCAGGTACTTGCTGCGCAAAGGCACAGCCAACAGCTGCGCTCACAGCGAAGAAGGTACTTGCGGATGGCATCTCGACGCAAGAACGCAATTGAAGTTTGTCTGAAACGTCCGTAATTGTCCGACCGTAGCTCTCAGTTCGAGGACACCAGTGAGAACACACAGCTGAGGACGCGTGAATAAGGTTCTCGGCTGGACATATAAGACCTCTGAGATTAGCCGGCGAGATCCATGGAGAGGCCATGCAAGCTCTCGCGTCATTTCCGTCGAGGACGATGCGGCTCGGCTTGAGCCAAGATTCGGACCGAGTTCATTCTCGTATAGAATTAAGGAGCTAGTCTCAATGGCGTTCGTGTGGTGGGGAAAGCCCCCGGAACACAGTGCGGGATGCGGAGAGGCGCCGAGAGAATCCGTGAGATGAACCATTGCGACAACGAACAATGAAGTGATACTTCATTGTCGCGCAGAACTGAGACGCACTCTAGAATGATATTTGACATTCCGAACGAGCGGTAAGCAGAATCAATACTGATCATTAAATTTAATATGATTACTGCGGGCCTTGGAAGCTACCTAGGTATCGAGAAGGACCGACGTCTGCTGGCTGTGTGCACGATCAATGACATGCCACTATTCACCGTGCTCGCGGGGGGACGGGAGGCCAGGACTAGCGGCGGCCTGGGCGTGACAAGAACAAAGCGAGCAAATCCACACTCCTCACAGCTTGACGGCTGCGCTCATTACGCCAAGTGTTGGGTCATCTTGGCAATGCGAAGGCCTCTGATCACCGCCTTTCGATTCGCTTGGCTTGATCTTAGGCACCCGGAACTATGGACTCGAAGACGCTGTGGGCACACACTGCAGAGCGAGTGAGCTGCTGGCCAACTAAATTTGGAGCCAGAACTTGCGTTTGCTTGCGACATAATCTGTGCCAGCGACAACGTCAAATCCCAGTCCTGTGTCACCGGATAGGGTTTCCACAAGGTCTGCGACGATCTGAGATTAAGATCTATCACTGAATCTAGCACAAGCTTAGGGAAGCTCTCGTCATTGTGGTCATATGTGCCTAGATGTAGTACTCAGATGATTTATGCCTAACCAAGGGTTAGCCAGCATGCGTTGACAAGAAAACATTCATCTGACCAATTGACAGATCTTGCGATTCCATATAACATGTCATAGAAATCCGCCCGCTGAGCTGCCGACGTGGCGAGTCCGGTTGCGGATGGTGGCATTTAACCGCACCAAAGGTGAGACCGAAGTCAACCCCTTTCCGAACCTAGACACCTATGAATCGCTCAGTGTGCCTGCGTTCGCTCAAAGATAGGCCAACGGCCAAGGTAGCAATGTGGGGATCCCGCAGTTTCGCTCTTCACTCCACCTGTCGCCTGCGTGTCTTTGGGCACTCCCTCGTCCTCCCATGGCTGACATTACAGTTTTGAAGGTCATCGTGCTGGTGTTTCTCAGCGTGGCTATCTATAACTTCCTTGAACTCAACGTCCAGATATTCACCACTTTTAAGCGACGCAAAGGCCTCTATTTCTGGAGTTTTACTGTCGCAACATGGGGCATTCTCTTCAATTCGATCGGATATCTCCTCAAGCATCTTGAGGTGACACAAGAAGGCAATATCTACGCAACCATCATCTTGATCGGATGGTGCTCAATGATCTCTGGTCAATCCGTCGTTCTGTATTCACGATTGCACATCGTGATGCACAATGCGAAACGATTGCGGGCCGTGTTGATCATGATCGTTACCAATGCTATATGGCTCCACATACCGATCATCATCTTGGTCTATGGTGCCAATTCGGATAACCCCGGTCCTTTCGAAGGGCCATATTCCGTATATGAGAAGATACAGTTGACTGTATTTGTTGCTCAAGAGCTCATAATCTCCGGTTTCTACGTGTATGAGACTGTCAACCTTCTCAAGCTGGAAAAGACCATCGGTAACATCGGATCAAGGACTGTGCTCTACCACCTAATATATGTCAACGTCTTGGTCATGCTTCTAGACTTCAGCATCATTGGCCTCGAGTTTGCAAACCTATACGAAATCCAGACCGCTTGGAAACCCCTCGTTTACAGCATCAAACTTAAGCTTGAGTTCAGCATCCTCAACCGCCTCGTCGAACTCACCAGGAGCGCCCGAAATGGGAACTCTCACTCGTATAGCAATGCAACCACATCTGGTGCTGTAGCACTTGGGACTATCAAATGCAACGATACATATCAAGAACGGTCGGTCGCGCGGGGTGCAGATCAGAGATGCAATTGGGAGGTACACGTGGGAGGTGGAAAGGAGGCTGGCACTACGATTCCTGCAAGGGTGGTCAAGACCACTGAAGTCAAGATACAGAGTCACTCTCGTAGGAGAAGTGACGCGAGTCTGACCGAGAGTAAGACGGAAATGTTGCATGAAGCAGCCGCACAAGATGGAAACGACATAGAAAGAGATGCCTCTTCGTTAGTATCATTGGATGTCACTTACAGAAAGTACGCGAATCCGGTATGGCAATGACCTAAGCAAATCCACATTTACAATCATTATCCTCCTACAATAGATAGAAGTATAATTTATAAAAACACTAGCATATTTGTATTAATAGAATACTAAGCTTATGCTGTAACGCCGTAGTACTGAGCTACCAAGCCAGGCAAGCTAAAAAGGTATCACGACTTACACAATAGTAAGTCCTCACTTAGCACAATTTATATTACTAGGATCCTAAGTTATATAAGATCGAATATAATTATATACCTCTTCTTTAGGTATAATAACCTAGAGAATAGTTTAACTTGCTATACTAAATCTTCTAGTAGCTTAGTATAGCCTAACTTAGCTAAACCTAGACCTTAGTATAGAGTAAAGACTTAAAAATATAGCTTTATAGGCTTAGTATAGAATATTAATATAAAAAACTATATATTTTAATATTAGTAACGTACCCCACGGGCGAGTCGGACAACGGGCGAGTCGGACACTTTTGCCAAGCCCCCACCAAACACCTTCTCCTACACCAATGTCTTCTCAACAACACTATTTAGACGCGTCAAAAGAAGCGCAGATACAGCTTGCGCTCCAGGCTCTTAAACAAGACGTGACTCTATCTCTGCGACGCGCTGCTGCTATCTACAAGGTCCCTCGAAGCACACTAAGCGACCAGCGCACTGGACGACCTTCACGCGCTGATTCTATGGCCAACTCACGGAAGCTGGACAACAATGAGGAGGAGGTGATTGTTAAACATGTTCTTGAGCTAGATGCGCGAGGGTTTTCCCCTCGGCTCTCAGATGTGGCTACTATGGCCAATTCTTTGCGCGCTGAGCGTAATCTGGGTCCTGTCGGCGTAAACTGGCCCAGTACGTTTGTTAAGCGACACCCAGAACTTAAAGTCAAGTTTAATCGCAAGTACGACTACAAGAGAGCTCTCTGTGAGGATCCTGAGGTTCTGCAGGGCTGGTTTGGCCTGGTAGCCAACACCAAAGCCAAGTATGGCATCCAGGATGAAGACACGTACAACTTCGACGAGACAGGCTTCATGATGGGCCAGATCTCCCCAGGAGCAGTTGTTACAGCTTCAGAACGACGAGGTCGGCCAAAAGCTATCCAGCCAGGCGACCGGGAGTGGGCTACAGCTATAGTAGGCATCAATGCCAAAGGATGGGCCATTCCTGCCTTCCTTATCTTCAAGGCCCACCACCACCTCTCTGCCTGGTACAAGGAGGAAGAACTGCCTCAAGACTGGGTTATCGGAGTCTCTGATAACGGCTGGACTACCAACAAGCTTGGTATGGACTGGATAAACCACTTTAACAGGCATACAAAGGAGCGTACTGTTGGCACCCACCGTTTGCTCATTATTGATGGTCATGAGAGCCACGACTCTCTTGAATTCCAGCAATACTGCAAGGATAACAAGATTATTGCTCTTTGCTTGCCTCCTCACTCATCGCACCTTACACAGCCTCTTGATGTGGCTTGTTTTGCTGCTTTGAAGAAGGCGTATGGGCGCCAAGCCGAAATACTCATGCGCAACCAGATCAACCACATTACAAAGACAGAGTTCCTACCATGCTTTATACGCGCCTACAACGCTGCAATTACTTCTAGCAACATTCAGGGAGGGTTCCGAGGCGCTGGACTGGTCCCGTTTGATCCACAACGGGTTATAAGCAGCCTCGATGTGAAGCTGCGCACGCCATCACCACTACTACCTGTCAACAACGAGCTCTGGCAGTCGCAAACCCCAAGCAACACCCTTGAACTTGGGTCGCAATCAACGCTTGTAAAGACAAGGATTCAGAGGCATATAGATAGCTCGCCTACCTCTATGGTTGAGGCGTTTGAGAAGGTGGCAAAGGGGGCAGCAATAATTGCGCATAAGCTAGTGTTGGCGCAACAGGAGATTACTCAGCTTCAAGCTGCTAATGAGGCAGCCACACGACGAAAATCACACAAAAGAAAGCGGGTTAAGAAAGAAGGTACTCTAGTAGTTAAAGAGGGCCAGCGATTAACAGCTCTAAAAGAGTTTGGGGCGCGTGGTGATGGTAAGAAGGCAAAGAAGCAGGTGCGCGCTGAAGTAGGTGAGCCCTCCCAAAGGCGCTGTGGACGGTGTAATCAGACAGGACATAACGCGCGAACGTGTAAGAAAGAGATAGAAGTAGTTTCTGAATAGTATTACAGACTATACTGCACGTTGCAGCACCAAACTAGGTTGTTTTGTGTTATAATGGGGTGGAGTTTGGTGGGGGCTTGGCAAAAGTGTCCGACTCGCCCGTTGTCCGACTCGCCCGTGGGGTACGTTATTAGACTTTAAATAGTTACTTTCTATAATTATATAAAATTACTTAATTTATAAGTAACTATTAACTAATATATTATTCTTAAGGCTATTTAAAATAATACTATAAGATATTTATTAAACTATAAGTTAAAGATATACTATAGTTATACTACTAGGTTAAGTATCTATACTAAACTCTTAAAGCTAACTAGAATATTAGTATTAAGGTTATACTTTAAGCAAAGCTTATAAGCACTATTTAATTAGTTCTTAGGGATTAATACTATTAGGGAAACTAAAGAGGTCTTATACTAAGGAGTAGAGATATAATCTATCTATCTTAAGGGTAAGGGGTAATAATAAGTAGTATAGAGTAGACTATCTAGCTTAAAGGTTAGGTTAAGATCTAATATTATAGATTAATACTTAGGTTAAACATAAACTATAAGGGTTATATTCCTACTTGCTATATACTTAGAGATATTCTATAGATATTCTAGTGTTCTATAATATGTTAATATTAGAATATATTAGAATATTATAGAATTCTTAGAATAATATATAACATGTTCTATAGTAGTGTTCTACTAAGGTTTTAGAATAGAAGGGGTTATATTATTATTAGTTATAAATGCTAACCTTCTTAAAGACCTCTAGGTTGTCCCTAAGTATTATTAATTCTTCTATCTCTTATCTTCTACTATATCCTATCTTAGGTTTGTAACACTATCCTCCCCTTTTAACCTTTATATCCTTATAAACTAATCTATAACTTCTACAAGTACTTTATACTATAAATCTATTAGTAATTAAATTAACTATATAGGGTAACTTATAATAGTATCTTATTAGTACTATATAAAGTAAGGCCTTAAGTGTTATATAGTATTATTAAAGGAGTATAGAAATTGCTATAGTATAGGTAGCTAGAAGTATATTCTAATAGAGGTTCTAACTCTAAACTTTGCTTATATTAATTAGGAACTAGAGTGTTTAGAAAAAATAGAAGCTAAGGCTAATAAAGCTAAGTCTATAGTGCTATAAGTAATACTAGCTATGCATATAAAGAAAGATTATATTTATAAATAAAGGAAAATATTAAAGCATTATAAGTAATAGTAAGTAGATAAGGCAGGGTAGTATATTAATAATATTAAGGCTCTTAAAGCTACTAAGAATATTAACTATAATATTACTTAGCTAGAGGGAGGCCTAATGCCTAGTTCCCTAGCTCTTAACTAGAGTGCCTTTATACTATCTACTTTAGAAGGTAACCTAGACTTTACCTTTAAGAGTACTAGGATAGGAGCTATTAGTAGTTTATAAGGTGCGTCTCTAGTTCCTATATATTTTCTAAGTCTAGGTATCTTAACTATTTAACTAGGTATTCTCTATCTAGTCTAGTTCCTTAATATTTTATTATTTTCTTAACTTCCTATTTATTATTACTATTATTTTAGTAATAGAAGTCCTTCTAGATTAGTATATTAGTATTAGCTAGTTCTAATAAGGTAATATAGAATATAGGGTGTATTTTTATATCTTTTAGTAGCTTAAGTTAATAGTTAACTAGGCTAATTTTCTTTAAAATAAAAAATAGTCTAACTTTAACTTTGTCTAATTTTTTTATTAGTCTTCTTATATATAGGTTTTTTATAAAGAGGTATACTTTATCCCTCTTCTTTAGTAAAGGTGCTATTTTTCTTTTCTTATTAATATAAAAGATTACTTATATTTAAGCTTTGTTAATGTTCTTAAGTAATTTCTAATACACTTCCTTTAGTCTCTATACTAAGGGTATTACTAATTCTATTTAGATATTACTATCAAGACTTTATATAAAGAGATTTAGATATCTTCTATAATTTATAAGGAATAGCATTATACCTATTACCTCTAATAGTTTGTTATTATATGCAATTTATGCTATAGGTAAGAGTAAAACCTAATTATTCTAATACTAGTTATAGTAGATATAGAGATATATCTCTATTGTCTAGTTTACTTACTCTATTTATCTATCTATCTATAGATAATAGGCTATTAAAAGCTTCTTCTTTGTTCCTATTACTACTAGGAATATTGTCTAGAAATTTAAAGTAAAGAGCTTGTCTCTATTACTAATAATTAATTTAGGAATACTATAGTATTAAATAATCTTATCTAGAAATACTTAAGCAAGCTACTCTATAGTATAGCTATATTAGAAAGGTGCAAACTTAGTAGCTTTTATAAATCTATCTACTACTATAAATATTAAGTTTTAATTATAGTCTATTATAGGGTCTTTAGAGATTAGTAGTTGTGTAATAAAATCTATTATAATATTTATCTATAGTGTAGTTAGTAGTTCTATTACCTATATTTCTCTATATTTAGTATATGTACTATGTTTGTTTTGCTAATAGTTAATATATCCTTTAATATATTTAGTAACCTTGTCTTTTATATTTAGGAACTTATAATATTATCTAATAAGTTCTATAGTCCTTATAATTCAAGGATAACTATATAGTAGATTACTATAATAATTATATATAATTCCTTCTTATAGGTTATCTAGTACTTAACTTAGTATATAGCATTCCTATAACACATGTATAGTATTATTAAGCTGCTATAATAGTCCTAGGGATCTGTCTTAGTTAATTCTAAGTATAGCAGCTTTATTAATTGTCTTTTTACCTACTAGGTTATATTATTAGCTAAGAGCATCTGCTCTACTATTATCCTTGCCTAGAGTGTATAGAATCTTGAATTTGTACTAGCCTAGCATTTCTAACTATCTAACTTGTCTTTAGTTTAGGACCTTAGTAGTAGTAAAGTATACTAAATTCTTATAATCTATATAGATTATAAGGTCTAAATAGCTTTCTATATATACTTACTAATATTCTAGGGATAATATAATTACTAAGAGTTTCTTATTATATATATTATAGTGTTCTTCTAGTCCT